AAGAACTTAATTCGTTCCGGAGGTTCGTTCTTAACCTGAAACTGTTCTTAACCTGAAGCACCACTTTAGCTAATGGGGCTTCCTGCTGCCGCCGCGCCACCGGAGCACGATTTCTGTTCTCATCCTGAAGCAAAGTTCTTAACCTGAGGTACTATTTCTGGTTTAGCGGAGTCTGTAACCTGAAGCATATGTAACCCGAGGTACCACTGTATATCTTTTTTTTAAAAAAAATATTGAAGTGGTTAATGGGAATAAAAACCTTTGGAACTCACCGCCACAAGATGTGGTTTAGGATTGATTGGGCAGATTCAAGGAGGGGAGAGTCTTCCAAAGCCTATTAGCCGATGGGAGCCTCCACTTCCAGGTGCAATATGCCTTTGAGTCTTACATTGCTGGCGGCAAACAGGAGGCGAGGGGTGGTCCCTTCCGTTCTCTGCTTTGTAAGCCCTTTGGTTCAACACGCAGTGAAACTTGATGGACCCTAGACGTTGGGAGGGAGCAGGGCAATTTGCTCTGTGAGGATGGGAACTCTGCACGTGCTCAGAACTTCTCCAAATACCAGAGGGCCTGAAGCCTCCATGCCGCTCTGGACAGCTGGGAGCTGCAATTGGCTGGAGCCGACCCGAGGAAGAGCAGAATTCGAGAACTGCTGAGTTACAGCCACCCAGCATCCAGGCCTTTGCGAGGAAGCAAGCGGGGGACAGGGAGAGAGCAGCTCACATGCTCTGCCCTTCTCCAAAAATCTTGTGCCTGGATGAGTCATTGCCGAGAGAGCCTGATCTCTCACACACAAGAACGGCGCTTGGGTGGGGCTGCGGTTCAGCAGAGGAAAAATGGATGCCAGATGTCCTGGCCGGAGGCCAAGGCTCCCTCCCCTTCCCCACAGCTGGGGTCCATCTTGAAGCGCCCCGCTGGCTGGCTGTCGGATCAGTGCAAAGAAATGGAAGTGAGGGGAGGACTTGGGCTCTAACTCCACCATCCCCAGATTTTAGGGGTTGTTGGGTTTTCTTTTTACACTCTCTCTCACACACATTGAACTTCCCTCAACAGCCCTATCAAAGAACTCTGGACCCAGGCCCAGATTCCAGAAGCAGCCACAGAATTTATTGCAGCAAGTTGTTAAAAAACGAGAGAAGGGAATTGTTGATCCAGCCGTGCCCCGGCCCTCCCCCACCCCCAAAATATTTGCTGCTGCTCTCTCCCCCCCGCCCCGCCCTCCACCACCCCATAATTTTCCATTCCCTCCCCCGCCAGAGGATAATTTCGTAGCAAGCCAACAAACAAAACTGGAACATAAAATTACGCAGTTTCGCTTGCACTTAGCCCCAAGTCCCCATCTCTTATTTTTGTTATTAGAATATGTGTGGTTCATACAGAAAGATGCTTTTTTAAAAAACAAACCCAGAGGAAATGTGTTTTAAAAAACAAACAAACCCAAAACTTGTTTCTATGGCAGCCGAAAAGCAACAAGATTAAATGAGGTGGCAAGGACATCCGGTTCAGATCTCATCTCTGATATGAGCTAACTTGGGTGGTTTTTTGGAGCCCATTCTCTCTCTGCACCTCAGTCTTTCCATCTGCAAAATGGGTGTGATGATTGCAGAGGATTGGGAGGGCTCTGAATGGCGGGACAAGGGTCAAATGCTGTGTTGTCAGTGGCTCTGTCAGGATAGGGTTTGGGTGCAGATGCCCCACTAAGCGGAACGAGGAGAAACCCCACCCCTCAAAAATGTAGCAAGGCTGACATGCCACATTTTGACTTCTGAAAAGCATGGTAAGTCATCTTAAAGGGGAGGGGCTCTCATAAAATCACTACGCCCAGCCTTTAATTACCTAACTGGGCCACTACTGTATGTTGTATAATTAAATAGCCCAAATCTACCTTCAAATCTGGAACTGTAGAAATGCAGCTCTCAGGTCTGCAGGGAAAATTAAACCCAGAGCAATTTTAAACTTTATTGATTACATTTCTACCCAGCCCTTCCTTCCTCCCCAGGGAATGGAAACCGGGACAGCATGTTTTCTTTGGCAGGGTGGGCTAAGGTGCGGGGATTGGGGGACTCATCTGACGCAGGACAAACAGTTCACGATGGGTGGTGGTGGCGGCAGCCTTCAAACGTTGGGGAAAGAGGCTCTCTTTATACGCTCATGAACTCTTGCCCCATCCTTCCTTAGTTAGGCAAGCATGTTGAAAGCCAGACAGTGGCCTGAAGCACAGCAAGAAAGGCAGCGTGGCACAGTGGTTAGCCATCTTATCCACCTTCCCAATTCATGCGTTTAACTCTGTGCCCACACCCACATCCTTGCGAGGTAGACCCTTCTGTGCTAGCAGGCGACGGAATGAGTTCCCCGATGCCTCAACACCCCCCAGCTTCATGCTAAGGGGCCAGGATGTGGCCCCACTGAGGGCATTGGGGGTGGACAGCAGCCACCACTGCCCTCCTCGAAAAGAGGTCCCAATCTGGTTGCTGAGCTCCATTCCATGGCTCCCTCCTTCCTCCCAGCGTTGCATTTGGCCCTGAACGATAAATACCGAGCCGCTTGCGGCCAGGCCCCACCCGCCTAGCAGGATACGTGCATGATTCACTCTTCCTGAGGGCCCCCAAGAAGCCAGATGGAGGCGATTAACTTAAGCCCTTTCCCTACCCTGAACAAGCCAGAAAAGCGAATGGCCAAGCACATTCAGGAGGGGCCAAGTTGCGGAAGAGGTAGCCAGGGGGACAGAGGAGGTCAGGTGGGGAGGGGGCACAGGACAGGAGGTTGCCAGAGGCGGCTTTGGGGCCCAAGGCTCAGAAGAGATGTCTCTGCCTAGGATGGATGTGAACCCAGAGAGGACTGCCCTCCTGGAGCAGCAGAAGCAAATTCATGTCCGCCATTTCTTTTATTTGTTTACTGTGTTTCTGTTCCAGCTTTTTCTCGAGGTGGCCTGCACAGTTCTCCTCCTCCCCAGTCTATCCTCACAACAACCCTGTGAAGTAGTTTCAGCCGAGACTGAGCACACAGTGAGCTTTGTGATGGCCAAGAGGGGATTTGAACCCTGCTCTCTCCCAGTCCCAGGTCTGGAAGCCCTAACCCAGGTTTCCCAGACTTAAGTTGCCAACAGTTTTTGAACTACAGCTCCCATCATCCCTGCTGGTCCTGCTAGGTAGGGATGATGGGAGTTGGAGTTCAAAAGCTGCTGGAAACCCAAGTTTGGGAAACCGTGTTCTAACCCAAAACTGCCCAGGCAGATGGTGCCCCGGGGAGGCTCTTAAGTCTGACTGTGGCAGCTTTGAGGGCTCTGCTGTCCCTGAATGTTGTGGACTCAACCAGCCTTTGTGGCCAACAGTGCAGTTTTAAAGCCACAAACTGGGAGGGTGGACGAGATTTGATGCTACAGAACGGCAGAATTCCAAGGGGAATTTCTCTGGGCCAAGGCACGAACCAGTTCGGCTGCCAAGACTTTGCGCCCGTTGAGTTTCAGGAGAGTAAAAGCCAAGCCCTGAGAGGCATGGGGGCCAAATCGAATTCAAAACACTGAAACCACCAAGAGCGCCCCTTGCCTGCATAGAATCGGAGAGTTGGGTCATCTAGCCCACACCTGCAATGCAGGAATTGCAGTTAAAGAATCCCTGACACATGACCATCCAATCTCCACTTTAAAATCCCCAGTGAAGTCCACCACCTTCAAGAACACACTTGATAGTTTTGTGCCAGCCTAAACAGCTGCCAAGTCCCTGGTGCACAAAGCCATGAGGACCAGCAGCTTGTTTTCCTTTTTGAAAGACTTGCAGGATTAGCTCAGCCCCTGGGCTTTGCACGTAGGAGGTCCCAGGGTCAACTCCCGCTGATGTCTCCTCACCAGAGATCCTGGCGAGTTGCTGCCAGTCAGTGTAGGCAGGCTGAGCTAGGCAGGCCAAGGGTTTGAGAGCATCCTCTGCTCCTGCGCCCAGTCCTTGGCCGACCCTTCTCTGCTTCCTCCGCTTGTCCCAGCGGGGCCTCAGAAATGGAAGCACTTCCTTTGTAAAATGGTGGCATGTTAAATCCATTTTCTGCCCTTTGTGGGCCGTGGGGAGTGGCCTTCATTCAGTTACCTGCTCAGCCTTCCTCCTGGGTCAAGGCCTATCAGACGGGCATTGTGGAATACCCAGATATCCCTTGCTGCTTGCTTGGGCATGGGGTGTCAGCAACACTCAGCTTACAAGCCCATCTTATTTGTTTTAGGCAAGGCCTGAATCAATACCACAGGTGTGGTTCTGTTTGTGTTCTACCTTGGCCCTTACACCTAGCCTTGATAAGAAAATGGGTGGTGGCGACGGGGGGGGAAATCACACCCTGAGGCCATAGCTGCTCCTGTGTTGCTCTTTGCAAAGCATCCGCGCTGTCCTCCCTTGGTTTAGCTGGAAAGGGGTGTGTCAGGGTTTGGAAACCTGTCTAGCAACTTCATAAAGGTGCCACTTCCACCCGCCCCTCCCCATTTCAAGGACTTAAGAGCCTTGATGGATCGGGCCAGTGGCCCATCTAGTCCAGCATCCTGTTATCATGGGAAACCTGCAAGCAGGACCCAGGCACTCTCCCGTCCTGTGGTTTCCAGCAACTGGAACGCAGAAGTGTTGCTGCCTCCAACTGTGGAGACAGACCCCAGCCACTGTGGCAAGTAGTCATCGATAGCCTTCTCTTCCTCCATGAATTTGTCTGATCCTCTTTTAAAGCCACCCACGTTGGTGGCCATCAATGCCTCCTGTGGCAGGGAGTTCCATAGTTTAAATACATGCTGCGTGAAGAAGCTCTTCCTTTTATCCATCCCTAATCTTCCAACATTCAGCTGCACTGGATGTCCCCAAGATCTAGTTCTGTTCCAGAAACAGATCTGTGTTTTTCCTTGCCTTCGGAAGGCCTTCCCTATGGAGACCCCCATCTCTTTATCCCTTAGGCACAAGGCAAACACATCTGTTTCCCCAGGGGTTAAAGAACTGCTCACGTAGGCATTCTTAAAATGCAAACCAGCTAACTTCCCCCATCCTATTTAAATATAGTGATTTAATGATTCCATTTTTCTTATATCTAAAATTGTACATTGATCTCTCTCCGGCCCTCTTGAGTTTTGCAAGACGACTCAAAGGAGCAACAGGGCCTGCTCCCAACTTGTGCTAATGGACAAAAAGTAAAGCGAGAAACTTTCACTGGTTTCTGACCTTTCTCACACCCCAGGACAAATCAGGGGGCCCCTCTACCTGGCAGGCACATTCTAGGGGAGCTGGAAGCAGCCAGGGGCAAGGGCCATGCCGTGGGGCGTAGAAAGAGGCTGCCTTGTAAGCCAAACTACTATTTGTAACCCCCTTGAGGAGCACAAAAGGAAATGTTGTCCCCTCCTCCTCCTCCTCCTGGCACTGAGGCCTTCCACAGCCCCTCCCCCCCCCAAGCACAGACCGGACACTGAAGCTACTAGCACACTCGGGTTTTTAATTCGCGTCTTTGAATGTCACGACGTCTCTCCCTGCTGAGTTGTTTCTAACGGTGGCGGGAGCTCTCACCGCTCCTTTGGAGACTACGACGCCCTTCCTTAGGTCCATGGTTTTGGGAACAGTCCCGCCCCCCTCGCCAGCTCTCTGGCCGCATCATTTGAAAATCTTTCCCTGGTTGAAGGCTTTGCCGACGTGCTTGAAATCGCCCTCCCACAGGAAATACTCCTTCACCATCGTCTTGCACTCCTCGCTCTCCGGGTCCAGCTTCCGCCAAGTGTAGGATTCGTAATCTACCTGCCAGTCGGGGCTCAGCTGAAGGAGACACGGAGGGAGCAGAGTCAGGATGGGTGGGGGGGAGGGGGGGAGAGAGAAATAAAGGGGCCGCCTCCCTCCCTGCTTCACCCGTTAACTGTAAGGGCAGCTCAGCCCCGGCTGCTGACGCCCAAAGTGGAAATCACCTTTAAATATTTAAAGGCTGGCACTGAATCTTGTTAAGGCTGCTTCCGCCAACCTGGTGCCCTCCAAGTTGTTTCTGGACTACAACTCCCATCAGCCCCAGCAAGTATAACCCATATGTCAGGGTTGATTGAGTCGCAGTGCAAACTACCAGGGCGGCACCAGGTTGGCAAAAGATATTCTCCATCAGATCTGACCGTTGGGAACAGAAGTCAGTTTGCAATGGTATTCTGCTTTTCTTACGTATAATAAAAATGCTGCAGGGTCATCACGCTGCAGTTTGCAGTTCCACCGGCTTGTGGCCAGGCAAACTACAATGTGGCAAGAGGCGGTGGGTGAGAGGCCCATGTCAGCTGTGGAGGGACAACCACAGTTGGCTGTTGCTAAGGTGTGCATAGCCTCACTTTTTCTTACTTCCAGGTGTTGTTGGACTACAACTCCCAGCAGCCCCCAGCAAGCACAGGTTGGCAAAGGCTGCTGTAAAGTGTTCCTGGCATGGCTGCCCACTTGATCGATCTATCGTGGCTCCTTGCTTGTGGGAGAGCAACATAAATCTAGCCTAGGTGGGCCTGACTAAAGATCCAATGAGGAGCCACCTGTCTGAGCTGCAGTGAGAACGGCTAATGGCAATGTTGCGTTTCCCTGACCCTCCTGCGAGAGAAATAGCTAGGGAAGCCGTCAAGCTCAGATCTCCCAAGAGGTCCGGGTTCCTCACAGGCCTCCCCGAGGCATAAACTCACCGGAAAGGCTAGCTCCTGCCCACGGAAGACCCAGATGCCAGAGATGCAGCTGGCGTTGTTGGTGCCAAAGAGGATGACAGAAGCAAAGGCGTTCTTGCGCAGCTTGTCTAGGCGCTGGAACATGCCTGCCAGGAAAGAAAAGGGGGGACAAAGAGGTCACTTGACTGTCTGGCCCAGCTCAGAGGCCGCCAGCCCAGAAAACAATGGAGGTGGTGGCGACTGGGGTCACGGCAGGCTTACCTGTGATGAGGTTGCAGCTCATGAAGGTCTGAGCGAGCTCCTCGGGGAAGCGATACTCTGCATACCAGATGGACCAACCCTCCTTGTCAAAATGCTCCCAGAAGTGGGGTATTGCCACCGTCAGGGTGTCCTCGTTGGAGTACTTCCTCTTGAACTCGTCCATGACGAAGGAGCTGAAGGGAAGAGGACAGGAAAGGGTCGTAGGGAGCTGCGTTACATCGGGTTGGACCAGGGGCGCATCTGGCTCAGTATTGCCTGCACTGGGTGGCAGCAGCTCTCCAGGGCTTCAGACAAGGGCCTTCCCCAGCAATACCTGGAGATGCAGGCAGGGACTGACCCTGGGGGGTTCTTCTGCACGCAGAGCACATGCTCAGGCACTGAGCCACAGCCCTTCCCCGAAGATGCCACTCATCCTCTGCTGCACAGAGTGAACCTACTCTTGCTAAATTAAAGCGATGCTTTTAAGGCTTACTTCGATACCACAAAAGAAGGGGCCAAATGGAGTTTTAGGGGAGGGAATTCTACCTCTGTGTGTGTGCTGGCAGGGGACATCCAACTGAAAAAGCCCCATCTTTGGTTCTCTGACAACTTGACTTGCTTAACGACAAGCAACAGCAGGGTCTCTAGAGGCAGACCTCCAGGACCAGGCAGGCCAACAGGCCTCCAAACAAACCCCACCCCAAAGCATTGGCGCTTCTGAAATGTTAGCAGCAGCACTCTGAAATGAGCCTGGAGATAAAGGAGCTAACTGATGCAAAATGCAGTTGAAATCTCAATAAGCAGCCTGGTAGAGGAATTAAAAGCACCAGTCTCTAAAGGCAATTGTGCGTAGAGAGAACAGTAGTCAATCCATCATTCTGCACAAGAAGAATAGAGGGAGGGGCACAGGTGAGCAGCTGCTGTAGGAAAGGTGACTGCCCTAAAGTGGGAGACCAGAAGGCATGGCTGCTACCCTTGTTCGATAGACATTGCCATGGCTTTTTCCAGAAAGTCGTCCACTTCTGTGTGTTCATCATGGGTTCGGGGGTGGGGGTCTCTTAGCCAAACAGGCAGAAATTCTGTAGAAGCCCACTGGGTGCTGGGTCCCAAAGATGCTGATCCCAAACAGCAGCCCACCCACATCCAAGTTCACACTCACTGCAGAAGGGAAAAGCCAGCTGAAAATCTAGAAAAACCTGTTTTCGGGGAGAAGGGAGGGATCACGTGGATGAAAAAAACCAAACCAAAACTCAAGTGGTATTATGACCCATCTGCCTTCAGAATGACGAACGCTATTAATTACGCCTGATACAGAACACATGGGGTAGGGGAGGGGGGTTTCCAAAAACAAGTCAGCTACTGTTTAAGAGTATATTGGCTCAGAGGATGGTTTGTGCTGGTAACAGCTGCAGTGTTGCATCAAGGCCAATATTAGCGGTGTGATTCCTCTTGTAGAAACACACCATGCTCTGAATACAGCTCGGCAGGGGAACATGTTTTACATTGGGGGGGGGGGAGAGTTGGCTGTCCCACCCAAGCCAAGACTGGGCAGGCCTCCTCTGCCAGAAGCTTGAGGGTGAACATACATTTGAACATAGAAGGCAGCCTTACACGGTCAAGACCATCTACGTCAGTAGCGTCTACACTGACTGGCAGCAGCTCTCCAGGATTTCAGCCAGGGAGTCTCTCCCGATCCTATCTGGAGGTGCTAGGGATTGAAGCTGGGACCTTCTGCACTCAAGGCAGGTGCTCTGCTTCTGAGCTACGGCCCTCCCCATCTTTCAGGGCCAAGCCAAACCCAGTTTTCTAACCCCAACTTGTTTTGCTCTTTCACACATTAAAGTTTTGACACTTTCGCTTTACACTCTGCTGCCAGAGCTATTCGGTCTCCCAGCCATTCCAAGAGCTGTGGCTGACAGGGGTGTTGCAGCCCCAAACATCTGGAGGGCACCAGGTTGGTGAACCACCCAAGAAGCAAGGCTCCTTGCCGCCGCCCAGTGTTTCTTCCTCCCAAGCAGGGAATGTGGGCTCGGCCTGGCTGGGGCAAAGCACAAAAGGAGCCCTAGCACGTGGCAGGGCATGGGATGTGGGACAGCCAAAGCACAGCTATGGGCTGCCCCCTAGTGGGTGAACCAGGGGAGGGCGCCCATGTGATTTTTAACAACTGTGCAAGTTAAGCTTGTAATTTTAGGGGGCAGGCTATTTTCTTACAGCCGCTGTTAAGCCACTATTAAGCAACTGGGATTCAGAAACACTTGCTGTAGGGCGATTTACTTTCTGCCCACGTCTGGACTCCTAAGTGTCTAACAAGGGCAGCTAGGGAAACAAGGGAAGTTTGGGGAGTGGGGAGGCCAGGAGAGGATTCTGCCCTGGGCTGATCCTGTGCAAAGTTCTGAGCATATGCTTGCCCTCCAGTTCCACTGGATTTGCACCTGAAATGCAGCAGGCATATATACATATAGTGCAGCGGTGAGCCCATTTCAGTAATTTTTCTCCCTGAATGAGCAGATCTCCTAAGTTGTCTTTCATTTACTGCTTTTGGACAGAACTTGAGCTGCTGTGCTTGGCCAAGCCCCACATACAAAGGAGAGAAGCAAGTCCGTTTGCCAAGCCCTACAATACGTTGCCCTTCTTCACAAGGTCCACTGTGTGGACCACCTGAAAATACTGCTGGCCAGGATCCTTCCCACAGAACCATCTACTATTAACTCAAGAGCCTGCTGCAGCTGAACAATCCTTTCCCAAGGCCAACAACTGTCCTGTGCATTATAAGGTACGTGGTTCGCACCCACAGCCTTTGAAACAGAAGGGAAGCATGCAGCAAGCTACACACTCCCCTTTGGCTTGGAAAGCCATCCCTGCAGAGTTTTTTTTGGGGGGGTCTTTGCCTGCACACTGCTCTCCCCCTGCCAGAGTTCTGGGGGACGGCTTGCATGCCTAGAACTGGGCCCTCACCACCTGGGAGGCAGCAGGGGGTCATTCAGGAAAGGGCACCTCAACCTTCCCTATCCCATCTCACTCCAAGCAAGCTGCACACAGAGAGCCTGTAAGGGCTGCACACCCTGGGATGCTGCCCGGCACTCCCTGCAAGTAATTGAGGGAGAGGTGGATTCTGAACAGAAGGCCTATGCCAATGGCAGCCAGCCCTGAATGTCTTCTGACACCACCCATAAAACAAGGGTCAGTCACCGGACTTAGGAACAGTCCAGGAACAAAAGCTTGGCTAGAACACAGCTTTTTTTTTTTTTTTTTAAAGGAAAACTTCTAGACCTTATTTCAGAGGCAGAACCACTTGAACAATGCACGGGGAAATTTGAGGAGCCTCCAAAATGGCAGAATAAAACATCAAGTGGTTGGGAGAAGGGAGACCTGGTGCCTTACACAACTCTGGGACTTCCCCATTATCACAAGCTGGGATTTTCTGGGGGAGGGGGGTTTAGGGTGGAAGGGACTCAGAACTGATTTGCTAAGTGGCCTCCAAGCTTGTACAACGCACGCCCCCCAATTCTCTGGCACTAGGGCTGAGCGATCTATCAATATAGCATGCAAAAATGGTTTGAAATACACATCATGAGAACGGTTTCCTAATATTTCAGCTGGCAAAATATCACAAATCACAATGTGTGTAACGGCTAGGCGATATCTGGCTTTCAACATCAGGACAACTCACCAGCTAAACATTGCAATGTTATCACAAGCTAACCCTCTCAATATCACCTGCTAAACATTGCAATAGGAGTCTAAAACAGATAAATGACAATATTATCAATCATTACACACTCAGTTTCATCAATAGTCAAGCCCCAAAGTAGTAGCAGTTGCCAGGACACTGTCCTGTTCGCCTCTGCATGGTTCCTTCCTTGTTTCAGATATTGTGATATATCAATATATAACAATGTTTAGCTGGTGATATATCGCAATACTGAAAACCAGTTATCGGCCAGTCCTATCTGGCACATGGACTTTTTCTAGTTATCCAGAAACAGAGGATTGTCCCAAGGCTTTCCCAATCCATCACTGCCACCCCGAGCAGAGCCTCACCTTTTGGGGAGGTGAGCAAAGGGGTCTTTGGATTTGGGCTCGGAGGCCAAGGCCTCATCGCACTCGTCCATCTCCTCCTCGGGCTCGGGCTTCTTCTCCTCTTTCTTCTCCGACTTCTTGTCCTCCTTGGGCTGCTTCTCCTTCTTGGGCACCTCCTTCTTGGGCTGGTTCTCGGCAAACTTCTTGGCTGCACAGAGAGGGAATAAGGAGGAAAATGGTGTGTGGGGCGGGGGCAATGTCACATGTTGACCCCAGCCAATCATCTGGGAGTATGGGAAATGCAGTCCCAACATTTGGAGAGCCACAGGTTGGCCACACCCACGCCAAGCTACTTACTTCAAGAAGGGACTACTGCATTGCGCTCAGTGTGGGGCTTCCCGCACACTTGATATGGAAAAGCTGCAGCTGGAATGCATGATTGCTGACAGGGGTGAGACCCTGTCTGCATGCACCTGGGCTCAAGGGACCTGCACTCATTGCCAGTATGCTACTGGGCCAAGGTGTTACTATTAGTATATGAAGCCCTGAACAACTTGGGACCGGTTTACCTGCGAGAGCACCTTACCCATATATGCCCACTCAGCCACCTGGATCTGCAAAACTGACACTGTTACGGGGGACACATAATGCCCATTTTGCACCCACAATTGGGAACTCCCTGCCTATTAACATCAGTCAGGCTTCTTTGAACTTTTTTCGGAAAGCAGCTAAATGCAGTCGTACCTTGGAAGTCTTGGCTCCCGAACAAATCAGCTCCCAAACGATCAAAACCTGGAAGTGAGTGTTCTGGTTTCTGAACGTTCTTCAAACCCTTCCCCTGTCTGATGGGCTGCAGGTCTGGTTTCCAAACGTTTTGGAAGCTGGACTTCCTGAATGGATTCCGTTCGACTTCCAAGGTACGACTGTACCTTTTTGCTTAGGCAAACCTGCCTAGATACTTAGGTATCTGGAGTTTCACACTTACTGAAGATTTTAATTTTCAAGTGCTTTAAATAGCTGTTTCTAACTGTTTCTACTGATAATTTTATTGCTTTATTATTTTCGTGAACTGCTCTTTGGGGGGGGGTTTCCTTAGCCATCAAGTGTTATAAAATTTTTAGGAAATAAATAAATAAAAATAAGCCAGCACATTGGTACGTACAAATGGCAACTCTGTTGTTAATTCCAAGCAATTTCTTTGGGTAGGCCGGTCATAAATTTGTGGCTGCCAAGCCAAACGGCACCAAGTTTTTCAAAAGCACCTTCTAGTTTTCTACTCTGCTCAAGACTTATTTTAATCTATTTCAGCAAGCAGATTTCATTAATTCCTAAGGCCGCAGAGGTGCCAAGTCAGCAGATCTGAAAAAGCATAAGGATGGAAGGTGGATTAATGGTTTAAGAAGCCAAGCTGGGTTGATTTGTCTAAGATCAGGTAGCTGAATCTGCAGATAACACTGGTGAGATTTTTAAGAACAGTCACTTGTGATTAAGCATATGTTGCTGCCAGCAGAGAAACACAGTAAGGCAGACCATGCCCCTTCCTTGGGAGCAGAGTAAAGAGGGTCTTAGTTTCTGAACCACCCCACTTTCCAGAAGGAGGACAGATGGTATAGGGGAGAGATGTCATCTTTCTGCACCTGTGTCTCATTTCTATAGCACAAGGAACAGAACCAGAGAGGGCGAGGATTGCCCAATACAGGGCACCAGTTCTCACAGAGCACATTTCTTTAAATTTATAAATCACCACTTTTTAGCAAGGACAATTCACAAACTATTTAAAGGCATTTTTAAAAACAAAATATGAATTTAAGTAGAGGCCTCTAGTTCCCTTACCATCAAACTGTGCCATCTTCTCGCACAGCTTCACCTCTCCCAAGACAGCCTTGAACTGAGGCTGGTTTATGCAGGTCACAAACCAGCGGTTGACGTTTTCGTACGGCTGGCGGAAGGACGGCTCCAAAACCTGAAGACAGCAAGGGGAACCAGATTGAGTGGCACATGCTCATCTCCCCCGCCATTTGGTCTGGGCTAGGCAGGTTGCATAAGACCGTGACTTCTGGATTAAACACGAATGGTCTGCAGCTTGTGTGAATAAACCGTAGGCTTCACATGACAACAAGGAGGATCAGACATCACCCAGCCCAACCCTGTGTTCAATGAAAGATGCAACTACAAGCAGCGGTTCTCAACCTGTGGGTCCCCAGATGTTGTTGGACTACAACTCCCATCATCCCTGAGCTCTGGCCCTGCTAGCTAGGGGTGATGGGAGTTGTAGTCCAACAACATCTGGGGACTCACAGGTTGAGAAAGGCTGAACTACAGCATCCCTTACTTGTGGCCTCAGCCTTAGCTTAAACACCTCCAACAGAGAGCCCCCCTGAGGCAGACTCTGTCCCACTGCTGTAGCTTTCCCCAACCTGCAGGTGACATCTGCTGCCCTGCCGTTTCCACCAACCTGTTCCAGTTCTGCCCTCTGGAGCAACAGAGAGACAGTTCTTCAGCTAAATGGAGATGGCTACCATCTCTCCCCTTCATTTCCATCAGTTTAAAGAAGGTTAAAAGCTTTCACTTTTAAACCAGGGTGGATAAAAATCAATGTTTTTTAAATTAAAAAAAATCAGATTGTTAAAATTTAAATTGGATTTTTAAAATAAAATGCTTTTGGAGGAAAAATCTTTCTAAAGATAGCTTTCTATTTAAGTTACATTATAGTCCAAAGGCTATTCATCAGGAAATAAGGATTTGTTTTAAGTTTTTCATGTGTGCTAAAACTCAGTCTAAGTTTTTTAAAAATTGTTTAACCACATCAGTTAACAAACATGGATACATATGCTATAATGTTATTGTTTTAGTTAAATAAATTATTTAAATTGTTATTAAGGAAATGATTTGTTTTCTCCTTCCAATAAAGTACAGCAGAAAAGTTGCTGAAATATAAACAGTTAACTTATTAAACCGCACAATAATTTCATAATTATCTATCTATGTATTTCTAATAGTATAACCAAATCAGTAATTTTTGATATAACTGTAAAACTACTCTGAAAATTTATTTTTCCAAAAATGAAACCTTCATCTGGTTGTAAATATTAAGATTATACCAGCAAGAATGAGTCTTTCTGTTTTTTAAAAAATTGTATCAAGTCTTACTGACTAGTGATTTAAATCAAATCCACTCTGTTTTATACTAACCAGTTGCCCACTGCAGCCAACCTTGGGGAATTTGGTAGTCTGAGCCATGGTTTGGTTCAAATCAATCATGGTCAAACCACTGGTTGTGATCCCAACTTGTTTGAACAAACCATTGTTTTGGATAAAACAGGAACTTCTTGACAGTTTAAATGTGGAAGTAAAAGCCCTCCCCTCATGGCCATGCCAGAGAAAAGGGATGGTGGCAGAGAACTTGAGCCTTCCCACACCTAACAGAAGTAGGATTATGAAGGGAGATGTTTTACATATTGCATAAGGCTCTTCAAGTAACTCTTGAGCATAATCTGGGTTTTTCTTCTCTTGACATTTGAGTTCTATCACAGCAGACCCAACAGCCTGCTCCTTCCATGTTTTTCTACACTCTTTTCTATCCAAACTGCTCTTAACAGCCTCGTTTAAAGAACGCAACCTGCCAAACGGTGAGGATAGGACACTTCACCCCCGCAATCAGGTCTCGACCCGCCTCAGCTCTGCACTGCTTCTTCCGTGGTTACCCCTGGTTCAGAAGAGGTGCTGTTTCCAACCCTGCCGCCAGAGGACTCCTTGCCCTGGGCAACCCAGAGGGCAGAACTGCTAATCCGGCCCTCACAAGCTTCAATTACTCTCCAGAGTTGCAACTGGCCAGAGATGTGGAATCTTGCTGCCCCTCCCCAATACCTACTAGGAGCAAATAGCACAGGATATATGTTTACCACCATGCCCAGATGCTTCTGTCCCGTGCTCCTCGGCCAGCTCTCAGAAACTCACCTGCTTATAAAGCCAGAGAAGTGTGCAGACAATCGTGATGTCAGCCAGTGTGATACATTCCCCCACCAGGAACGTCCTGGTCTTCAAATGGGCATCGAGGAGGGCCAGAATCCGCTTCACTTCCTCCTTGGCATACTCTGTAGCCTGGAGAGAGAGGGGGATGCACAATTTAGAAAGAAATCCTGAAGGGACAGCAGAATCTGCTGCAGCCAAAACAACCCTGAATAAAAGATTGAGTTAGTGCACTCAGAAGACAACAAAAAGGATAAAAACCCTAGGAAAATAGACAGCCATCCCAGCTATACAAAAATCCACTGCAAAGTGCATTTAACATGAACCAATTAAATATGCAACTCTGAAATAAGATGGGGAGTGCATCTTCTATTTTTAAGTGCCTGTCCTGTCCCTCCAGCTCTAAACGGACAAAGAACACCTGCCTAGTGTTTACGGACATGCGTAGCACATGTAAGACCCCTGAGTTCAATCCACAGCACCTCCAGTTTAAAAGACCTCTCAAGCAGAGGAGTCTAGCTTGCTAGTATGCACGACAGCTAAATGGGGCCTCTGGATTCAGGGGCAGTTTACCACCACTGAGTACCAGTTGTCAAGGGGAGGAGAAATAGCAGCAGGCTACTTGTGGGATTCAAAGAAGCCATCTGGCCTGCAGAACGTGTTGTGGCTCGATCAGGGCTAGCTAGAGAAATGGGTATGTCAACAGGGCCTGTTGAGACACAGCCAACCTTCTGTGGCCCATGTCAATGGGTAGGTGGGGCATGCTGCCTGCCAATCACATGACAGTGCAAACTGGGGTTGCAAAGGAAGAATCGAGGGCGCAGTCTAAGTTGGCTCTGCCGTAAGAATTCAGCATTTTTTCTCCCCAATGTAGTACTTCTTCTTGTCACATCTGACACTTCCTTTGCAGCTGTGGCTTGAACTTTTTTGTTGCCTGACATAATATGACACCTGGCACAGGAAAGGTAGGGGTGGTCCAGGAGAACTACCCTTATAGCTGGGAAATAACTGGCCAGAAACCTCACAGAACTAGAGCAAGGGGAACCTGCAGGGGCCCTTGAGGTGCTGCTGGGATGCCAGTTTCCAGAAGCCCCAGCAGCCAGGGATGATGGGAGTTATTGTCCAGCAAAACCTGCAGGACCAGAGCCTTCCCAACGCTGCACCAGGTGAACCAATGGCCTGACTGTGCAAAGGCAGCTTCACCTACGTCCAGCACTCACCTGTTTGTTGTAATGCATGATGCCCAGCGTGGGGAAGACCCACGTGCTGGCAGGAGGGACAATGTCGCTGTCCGCAAAGCTCACCCACTGGATGACCTGGGCAGCTGCCTCCTTGGTGGGTCCTCGCAGCTCCTCGTTACTGACTGGAGGAGGAAAGCAACTGTTACTGCATGGGCAAAGACCCATCTCCCCACCCCACAGCTACCTCTATCTTATCCATCAGACTCTTGTTCTGCCTTTCTGTGCATTTCCCCCAAGGCAAAGATTAAAACCACAAATTGTGATAAAAAACAAACAAACTATAATAGCCAGGATAAAGTAAATCAGAAACAAAACAACCAGAGGAGTTTTAAACTCAGCTTCCGAAAGTCAAACAAAAGATGTTGACCTGCCTGCAAAAGGATGACCTGGGGGAAGGAGGGTCATAAGGGCCTCACAAGGACAGCCTCTAGGCTGCTGTGTTCAGAATCTCATCTGTAGTTCTTAAGAAAGCAGGTGAGGCATTTGGAAGAGTGAGCAAGTGCAAAACTCAGGACAGCGAGGTAAGGTGGCATAACAAGAACTGGCAGTTGCCCCAGGCCACCCACAGTTCCCTTGCACCTGCCGCTAGCAGTCAACCAACCTCAAACCTTCTGCCTTGCACAGGAGCCCCCAACTAAGGAATTCTTGGTTCAATGCCCACAAACCCTGCTCCCACTTTCTGTTAAGTTATCAGAAGCAGACAGAGGTGACTGAGGTTACCGTAGTGTGCAATGGCATTGCTCTCAAACACGCAGAATCCATCGTCCCCTTCAAAGGCTGGAACCTATGGAAGAAAAACAGCCTCTCTCAAGCCATGCAAAGGTCCCATTTGAAGCACCCACAACGCTGGGAAGCCAGCTAGTGCCCCCCTGCCAAGACCAATTCAACCCCACTCTTGGATGCTTGCAAAATACACATAAAATTATAGCTTGAAATTTGACATCACTACTGCATGTAGAAATCAATGCACAGCACTCCAAAAGCACTCCAATACCAAATCCGGATTGTACAAATGGCCCCGTTTGTAACCAGAAGTCAAGAGGTGGGGCTACCTTGCTGCAGGTGCGAGGCTGAATACTTCCCTGTTACAAAAACACAACTCCTTGCATATAAGAAAACAAGCATGTTTGGGAGAGTTCAGCCCAACCTTTTCAACACGCAGTTTCTCCCAGCCCTGCGAGACTTTCAGGACTGTGACTCCTCACCCAGAACAGAGTGGCAGCTCTTGAGGATTGTGCCAAACCAACATTTGGGTGTAACAATATTCTCTACATGACTATATAATCACTGTAGTAAATGTATTTACTATATAGGCCCAAATATAAGCCGTACCCGAATATAAGCCACACCTTTAAAATTTGGCGGCTTGGAGGAGGCGGACGGGCGCCATTGTCCTGCACTCCCAACGGCCATCATGGGCAGCTGTTTCAGCAGCGATATTGTATGGTCACGAATATAAGCTGCACTTTAACTTTTCAGTCAGAATTTGGAAAAAAAGGTGTTGCTTATATTCAGGCCAATACAGTATATAAATACTACACTTGCCGAGTTGTCATATGTAAGGAGGAATTCCCTGCAGACCAAGTGCCCACAGGACACAGTGTGTTTCTCAGGCTCACAGTAATTTGTAGAAACTTTTGCCAACTTATTTACAGAATATACATTTTAAGAACATAACGAAGAGCTTGTTGAGTCCATCTGGCCCAGCATCCTGTTCTTCTAATGGCCAACCAGATGCCTCTTACGGGAAGCCCTCAAGCAGTTCCTGAGCACAAGAGCCCTCTCCCCTCCTGTGGTTTCCTGCACCTGGCATTCAGAAGCATTGCTGTCTCTGACTGTGGAGGCAGTTTTGATGTAGGGATGCTGATGTTTTTACCAGGCATATCTAGAAAACCTTTGCCACTATGCACAGTCACCTCCTGGCAAACTGGGAACAAGCCAAGGTGACCCAGCAGACTCATAGGCAGCTCCCCTTTCACCAACTCTCAGCAAGGAGAGGCAGCTGGAAGACATCAGCTCAAGTGGGGCCAGTCACTCACCTTCCCAGCTGGGAATTTCTTCAGGAACTCCGGGGTCTTGTTGGTCTGGCCAAAGTGGAACTGTGGTGGGGTGGAGAGGACCTTGATCTTGGCGCCACTGTACTGGGCAGCTATGAGGGCTTTGAACGCCCTCCAGTTCTCGGGGTAGGTGTAAAGAGTCTGCAAAGAAAGGATCAGTGTAAGACACAATGCAGAACAGAGCTTTGATATGCAAGAGAAGATTCCTAGCTTCTGCTCTCTGGAAACGCCCCCCCAAATATATTTTCAAGTGGTGCTATTTTAGAACCAGAGATTTAATGGCTTACAGTTGACCGTACGAGATCTTACGGTTGTAGTATCCTACACTGCCATCATACCTCATCATTTCCTGCCTTGAGTCACTGCAACTCTGACACTGCAGTACTGTAGGAAATCCTGAGCTTACCACACCCGCAGCATAATGCTATCTCATCACTATGAACTAGAAACCTCAGCAGCCTTCTATTCTTGTATGCACCCTCCCCACTGCCCATATAAACTACTTCCTAGACACTCACTCCACCACAGAGCCACACCCACCAATGAGCAGCCTCCAGGGTCTCCAAAAGGTTGCACTGCAGCCTGCTTTTCCATCAGCCTAGTCTCCCCCTCACAAAAACCCACTCCAACTATACAGGAAGCAGCCTTATAAACTCAAGTTACTGCTCTATCTAACTCTGCTACACTGACTGGCAGCTAATCACCAGGATCTCATCCAGGGGTCTTTCCCAGCCAAACCTGCAGGTGCTGAGGATTGAACCTGCAACCTTTTGTATGCGAAGATGAACTACCCCTGAACTACGCCCCTTAACTCAGCGCCAAGCAGGCTACCCACCTTCTCCTGTATCCCACTCTGCACTCAAGACTTCTGCCCCACAAGCCCCCACTCCCATTTCACAAGCCATTTCCCACCGCTCCCCAGGAGTGCAACAAGACACCAGGCCCACCTCTCCTGTGAAACACCTATTCAAGGCCTCAGACCAGATATAGATTTAATCCAGCTTTCTTTTCCCACCACCAGACAGCCAGAAGCAACAGTCTCCCTTCTTCAGCATAGACTGCTGCTAAACATGGAGGTTTCACTGCCTCACCATGGCTAAGAATCCCTGAGCTATTACTCTTTAGGTTGTCTAAAGAGTCGCACTAGTTTACATTTCTCAGCAGCAGCCAGGGATGACCCCAGGAAACGCCAGAAAACCAACAGTCCCCATCCTACTTGTTCGCTCTCCAAATCGCCTGCTATTTTGTAGTAGACTGCCCCTGCACACAGAGGATCAATGGCAGGCAGAACACGCCCCCACCATGATTCCAGCACACATGGAGTCCCTTTATTACTTCTGCACCCCATAAATAAGAAACAGCATGGAAACATTACCAATGCCTTTACAAACACACCAGGGGCATTAATTTATGGGGAAGGGCCGCAGCTTGGTGTAAGAGAATCTGCCTTGCATGCAGATCAATCCCAGCATCTCCAGTTAGGGCTGGGAGAGACCAGACTGATACGCTGGAGAGCCAGTCAGTGTAAGCAATACTGAGCTAGATAGACCAATGGCCTCCCCACGGCGAGGTTCATAAATCCCCCATATGACTCCCTGGCACAGTCTAGCCACCCCAATGAAGCAGCCTGAACCGAATGACATTAGAATTGGGGAGGGGAGGAAAGAAAGTATCCCTGACACTCCCACCTCGGCCCTTCCTGCCCCTCTCCTCCTACCCCAACCGCCTCTCCCCAGCAATATCCCCCCCAAAACAACTGGCTAGGGTCATTTTTTCTAAGTGCCCCACTCCGAGCGCCCAAATGCTGCCCCCAAAATCGGATGCAAACGGATTGCGAGGGGCCCCCAGGTGTAAACGCAAGCTCACCCCGGCCGCCGCCATCTTAGCGAGGAAAGGAAAAGGAGGAGCTTCGCGCGAGGCGGCCGTAAAGCGAGTCGGAACGCGGCCTATCCAGCGAGCGCGACGACAAGGCCCCGCACGCCCCGCCCCCTCTCTCTTATAGTGCGTCACTGGAGAGGGGCGGAGCCTCCTGGTAACAATGCTGGAAGGTATGGACGGCGCCACGTGGGAGGGGGCGGCGACAGCTAGAGCACTGAGATAAGAAAAGTAGAAGATGCTTCACTGGCTGGATAGGTTATTTCCTGGTTCCCATTCTTGAAAGTGAGAGTTGCCTTATCGAAATTCATGTGGGGAAATCCAATACTGTATGTTGACGTGGTTGTGATTTAGTAATTGAGCATATCTACACTCAAACGGACGGTATAATCAGTGTTTTTTTCTGGGGGGACGCAGGGGTATTGTTGTTGTTTAGTCGTTTAGTCGTGTCCGACTCTTCGTGACCCCATGGACCAGAGCATGCCAGGCACTCCTGTCTTCCACTGCCTCCCGCAGTTTGGTCAAACTCATGCTGGTAGCTTCGAGAACACTGTCCAACCATCTCGTCCTCTTCTCCTTGTGCCCTCCATCTTTCCCAGCATCAGGGTCTTTTCCAGGGAGTCTTCTCTTCTCATGAGGTGGCCAAAATATTGGAGCCTCAGCTTCAGGATCTGTCCTTCCAGTGAGCACTCAGGGCTGATTTCCTTAAGAATGGAGAGGTTTGATCTTGCAGTCCATGGGACTCTCAAGAGTCTCCTCCAGCACCATAATTCAAAAGCATCAATTCTTTGGCGATCAGCCTTCTTTATGGTCCAGTTCTCACTTCCGTACATCGCTACTGGGAAAACCAAATCTTTAACTATACGGACCTTTGTTGACAAGGTGATGTCTCTGCTTTTTAAGATGTTGTCTAGGTTTTTTATTGTTTTTCTCTCCTCTTGGTAATTGGTAGCAATAACTGAGATAAACGGTGCAATAAGGAAATGAAGAATTTAAAATATATGGAAGTCGATGGAACCTCAAGAAGATGATGACAAAATGTAACAAACCTGTATAATTTTGTGTTATCTAGAAATAATTTTTAGGGACGCGGGTGGCGCTGTGGTCTAAACCACTGAGCCTAGGGCTTGCCGATCAGAAGGTCAGCGGTTTGAATCCCCGCAATGGGGTGAGCTCCTGCCAACCTAGCAGTTCAAAAGCACCCCAAAAAGTGCAAGTAGATAAATAGTTACCACTCCGACGGGAAGGTAAACAGCATTTCCGTGCGCTGCTCTGGTTTTGCCAGAAGCGGCTTACTCATGCTGGCCACATGTCCCGGAAAAACTGTCTGTGGACAAACATCAGCTCCCTCGGCCAGGAAAGCAAGATGAGCACCGCAACCCCAGAGTTGTTTGTGACTGGCCTTAACTGTCAGGGGTCCTTTACCTTTTTTTAAAGAAATAATTTTATTTTGGATTCAATGTTACTTTGTGTTAAGTTCAATAAAGCAGGAGAGGGGAGAGAGTCATTTAAAACCTTTTAAAAGCTGAGCTGCCCTACACTACAGCTGACAATCTTTGCTGCTTACTTGTGGGCAAACCGGAACAACAATAGCATGGGTAGGCAAACTAAGGCCCGAGCGCCGGATCTGGCCCAATCACCTTCTAAATCCAGCCTGCGGACGGTCCGGGAATCAGCATGTTTTTACATGAGCAGAATGTGTGCTTTTCTTTAAAATGCATCTCTGGGTTATTTGTGGGGCATAGGAATTCATTCATTTTTTCCCCTTCAAAATATACTCTGCCCCCCCCCCCAAGGTCTGAGGGACAGAGGACCAGCCCCTTGCTGAAAAAGTTTGCTGACCCCTGGACTATAGTGTCTAGGCTAGGATTAGTCCAGTTTTAGAGCCACAGAGCTCTGCTTAAGTTTGAATTCTGTTTTTACCCACCTGCTTTTTCTCTACCTCTTTCTTTAAAAAAAATAAAGTTTATTAATTTGGCATGTGCGTGATTGCCAGCCTCAGGGTTTTAGAATCCTCATGTGCTTAGAGGCTTTGAGTTCATGCTTCTGGAAGTTAGGATCAGGATTTTTAGAGACCTGCAAGGTCTCTCGAGGTGTGGATGATAATCGGGGAGCGCAGGCTGCCTTTGCACTCTTGAGTAAATAACTGGGAAACACAGGAAGTGTTGGTCTTAGAGTTCCTGGGTTTTAGGAAGTTTAGTGTAGGTTTGCCAGGGAACAATTCTTTATAACCCAGCTGTTCAAAGGGCGCTCTGGCTCGGAGAAAATACCCTATCGCCCCATCATCAAACAGGGATAAAGACCTAGCAGAGCACTGGCCAAAGTGTCAGGAGGCAGCTCAGGAGGAATGGAATTCTCAACAGGGGCTTGGCTCTGTCCTTGAGGCCACACAGCCACCAGTTTCATTCTTCCTCTGGTGCTGAGGAGGCATGGCTGGGTGTGGAGTGCGCTGGCAGTACATTCTTGGGGCTGCGCTCTCCGGAGCCCTGCTGCTTACCGCTGGGATCTTGTTAGGGCACTATGCGATCTACAAAGAACCCCAAACCCCGGAGTGGCTTCACAGCCTGTCTAGAGACCTGGACCCAGCTCTGCTCGAAGACTTCATGAACCAGGTGGAAGCCGCACGCATTGGACAGAACCTCAAGTAAGGCTGGCGGAGGAAGAGGCAATGTTTTAAAGTTCTCTCTTTGTTCTGGGAGACATGGGATTTCTTCTCAGGTCAAAGAGTCTAATGGAATGCCTGTACCTATGCATTCTCTCTAAAGATAGATAGATGATAGATAGATAGATAGATAGATGTATTATGGCTTCTGTGGATTAGAGTCCACTTCACCATCTGAGGGGTGAAGTGTGCCAGGGTGCCAGTCTTAAATGGGGCATTCTGGGATCCAAACAGAAAGATGTCCTACTTAAAACAGGACAGTTGCAGGGTATGGAATGGGAGCTAAAACAAATTAAGCTGAGGTGTGTACATGCTCACATAGCACATGGTTATAATCAGCTACTGAATAGGAGTTCAGAGGGCTTGCAAACATAGGGGAACATAGGGGAACATCAGGTGAAGGCATCCCCACATATGTCTGGATTTTCCCAGACATTACCAGGATTTCAAAGGCAGAAATGACGTCCAGGGGTAATTTCTAAAATGTGGCGCTTTGTCCTGGATCTTAGGCAAGTCAATTGAAAAATCACAGTTGTTGTTTTTTTTGCGCTTTTGTGAAAAAAGCTCAACGATTTTGGGGGTTTCCTAAATAAAGCTCAACCATTTTGCTGGTTTCCTTTAGAAAAGCTCAAAAATTTGGAGGTCTTCCTAAAAAAAACACTCAACAACTTTCAGGGTGTCCTGGTTTTTACTTTTTGAAATATGGGAGCCCTATCTAGGGTGTGTGCAGCAAGGGCAACTTGAAATATAGTAGGGGAAATGACCTTACTGTGTCACTTCAAACTGCTAATGTGTACATTCCCTGCCCTGATTGGCTCGCTGGAGGAGTCTTAGACCCCTTGGCAAACTACAGTTCCCAGGATTCTTTGGGGGAAATGAAATGCTTTCAAGGTGCTTCAAATGCACTTTGTGTAGATGGAGCTGGCAGCTGTATTGTGTGACGTGAGTGAGCATAGAATCAAAAAATTGAGGAGCTGGAAGACTCATCTAGTCCAACCCCCTTAAATGCAGGAATCACAGCTGAAGAATCCCTGACATATGGCCAATGATGCACGATCAGGAATAAAATAAGGAGAAACGTCTTGTTTCAAAAGCTGTGGGGGAAGGAAGCTGTGGTTTTGGGAAGGACAAATTACAGTGGTACCTCGGGTTAAGTACTTAATTCGTTCCTGAGGTCCATTCTTAACCTGAAACTGTTCTTAACCTGAAGCACCACTTTAGCTAATGGGGCCTCCCGCTGCTGCCGCCGCGCCGCTGGAACACGATTTCTGTTCTTATCCTGAAGCAATGTTCTTAACCTGAAGCACTATTGCTGGGTTAGCAGAGTCTGTAACCTGAAGCATATGTAACCTGAAGCGTATGTAACCCGAGGTACCACTGTATATGCCAGATTCCAAAATTTGCCCAAACTCCAAAGACCTACCCCACAGCCAAGTCTGTCCCCCATTACTCCCTCTTGCATTAGGGATCTGTCTTCCAAGCCCCACATGGCTACCACGAAGGGGGACGAAGAACTGGTGCAGCTGATTCTGAAAGCCTGGCGAGACCCCCAAACTGGCCTGGACAGCGCCACGGAGGGCCAGTACGAGGTGTTCCTCTCCTTCCCTGACCCAGAGAAACCTAACTCTGTGGCTGTGGGTGAGTGCTAGGTAACGGGGTGTCATGCGAAATTTGTGTTAGGCCCATTATCAGCGAGGCCCACGCCACGTACGCAAGAATGCAACCTGACCACCAAACTGGTAAGAACTGGTCAGAGAGGAACCAAACTGCTCACTGTCAAAGTGAACAGCAACTCCAGTTAAGGTACAAGGAGGGTTCTAATTTGTGCAGTTAAAAAAATGGGTTGGGTAAATGTTTTCAAGGGTTGTGGTTGGATGAGAGATGGTGGCAGGAGGCAGTCGGGAAGAAAACAACCAGCTAAGATGATGTATATTTCCTGTATAGTGTGTGGCCTAATGGGAATGCTCTCTTGGACTAAGCAGGGTGTCAGGCTTCGGGAAATCAGCTCCCTCCCCCGTGGCATTTAATAAGCAGATCAAATGAAAGGAAATTCTTACCAGTTAGTTTTTTTAATAAACATGTCGAGAAACAACAGAAAGTGTCTCCCTAGAATGGCCGTGCTCCCAATTAAGGCTTCCCCTCTCCTCCGTCCCTATTAATCTGCGGCACTCCTATGTTTTGTAATCTGAGCTTGCACTTTCTGTTCTAACACTCTCTGAGCTCCCCATGTCTTTGGGGATGGGAGTGGGGGGAGGTGGATGCTGTCCAGAGACTGTGAATCTGTTAACCCTCTCTTCCAGTGTTTCTTCACCTAGCTGTTCCCCATCCAGTATTTCCCAGCTTCTGCCTTCTGAACTATGCCCTTCTGCAAACCACTGTTCCAAATCTATACTGTCCTCCTGCTCCTGGGAAGATTCAGGGTCAGGGGGAGGGGGCGGCTCCCACCATCTCTCCTCAGTGCAGTTCTCCTCAGCACGGTCCCTGACACAGGGTAAAAACCAAAGCCAGCCCATGAGTTTTCAGAGCTTATGTTTGGAATTGGGGAATGAAGACAAATTTGTGGGCCATAACCTGGACACCAGGAAAAGATGTGGGAATGAGTGAAGGTTGAGAGCGGAAACCACTGAAGGGAGAAGGTAGGGACACCTGCTACGGATGCTCTGATTAGACCCTCTTCTTCTTCATACCAGTGATGGAAAATGGCAGCCAAGCCTTTATCTCCCAGGAGACAGAGAAGAATCTGACTGCAGACCAGGCCGACAGAGACGTTGTGAAGCCTTATGCAGCTTACGCACCTCCAGGGAACCCCAAGGTGCAAAGCGAGGGCGTGGCCTTTTATCCTCCCTTATCTCTGATATCTTTATCTTATCTTCTGCTTGGAGTTTGCCCTCTTGATGGGCCAATCAAAGACACCACATGATCCTCAGGGGGCCTTGCCCTCCTAGGTGCGTTTTGTCTCGAACAGAAAGAGGCTTCACACAGACTATATACCTTTGGAGCACATTCAAAGTACATTTCCCACCTCAAAGAATTCTGGGCCTTGTAGTTTGTTCAGGGTTGTTGGGAATTATGACTATGCGAGGGGGAAACTACAGCGCCCAGAATTCTTTGAGGGAAAGGACGTGCTTGGAATGTGCTTTATGGTGCCAGAGGGAGATCCCAAATCTTCAGCCACCCTTTAAATGTCTGTGATGACAGTTCTGTCTCTTTGTGTAGCGGCGTCAAAGGATGATTTCAAGGTGTAAACCCCTCATATCTCATATCCTCTCCTTTCCAGAGATGGAAAGTGTGGGAAAGTGTGAGTTGGCAGCTAAGATTTCCACCTTTTTCAGTGTGTGAAATGTGTGTGACGCTGCCCAGACAATCTGGAGTAGCAGACATTGGAAGTCTGATTCAGGTCCGTCTAGGGATGGGTGGTTTGAGAGGGTGTGGGGCATTGCCTTGTCTGAGCAAGCAGGGATTTGAAGAAGAATTACAAAATGAGACCATTGTGGTGTTGTATGGTCTCCATTTATGTGCTTCATTTAAAAAAAAAAAACTTGCAGCATAGGCTCCCAACAGCACAGGCCTCTATGTGGTGAGGTCACCTTATTGCTGCTGCTGCTGATTTACCTGCCCTTCACACTAAGATCCCAGGGCAGGTGACATCAACTTAAAAAATAGTATTAAAAACAATTTAAAACAACTTACAATCACAGAAGCAAGGTGGGTCCTAAAAATATGCACCTCAAGTGTCAAAGAAAGAGGCACATATTCAGCATTTTCCGGAACCTTCCAGGCATACCTCTGTGGGGAGGGAGTTCATCAGTTTAGGGGCCACTACAGAGAAGTCCCTCTCCTGTGACTCTTACTTCCAAAATGTCCCTTTGTGTAATCTATCTTGTTATGATGCCTGCAAAAGTATATTCAGCTTTCTGTCTTGGTTCTGTGATTCTTTATCGTTTTTCTTGTTTGTGTGGCATTGTTTTTGAAAACTCAATAAGCACTTAAAAACAACAACAACCCTCTCTTTTATAAAAAAACATTCCAGGGGAAACTGGTCTATGCCAATCAAGGAAAAATGAGCGACTACGAATACCTGGTCCAACAGGGCATTGATCTCAATGGCACCATAGCCATAACTCGCTATGGGGGTGCTGGCCGCGCAGACAAGGTAAACTGGGAGCTGATCCTGTTCCCAACCTTCAGCTTTTGTGGGACATTTTGAAAGAACAACCCTAAAATCTGAAGTAGGGCTATACCTTTCTTAGGCCAACCAAGATGCTGCAGAATAATGAGGAAGTTTTTGAGCTCTCCCTTCCTCAGGCAAGATGTTCTGCCAAACTGGGGATGGGGAGGGAAAATGCTGGAAGATGTTGTTATTTATTCTTTTTTTAAAACAACAACAGCCCTGCCCTTCACCATCAGGTTTCCAGACATGCTGCAGCAATTTAAAATTCAGTATCTAAAACAGTTGAAAGCAAATTACAGTCACAGTCCAACTCCTGGAATGTAGGAATCCCAGCTCAATAATCCCTGACAAATGGCCAGCCAACCTCTCTTTCAAAGCTTCCAGTGATGGAGAGTTTCTTGAACAGCTTTTACCACCAGAAAGTTATTCCAAATGCTTAGCTGGAATTTTCTTTCTGACCGTTTGAATCTATGGGTTGGGTCTTCTGCTGACATCTGGGCCTCTCGGGTCCCTGATGCCCAAACACATCTGTCTGGATCTTGCCTTGACAGGCCATCAACGGCGCCAAATTTGGCGTGGTTGGGGTGGTGGTCTACACCGATCCTGGGGACATCAATGACGGCAAGGCTTCAGCAACAGAGACGTACCCCTATTCGTGGTACCTGCCCCCCTCGGGCGTGGAGAGGGGTTCCTACAACAGCCACTTTGGAGACCTGCTGACTCCTTATTACCCAGCCAAAGGTGAGGAGGTTGGGGTGGAGCAGCAAACACGATTTTAATGTATACGCAAGAATCCGTGTTTGGGGTGGGGTGGGGGAGTGGAGAGAGAACCAAGAGCCCACATGACAAGCTGTTGCGTTCCAAAAGCAAGGAAGGATTGGACCCTGATTAATAGAATACATACGAGGCTTGACCAGCAAGACTCTGGGAGGAAGTGCCAATAATAATTTGTCCGCCTCTTGGCCCAGGTCGTTTTATTCACAAAAGAACTTTTTACACAGTGTTCGTAAGAACCAATCAGATTTCCTCTGAGCATTTCAAAAAACCCCACGTGGGATCAGATCAGAAGAAATCCTTTTAACTACAAAAGACTACTTTGAGCATGCATACATATCTGAGAGTAAATAAAACAGGACTAAAGGAGGAATGCATTCAGCAAAACCCCAGAGGTCATAAACAGGCAGGAAAGGAAGGAAGGATGGCAAGGGAAGAGTTTTTACCATCTCCTTGTGAACTCTCTTCCTGGCCCTTAAGATCTACCTAAAGATTAACGAACTACATCAAATCTACCTTCTATCTTTATGACCCAGGGTGCCTGGTGAAGCAACTGGCCTGTGTATTTAGAATGCTTATACGTGCCTGTCAGGCGTAGAGAAAGCAAATGGCAGAGGTGCCGAGACTTGGGGGATTTGATCAGAAATTATTGTCAATGAATCAAGCCCAATCAACGCAATGCTTTCATTGCGGACACAATGGCTTGCTCCATATTTCATAATTCCTCATAGCAATCCCACCTGACCCCCACACTCTGGATATTTGCACCCCCCACACCAAGCAGACCTTATCCGGCAAGCAAGGAAGAGAGAGTGTTAAAGTTCTTTTCATGCCAGGTAATCCAACCAGACCCAGCAGGGAAACAGCTTTTAAGCTCCCCACCTTGCGTGGTGGGGCAAGGCCCTGCTCATCCGCAGGCTCTGTGAAGCTAGAGATGCTCGTGCGAAGGTTTGCAGGAACTTAGCCCCGCAAGATATTGTGAGAACATCCCAGAGCCAACACACGGAGCAGGCTTTGCCCCACAAGCAAGCTTAAAAGTTCTTTACGTGCACTGGGTAACCCCAAGTAGACCCGTTGCAAAAAGAGCTTTTAAGCTCTCCTCCTTCCTTAATCTAACTTGTGCAAGTGGAAATAATGGACGAGCCCTAAGATGCAATCAACCATCCCGTACAGAGAAGGCTCCTGCCTGATGTCAGCAGCCCCAGTGTGGAGTGTGGGAGGGTCCTAACATCATTGGAAACAATCCCATCTTTCTTACCTTCTCCTCCTCTCTGCTTGCAGGTTTCACCTACAGGATTCCAGAGGACCAGATCACAGGGATCCCTCCCATCCCTACCCAGCCCATTGGCTTTGAGGATGCCAAGACACTTATCTGGTGGGTGGTAACTGTGGAGTAGGCGATTAGGGTCATAAAGGAGGGCAACGATGGGAAAGGACGATCCGGGGTGTGCAAGGGTGTGTGTGTGTGTGTGGAAGCTCAGACTTGGAGGGAGGAGCGTAAAATGAAATCCCACACAGATCAGAAGATGCTTAGAAATCTAGGTTTTGAGATTTTAAAATTCACACTTCAGAATTCAATTTGAGGGACAGTTTGGGAGGGAGGGGGGACTATGAATCTCGAATCTTATTGGCTGATCTTTGGGGGGGGGAAAGGTTATGTTCCAGTATATCATCCCCAAACCCCTCTCCTCATATTCAAGTAAGCTGCCATCTGCACATGTGCAATGGCTGTCTTGAATGTATACACCTCAACTTAACTGCAAAGTGAATGCAGCTTATGTTTTCAAATCAGACAGAAACTGGTGTCCAGGGGGAATGCATCCGACAGGGGCATTTCTCAAGAAATTGTGACTAACATAATTTGTGCCCCGTATACACCCATTTGACTACTTTGATCTGTGGAACTGGCACTGTTCAACGTGCCACATAATACTCATTCTGCATTTGTAAGAAATTATTATTTCAGTGTGGTAGCCCCTACACTTTGGAACTCCCTGCCTATTGATATCAGGCAGGTGCTTTCACTGTGTTCTTTCTGGTGCCTGCTAAGAAAATTTTTGTTTACACAAGCCTGCCCAGATGTTTAGAAAGCTGATGCAAGTTTTAATCTGTTTTCAGTCTATTGCCGTTTTAACTTTTTGAAAGCCTTGAATTATTGTTAATTTTTCTCATTGATAATTTTATTGTTTTAGCTTTTTTTTGTAAACCACCTTGAGGTTTCTAAAGCAATGCAGTCAGTCAGTCAGTCAGTCAGTCAACACCAGCAGTGGGAGCACACTAGAACCAGAATAAGGGGTACTGTATACCCAACCAACAAAATAGAACAGATGTGAGCTGAGGGCTAGGTCTTCTGGGATGGCAGCATTCAGTCTTCACCCTCCCCTCTTGCACTTGCAGTAACCTGGCTGGCAACCCTGTGGCAGAGGCAGCTTGGCAGGGAGCACTGGGCTGTGTCTACCATCTTGGACCAGGATTCAGACAAGATGGGCTGTTCTCCAATGCCAGGTGAGGGATGTACAAATTGGCCAGTCTCAGTTTCTCCCCACCCCCAGTATTCAGTTCAGCTTCTCCTACTATACGCAATTTTGAATGCAGTTTCACTTGACATCAGTAATTTTCACACGTTATCCTAGTGTACACATCCCGCCCCCCCCCCCGCACATTTTTGGTTAGTCGGAGAACTTCAGCGCAACATTCAGAGAAGGGCAGACTTCGAACGAAAGCTGTGCTTTGGTTCCTGCATTGTTCTGAGACTGTGAATGAGGATAAAGGTAAAGGGTAAAGGGACCCCTGACCATTAGGTCCAGTCGTGACCGACTCTGGGGTTGCAGTGCTCATCTCGCTTTATTGGCCGAGGGAACCAGCGTACAGCTTCCAGGTCATGTGGCCAGCATGACTAAGCCGCTTCTGGTGAACCAGAGCAGCGTATGGAAACACTGTTTACCTTCCCGCCAGAGCGGTACCTATTTATCTACTTGCACTTTGACGTGCTTTCGAACTGCTAGGTTGGCAGGAGCAGGGACCGAGCAACGGGAGCTCACCCCGTCACGGGGATTCGAATCGCCGACCTTCTGATCGGCAAGTCCTAGGCTCTGTGGTTTAACGCACAGCGCCACCCGCGTCCCGTGAATGAGGATAGGTTCCTATTAATATGCAAACTGAACCAAGTTATCCCCTGTGCCTCCATGAGGTATCCATGGAGGGTCGTAGACAATGCAAGGGAGGTTCGTCATTCTATATCTTTATGCGGCAGGCAGAAATGTTCCTTTTCAACCAGGCCGATTAACATTATTCAGCCTTTTAAATGGGTTTGTGGGATGAAGGAGTTATTTGTTTTGTTTTTCTTTTAACTATTTATTTGTGCTTTTACCTTGCATTTTTATCTTGTCACTGCCCTGAGATCACAGAAATTTAGGATTGTAGATTTGGAAGGGACACCAGGGGTCATATATTACAACCTGCTGCAGGTAAAAAGGTAAAAGGTAAAGGAGCCCTGGACGGTTAAGTCCAGTCAAAGATGACTATGGGGTTGTGGTGCTCATCTGGCTTTGAGGCCGAGGGAGCCGGCATTTGTCCACAGACAGCTTTCCAGGTAATGTGGCCAGCATGACTAAACTGCTTCTGGTGCAATGGGACACCGTGAAGGAAACCAGAAAGCATAGAAATGCCATTTACCTTCCTGCCAGAGTGGTACCTATTTATCTACTTGCACTGGCATGCTTTCAAACTGCTAAGTTAATAAGAGCTGGGACAGAGCAACGGGAGCTCACCCCGTTGCAGGGATTTGAACCCCCGACCTTCTGATCAGCAAGCCCAAGAGGCCCAGCGGTTTAGACCACAGCACCACCTGCTGCAATGCAGGAATCTCAGCTAAAGCATCCATGACAGATGAACATCCAACCTCTGCTGAAAAACTCTCCAAGGAAGGAGAGTTCACAACCTCCTGGGGGAGATTGTTCCACTGTCAAACAGCTCATACTTAAGATCTTATGAGGAAGGGTTGTTATATAAGTCTAAACAAACAAACAAACATGAATCCTACTCAGGGTAGATCCATTTAAGTTAAAAGGCATTTCTAACTTAGGTCCATTAATTTCAATGGGTCTACTCGGTGTCACACTTGGTTGGAGACAACCCAGGGGGCCTCTCCTCTCTATCCTGCTGCTGTGAAGCAGGAACTTCCAGTGATGTGAGAAGCCCAGAGCCAAATCACCCATATAAATGATTTCATTGTGTAATTGGGCGATTGAACCTGGCTCTCTTTTGTTTCCTAGTGAGGTCCAGGTCAACGTCCATAACTACAGAAGGATCAACACATCTTCTAATGTGATGGGACTGATAAGAGGAAGTGTGGAGCCTGGTGAGTTGCCCTGGGCAAACAGATGCCGGGGGGGGTGGTATGGGGCACAGAGGGAGGCCGTGGCATCCTTCTGGTGGTGAGGGTCCACTCCTAGGGCAACCAAAAGCAGAAGGAGTGACTCACCTATGAGGAAACATTGCGGCATTTGGGACTTTCCAGTGAAGAGGAAGAGGCAACGTGATAGAAGTTTATAAAAACTACACAAACCATGGAGAAAGTGGGAAGAGAAAATTTGGTCTCCCTCTCACAGCTCTACAACTTGCAGGCATCCAGTGAAGCTGGAAGACTCCAGGAAAGATAAACAAAAGCCTTTCTCCATACAGAACATGGTTCAACGCCGTGCTTTTCTTCTGGGTGTACTCACAGGCCCAAGTGTGTGGCACTGATAAAATATATACTCTGATCTAATATTCTTAGTTCCCACCTAGTTAGTCCCCCTGTCCTCTAGGGGGCGCTCCTGCCCACTTTGGGAGCCGCAGATCCATCCCTTTTCAGGCTCCCATCCAACATGTGCCCTTCTATGAGTTCCTACTCCTTCCTCCGCTAGATCGATACGTCCTCTATGGTAACCACCGAGACAGCTGGGTGCATGGCGCTATCGACCCCAGCAGTGGAACAGCTGTCATGCTGGAGATCAGCCGAGTGCTGGGGAAGATGGTGAAAGAAGGTGAGCTTAGGTCGGGGGCTGGGATTTTATTTTCTTTGGTGGGGTGTGAAACATGGCAACTCCAGGTGAAGGTCTGGTAGGTCCGGGGAGATGAAGATGCAATCCACAGCGGCCAGTGAGTGGGCAGAAGTAGGTGGAGATTCCTATGTTTGCAAACTAGGCAGTATCCCAGCTAGCCATTTTATTTATTCCATGTATATCCTACCTTTTTCTCCAAGGGGCTCCATGTGGCCCACATGATTCCCTGCTCCTCTTTTAATCCTCACAACAACCCTGTGAGGTAGGTTAGGCTGGGGGGTGTGGGATGGGTTTTAATAGGTAGGAGAGGATATATTAACTGCTCTCTATCTCTCCAGGCACCCACGTGTGTGGGTTGAACAGAGTTTCAAAATCCCATCCTTGGCAGCAAAATTTAAAGCATAGGAGTTAGGCTGTAAAACCTTGCTTTGAGCAAATCCAGCTACGAAGTAAGCTGGCTCTTCCTTTCTTACCCCACTTAAGATTCAGGCAACACTTGGGAAGTAAGTTTAAAAATATAATTTACATATAATCTTGCATTACTTCACAGCAAAGGCAGCAGTAAAAACTATGCAGGCAAAATACTTATATTTACAGGGCCTAAACCTTGAACAAATGGAGGGATGTCTGCATCCAATGCTGGTAAAAGGAAGAGAGAAAGAGAAACAGGAAATACCAATGTACTCCTTCCTCTCAAGGAGAGGAGGGGAAGTGACATCACACAGAGCCCTCTCTGTCAATTCTATTTCTATGGTCTTGGGTATCTGCCTATCAGCAGTAAAGCTCTGTGGTATTCACCTCTTCTCATGCTAACTAGCAAGAATGTGCATCTGTTAGGTTTGGCTGCTATCGCCCACAGGAGGCAGGAACTGGCCCAATGTCACTCAGTGAGCTTCATGGCCAAGTGGGAATTTGAACCCGGGTCCTAGCCTGACACTCTAGCCATGACACCACACAAGCTCTCAGAAGGAGAAGCAGGCTATGCAAAAGCAGCCAAGGAGAGCAAGGAGCAGGACTGGCCAGGGGTGTGTGTCTTGGAGAGAGTCAACTGACAGCTAAAAAGAGAGACCTGTAGGGCTGCATTCAGCCTGTGGGTCTGAGGTGCCTCACCCTTGCTCTAGAGGAGCTCCACCTGTCTCCAAGTTGCACATTCTCATTCAAGTGTCTAGGAATAATGTGTCATTTATTCTCAGGGAAGTGGCACCCACGAAGGTCCATTATTTTTGGCAGCTGGGGTGCTGAGGAGTTTGGTCTCATTGGTTCTACAGAGTATACAGAGGTAAGAGGAAAGGAGGTTGGATGGATGGATGGATGGAGTAGGTGAGAGACAGACTGAAGAACAGGTGGTTCTGCACTGTGCATTTAATAATAAGAATAGTAATTTTATTATTTGTACCCCAGCCACATTCAAAACACAATCCTACCAATTTAAGCAGTCATGGCTTCCCCCAAAGAATCATGGGATATGTAGCTTGTTTATCGCACTGAGATTTGTTAGGAGACCATTGCTCCCTTAAAATTGCTCTGGCCAGAGTTGCCAGAGTGGTAGTTTAACAATCAACCCCTCTCCCTAAGTAACTCGGGAAATTGTAGCTTTGCAAGGGGAATACAGGTCTCCTTTCAGCAACCTTAACAAACTACACTTCCCAGGAGTCCTTGGGGGAAGCGGCATCTGCTTAAAGTGGCATGATTCTGCTTTAAATATGTAGCGCAGAGGGGGCTGAGTAGAGGTTGGAAAGGGATCATAGCTTGGTTGGGTGTTTTGTTGTTTATATTTGTGTTCAGGGGCTTATGTACTTCAGTTCCCAAAACATCTGACCTCAGAGTCAGGAATCAGACTGATGCAAAGCAACCGCCTTTTATTCTTACTATAGGAATGGGGGAAAGGCAGACTGGAATCTGCCGGGTGACTTGTAGCTGATTGCCAAAGGTTCGGCTCCCAATAGTTTAATGCCAATATAGCAAAAAACAAACACCCACACATTTCCCGCAACTGCCCCTTCCCTCTGGCAAATTAGGCTGCTGAAAGGAAGCTTGGGGTTGAAACCAGGAGTGGATTTGGGGGTGAAAGGATCTGGTCCTGAAAACAAATCCCTGATAGGAGCAGAGTGCCTCTCTCTATTGTAACTCTAAGTGCTTGTGACGACTTTGTGGTGCAGGGGTCCTCAACATGCACCATGGGGATTGTCAGGGGGTGGGCTGGAGACCTCACACTTCCGCAGAAGTTTCTTTGCTTATCACATCTCTCCGCCGCACAGGAATTTTATAGCAAGCTGCAGCAGCGCAGCGTGGCCTACATCAATGTGGACATTGCAGTCTTTGGTAAGCTCACCTCACCTTTCCACACTTTCAAGCTGCACTGACTGACTTATAAATTTGTTGTAGTTATAGCGCCTGGGAGAGTGTGGTCTGAGAGGAGGGTCCTTGATGCAGCCCCCTGGCTGAAGAGAAGCAGGTTTGGGTCTGGTCAGTGCCTGGATGGGGGACTCTGTATGTGAAAATCCCACCTCATTTATTTTTTGAGGGAGTTGTGGTTGTTTAGCCTGGAGAAGAGAAGAGTGAGAGGTGATATCAGAGCCATCTTCAAATACCTGAAAGGCTGTCCCATGGAAGATGGAACAAGCTTGTTTTCTGCTGCTCCTGAGGGGAGGGCCCAGATTGACGGATTCAAACAACAAGAACGGAGATTCCAGCTAAACATGAGGAAGCGTTTTCTGAGGGTTAGAGCTGTTCAACAGAGACATGGACTCCCTTGGAAGGTGGTGGCCTCCCTTTCACTGGCAGTTTCCTCATTTTTCCTCATTTTGTTCTCTCATTCTCATTCCAGATACAATGGTTCTGGCAGATAACATTAATGTTTGTTCTAGTGTATTGATGTCAAGGAGTTTATAAAAAGACTTAAGAGGCAAAGAGAGAGGGCACTGGGGAGGAAATCAATGCAAAAATGTGTATGCTAAACTTTGCAAGTTTGCAAGAGGCTCAGATAAGGGGCCATAGATTATGTTTGTTTCCCAACGCGATAATAAGAACATTTGGATCAATTTTTTTTAATGGCGCTTGTGAAGGGAAAGAGTCAAACATAAACTCTGTTTTCACAGTGCATAACTGTGGTATGAATCCAAGGAGCAAAATGGCTCAACTTGATTTCCAAATTGCATTTCTTAAGGATTTTAGGTTGAGATGCTGCTCATTTACCAACGGTTATATACTGAGATTGCCATCTCAGCAAATTCCATCATTTTCATAAGCCGGTCTTCATTTGTTGCGACTTCTTCTTTCCATTTTCGCATGTGGGCTGTTCTTGCCGCCGTCATAGAGTTTTAAGGCCACAAAAGCTCTGGTCCAACTATACCCAACAGAAAGGCCTGTGGTATCAGATTTTCAGTGTCCGATAGCCGTTTATACCTCCATCATTCCCGGCCCGCCCTTGTCTCTTGGCCCCCTCCCAGGTATTCCCCCCCAGGACATCCTACCCACTTTGGGAACCAATGGTCTACACACTGGCAAAAAGCTGAACTTACCCCTGTCACACAAGGCACAGGAACCTTACCAGGCAACAAAGGGGGAACCCTACTTGTGCCCTGGGGTCAGGAGAGCTCCCCCTAATGCTTCTCTTTCTCCTTTGACAGCCAACGCCACCTTGAGGGCTCAAGGAACGCCACCTGCGCAGAGTGTCATCTTTGCAGCTGCCCAGCAGGTAACTTGAAGAGAATAGAAAGCCAACTCCAAAATAACAGTCTCTGTGTAGGAGACACGTTCTCGGTTTATTTTTCAGGGAAACAAAGGCTATCGGGGGCCACTGGCCTTACATTTGCAAAACTGGAGGAACGATCATGAGCGCTGCACTCATTTTATTAGGGGGAAAGGGACGGCATTGGTCAGTCACACCTGCAGCAGCTTGCAAATCAAAATAATGAAGTCAATCCAGCTTTGCAGCCTGAAAGGGGTCTTGGGCTTCAGAGCATCCTTGCAGAAGTGAGACCCCCTAAAGACCAGCCTCCTCCTTAAGATGGGTTGTCATGAAATCTGCTCCATTTCTGATGTTGGGGGGCCTTGTTTCCCTCGTAGGTGAAAACCGCAGCTGCAGATTCTTCCCCGTCAGTCTATGAGAACTGGAAGCAACACTTCAGCCGAAACAGTTCAGTCTATGGCATCATCCCCAGGTAAAACGATCCTGTGAATGTTTCCCTTTCTTAACAGCCCGTGGACCCCTCACATTCACAGGGTTCCTCTAACCGGTACCTAGACCAGGTGTGTGGATGGGAACCACTGGCTCTCCAGAAGTGGCTGAACTACAACTCCCATCATCCTCGCCCACTGGTCATGCTTGCTGGGAGCTGTACTTTTTCTCCTTTGTCAATCACTTTAATGTATATATACTAATATTTATTTACAAAGGTGGTCCATTTTAGTGTATCATTTTCACACACAAAATTACATGGGTTGTACCCAGCTAAGTTCTACTCAGTTTACTGATATAATAGACTTAAATTTGTCAAGCCCATTGATTTTGAGTAGGACTTTGCTGGGAACAACTCCCGGTTAGGGGGTGTATGTTATATATTCTCTAATATTTATTTATAAAGGTGGCATTTTTTTAAAAAAATTGAATATATATAGCGGTATATGCATTGCTGTTTATAATTGACCAACCTGCAGTGGGGAGGGATTTGTGGGTTTCTTTCTGAGGGGTCTGTGTTCGAGTCTCTGCTTCAAGAGTTGCTTCCCCGACTTACTGTCTTCCTCCTCCATTCAGCTTAGGGTCTCTGGGTGCTGGAAGTGATTATGCCTCTTTCATTCATTACCTGGGCATCACATCCATGGATATTGCTTACACCTACGACCGGGTAAATTGTAGCCCTGCGCTAGTTGGAATGGCCAATGGTCAAGGGGCAAAGGGAGCTGGGAGATCCAGCAACAGCCCTAGGGGCACAGATTTCCCCTCTCCCTGTTCAGTTTTTAAAATTTATTGATTCAAAGTATTTTTCTCCTGCTGTTCAAGAAGATCTTCTTGTAGAGCAGCAACTGCAATTAATCAACTTAATCAACAAACAGTAACAATGCAAAAATAAATAAATTGCAATGGAACGCTTTACATTTTAAAATACCCCCAAACATTTTTTAAAAAAATTAGTTCCTAAATAACAGCAGTCAGCTGGTACAATCTATAAACCAGAATAAACACTGTCCAATAAATACTTCTCATCTATCAGATTTGTCCAGTGAGGCTGCAGCAATGGACCCATTCATCTAATCAAAACATCAAACCCCAAACCTATTATATATTGTGGAAATTGGTTGGCTTGTCTGTTCGCTATGAGTTTAGACAATTCTTAAGCTATCACAACCAAATTTTGTGTGATTGTTTCCGAGATCAAGGAGCAGCTTTTCATCTATGTTTGGATGCCATTTTGAATCAAGATGGCGGACTGAACCTTTCAATACTGCTCTGATTTTATCCAAATTTTCTATGATGGTTCCCGAGAATAAGGAGCGGGATTTCCTCTATGGTTCAAAACCACTGGACGCCATCTTGGATCAAGAAGGCTGACTAAGCCTTTGAAAACTGCCCTGACTTTAACCACAGATTTGAAAACTGAGCTGATTTCTTAGAATTCCTAAGCAATGCTGGGGGGCAAGGCTCCTGCTAACCACATGATATGACCTTCCCTTCTTTCATTTGTCTAGTCCAAGACTTCGGCCCGCATCTATCCAGCTTATCACACAGCCTTTGACACTTTTCACTATGCAGAGAAATTCATTGACCCAGGTAAGGGGTGAGGGTGGAAGATAGAGAGTCAGCGAGAGAGTAAATCAGGGTTTGTTAAGGGTGCTGGGAATTGTAGCTCGGGGGTGGGGGCAAACCACAGTTCCCAGGATTCCTTGAGGAAAGTCCTGTGCTTTAAAGGTATGTTGTCTATGCAGCCTAGAACTTCTCAGGTTGCCTTTGCTTCTCTCTTGGACTGTTGGGGTAATGGTTGGCAGCCATGAGAGCTACCTCATGTTTATCTGTTGCCTTAGCTGAATTTAAAGTACAGTGGTACCTTGGTAGTCAAACTTAATCCATTCCGGCAGTCTGTTCAACTCCCGAAACCGTTCAGAAACAAAGACATGGCTTCCGACTGGCGGCAGGAGCTGCCGGCACTCAATCAGAAGCTGTGGAAGCCGTATCGGACGTTCGGCTTCCAAAAAATGTTTGAAAACCGGAACACTCACTTCTGGGTTTGCGGCATTCGGGAGCTGATTTGTTCCGTTCGATTACCAAGGCACCACTGTATTCAATTCAGTGTGCTTAGGAGCACAACGTTCGCACCTTAAAGGGTCAATAGCTGGCCAGGATATACTATCTGTTTCTGTGGAGAGCAGCAGCCTGTCCTACTTTTGCAAAACAGCGTAAATGTTGTTTGAAAGTGAGGAGGCAGGACTGAAGATTTGGAGATATGCTTCAGAGGTCCAGACTATGGGGAGCCCGGAAAAATTAATAATTAAAATTTGGATTACAATTTTGTCTTTTTTATTTTAGTTTTTTTGTTTTTAATTAGATTATGATGTGGACATGTTGATTGGCTGTCTTTATTGGAAAATCAATAAAAATGATTTTTTTAAAGTTGTTTGACAGTGGAACGGTCTCCCTTGGGAGGTGGTGGACTCTCCTTCCTTGGAGAGGTTTCTAAGCAGAAGTTGGGTGGCCGTCTGTCATGGATGCTTTAGCTGAGATTTGTGCATTGCAAGGGGGTTGGACTAGATGACCCTTGGGGTCCCTTCCAACTCTATGGTTTTATGAGAGAGAGAAATCCCTGGGACTGTACTCACTGAGTCCGCTAAGGCTGGGCACAGGCCGGTTTGCTCTGCTGCTGCTGCATCTGGGGAAATTCTCCTGCCGCTTTCCAGGGTTCACCAGCCACCAGACTGTGGCACGGACAGCTGGCAACGTGCTGATGCGCCTGGCAGATGCCTTGATCCTGCCGCTCAACGTGAGCGACTACGGCGAGACGCTGCAACAGATGTACAGTGTTGCCAGAGAGGTGTTCCAGGCAGACCTGATGCATCACAACATCTCGCTTGGTGAGACGGGTGGGAATGTGTGGGATTACAGGCTGGGTTAGTGGGCAGGTGGCCTGCAGGTAGGATCGCCAGGTGCAAAAGAGAATAAGGGGCCCGCCAGCCTTTCCTCCCCTTCATTAAGGGGTGTGTGGCAATTAGGGGTCATTAACTTGGATAAGGACTAGGGTTTACCCAAAGTGGGGGTAATTAATAAAAGAATCGGCTGGCTCTCTAGATCAGGCATAGGCAAACTCGGCCCTCCAGATGTTTTGGGACTACAGCTCCCATCATCCCAGCGGTCAGGGATGATGGGAATTGTAGTCTCAAAACATCTGGAGGGCCAAGTTTGCCTATGCCTCTCCTAGATCCAAAGTGTGGGGCTAAGCACACTCTTCAGCATGAGAAAGATCCCCAGCAGCAGAGTTTTAAGGCCATAAAAGTAAGCAGCAGTGTGAAGCATGAGGAATATAGGCTGTTAGTCCTTTTAGGTATCTTGCTTAGTCCACTTACAGTGCTTCCCCTCTCTGCCCCTCTCGCAATGACAGACCACACCATTAGTAAGTTTAAATGCTTTACTTACAAAGCTCCAAAGGGTCAGATTCATGTGTTGTTCCATGCAGCAGCATGAAGAACACAGGTAGAAATATTGGGATGTGAAATACCTCTAAGCACACGGTCTGAGCTTGTAAAGGGCAAGCTCAGGCACATCCTGTCTGCTTGGTGAAAGGTGAAAGGAGAGCAAACAAAGGAGGAAACTTAACTCCCTTCCTTCCAGGTGAGGGCTTACAGTTCTGTGTTCTTAACCCCTTCATGCATTAATGAGCCCCAAGCTTGCTAGTTATATTTGACTGCAATTTCCCACAGTTTATAGGGCTGAAGTTTAGCCGCTAAACTGAACACCACTGCTTAGGAATAATAGGCTGCAAATGGAACTATGGGCTTGTCTACTCAGGGTAGAGGCTAAACCTGACCCTTAGCTAAACCCTTAAAGGCACTGATCTGTTTTGCTCTTTTGCCCTTCAGATCCACTCTGGGCCGCAATAGACCGTTTCCAGGCCGCCGCTGCTGGTCTTAACCAGCGCATAGCAAACCTGAGAGAGGAAGCAAACCCCAGGTGAGAGTCTCCTCTTCTGGGGAACTTTGTACTATACATGCATATAGAGGTATTTGAATATGGCAGATTTATATAGTAATCTAGAGTGTACAAGTTGTCTCATAGCCACCAATCTGAATAACCCAGTGATGATGCCCTCTGGCCAGTCAGTGAGAGATGTTATGGGGCAGGGGCTTATTGGTAGTGTCTCCGCATTTGTGAAATTTGCGCTCCAGGAAATGTGATTCACCTCTTGAGATTTTTTTATGTGTGTTTCAGTGTGCATTTGATTTAGTTGCTGTGATCCGATTACTCATTCTTAGGGGATATTAATCTGATGTTTCATACATTTTTGTAAAAACAAAAACAAAAAACTAATGTTTTCAACAACTCTGTAAGGTAGGCTGGTATTGTTAATTTATTTTATTTGCTTGTTTATGAAAATATTTATAGACCATTATTTCATAAAGAATATCAAAGTGGTTTACAACAAAAATACACAAAACTATATAGTAAACACCATATTAAAAGTTTTTAAAGAGACATCAATTAACCATTGGGGATGGATATCTTCTTAATTGTCTGCATAGGCCTGGCAGATTAGAAAAGTTTTCAGCAGGCATTTAAAAGTTGGCACAAAAGGTGCCTGCTGAATGTCTAGGGGCAGAGAGTTCCACAGGACTGAGCCAATGACACAAAAGGCTCGGTTTCTTGTTGTTGTTGTCAAATGAGCCTCACCAACTTGGGGAATGACCAGTGACGCCCCTGCAGATGATCTCTGTGACTGAGCTGGGACAGAAGGATCAGGCGGTCACTGAGGAACCCTCGACCTTAGTCGCTCAGGGCTTTGTATTATTATTATTATTATTATTATTATTATTATTATTATTAATACCCTGCCCATCTGGCTGGGTCTCCCCAGCCACGCTGGGCGGCTTCTAACAAAGTATTAAAATACAGTGGTCTGTTAAACATTAAAAGCTTCCCTAAATAGGGCTGCCTTCAGATGTCTTCTAAAAGTCTGGTAGTTGTTGTTCTCTTTGACATCTGGTGGGAGGACATTCCACAGGGTGGGTGCCACTACCGAGAAGGCCCTCTGCCTGGTTCCCTGTAACATGGCTTCTCGCAGTGAGGGAACCACCAGAAGGCCCTCGGCGCTGGACCTCAGTGTCCGGGCAGAAAAATGGGGGTGGAGACACTCCTTTTGTAAGTCAATACAAGGACCTTTATCTTGGCTTGGTGGTGGGTGAGCAGCGAATGCAGCTGTTTTAACAAGGATGCCATGTGTTCCCATCAGGTCAGGGGCTCTCATCAGCAGTCTGGTTGAACTTCCAAACCAGGCCCAAGGGCAGCCCCACACAGAGCACATTGCAGTAGTCCTGCCTCAATGGATGGATTACAGTGCATCAGGCTATCCCTGTCCAGGAACAGCTGTAGCTGGCAAACCAAACCAAACAGCACTCCAGGGTAGTGCTTGTTCCTGAGCAAACTTGGCTTTCACATAGCAAACCAGCTCTGTAAAATTTTGCTGTGGGGCTGACACATTCTATGATTGGCCCCAAGACGGCTCTTAGCCCAACCCTCTTTCTCCCCCCCCCCCCCAATTTCCTGAAAGCCCCCTGGACGTGCGGATGGTGAATGACCAGCTGATGTTGTTAGAAAGGGCCTTCCTGAACCCCAGAGCCTTTCCGGAAAAGTATTACTACAGGTAAGCAATACCAATGGACCGGCTTTCTGGCTTTCGATGTGTGATTCACTTGTGGAATTCACTGCCACAAGATGGCAGTGGTGCATAACCACTGAGATTTTGTGTTTTAACTTGCTTGCTTATTTTAAAAAGGATGGGCTAACTGGGGCCTCCAGTGTCAGATAAAGTGGACATCAATGTCAGGCAAGAACCAAAGAGCAGGAGAGGACTTGCTCATGGCTTCCTTGAGCAGTGGTGGGAAACTTGTAGCTCCCTGCATCACTTCAAAAGCCCTTTGCAAGCGATCAGTTACTATCTGTGGCAAGAGCAGTCTGCCCTCACCCTCTTGGCCACCTGCAGGGTGGGTGGGAGAGAGAGAGAGAGAGAGAGAGAGAGAGAGAGAGAGAGAGAGAGAGAGAGAGAGAGAGAAGGGGCTGACTCCAACCAGTTTTTGCCCTGCCTCCTATTGGCTGCAATCCCACCCACCACCGGCATGCTACCCCTGATTGTTGCTTCCAAGGTGGTTTACATAAACTGTAAGGTAAAGGTACCCCTGACCATTAGGTCCAGTCGCGGACGACTCTGGGGTTGCGTGCTCATCTCACTCTGTAGGCTGAGGGAGACGGCGTTTGTCCGCAGACAGCTTCCGGGTCATGTGGCCAGCCTGACTAAGCCACTTCTGGCAGCGCATGGAAACACCGTTTTCCTTCCCGCTGGAGGAAGTAGACCTATTTATCTACTTGCACTTTGACGTGCTTTCGAACTGCTAGGTTGGCAGGAGCAGGGACCAAGCAACGGGAGCTCACCCTGCCATGGGAATTCGAACTGCCGACCTTCTGATTGGCAAGTCCTAGGTTCTGTGGTTTAGACCACAGCGCCACCCGCGTCCCACATAAACTGTAAAGCCATGCAATAAAAACCATAATTAAAAAAATTAAAATCAGAAATCAGCTAACTTGTTATGGAAAAATGCATACCTCATTGCCTGCGTAGACCTGGCAGGATAGAAGAGTTTTCAGCAGGTGTTTTAAAAGTTGGCACAGAAGGCGGCTGCTGAATGTCTAGTGGCAGAGAATTCCACAGGGCTGGACCAATGACTCTAAAGCCTGTTTCTTGTTGCTTTTCCTCATCCAGCCACGTCATCATGGCCTCTCGGTCATCTTCTCTGGCCACCTTCCCAGGACTTGCTGATGCCTACGATAACGCCAAGGAGGACGGCCAGTGGGGTGAGGTTCACAAGCAGCTCACCATTGTAATCCAAGCGATAGAGAATGCCGCCTCCATCCTGGAGCCTGTGGCTGAATAACAGGGATGATAAAATACAAATAGTAAGAGAAGCAGTATGATCTATTCCTCACTGACTTGCTTCTTCCACCCTGTTTTTAAAGTAGTTTTGTGGGTCATGGGTTTGTCTTATCATTGTTTTGTTTTTCTTCCATGCCTGTAAGCTACTCAGGGGATGCTGGGAATGGGGCAGCTTGAAAATTGTACCAATAAATAAATAAATGCTTTGCATTTGCACAACACTTTGAACAATGTTGTAATTGGTTCACTTACATAGTCTCTGCAATCCTTACGACAGGGGTGGCTTTATAGCTCAAAAACAGCACTTTGAATTGGACCCAAAAACTAATTGGCAGCCAGTGCAGTTGGGCCTGGATCCGTGTAATATGCTTGCTCCGGTGAGCGATCTGGCTGCTGAATTCTGCACCAGCTGAAGTTTCAGAACCGTCTTCAGAGGCAGCCCCATGTATAATATGTTGCAGTAATCTAACCAGGGCTGGATTTAGGTTTGATGAGGCCCTAAGCTACTGAAGGTAATGGGGCCCTGTATATGTCCAGCTGCCCTTTGTAGACAACAAATTATCGCTTTTTTGTGTTGAATATATGCTATATAGTACCGTAATTCATGGTCCTATACTTTATCTCATATTTTGGAAATGTACATCCAGTTTTTTTTCCCTTTAAATTTTTTTGGGGCCCCCAAGAGAGCGAGGCCCTAAGCTATAGCTTGTTTAACTTATACGTAAATCCAGCACTGAATCTAACCTAGAGGTTACTAGAGAATAGATGACAGAAGTTAAGCTATCCCTTGTCCAGATAGGGGCGCAGCTGGGCCACCAGCCGAAGCTGATGGAAGGCGCTCTGTGCCACTGAGGCCACCGGAGCCTCAAGCGACACAAAGGACCCAGAAGTACCTCCAAGCTGTGTACCTGCTCCTTCAGAGGGAGTGTAACCCCATCAAAAGCAGGCAATCTCCCATAGTTTTCATCTAGGGAACCGCCCAGAAACAAAACCAAAACCCTAACGAAGCAGACCTTTGTGGCAGTTTGAATCCCTGTGTGGCGTTTGCCTCCTAGGATGGGTCATAAGGAAAGGGTTAAAATGGGTGTGATATGATTGGCCAGTGAGAATGCAAGGGGGGAATAAAAGTTAGAGTGGGAGGTTTTGAAAGTCAGTTGAGGTTTGGGAGTTGGGAGTTGAGGTTTGGGAGTTGAAGAAGGAAGAGGGAGGTTTGGTGTGGGTTGGTAGAGTTGTACTGTGAGAGAGTGAGAGGAATTGTTAGGTGGAGTCAGATAGATAGTTGGAATAATCAGTTTGAAGTGGTTAGGAACTAAGAATAAGAAACTGACAAGAGAAAAATTAACTGAAACCATAAGCTTGTTCCTGCATTTAAAAATAAACTTGATTATTTGTTCATGTTAACAACTGACTGGACTCCGTGTGTCCCCGTGAGATACGGGGTGGTGGCAGCGGAAAAAGCAATCGCAGTGGCGGCACAGGGTCAATAGACCGTCAAACGTCCGGGGGCCCTGTGTGTGATCGCCACACCCTGCAACGGAGTGAGCTCCCGTTGCTCTGTCCCAGCTCCTGCCAACCTGGCAGTTTGAAAGCACACCAGCGCAAGTAGATAAATAGGCACGGCTGTGGCGGGAAGGTAAACGGCCTTTCTGTGCACTCTGGTTTCCGTCATGGTGTCCCGTTGTGCCAGAAGCGGTTTAGTCATGCTGGCCACATAACCCAGAAAGCTGTCTGTGGACAAACACCGGCTCCCTCTGCCTGAAAGCCAGATGAGCACCATAATCGCCTTTGACTGGACTTAACCATCCAGTCGGTCCTTTACCTTTACCTTTATCAATCTGGGAAAGCCTGTCTGAGCAAAATTGCTTTTGATTGTTTCTGGAAAGGGATGCTCTTCCACAGACCGGGGCAGCCACCCAGAAGGCCCTGCTCCGAATTACTACACTGGGGTGAACAGAGTCCTGACAAAGCTGCAAATCACCCCTCTCCTCTCATCAGATCAGTCATTTGATGAACAGAGAGGAGGCGATAACCCTGCCACTCTGCTCCCCATCACTGGATCTGTGCCAATTGGCTGGAGAGGGCAAAGTGCCCTCTGTGTATATAGAGTTTGTGGGGTACCCCCACCCCCACACCTTTAACTGCACCCAACGCTGGCATGCAGCCCCTGGAGAGTTGACCAAAGGTGAGAAGGGTGGGGCAGATTGATTAGCTGCCTTTGCCTTACAATAAGCCTGTGAGGTCGGCTTGAATTATTATCCTGTTGAGGAGGGAGGAAACAACAGCCTGCCTAACTTGGAGTTTTGCAGTGGATGGCTCAGTCTTAGCCATTATACATTAACTGTAGGATTTGGGGGGAAATAGAAAGCCAGAATTGTCCAGCATCCCCAACCGGAGGGCAGCTGTGTGCACACATCCAGAGACTGGGAAATACTAGCAAATAATAATAATAATGAATAATTTTATTTATACCCTGCCCTCCCCGGCCAGAGCCAGGCTCAGGGCAGCTAACAGCAGTAGAATTACAGTAAAAACATAATGGGGGGGCAATTTAAAATACAGGTTAAAATGCAATTTAAAATGCAGCCTCATCAAAACCATAAGGGGAGGGAAACATAAGGGTCAGACTGAGTCCGAACCGAAGGCCAGGCGGAACAGCTCTGTCTTGCAGGCCCTGTGGAAAGATGTCAAGTCCCGCAAGGCCCTAGTCTCTTGTGACAGAGCATTCCACCAAGTCAGGGCCAGTACTGAAAAGGCCCTGGCTCTAGTTGCGACCAATAGAATAGAATTGTAGAGGTGAAAAAGGCCCCAAAACGTTGTCTAGTCCAACCCCCTGCAATGCAGGAATCGCAACTAGTCCCCAGAAGCTGGTGCTACTTGGAAGCTTTGATCCCAGGGTTTCTTCCCCCCCCCCAACTCACCCTGCCCCTCATCCAGCAAGAGCTCCTCTCTGTTCCCCTCGCTTCATCCCCCAACCCTGTGTCCTCGTCCTAGCCAGCTCCCTGGCCCACCCAGTCCCCTGCTTCTGACCACACAGCTCCTGCCAAGGTCAGCAACTGCCATAAGTGCAAAACACAGGGGAAGTCAAGCGCTATTTAAAAAAGACCATGGAAGAACATCAACATCCAAGTCAGCGGAATGGAAATGAGGTGGGTGATAACAATGTTGTTTTTATAGACTTTTAAACAATTGATAGAAAGGTCCTATTCTGAAAGGGTCAGTTTATCAGGGTTTTAGTTGGCCAGGACTTTGTACAGGGCGTTATTCAAATGCTTCAGAAGTACCTGCTTAGCAAACATCTCAGGGGCCAGGTGAGAGCTCAGGTGATCTCGAGAGATGGGCCAGCTTTGGATTGTTATTTTTAAATGTCCCAATAAACTAATAATATTGGCACCTTTTGGTTTCATGTGAGCTCCTGAAAAGGTGATTGCTTTATTAAGTGGCAGCTTCGCTGAGATGGCAGATCTGTAACCTGGACCTCACCTTTCATCATCCACCTGATTTCATCTCTCTGTGGGGCTTGGGGAAAGTGCATCAAACTTCATTTTGAATCCCCATCAACTCTCAACTATGAAATTCACTGGCTGACCTTGGGCCAGTCGCTTTCTCTAAGCCTAACCTACTTGCAAGGTTGTTGTTGTGGAGATTAAATGAGGAGGGGGAGAATCATGCAACTCACCTGGAGATCTTTAGAGGAAAAGGTGTGATAAAAACAATAGGTAAATAAAGTTGTGCAAATATGTTCTAACAGGCGTAACCACAGATTGCCAATAAGGCGAGATAACAGCTAGATAAGGTGGTTTTAAAAGGGCAAACCTGTTGCAATCTTCTTGCAACTTCCAGTATATTGGAGGGAAAGACCCATGGCCTTGCTGTGTAAATTTACACTTCTGTGTAAATATTTTGCACTTTGCGCAATGTTCAGACCACCCAAGGCATTGATGGGCAACGTGACTCTCCTGATATGCGCATTATCAGAAAATAAAGTGAGGTCATTTCAGATGATGGCTTCCTTCCAAGTCTATGATTCTTTGATCATCTTGTGGTCTGATATCCACAACAGGCGTAAGTCTACTTAAAAGAGATGGTTCATCTAGGAATCTCAGATAGACTCCTCTGGACCTGGAGGTTCCATAAGAAGATAAGAAGAGCCCTGCTGGATCAGGCCAATGGCCCTAGCGCAGCATCACAGTGGCCAACCAGATGCTGGTGGGAAAACAAAAATCAGGACCTGAACACAAGATCCCTCTCCCCTCCGGTGACTTCTAGAAACTGGTATTCAGAAGCATTGCTGCCTCTGAGGCAGAGCCGAGCCATCATGACTAGTAGCCATCAATAACCCTCTCCTCCATGAATTTGTCCAGTGCTCCAAGTGGTGGCCATCACTGCCTCCTGTGGCAGTGAGTTCCATAGTTTAATTTCAGTGGGTCTTTGCTGGGGAAGCAGAAGCTGAATACAGTAGTACCTTGGGTTAAGTACTTAATTCATTCCAGAGGTCCGTTCTTAACCTGAAACACCACTTTAGCTAATGGGGCCTCTTGCTGCCGCTGCACCACCGCTGCAGGATTTCTGTTCTCATCCTGAAGCAAAGTTCTTAACCTGAGGTACTATTTCTGGGTTAGCAGCGTCTGTAACCTGAAGCGTATGTAACCTGAAGCGTATGTAACCTGAAGCGTATGTAACCCGAGGTACCACTGTACAAGCCAAAGTGGGGCACCTGAGCACTGCACCTTCTTTTTCTTGTTAGTCTTTCAAGCCGTTGACTCACTTTTATGCACAAAGCCTCATGAGCTCACAATTAAATTAATTCTGTGTTGTGTGAAACAAGAGGCCTGAAGGAGGGATAGTGGAGAAATTTGGTTCAGCTCACATTTTAATGCAAACCTGATTAATTCACACTACCTGAAGCAGGACATAAAGCCCCCAAAAGACAACCATTTTGAAATTCATGCTTCTCCAAATTTTGCAATGCAGCTTTCTAACAAAAAATATGTAGAAAAAGGTATGTGCTTAGAGGAAAGTGGGCATGATAAGGCATAAAGGTAAAGGTAAAGGGACCCCTGACCATTAGGTCCAGTCGTGACCGACTCTGGGGTTGCGGCATTCATCTCGCTTTATTGGCCAAGGGAGCTGGTGTACAGCTTCCGGGTCATGTGGCCAGCATGACTAAGCCGCTTCTGGTGAACCAGAGCAGCGCACGGAAATGCCGTTTACCTTCCCACTGGAGCAGTACCTATTTATCTACTTGCACTTTGACGTGCTTTCGAACTGCTAGGTTGGCAGGAGCAGGGACCAAGCAATGGGAGCTCACCCCGTCGCAGGGATTCGAACCGCCAACCTTCTGATCAGCAAGCTCTAGGCTTTGTGGTTTAACCCACAGTGCCACCCGCGTCCCGGTATGATAAGGCATACATTAGTGAAAATAACATACAAAAAAGCATGTTACGTTTAGGGAAATGAATTGCAAATATATTTAAATAGGAGAAATGTGTACTTAATTGTGGATGAATTTCCGTGAGAACTTTTTTAATTTTTATTTTAGCACCTCAAATCCCAGGCAGGAATGTGGCAAAACGAACTGAAGATTCGTCGGGAAAATGAGAAACTGAGAAAAACCAAAAAGGACAGGTTCATCCAACACTAAACGTGAATTAGAAAGATCTGGTTTTCAAGGCTGCCTTTTCCTTTGGAGTAGACAGACAGGTGTGTCACCTGAGACTTTGTCGAAATAGTGCCAATCATTGCTAAGCCTTTGTTTGTTGGCTAAAACTACTGAAAAGTGAGACCGTATTATTTCCTCACCAAACAAAGGAGCACAATAGTGACTATATGGTTTGCTGCACATTCAGGTTCAAGTAGAGACTTGAAATCCACCCCAACCCCCGCAAGTGTTTATGACTCTATCCAAGTGATCCTTCCTTCCTTCCTTCCTTCCTTCCTTCCTTCCTTCCTTCCTTCCTTCCTTCCACCTTTCACAGCTGCTTAAAGCAGTTAATATTTCCTTCCTTCTGGCACATGGGGGTGGAGGAAGCTATTTTAAGATGCTCCCAGGAAGTGGCCGCAGGTCATAACAAGTTGCCCCTACCTGGGAAACTGCATGGGGAACAAGATGGCTGCCCCTGTCCAATGTCCTTGTAAGGATATGAGGAAGATTGTGAGAGATAAAGATGGCTGCCCCCTGCCCTGATACAGCCATCAGACAGCCCTTCTTTTCTCTGTACGATTTCCCAGGAAGGGGCTGCACATTATAAAACAGCAGTATGTTGTTGTTGTTGTTCACCCCTGAGGGAGGTATCAGCTGCTCTAAGCAGGCTGTAAAATGTGAAAAAAAGAGGCAGCCCTCAGCCAACCTTGTAAGTACAGAACAGATCCTGCATGGGTCAGTTTGCCAGTTACTCAGCTTAATCCACAAATCCACGTTCTGGGCGGTGCATGGGGTTGGTGTCTGTGTGTGAATGCGATGGGCACATTCACGACAGACTGTGGACAAAACCAGAATCCTCCCTACAGTGGATGCTTGCTTGCCCCACCCCACCTGTGGGCATCCCTTTGGGGAATCTGGTTGGCCCCTGAGAGAACAGGATGCTGGACTAGATGGCCTGATCCAGCAGGCTCTTCTTATGCCCTTATGCCTCTCCCCCAGCGTCCCTTTCCTCCCTTCAGCTACACCGTCATAATGGCTTTCAGTTCATCCACCGGGTCCTGGTCTGGCCGATGCCAAAAACAGGGCAGAGGCACCGGAAGAACTTCCACAGCTGCCCATGTGGCAGAGCCAGGCTGCTCCATTTGTGACACCTTTGGCAGAATATTTCGCCGTGTTGGGACTGTCCCACTTTAGCATCCCACCCAGTGGTCCTGCCTTGGAAAAGTCCCCTGTGCCGACAGCCCCTTGCACATATGAAATCTATCATGTCAGGGAGGTGGAGAAAAAACCTCTTCGTTTTTTCTTTCCTCTGCCCTCATCAGCTTCCTTCCTTTTAGAGGGGGAAATATTCAATGGTCCGATTTCCCACACTGATTCTGCTGATTGTGTGGCAGGGCTCCTAGCTGCCATGCAGGGATATTTTTTTAGCTGTGATTGTAGGGGGGCATCCCTTCCAACTCTACGATTTCATTAAGACACAGGTGTTTAAATTGGACAAACAGACAGAGCTGTCAAGTCACATGGCAATGCTTGTGCAAGTTAATTTTATTATCCTATTTCAGAACAGTGGAAAACAGAGGCGGGGGGGGGAGAGATCTATCAGAGTGTCTATGGGGAGGAGGGGACTGTGCTGGACTTGGACACCAGGTTTGCTTCTAAGTGATTGTGTTGCAGCCATGGAAGGAAAGGAGTGGACCAATCGGAGGGGGGATTTCTCCTTCCCCCACCCCACAATTGGCTGGCGGCAGCATCTGGGAAGGAGGCAGAGGCTTCAATCTTCACTTTCTTCAACAATTTTCACTTCTCTGCAGCGATGACCAACGACATGGTGTCGTCCCCCTTCGCCTTGTCCGCCAACATACATTGAAAACGTGCATTTCTGGATCTGAAAGCAGAAGGAGAAGAAGGCAGAAACGAAAGAAAGAAAGATGTCAGTCCGGGAGGGCCTGTTTTTATTCATTTCAATATGCCTCCACTCTTCTCTTAAAGACAAGCCCTATCAGGGCTCTCCCTGAGAACATGGCAGAAAGGGTTGCGTAGATTTGGGCTCCCTTGGGAGATGGAGGACTCCCCTTCGTTGGAGTTTTGAAAGCAGAGGTCAGATGGCCACTTGTCAGGGATTCTTCAGTTGTGATTCCTGCATTGCAGGGAGTTGGACTAGATGACCCTTGGGGAACCCTTCCAACTCTATGATTCATGACTACACACAGCAAACACAGGCAGGGATCCTGGGTGCAGCATTTGGTACTTGGGAAATATGTACTCTGGTTTTTAAAAGAAGCGTTCTGGCTTATATATGTTTAAGAGTTGCAAAAAGCAAACAGATGAAACAAACCCAGCAGTGTGAATATTTGCAGAGCAATGTCCGGTCAAGTCCCAGGAATCAGAGGGAGGGGAGGACAGCATTCTCCAGCCATGTCTCAAGGGTCCTTAACCCTCTCAACAAATCGTCAGACCAATAAAGCTGACCTGGGCCAGCTTTAACATTAGGCAGAGGGAGCTGGGCTCCAGCAACAGCTGATTTTTTCAGTGCAACCCTTGAGTAGCATTTGGTCAGTTATAATTCGGTATAAGCAGAGATTTGCCGCCAGGAAGAGGTGCTTTGGGGGAGTTTCCAGTCTCAGATTTTCAAAAAATCTCAGCCTAACCTTCCTCGCAAGGTTGTTGTGTAGATAAAATGAGGAGCAGCAGAACCACGTATGCCACTTTGAGCTGCTTGGAAGAAAAGGTGGGATAAAGAATGCAATGCATGTAATATTTATAAACTAAAAGCAACAAAATGGGGGGGGGGAGTGGAAGCCTGCCACATGCCAGACCATTTCAGCCTATATAAGGCTTCAGCTGGTTCATGGCAGAGAAGGCTACTGATAGCTACTAGCCAGAATGGCTCTGCTCTGCCTCTATGGTGGGAGGCAGCAATGCTTCTGAATACCAGCTGCTGGAATTTGCTCTTGTCTTGCTTGTGGGTTTCCCTATTGGGGAATCTGGTTGGCCTCTGTGAGAACAGGATGCTGGACTAGGTGGGCCACTGGCCTGATTCAGCAGGCTCTACTGCATGGGTAGGCAAACTAAGGCCCAGGGGCCGGATCCGGCCCAACCGCCTTCTAAATCCGGCCCACGGACAGCCCAGGAACCAGCGTGTTTTTACATGAGTAGAATGTGTCCTTTTATTTAAAATGCATCTCTGGGTTATTTGTGGGGCATAGGAATTCATTCATTCCCCCCCCCCCATATATAGTCCGGCCCCCCGCAAGATCTGAGGGACAGTGGACCAGCCCCCTGCTGAAAAAGTTTGCTGACCCCTGCTCTACTGCCCGCAGAGGTTAACATATTTATTGTTCTTCCCTTAGCCTCTTGGACCTGTCCAGGGTCCTGAATCATAGCTGATCTGTGACTGTGCGCTGCTGGGTTTTCCTGGCAATCAACTGCCTGCAGAGGCAGAAAAAATAAGGGTCTCTGGGAACTCCAAAACCTGATGAAGAAGCCTCATCACAACTTAGTAGCCATTAGCTACAATGGCTGTTTTCCCTGCTCTGTACATCGGCTGCTGGGAATCATAAGTGGGGACAGTGCTGTGGTGCTCAGGTCTTCCTGCCTTGTTGGTTTCCCAGAAGAAACATCCAGTTGGCCACTGCAGGAATAGGCTGCTGACCTAGATGGGGCCCCTTTGGCAGAGCATGACCACTGTGACTAGTAGCCACTGACAGCCTGTTCCTCCACAGATTCGTCTAATCCTCTTTTAGAGCCTTCCAAGATGGTGGCCATCATCAAGACTAATGTGGGAGGGAGTTCCCCAGTTTAACAAGTGTTTTCTTCTCTCTGTCCCAAATCTTTCAACATTCAGCTTCATGGTGATTTCCATGAGTTCTAGTGTTAGGAGAGAGGGAGAGAAGCTTTTTTCTCTATCCACTCTCTTCCCCCAGAGAATTCTGGGAATTGTAGTTTCCTTTTCACAGAGGCCCCCATTTCCAGCACTCTTAATGAACTACAGTACCCGGGACACTGGGGGAGGGCAAGTTGTGCTCTTTCAATGTGTGTCAAATACTCTTCGAATATACAGTGGTGCCTCGGGTTAAGAACTTAATTTGTTCCAGAGGTCCGTTCTTAATCTGAAACTGTTCTTAACCTGAGGTACCACTTTAGCTAATGGGGCCTCCTGCTGCCACCGCTGAGTGATTTCTGTTCGCATCCTGAGGTAAAGTTCTTAACCCAAGGTACTATTTCTGGGTTAGTGGAGTCTGTAACCTGAAGCGTCTGTAACCTGAAGCGTATGTAACCCAAGGTACCACTGTACAGAGTGCATCTGCCCAAAATCGAGTCAAAATCTCCACATAACTTCAATGAAACATAGAACAGGGAAACAGACTCTGTGTTTTGAAGTTCGCAAGGAATTATGGTCCATCTCCCCTGGCTTTGCGGGCTGGTTTCATTGGCATTGTTTGTAGGAGAAGGCTTCCTGTTTAGAGCTTGCCAGATGGTTGTCCTTGAAAACCATGGATGGTGGAGTGGAAAAGCTGTAGTGGAAATGGGAACTTATACAACAATGCAGTCTGGACAGGGCATGGATATGGCAAAAGGGGAACAACGATGGGAAAGATAGATCCAGATTTTACACACAAGCAAGATGAAGAGAAAGAAATAATAGAGAAACAACAAGTCATGATTTAAGGTGGGGAGGCAAAGGGTTGGGTAACCTCATTTGTTTTTCGTTTTTTGATTTTGTTTTTAAGGGAATAAGAAAATATACAAGCCGGAATGGATAAATAGACAGCTGAGAGAAAGGAGGGAAATTAAATTTTAAAATGTGGAATTTAAGGTTAAATATAAGTAATGGAATGTGAATTGGAAAGAAATATGCAATATAAAGCAGTAAATAGGGGAAAGAAAGGACACCACTATGAAGAAGAGTGGGAAGTCAATGGGAAAATTGCATTACATTTGATGTAATTTAACACTGACATGTTAAAAACTTGGAAAACTAATAAAAATTATTCGACAGAAAAGAAAAGAAAAAGAAATGTGGAACAAAACTGGTTGTTCTCTTACCTCCTCATCTTCATCGGACAGAGGATGGCAGTCCGACAGATCTTCTGCTGACGACGACTCACCCATGTAGTCATAATGTCTGATGCGGCCGCGTGGTGACGGTCTAAGAAGCTCCTCGTCATCCCTCGTGCAATTGGTCTTCACCATATACACTGTGAATTCCATTATGAACCCGGGGGCATCCTGAAGCCAAGAAGGAGAGACATTTCATTATTACTTTTTAAAATTCTTCTTTATTGATTTAAAATATCATCTTACATTTATATTACAGACAGTTACATCAAAACTAAACATATAATAGAATTAAAAATATAATAGAAAAAAGATATATAAAATAAAAATAAAAAGCAAAAAAGAGTTAACAATCAGAAATGAATATTGGTTATAACATCCTGTCTTTTCTAATAAAGTCTTCTGAAAGAAACTTCCAGTCGTCCTCGTTGTACTTTTTTCTATTGTCTTAATTTTATCGCACAGTTTGTTTTGTAACTTTTCCTGTATATTCATCCAGTATATTTATTCCATTTGTTTATTATAGACAAGTATCATTCAGTTCTGCTAGGATAATGTCATTATTACAATATAATCTTATATATTCTTTGAATAGTCTCCATTCTCTGAATATTTTTTGATTTGGGGCTCCTCTGACTTTTCCGGTCAGCTTTGCTAATTGAAAATACTCTTTGTTGTTTAGTCATTTAGTCGTGTCCGACTCTTCGTGACCCCATGGACCAGAGCACGCCAGGCACTTCTGTCCTCCACTGCCTCCCGCAGTTTGATCAAACTCATGCTGGTAGCTTCAAGAACACCATCCAACCATCTCATCCTCTGTCGTCCCCTTCTCCTTGTGTGAAAGTCCTCTACTCTAGCATGAGTGATTGCCAGTCTATTATTGTAGGTGTTGTTTCACATTTCCAACTTCCAAGAAAGGGAGACATTTCAAGCCTTCCTGTTCTCCATGTGAAATGTTGCGTTAAGCCAGGCTAGTTCAACCGAATCCCAGTAGCTGCTTCAAAGGTGAGGGCCCAAGCCTGAGAACATACATAAGTGAGGAAGGGCTCCTCAAAGCACACACAAAGCTTTTCTTTTGCCTTAATGTTGTCTCACCCAGCTCTTCACAACAGCCTTCACCTTTCAGCCTGTGGCTTATGGGGGCCAGGTCAGAAGATGTAGGTTCTCAGGCACGGTCCCCTCAGGAGGCCCTTCCCTTTTAGAAACTGGGAGCAAGGCCTTCCCCCTCCCCATCCCACCCCCAGTTCCTGGGCCTGTTCCTCTGTGGCCCACCAGCCTAGTGGGTAGAGGCAGGAGAGATTTTTGCACAAGTCCCTCAGATCCTATGGAGAGAAAACCAAAAGCTGGAGGTTGCAATTTATAAAAACAAAACAAAAAACTCACTTGATGTTCTCAGATGGCGGGGGGATGGGGGACGACTCCTGGAGCTGCCCAGTCATGTTTCTCCATTATTAAGCCCACCCATGAAATTGCAGTTTCCTTTCCACAGAATTGGGACCATTGCATCATCTATCTATCATCTATCTATCTATCTATCTATCTATCTATCTATCTATCTATCATCTACCATATCTATCTACCATCTGATATGTTTCATTTGCATAAAAGTAATATTTTATTTTTTTTAATCACTCCAAATACCTGTAAGAATATTTCTAAAACTAATGTTGTTTTTTGTTTTTTTGTTAATTGCTATTTAAGCAAGCAGAGGGAGGAGACCAAGGCAGGGCGGGTGCATCAGAACTAGAGAGAGACCTACCAATGAATCAAAAAAGAAGAGTGGGGAATATCAGTGGCCCTCGAGATGTTTTGGGACACCAGCAGATTCAGTAGCCAGAATGGCTAATGGTCAGCAATGCTGGGCATTTAGCAACATCTGCAGATGTACCAGGACTGGGAGCTGAAGGGAACCCCATGAACCCCAGAACATACACAAGTCGGACCAGCTGTGTTCCCAGCTGAAGGTAGCCTCAGTGCCTTTTACCCGCTGTGACTGTGGTCCAGCTACAACCATTTCTGGACCAGGAAAGCCTGACAGTAGTTCGTGCACTGGTGACTTCGAGACTGGATTACTGCAATTCACTCTGTGTGGGGCACCTCTTCCGTCTGATCCAGAAGTTAGTGCAGAATACTGCAGCACGATTGCTGAGAGGAGTGAGGCCCTGTCACCACGACACTGGTGCTCAGATACTTGCACTAGTTGCTGATTTTTCTACTGTTAATGGTGTGACTGGGGTCTGTTTACTGGCGAGATCGCCTTACCCCATACGTGCCCACTTGTTCGCTTCAGTTGGTGCCACATAGTGCTCATTCCCCATCTGTAAGAAATTGATATTTTAGAGTGGCAGCACCTACACTATGGAACTCCCTGCCTCTTGATCTCAAGCTGCATTCTCTTTGCTGCATTCTTTCCGGTGCATGCTAAAAGCATTTTTTGTTTAAGCAAGCCTGTCCAGATATAGAACATTGAAGTGTATTTTAATTTGGACAAACTTTTTTTTTTTTTTTGCGGAAAGGGGAGCAAGAAAAAAGAGCGACACCCCCCCCTCCCTGGGGCTTCCCAGCCACCTTCTCCTCTTACCTTGATTTTAAACTCTGCATCCTCGTATAGCTTATAGAAATGTTTGGGGTTCTGCGCATTAAAGTAATCTGTAATCTTTCTCTTGAAGTAATCCCTGAGAAACTGAGAATGCTCTTCATTTTTCAACGTAAGCCGATCGTGTTTCGCCCTTTCCTCGTACTCTTCCTCCGATGTGAGCGGCCGTGGTGCTGGCCCTCGACAACAGTGCCACTGTCCTCCGTCCCCTGAGTCCGGCTGATTCTCTTCTTCCTGTGCCCCCCATGCCGGCTGACCCAAGAGCAGGACTCCCAAGAGGAGCAGCGGCAAACACAGCCAGGATCTGGTCATTGTGGCAAGGAAAGGCTGGGAACTCAGAGGCTACCCGGCTGAAGGCAAGGAGCCTACAGATATAAGGATGGAGGAGGCTCCGCCCCTAGTGGCTCCGCCCACCCCAACTGGAAGGACCCCGCCTCCTCCAAGACACATCTGCCAGATCAGAGAGATGAAAAGTGAGTTGAGTCTGAGAACCCAGCACAGGCTTGTGACCTCAGCCTCTGGGAGGTCCTTTTCGCTCCTCTGATTCAAATACCTCTCATAACAAGCTACTGTCTACTAATCAAAACAGGCGCTTGGAGATTTATTTCTTTGGCCCTCTGTTCTCCCCAGTGAGGCCTCCAGGATGCTACAGTCCACTTCCCTGGGATGCCATGAGGCGAGGGGGTGTCCCAAGGATGAACACCCAGAAGAGGGTTATTTTATTTTATTTCAAATATTTCATTGTTTTCACCAGTGCTTTTTTCTGGGGGAAGGGGAACGCAGGGGTAAACATTTTGTGAATCTTTGTACTTTTGTCCATTTACTGTATTTATTTTTCCTGATTTGTACTATAAAAGGGTGATTTTCTGGAGTCAAAATGAGAGCACCCCTAAACATTTTTTTGAAAGAAAAAAAGCACTGGTTTTCACTGTGTTGCCACCCTCTGGACATCTCAAGGAGGTGGCACATGAAGGAGGGCCTCAGAAGATGATCTCAGGGTCCGGGTAGGTTCATATGGGAAGAGGTGGTCCTTGAGGTATTGCGGTCCTGAGCCGTTTAGGGATGTGTAGATCAGTTGTGGGTGAGACAATCCAAGAAGATCTGAGTAGTTAAACTTTTGTACAGTGATACCTCGGGTTACAAACACTTCAGGTTACAGACTCCGCTAACCCGGAAGTAGTACCTCGGGTTAAGAACTTTACCTCAGGATGAGAACAGAAATTGTGTAGCAGCAGTGGGAGGCCTCATTAGCTAAAGTGGTACCTCAGGTTAAGAACGATTTCAAGTTAAGAACGGACCTTCGGAATGAATTAAGTTCGTAACCAGAGGTACCACTGTATACAGCCTTGTAGCTGCTAACTACTGCTAAGTAAAGTTTGTTCCTTCTAATGCAGCCTGTGTGGGTATTGCAAATGCCACATGGTGAGAGCAGTGGGATAGCTGTAGTTCAAAGTGCCACCAAGACGCCAGAGAAGATTTTGGACTCTGATTCACCTGCAACTATATCACAGGAGGCAGAGTACCCGGTACTCTGGATCATTGTAATCTTGTAGATGCTACCATACAGTAATTGCAAATCCTGCATCTAGGTCAGGATAGACTCCAAATCTCATCCCCGCCATGTCCTGCCGGCTGAGTAGATGGGAGTCCAACAACCTCAAAGGGGCGGGCATCACAGCTTCCTTATCCCTTCTCTGAGGACTCCCCCAAACCTCTTATTCCCCTCTCTGTACACATAGAATTGTAGAGTTGGGACCTCCAAGGCTCATCTAGTCCAACCCCCTCCAGTGCAGGAATGGCAGCTCAGTTTTTTCTTTAACTTGCCCCTCTGGCCCCACTGCCTGTCCTGCTCCAGGCAGCAACCCCCTCTTCTCCTCTCACTTCATCCCCTCTTCCTAACCAGCTCCCTGGCCAACCCAGTTCCCTGCCTCTGCCCTCACTGCCAAGGTCAGCAAAAGAGAAAACAGCATACGAAGCACGGGGGAAATAAAGCACCATTTAAAAAAATGAACAAGGGCACCCAATTGCCATTCACCTGGATGCAATTATGTCATCAGTCACTGTATTATTTCATTGCGCTTCTGGACATCTTACAAGGAACTGCAAGTCTGAAAGAGCTCACTCACCAGAGTTTTCTTTGGCAAGGTCCAGCCGGGAGCATTATCCACGTGGAATGATGGTACCCAGTTCTCAAACACCCCATGGGCCAAGAAAAATGTCAGGTGATGTCTGAAAAGAGGCCAGCTTTCGATTGTTGTCACAATAAGCCTGACATTTCCATCGCTTTGATGGAAACGCTTCTAAATGTCACTGAGCAGTATGACACGGCGCTCCTTGAGCCTTAATTGCAAGATTAGAATGTGATTTGGCTAGGACACACGCTTGGCTTGCAGAATGCCTCACTTTCAGGCATCTCCAGGTGAAAGCAAAGCAAACTTTCCTGAGGCTGATTCTGGAAATGGAATCAACACGTCGTGTTAAGATCCTGGGCGCTCGGGGCCAGAGCTTGCAAACGGGGACAAGGATTGCTGGAGGAGACTAAAAGAGTGAGCTTGTGGCTTTTGGAGCCTGAGGGTGTGTGTGGCTGATTGCTCTGTGGGAACACAGGATCTGAGGGAGAGGAGATACAGCTGAGAAGAAGCCAGGCTGAGGGATGTCAGGGACTGGACTGAAGACGAGGGCTGGGGATCACCCCCTTCTTCTCCTCTGCTTCTCTCGGAGGAGGAGGGGAAGGGGGGGAATCGCCCCACCTTCTCCAGCAGTTTCAAGAGAAAAGGGAGACAGGTTTGAATTACAGCAGAACTCAGAATATTATTGGCACAAAAATGGAAGCAAGAAGAATTACCAACGAAAGAAGAATGGCAGATGAAATTGATGGACTATGCAGAATTAGTTAAACTAACAGGAAGGATTCAAAACCTACAGGGCCAGAGATTCTTAGAAGACTATATGAACTATTTGAAAAGTAACTGTAATGAACGGATTACGCTAGGAGGACTGTAATAAGTTTTGTAAGGAGGACTATTTGAAATATTGCAAGAAAGGCTATGGGGAGAATTATTAGTTAATGATAATTAAGAGTAATAGAGAAATTAAGAAATGCCGAATAAGTGATAAAGAATGGAAAATCATCAGAGGTGTTGACGGAAGTCTAAAATATTGTATAAGATAAGAAGTTATGTTATATGATTGTTGGAAATGATACGTTAAAAAAACCAATAAAAATGTGTGTGTGTGTATGTGTGTGTGTATTTACAGCAGAACTCAGGGCTGCCAAGTTATGAGGTGTAAGGAGAAGGACGGGATGGGGGAGAACTGCCGGCGGAGACATCCTTGGAAAGCATGGAAGAGTCACCATCCCCGCGTACACGCCGCTCAGTTAGAATTCAAGAGCAAAGGGCTCAACGACATTTGACTCCTGAACACCCCCCCCCCCAGAGCCACTGGCTGTTGCTGGGGAAAGAAGGGAATGAGTTCAGAGTGAGCAACGTCACTATGGAGTTAGGGACTGAATTCTTTGTCTTGCACCACAATGACTGAATGAAACCATAAATACGAACTTTCTTGTTTCTTCCTTGATCCTTGATGCTACCGGGGGAGGAGAGAATTCTCCCAAGCCTGACAAGGGAGGAGTTAGCAACCAGCAGCAGTCAAACTTAGCTCAGTGCAGATCCTGGGAGATCGCAAACTGGGGCGTTTACGAAGGCGTTTAGTAGGGGAGCTGAAGGGGGAGTCCTTCTGTCTCTCGGTGTGCATAGGACCAGAGACATGGAGGGTGAGGGAGCTGGTGCAGTGACCTATAACACCTGTGCCATGCTGGTCATTCTGCCAGACAACAAGCAACAGTACACTTGTAACAGGGCAACATGCAGAGTTTCTTGATAGAGCCGAGTTGGCTGAGATTGAGCATCAAGATAGATGAGGTGCCTCCAGGGTGGAGAAAGATTGCCCGTTGCAAGAGTCTAACCCCTGGAGGAATGTGGTGCACAGACGTAGGACAGTCACAAACCACACTTTGTCATTGGAGTTGCAAAATTGCTTCCCTGCCCTCACCTTAGACACTGATTCTGGGTCAGAGGAGCTAGGACAGCAGTTGCCAACCTCAGAAGACACAAAGGCAGCTGTGAAAGGAACAGTGCACAGAATGATTATTACCACCCTCCAGAGGCGAAAGAGATAGGAGGAGATGGATTTAGAAGGGTCTTTTTCCATTCTTGATCTAACCCCATCAAATCCGTGGATGAGTATGCTGATAGCATCCTTGCTGCCTTCCGTGCAGACGATGTTGGAGAAAGGGAATTTCAGCCTAGAGATGACAAGCTGGGAGGAAGAGGATGGGGGGTGCGTCCCACAGGGGTGGGGTGAGCGTTCTGGGAGTGGGGTGCCCAGCGGGGGGGGGGCAGCCACGATGGAAATAAGGGAGATTCCCTTATTCTGAATAGGAAAAGTTGACAGCTGTTCATTCTATTCATGTGAAAACACGCTGATTCCTGGACCATTCACAGGCCAGACTGAGTAGGCGATTGGGACCGGATCCGGCCCCTGGGCCTTAGTTTGCCTATCCATGGGCTAGAAAATAAAAGCTGAAAGTTTCGGGACAAAGGAAAGGACTTCTTAACTTAGTGCGTCATTTATACAAGTATATAATCTTCATCCCATTTTAGGCTGTACCTCCATGGTGAGAAGCTGAGGCACACAAGTGGAGCACTCAAGTTCTCCTTTGGGCTTCTCAGAGAGTCAGAGTGGTTAGAGTATTGGACTAGGACTTGGGAGACCAGGGTTCAAATCCCCGCTTGGCCGTGAAGCTCCTGGGGTTTCATTGGGCCAGCGCTTGGGCATGTTTCCTGCCTCAGATATCACAAATCTCAGCCTAACTGACCTCACAGGGTTGTTGTGGAAATTAAATGAGGAGGCAAAAATCCATGAACATCTTGAAGAAAAAGGTGGGATATAAATGCAATAGATAGATCAATAGATTGATAGATTCTATAGGAGGAAGTTTGCTGAAACTGTCAGGCAAGTTCCTTTGTCAAGCTAATGCTCTTGACCTCTCAGCTAAGTACCTGCCATGCATATCTTAAGGAGTGAGTTCTGTTGCCATAGAAACAAATGGGCGGGCCTTTCCTGCCTCATTCGGCTGGATGCATCATCCTAGCCATAGTCCAGGGGTCAGCAACCTTTCTCAGCAGGGCTGGTCCACCATCCCTCAGACCATGTGGTGGGCTGGACTATATTTGGGGGGGGGTGAACAAAGAGATGCATTTTAAATAAAATCACACATTCTACTCATGTAAAAACACGCTGATTTCCACAGGATGCCTACCCCTGCCATAGTAAAAAAAAAAAAAATGTGTCTGTGAGAGAGAATTTTTGGATGGTACTGGAAGCTGGCTGCACAGAGTCTTGGTTCACTCTGTGCTAGATCCAAAGCTGTGACCTGGGGCTCCCCTGGAAACCTAATGGGGAAGTAACATCTGTTGGGGTGTTGTGAGCCCCTCCATCCTATGCTCAGGCTGAATATATGTGTAAACTAAACCATATATCCAAAAGACACCCGTCTCTTTCGACCTTCATTCCATAGAAACCAAACCCTGGAGTCTCTCGCTGCTGGACAATTGGGTTGAGCACAATATTTATTGCAGGGATGAAAGAGAGGTTGCTAAGAGGGGCACCTTCTGCTTCAAGGTCAAATAAAGTCAGGAGGAGGCCAAAAAAAAGACCCGACTCATCACTGAATGTGTGTTACTCACACAACACGGCAGTCAAGTGGTGCAGCTCCTACAGGACCATACCATGAATGCAATGGGGGTGGGGTGGAGAATTGAGATTGGACCTTTCCATTTCCCCTTATCTAAAAAATATCCTTGCACTTAGAAAACTAGCCTGTTGAAGAAGATGGGCTCTGGCAGCCCTCACATTCTGTGTGTTGTATTCAAGCATGCATATCTTTCACCCGAACAGGTAAAGTTCAGCGAGGGTTGCGCTATCCATTTCTGATTATCGTGCTTCTCTATCCAGCTCACTCTCCAGAGCGGCCATGATGGCTTAAGGGGACACTCAGGAGAAAAGCCTGATGAGGAATGGTTGAGGGAGTTGGTGATACGAGAGCCACCTTCAAGTATCTGAAGGGCTGTCGAACAGAATATGGGGCAAGCTTGTTTTCTTCTTCTCCAGCGGGGAGGATCTGAAGCAATGGATTTGATTGACAAGAACAGAAAACTAAACATTGGAAAGAACTTTCTGATAGTAAGAGCTGTTTGACAGTGGAGTGGACTCCCTCAGAAGGTGGCGGACTCTCCTTTCTTGCATCTTTTTAAGCAGAGGTTGGGTGGCCAACAGTCAGGGATTCTTTAGCTGTGATTATTATTATTATTTTGGCCAAATAATATTTATTTGTTTTCCAAATTTTTAACGAATCAGTAACAAATTACATCAAATTTAATATATTTTCCCTCAATTTTAATACATTTTCTCTCAAATTTAATACATTTTCTCTCAAATCTTATACATTTTTTTTCTTAATTTTTTGTTTAGCCATGATTTCTGCATCGCAGGGGTTGGGCTTGATGACCCTTGGGGGAACCTTCTGACTCTTTTGTTTCTATGAAAACACACAGTAATGCTTGTGCAAGTCAATTTTATTATCCTACTTTGGAACAGTGGGAAGAGAGCGATTCTGGGGTGCGGAGGGGACTGCGGTGGATTCCAACGCCTCCTTTTAGTGGGAGAGTTTTCTGGCTTGTATCTAAGTGATTACATTGCAGGTGCGGAAGGAAGGAAAGGGGTAAATCAAGCGGGGGCTTCTCTCCCACCGCTGCCAGCAAAAGTGGGCATCAGCATTCAGAGAGGAGGCCAAATCTTCAATACTCTTCAAGGGGGGGTTCAAACATTTCCTCCTCCTCCTCCTCCTCCTCCTCCTCCTCCTCCTCCGCCTCTTCAGAGATTCCTTCCGTTCTTCCAGGAACATGTTCGCAATCCTCGTCAATCACAGTTGCCCCTCCATACTCCTCATCTAGAAATATTTTAAACGTGCAGTCGTATTTCTAAAAACAGAGGTAAGATGGGGGGGGAGAGAGAACAAGAGACACATGCAAATTAAGAAAACAAAAGACGAGAAATCCCATGTATTGAAGACAATCTGGCAACACACTTATTAGGAAAGAAGGAAGGGGCTCTTTGGTTTCGGGTTAGACACAGCCATGGACTCAGGCGGCAGCATTCAGCATCCTGAAAAGACCAGCTCTTTATGTTGGGGAAACAGTCAGAGACAGACGGCAACTGCTTGGTTGTCCAGGGAATACAAGCAAAGGAAGGCTGAGCTGGATCTAACATAAGGAAAGCCTGCTGGATCAGGCCAATGGCTCATCCAGTCCAGCAACCGGTTCTCACAGGGGACAACCAGATACCTGTGGGGAGCCAGCGAACATGGCCTGAGCACAATAGCATCTCCCCCCACCTGTGGTTTCTTCCAGCATTATTGCTTCTGACTGTGGAGGGACAGCACAGTCACCATGGCTAGGAGCCATCAATAGCCTTCTCCCCCATGAATCTGTCTAATCCTCCTTTAAAGCCACCGTGGTTGGTGGCAATCACTGCCTCCTGCAGGGGCGAGTTCCAAAGATTAACGCTGCTTAGCTATTATCCTTTTCCGCCCTGCTGAGCTCCACAAGGGCAACTCAGAGACTGAGGATGGGGGAAGCCGATAGGCAGGCCCACCCCTTGTAAGAAAATGGGACTGTGGGCGTGGGGGGGGGGGACAGGCTGAGGTTGGTAGGGCAGCGCCCCATTCCCCCTAAAGGGCCAGCCTCCCTGTTGCTCCCAGGACATGTTAAGACATCTGACATCATCTGGCAGTCCGGACTGAAAAACAACACCGATTCTGTTATCTTACCTCCTGTTCAGATTCAGGTAGTAGCACACAACCCTGGCTCTCCAAGTACAGATCGGAGTACCGCGGGACGGAATCCTCCTGGTTGCTCACGTCATCCTTTGTGCAGTTGGTTTTCGCCAAAGTCATCTCAAAGGTGAGTATTATCCCTTCCGCCTTCTGGAAGCAGAGAACGAGAAAGACTTTCGAGCTGAAGCTGATGCATGGCTTGGCTTGGCCAAGTCGTCTCCAGAGGTGTAGGCTTGCATTAAGGCAGGGCTTAGCTTGGAATGTGCTAAGTGCGTAAAATGCAAAAAAAGGGTATCGAAGCATGTGCAGAGTGCCTTTCGCTCGCCACCAGGGAATTGCTCCCAACCCTTAGAACGCTTGGCATGTCAGGCCAAGTCAGGCTGTTGTCGTTCTTGCATTTGTAGCTCACCTTTTCTTCAAAAAGCTCAAGGTGGCGAACATGCTTCTGTGCACACCCACCCTCCGTTCTATCCTCACAAGAACCCTGCGAGGTAGACTAGGCTAGGAGAGAGTGACTGGCCCAAGGTCACCCTATGGGCTTCACAGGTGAGTGGGAATTCAAACCCTTGTCCCCCAGGTCCTAGTCCAGCGCTCTAACCACTACACCATGCTGGCTCTCTGAGTCCCTCCAGTCTAGGGTTGCTTTGTGTCTGGAATTTTGAAAATTCAGCAAAATGTCTGGGTTTTTGCAAGCAGAACCAGGAAGTGACTTATTAAAGGGGGTGGTGGGGGAGATTCTTGCTCTTGGATTCCAAACACCGCCCGCCCCGCCCCACCCGCCCCGGTGTTCTCTGACTACAAACGTCATACTGTCGCAGATTAAGGAACCTACCCCCCCCCCCCGCCATTTACAGAAATCATCATCATTATTTTTGATAGGTAATTGGGATTTGGAGAAATGTAGAAAAGAGGGAAAGGGGTTTGTGTATGATTTATTAGTTAATTGTTTTATGTAGCCTCTACTCCATATATTAAAAGCACTCTTAAACCTCTTTAAACATTCATGGTTCTCCCCACTACCGCAAGAAAAATAATCGTCAGAAATGTAGTTTCTTAAGGGTGCTGACTCACAGAGTTCCAAGCTTTCCTAACAAGCTACAGTGCAGTTTTCCAACCAACCAATGTTTACAAAAATGCATGTACTGGGGCGAAAGTGTGCCTAAGAATGTAAGTAACATGCAGAAATGCATTGTGTTTGGGAAAAGATGCCTGCAAAAAATGTGAGACAAAACTGCATGCAAAAAATGTTGTTTATTAGGAGAAATCTGCACCCAGGTGGTAAGGGATTTTCATGAGGATTTTTTAAAAGAAATGAATCTGTGGATTGCTGGGATAGCTCAACTGGTAGAGCATGAGAATCTTAATCTCTGGGATGTGGGTTTGAGTCCTATGTTGGGTGAAGGATTTCTACATTGCAAGGGGTTGGACTGGATGACCTTTGTGGTTCCTTCCAACACTACAGTTCTATGGTTCTAAGATGGATAACTGTACTTCAGACTGGGAAAATGAGGGAGCATCAGGTTGGGAAGTCCTGGTGCAGAGGGAGGGCAGGGGGCTCAGTTGCACCCACAAGCCCCACCACCTGAACGCTAGAGGAGCCTCCACCCTATACAAGGGGAATCTCAACAGAACAATATTTTCTAGTTCCCCACTTTATCTGTGCCTTTTCTCAGCCTCAGGAGAGAGGAAGGGCCTTCTCTGTAGTGGTTCCCCATTTGTGGAATGCTCTCCCCAGGGAGGTTCGCCAGGCACCTTCATTATATATTTTTAGGCACCAGGCAAAAAACATTCCTCTGATTAATATTCAACAGCCTTTTAAATACGTCTGAGAAAAAGGGGGGCTTATTATTTTACTGCTTTGTTTTCACTATTGACTTGTTTTTAATCCTGTATTGTATTCTGTGCCCTGAGAGTTTATGATGAAGGGTGGTTCTTAAATCTAATAAACAACAGTAATGAAGGTCCCCAGGTGTCTTACACCCAAAGGGTAGAAACCATACCAATGGATTCAAGTGCCAAGAATGGAGATTCTGACTAAACATTAGGAAGGACTTTCTGAGGGCAAGAGCTGTTCAACAGTGGAACGAACAGTCCCTCAGAAAATGGCGGGCTCTCCTTCGCTGGAGGTTTTCGCAAAGAGGTTGAATGACTATCTGAAAGGCATTCAGCAGTGATTCCTGCATTGAAGGGGATTCAGCTAGATGTATCCTTGGGATGCCTGCCAATTCTACAATTCTAGGATTCTATGGTCCCATAGTCCACACCCACCCACCCACCCACCCACCCACACACACCCACCCACTTGGGGAACCTTTCACAACCTCTGCTTTGCTCACCTCGACATCCATATGGCTGCTCTCATAGTGCTTGTAGTAATTGCCATATCTGCTTTGCCAATCATATTTGTTATAGTGAGCCACCGCCATATGCTTCATGAAGTCATGCACTGGCTTTGCGCTGTATGCTGCCTCCTCCTCCATAAACCTTCTATGCGCTTGAGCCATCATCCTCTCATGGTCCTCAAAGCTGCGTGGCCTCCAGTAGTCTGAATCTTCCAGGCTTTCCTCCTCTTCCCAATCCCCCTCTTCTTCTTCGGCCGAAGGTGGCACCATCTGCTCCTCAGGCTCCTCTGGGACAGGCTCATCTCCCCAGGAGGGCTGCTCTTCTTCTTCTTCTTGCCCCCACACCGGCTGCCCCAGGAGCAGGGCTCCCACGAGGAGCAATGACAAACACAGCCAGGATCTGGTCATTGTGGCAAGGAAAGGCTGGGAACTCAGAGGCTGCCTGGCTGGAGGCGAAAGCCCTGCAGATATAGGGATGGAGGAGGCTCCGCCCGCTGGTGGCTCCGCCCACCCCAACTGGAAGGACCCCGCCTGCTCCAAGACATGTCCACATCACAGAGGAGAAAAGTGAGCTGAATCTGACAATCCAGCACAGACTCGTGGCTCCAGGCTCAGCCTTTGGGAGATCCCCTTTGCTCCTGCAGTTCAATTACCTCTCATGAAAAGCTATTGTTTACTAAGGTGCTTGGACAGAGGTTTCCCAAATTGTGGTCCATGAACTTCATGCTAGTGGTCCATGGCATGCCTGCATTAAACAGTCATTATTATTATTATTATTATTATTATTATTATTATTATTATTATTGGATTTCTTTAATAAGATCTGCAAATGCAATAAGCAAAAACAAAACATCAAGCTAGAAATAATAATTAAACAGTTGTAAGAGGAAGAAGAAGAAGAAGAAGAAGAAGAAGAAGAAGAAGAAGAAGAAGGAGTGTCACAAAATATATTCCATAGTGGAATGTAAGGTTCATATTTATGCAAAACTTATAAAATAATCATGAATCCATTATTGATTTCTAATTGCATTTTTACTACAGTGGTACCTCGGGTTACATACGCTTCAGGTTACATACGCCTCAGGTTACAGACTCCGCTAACCCAGAAATAGTACCTTGGGTTAAGAACTTTGCTTCAGGATGAGAACAGAAATCGTGCTTCGGTGGTGCGGCAGCAGCAGGAGGCCCCATTAGCTAAAGTGGTGCTTCAGGTTAAGAACAGTTTCAGGTTAAGAACGGACTTCCGGAATGAATTAAGTACTTAACCCGAGGTACCACTGTACTTATTTTATTCCATATACTGTGTTTTCTTCCATAACCCTTTGAATTCCAGGGAATCCATACCAAATTCTATGGAATTTGTACCAAAACACCATCACAAGCTATTCCTCGCAGAAATCTTTAGCAACAGAAGTGGTGAGGTTGAATTGCATCGGCGCTTACAGCCCTCGCTTTATCGCACTCCCGGCTGTGTGGCAGTTCCAGCTGCCACAGGCAATCTATAGCACCAAACTGTACAATTTTGTAAGGTGCCAAAGGTTTCACCTTCTCCTCTTTTGCACTGTGCATAGTAAAACTGCACCAATCAAACAAGAACACCTCTTTTTGTTTAATTCCCCCTGCATAATTTTCCTATCGGTGCTAATCTACAGGCTTTCTTATACTGTGTGGTCAATGTTTCACCCTCTAAGAATTTTGAAAGTCTGGCTGTTATGGGCTGGTAAGATGCTTAAAATGCAGCTTTATATTGTTCTCTAGGTCAAGATTAAGCAAGGCCAACTCTGAGCCTTTGACTGTGTTTTCTGCAGTTATCTCTCTGATTACCGTATTTTTCGCTCCATAGGGCGCACCAGACCATAGGGCGCACCTAGTTTTTAGGGGGGGGAATAAAGAAAGTGCACAACTTCACCTTCGCTCCCGGAGCTTGCCGGGCTGGGGGCAGGGGAAGCCGGGCTGGGGGCGGGGGAAGCCGGGAGTTGGCGCTGCGCTCCCCGGGCTTCAGGCTGCTATCCGCAAGCCTTCGGAGCCCGGCGGGAACTCCCACCGCGCTCCGAAGGCTTGCGGATAGCTGCCTGAAGCCTGGAGAGCGAGAGGGGTTGGTGCGCACCGACCCCTCTCACTCCCCAGGCTTCAGCGAAAGCCTGCATTCGCTCCATAGGACGCACATTTTTGGAGGGGAAAAAGTGCTTCCTATAGAGCGAAAAATACGGTACTTGGAAGACTTCCTTGCAGAATGTAGCTACCTTGTCACAGGTCCGCCACATGTGGAGATGTGGAACCCAACATTCCACATCTGCCCCCAAGTTGTGGGTGGCTGTGAGCACCACTAATGTGGGGCAGGTGGATTGGAGTGAGGCGCCACTTCTGCAGAATTTCCCATGCCATTTCTTTGGGATTTTCCCTTTGTTAATATTTTTTTAAGCAATGGCAAGAAACCTAAGAGCATAAGAAGTGCCTGCTGGATCAGCCAATTGCCTATGTAGTCCAGCATCTTGTTCTCACAGTGGCCAACCAGATGCCTGTGGGAAACTTGCAACCAGGAACCAAGCACAAGAGCCCTCTCCCCTCCCAGGTTTTCCAGCAATGCTGCCTCCAGCTGCCTCCGTCTATTTTCTTGTTGACATGCTCAAAGGCAGCTAATAGGTTCATAAGACTGGGCCATGCTGGTGCTTCAACAACAACAACAACAACAACAACAACAACAACAACAACACTGTAGTAGTAGTAGTAGTAGTAGTAGTAGTAATAATAATAATAATAATAATAATATATTATTTATACTCCACCCATCTGCCTGGGTTTCCCCAGCCACTCCGGGTGGCTCCCAACCGAATATTAAAAACACAATACAGCATTAAACATTAAAAACTTCCCTAAACAGGGCTGCCTTCAGATGTCTTTTAAAAGTAAGATAGCTGCTTATTGCCTTGACATCTGATGGGAGGGCGTTCCACAGGGCAGGTGCCACCACCGAGAAGGCCCTCTGCCTGGTTCCCTGTAACCTCACTTCTCGCAGTGAGGGAACCGCCAGAAGGCCCTCGGCGCTGGACCTCAGTGTCCGGGCAGAACGATGGGGCTGGAGACGCTCCTTCAGGTATACAGGACCGAGGCCATTTAGGGCTTTAAAGGTCAGCACCAACACTTTGAATTGTGCTCGGAAACGTACTGGGAGCTTGTTCTTCTGTATGCTTGGTCATTTTATCTTTAACAATACTTCCCACCACTTTTCCAGGTGAAAGCGAACCACTCTGTGATTTCCCGGATCTCCCTTGGATCCCTTTTAAACATGTATAATCTGAGGAAAAATCAGGTGACACAAAGATTCTCATTCCCAACCTTCTGCACTATAGAATCATAGAACTGTAGAGTCGGAAGGGACCACGAGAGTCATCTAGTCCAGCCCCCCACAAAACAGGAATCTTTTTGCCCTATGAGGGACTTGAACCCACAACCCTGAGATTAAGCTCATGCTCTACTGACAGAGATATCTCTCTCCACACATCTATGATTACAGTGGTACCTCGGGTTAAGTACTTAAATCGTTCCGGAGGTCCGTTCTTAACCTGAAACAGTTCTTAACCTGAAGCACCACTTTAGCTAATGAGGCCTCCTGTTGCTGCTGTGCCACCGGAGCACGATTTCTGTTCTCATCCTGAAGCAAAGTTCTTAACCCGAGGTACTATTTCTGGGTTAGCGAAGTCTGTAACCTGAAGCGTATGTAACCTGAAGCGTATGTAACCCGAGGTACCACTGTACTGGGGAAAGCTTTCAATAATAAAGCTGGGCTGTTGCAAATCCAAGGAACATTCATAGATGCATTATATGGAGAGTCAGGCCATGGGGCCATTGAGCTCAGCACTGTTGACATCCAGGAGACAGCCAACCAAATGCTTTTCAGATGGTGCAGGATTCCAGCTCCCACCATCCTGGACTATTGGCCATGCTGGCTGCAGGGGCTGCTGGGAGCATCTTGAAGGACACAGGTCCTACTCCCTGGTTTAATCTAAACTTACTGGCAACAGCTCTCCAAGCTTTCAGAGAAGACACAGACCTCATTTATCCATAGGCTTGCTTTGCTTTGACAGTGTGTGCAGAATCAGGAGCTCCTTCTACCCTCCCCAGTCCAACCAGTCACCCTCACTGGGCCCTCTTCCTGGCCCAGAGCACCACCTGTCCTTGCCAAGGTCAGCAATGGAGATAACGGAATATAAAGCACAGGGGAGATGAAGCGTTATTATTTTTAAAAGATGACCAAGGAAGGACATCAAAATGCAACCGAGCTGAATGGAAATGGCATCGATGATAACGATGATATTTTTGTATGCTTTTCGCACAATGAACAGGGAGCTCCCGTTCTGAAAGGGGCAATTCAGCAGGGTTTTCGTTGGCAAGAACGTTGGTCCAGGGCGCTATTCAAATATTTTGGAGGTACATGATTAACAGTCCAGGTGAAGCCTCAGGTGACCTCAAGAGATGGGCCAGCTTTGGGTTTGTTTTAATGTCCCAATAAACTAATAATCCTCGCAACTTTTGCTTTGATTTGAGTCCCTGAAAAGATCACTGCCAATGCATCAAGAATCTTTATCAGATGTCCTTATCAATATATCTGACAAGAAGGGCTTTTGGGGTTTGCTTGTCGGTTTGTTCTACGTTTTAAACCTCTTAATCTCCCTTTGCCTCATTTCACCTCATTTGGGGGCCTGAAGAAAGTTTGTTCAGCTTCATTTCTCTTTGCGTTCATCCAGAATTAAAAACGTAACTGTAAAAGATTTCTTTGGTGAAGCAGAATACCACCTTTCTGTGGCAGGATTCTGGGAGGGGGGGGGAGATGCATTTCAAAATGTAGCCAGGATGGGCCTGATTTTGATACACCCTTTTGGAAAACATTTTGGGCACAAAACAGCCCAGAATGCCTGTTTCTGAGGCATCCAAAACCATCTGATCTAGGCACTCCTTAAATCTAGGCAGGACTACTTTGGGGTCAGCTGGATGGGGGAAATACTCAATTCAGTTCCCATTTAAAGTCAGATCTATTCATTTCAAACTTTTGAAAACAGTTTGAGAACTGGAACACACCCCAGACAATTTACACTTCTCTGAATTTTGCAACAGAGTTCTCCCTCCAATGTTGTTGTTTTTTTTTAATGCCTTTCATAAGTCAAAAACATGTAGAAAAATTGATATGATGAAGAAATACAATAAATACTAGAAGCTGTTTGCAAAACTGTGTATGCTGGTGATTATCAATTGTACCTGTCATTTGTCAGTTCACTCAGTACCTCATTTTCCTAGTCTTAAATTCAGTTCCCCACATTTTGCAGCAACTCATGACAATTCTTCAGAGTCATAGCGCAAATTTCTCTGAAACAGCATGTGTTTGTTGCAGTTCTGACTAATGTACCCATTTTTGCAAGAAATTCCCCTAATTTTGAGAAACATCATTAGTTGGAGAGTAGCATTGCAAAATTCAGATGAACACAAATTTCAAAGAATGGCTGTGTTTTGCTTCTCATAAAGTGTGAATTTGAGTGATTCCTTTTTAAATGCAAACAGAATCATATTTCTCCCCATTCCCTGGCCAGAACTGCTTACACAAAAAAATATGTTTATTTATGGAAAAACGCTGAAGAATTCTCATGAGGACTTTTTTTAAAAAAAATAAATCTAAAATGACAAACTGAAGCTGAATTTAAGATTGAAAAGAAGAGAGGGAACTGGTATTGACACATTCTTCCATTCCCAGGTGGAAGTGAAAAATCCAGCTTCTGGGCATTTGTACCAGCTTGGGTACAAATCACCTCACGGCATCCCAGAGAACTGAACTGCAGCAATCCCGGAGGGCTCACTGGGGAGAACAGAGGGCCAAAGAAATAAATCTCCTAGCACCTGTTTTGATTAGTAAATGATAGCTTGTTGTGAGAGGTATCTGAATCAGAGGAGCGAAAGGGACCTCCCAGAGCTTGAGCGTGAAGTCACAAGTCTTTGCTGGGTTCTGGGACTCGACTCACTTTTCTTCTCTCTGATCTGGTTGCCTTGTGGACGTGACTTGGAGGAGGTGGGATCCTTCCCACTGGGGTGGGCAGAGACACCAGGGGGAGGAGCCTCTTCCATCTCTATATCTGCAGGGCTCTCGCCTCCAGCCAGGCAGCCTCTGAGTTCCCAGCCTTTCCTTGCCACAATGACCGGATCCTGGCTGTGTTTGCCGCTGCTCCTCGTGGGAGCCCTGCTCCTGGGGCAGCCGGTGTGGGGGCAAGAAGAAGAAGAAGAGCAGCCCTCCTGGGGAGATGAGCCTGTCCCAGAGGAGCCTGAGGAGCAGATGGAGCCGACTTCATATGAAGAACGGGAGGCAATGGAAGAACACTGGGTGCCAACTTCATCCGAAGAACGGGAGGCAATGGAAAGCTTTCAAGAAGGAGAACCGTTGGATTTGGGGTCCTGGGCTGTGGACTATTTTAACAAGCTTCCATATTATGATGGTATTTACAGGAGCGTGGAGGCCAAACCTCCAACATTCAAGGTAAAGGAAACAGGCACCCCAAGGGCTCCCGGGTGGTGGAATGTCCCCCATTTGGAGCACCCTCTCTCTTTTGCCCCCAAGCAGACACCCAAAAGCCATCCGACCACCATAGCGGTGTTTGAGGGCAGGGATAACAGCCACTCAGCACTGCTCCCCTCCCCTTGTGGTTCTGGAGCATATCCCCCCCCCCTTTGTAAGTTGTCCACAAGATGACATGGAAGTGGGTGCGTGAAGATTTGGAAGAATAAGAATAAGGTTCCTAGTCCTTGTGATGGTAAAGAAGAAGAAGGCAGTCTTAGTGTGTGCTTTGCCATGTATTGTGGGGCTTTTACAGGCAAGGACTTCCCCCTAGCTGGCTCCCTTCTTCTGCCCTGACAACTGTGTTTTCTTTTCTTCTGTCCTTCTTATGCTTGTCCAAATACCAATTACTTCCATCAGTTAATAGCCTATAGCAGAGGTTTTCAAACATTTTGAGTCCAGGGCTCCCTTGAAAAGTTACATTCTTTCTGCGGCTCCCCTGTGGGGCTCAGGAGCCCAGTTCTGTCACCCCTTGCCTGCAGAGCCTGCAGCCCCTCATCCCTTTTTGAACACCCTTCCATGTGGAGTGTTCCTTCAGCCTCCTCTCCTTTCCCCTCTCCTTGGGAGTCCTCTGAGCAGCTACTGCCCCCGTCTCTGAACTGCCACTTCCTCCCCCTGCCACCCCAAAGAGAGGTACTTGCTCAAGCCTCCCCACAGGGGCCTGGGAAGAGGAATGCCGCCCCCCCACTTTAGCAGCCTGACAGAGACTGGCCAAAGGTGAATGTGAGGCCAGCACCTTGCTCAGCTTGGGAGACAGCAGTTGCAGCAGTGGGCCTGCATGGTGGAAAGGCTCTCCTTCGGTTCCCAGGCAGGCATTGCACACAACAAGCCAGCCTGCCCGGCCTCCCACTTATATGTCCATTCCCAGCAGCAAGGGCTGACAGACTGGCTGGCTGGGCTCCCTCACCCGCTGGATTGCTTACTCTGATGCCACCTCAGCTCCTGGCAACCAGCACCCCCTGGCCAGCGCCAGAGGCGCCATTCGCCTGGGAAGCTTGTAGCCAGGGCTGCTGCAGCAAACAGCTGTGCAAGCCTTTGGGAGGCAGAGACGCAAGAGGGCATCAGAGGGAGGGAGGGAGGGAAAGAAAGAGGGACAGAGGCCAGTGTTGCCCGCGGCACCCCTGACCGTCATTCAAGGCACCCCACTGAAAACCACTGCCCTCAATTCCATGGTTTGGATTTATGGCTGCACAATGCTGGCACCTCAGGTGGACAAAATGGTGCCTCCTTTACCACCAGGGAAAAAGGGGTGGGGGAAGATCTACATGAGGGGAAAAGTGGGGGGGGGGAGAGAAAGAGAAACATCGGGCTCTGCTGGTCCTGTGGAACCTGCTGGCTGAGGCAATCGCCTCACCTTGCCTCATGGGTGGGCAAGCCCTGTTGCAATGGCTGTAGAATTCTGGGGTTGCATGAGAACTAAGAGCAAAAATGTCCTCTCTCTTCTGCCAGCTGGTGCTGGAGAAGAAAAAATGGGGGGGGGGGAGCCAGAGATCGCATGAAGGGAGGGGTGTGTGCAAAGTGCTTAATTTCAAAGAAGAAAGGGGGGTGGGAGAGATTTCACCCTCACATCTCTGAATTTGCCCTATAAGCCAAACATTGTAAGGGCTGGGTGTGGTTCCCTAATAGCCATGAAAAGGCACTCTGCACATGCTTTGACACCCTTTCTCACACCTTTCACACTTAGGGCAGATCTGCACCATACATACAATGCACATTCGATAAACATTTAAAGCACATGGCTCTCCCCCCCCAAAAAAATCCTGGGAACTGTAGCTTGTTAAGTCTATTGGGAACTGCAGCTAGTTGTGGCACCAAGGAAACAAATGCAGTAGTTAGGCAGGCACAGAGGGGTAAAGTATATTTCTAGGTGGGTGAGTTGCATCCCACACATCAATATCTCTCAAAGAAAAATAGCAATATGTGGTGATAACAGAGTCCAGCCATGGGGCAGGGAATAAAGGGGGTGGGCTCTTTGGGGTGGGCACTTGCCCCTCTGTCCCTCCCCCTTTGGTGTCTGTAACTATGATGGGGGGGGTCACCAGGCTTAAATGTGCTTTAACTGAACAGTGTAGACATTTGAAAGCTTGAGCCTTGACCCTGAAATCAGATTTCAGGGCTGAAATTAAGCGCTGACTTGATGCAAAACCCTTATTCCCTGAAAAATTGCCTCTGGGGACACACATGCACAATGCCAGGCCAGGAGCTGGTTGGCAGCACAGAAGCTGTGAGCTTCTTATTCTCTGCTTCCAGGATGCCATTGGAACAATGGTGCACATGAAGATGTTACTGGCGAAGACCGACTGCAGAAAGGAGGACCTGAGGGAGCGTCGTGACATGATGGAACATTTAATGCATTTTATGCCCTCTTCAAAGAAGGAGCCATTGCCGGAGCTGAAAGGTTGCAACCTGCCACCTCCAGACGAACAGGAGGTGAGCTAACAGCGTCCATTTAGTCACAGCATCATAGCATTGTAAGGTTGGAAGGGACACCCCAAAGGACATCTAGGGCAAACCCCTGCAGAATAGAATTTTATGATTACGGTCACAGGCCAGTTCCGGCTCACTTACAATAGTGGGAAAATCATAAAACGCAACAGGAATACATTGAATTGCAATTGGGTATAACAGACAATTCAGATATAGCGGCAGTTAAAAAAATATATTAAATCTTGATCACTAAAATATAACCTAAAATTATCATTTAAAACCTTAATCATTTGGGTAGTACAGCTTGTCCCCTAAGTTTTATGGCAGTCACACAGAATTTGGCCACCCTTAGCGTGATCTCTAGATCCTTGTCCTCTACCAGGAGTTTTAGACATTGAAGTTCAGACCCATTTGGAGATTTTTGTGTAACAGGAGTGATAAATACCGAGCGTATATCCCCGTAGAAACGGCAGCGTAACAAGACGTGAGAGACAGTTTCTACCTCCATCAAGCCGCAGGGGCAGACTCGTTCCATGTATGGTTTACTCTCGAATCTGCCCTGCAATAAGGCAGATGGCAGCACGTTGAATCTATGGATGCCCATATGGAGGGCGAGAGAGAGCAGCAATCCGTACGGTCGCCGTGCGAGCAGCGCCCATACTGACAGGGCACAAGTCGCTCTACACCTGGGGGGCAGGGGCCATCTTGTCAACCCGCCCCCACCCGAGTGTAACCTGGGGCGGACCGCCCCCTCCGCCCCCCATTTTGTACGCCCCTGAAGGGAATGGCAGTGTGGGGGGTGGGGACCCCTTGCTGTAGGCGGAGGAGAGAGAAAGGTGGAAAACCTTGCCAGCTACAGCCGATTCTGCCAAGGCAGGATGGGGGAGAGCAAGGCGGCTTGGCAGTGTGGTGTAGTAACTCACGACTCACTTCTGCTGTTGAGATAAGGGAGGCGAGGCCAGACTGCAGGGTTGGAAACAGTGGACTGGGGAGAATCAAAGGAGGCCAGAGCAAAATCAGTAAGACAGGAGTGTCAAACAGCAGTTATGTAGCAGGAGAAGCAGACAGTCCACTACAAATTGACACTGAAAGTGTAAATGCTTTTTGGGGTGTAGGGCAGCTGTCTGGTGGCACCCCAAGAGATGGTCACGAGACCCAAATTATTGTTCCAGATAGTGCCGCATGGTTTCTAGGTTTTTGAGGGAAACGTTTGCATCACTGAGAGAGGGCTTTCCATAGTACTGTGCTGTCTTTATTATTTTTACTTTAACCAATTCAGTTTTTCTTTTCATTCTGTTGAATTCCATTAGAGTTCAATAACTTTTCAATGGCCTTTTTATATGTTTTTAGCTTTTTTGTATTTTATCTGCATTGTTTAAAGCTATCTGAACGATGAAGCAATACATAATAATGAAGAAAACTGATTGAAAGGCGGGCTTTGTTTTTACATTTCTGGAATGACAAAGTAAATGATATTTTTAAATTTTATTTATGGTACTACAGAGTTTTTGTTATGTTCTGTGGGTGTCCTCCCCCCCTTCATTTGTCATTTTCTTTTTTCCTCCTTTCCCCTCCTCTTCCCCCTCCCCTCATTTTTTTCATTTTCTGCATGAGAAGCAAGGGTGTTAGATGTACAATGGCTTTGGCTACATTCTGTTTGAATATATAATATTATCTCTAAGCGCCTTGAGTCCTGTCAGAGGAAAAGACAGAGTATAAATATGCAATAAAAATAATACAATTTTAAAAACAAAACAAAACACCCAGTTTAAAACAACTTAGCATCACAGAAATAATGTGGGTGCTGAACATATAACATACTCCTCAAAAACCAGAACAAAGAGGTGAGGCTCAGCTATACAGCTGCAAATATAACGTTTTAAGTGTGTTTTAGGTGCATTATACAAATGTGGTACTAGATGGTGCTAGTGAGCTAATGGCAAACGCCATATATTTTTTAAACATTTTTTTTTTAAAAAAGGATTTGCACAGTGTTTTACAAATATGTCTTGATTCAGCCATGCTCTTCCATTGAAAAAAGGTTCTTTCTTAATGAGAGCGGATCTGCTCATGAGGCAGAAAGTTGAAGGCAGGATCCAACCCTGCTCTTACTCAAGGCCTCCACAGAATCCACTGGGAAACTTTCAATTTTCTATTAAGGAGAACTGCTGTGGCCAGTTTTTCATCGTCATATTTGATGGCATGGACAAACGCCCACATTTCTAACTTGTTTCTTTCATCTTCCCCCCTCTCCACCCCCACGCCTGCCGCACTTGTTCACAGAATCTGAACTGCAACTTCAGAATATATATGGATGCAAGAGAAGGCTCGATATCTGTGGTTCACCACAAATGCAAACCGCTGCGTGTTCGAGAGTTGTGGTGAAGACCCTGCCTAACCCCTGGATGCTGCCGCCAGTCAACTGCGGTGGGGGCAGGAGGAGGAGAAGCCCCCACCTTGGTCTGTTCCTCTTCCTCCACAGCTGCAAAATAATCACGTAGATGCAAGCCTAGAAACTCTCCCACTAAAAGGGGGTGTCTGAATCCACTGTGCCCCCTCCTCATCCTAGACACTCTGGTCGCTCTCCATCTCTGTCTCTTTTCGTTCCGAAATAGGGGTAATAAAATTAACTCGCACAAGCATTGCCATGAAGTTGAATGGCTTTGTAAACTTTGCGTGTGTGTCTTGACCACCCTCTCTGCCAGTGGTGACTAGTGCTTATTGGGATAGGTAGGGGCGAAGGCAGGGAGCTGAACAGCTGGTGGCGTAGAGTGGTACCTTGGTTCTCAGACTTAATCTGTTCTAGAAGTCCATTCCAAAACCAAGGCATACTTTCCCATAGAAAGTAATGCAAAATGGATTAATCCGTTCCAGGCTTTTAAAAACAATCCCTAAAACATGAATTTAACATGAATTTTACTACTTAATGAGAGCACTGATTTATAAAATGAAAGCAATAAACAATGTACTACAGGTAGGCAAACTAAGGCCCGGGGGCCGGATGCGGCCCAATGACCTTCAAAATCCGGCCTGCGGCCAGTCCGGAAATCAGCGTGTTTTTACAGGAGTAGAATGTGTCCTTTTATTTAAAATGCATCTCTGGGTTATTTGTGGGGCCTGCCTGGTGTTTTTACATGAACAGAATGTGTGCTTTTATTTAAAATGCATCTCTGGGTTATTTGTGGGGCATAGGAATTAGCTCATTTTTAAAAAGTATAGTCTGGCCCCCCACATGGTCTGAGGGACAGTGGACCGGCCCCCTGCTGAAAAAGTTTGCTGACCCCTGTACTACAGTCACACTATCAATCAATCAGTAGCTGAACTGGGTTCCACAGTCACAAAAACAAAAAGGCAAAATAGCAAAAACAGACAAACCTCAGCATAACACTCAAAACGGAAGTGAGGCACTCAGATCGGAAATGTAACACTCAAAGCAGAGCATGTTCGGCTTCCGAAAAAAGTTCACAAACCAGAACACTTACTTCCGGGTTTGCAGTGTTTGGGTTCCAAGTTGTTTTGAGTACCAAGGCGTTTGAGAACCAAGGTACCACTGTACTAGGACTTCCCTTGAACTAGACACTCTGCTTCTGTTGATGCAGCCTTGAATTCCATTACTGTTGTTTGTTTTGTTTTGCTGCAACATAGCACTGTTGACTCATGTTCAGCAGTGGTTAGGCAGCATTTCTCAACTTTGGGACTCCTGATTGTTGTTAAGACTACAATGCCAAACATGGCCAGTGGTCAGGGATGATGGGAGATTTAATTCCATCAACCTCTGGGGACCCAAGTTTGAGAAAGGCTGGGTTCTGGCATCCGATGAGGACCTGGGAAAGACCAGGGTTCAAATCCCCACTCAACCATGATGCTTACTAGGTGCCCATAGGCCAGTCATTGCCTCTGAGCCTAACCTACTTCACAGGGTTGTTGTGGGATGGGGAAGAACTATGTTTGGTACCATCAGTTCCTTGGATCAAAAAGTGGGAAGCAAATGAACTAAAACAAACAAACAAACAGGACTGGGGAGGGGGAGAGCTCAGACACCGGCAATGTTCAACCTTGGCATGTGCTGCAAACTCAAAACACTGTCTGGTGACCCACTTCTAAGGATTTAATTTCATTCCCCTCGAGGTAGATAACAGAAGCAAGGTGGAATTATTTCAATACAATGGATGGAGTCCTTTAGGTGGTGGAATTCTGTGCAGGAAAGTGAGAATGAGCTCGTTAAAAGGAAAAAAGCAATAACACCCGAAGACTGACAAAGTGATACCTTTACTGGGATGAATCAACAAGTTACAAAGAAAAAAAGAGGTTTGCAAGACCATCAAAACAAAGAGAGAGGGAGTATATTTGGAGGCATGGTAGAAAAGCCCCAGTGCAATTTTAGAAATGTGGGAAATGTGATTTCAGAATTAAAATAGTGATTTTCCATTCTTGAGATAGGAGTGGGGTAGATAGTTTCAAGCTTGCACCGGCCCCCCAGAAATGATGCTTTGGCCTGAGTTCATTCAGGCAGCAGGGAAGCCGAGGTCCATCCGAGTCACCCCCAGGCGTGACGTTCAGGAACTGGCTGCTCTGCAGCTCATGTGTGTCAGTCGCGTGTCACTGAGCCATGGACGGGACCAGACCTGGAACTCACAGATTTGTTTCTGGAAAGAGGGAAAAGGAGAGAGGGGAAAAAATACCCAGACAATTAGAGCTAAGTGTGTGTGGGGGTTATTATAATTGATTCATTAATCACCTTCTAAACCACTTTCAAGGCAATTTGCATTGTAAAAAAGAGTTAAAAACGCAAAACAGCTAACGCATTTAATGCAAAATTAAAACCCTAACAAATGAACACACGTGGCAAAGATCCTTTATCCAGCTGGGGAAGCCTGGCAGAACAAAAATATCTCCAGCTGTTTCCGGAAAGTGCAGGTCGTGGGTGCCCTGTTATATCTTGACAAGGATGCTATTCCACAGAACAGGGGCAGGGCAGCCACCCTGAAAGCCCTGCACTCTGAGTTACTACAGCACAGGCTTCCAAGACATTAAGAACTTGCAGGAGAAACTCTCCCACAGAGGCAGCCCAGTCACAATTGTCGAACATTTCTGGTGGGGGAATAGGAGAGAGGCCTGGAACAGGAGCAGTCTATCTGAAATACGGAAGCATCGACATTCAACAGCATAGGCCTCAAAGAGAGCAAGGAAGGCATTATTGCGAACTCGCTTTGGGCCAGGAGCAGGAGAGTGGCATAGAATTGGGAACCAGCCCCGGTGTGGAAATGGCTCGTCATGGGAACGTGGATTCTAGACAACCTTGTTCTAGCAAGAGCCTCATGAATAAAAAGAACAGTTTAATAATAATTTAAAAAGTTGGTCAAGGAAGGCAGAAGCACTGGAGGGTTTTTGTGCAATGACGTGTCCGCAACTAAACAGGAATGCAATGCGCAGGGCTGCTTCCTTCCTGCTCTCAGGAAGAAGCTTCCCTGGAAAGGTCACAGGGATTTCTTCTGAAATCTCAGAAACTGCACAGGCAACATTTCCAAGACAAGCAGAACCTGTTTCAGGATAGACCTGCCAGTGCCGCCAGTGCATCTTGAGACATGCCACGTTCCACTCCCACATTTTTTCCAGTTTTGAGAACGTGAGGAGGAGGCAGGAAAGAGGTCAGTGCAAGACGGGCAGCCAGCACACAAAAGGGAACTGGATGACGGTTTGGGATTATTTGGGAGTCTCACCCCTGGATGCCTCAAACCCCAATTATGCCGTAGTCAGCTGGGCCTGCTCAGTGGTGAGTCGAATGAACTTCATACACACTCACGAGATTCGCATCTCTGTTGCTTCGTCAATAAATACCCGGGGTTAAGGCAGAGGGAGCCTCGGCTCAGATTCAACACAGCGCCAACAGGCTGAAACAAAATGACGCATTTTGCACCAATACAACTATAGCTGGGGACCCTGCTTCCATCTGGGGTTAACTGGAGTCAACCTCAGAACATATTTGCAGCAAGAGAGTACCTGCCCCTTTGCCTGGACTGCACACATTCAAGCTGCCACTCATCAGAGGCACAGTTGTGGGGGGGAAAGACACCAAACTGTCCTTGTTGTCTCCCCTAGTGCAGCAGGCTTGGAGAGTCCATCTCATTACCCCATTGCAGATTTTCAGACCAACCAAGAACATTTCCCCAAACATTCCAGCTGTGTACAGAGGTGATTCTCAGGCACAGCAATGAGGGTTCACTGGGAAACTCCAAACTGAAAATGATTCCTAATTGTGCTGATTTGCATCAGAACGGTTTCTGACGCCCTGGAGCATGATCTAATTTAGCAATGTTTCTTTTCCTTGTATCGAATAAGCAAAGCTGGTTCTTGCACCTGTAATTAATTGCATCCATTAATTGTCCCTCTTGAGCCAACGAAATGTCAAATTTTCCATGGAAAAATTAAGCACTGCCATTTAATGCTGTATTGTTTTTAACACTTGATTGGAAGCTGCCCAGAGTGGCTGGGGAAACTCAGCCAGATGGGCGGGGTATAAATAATAAATTATTATTATTATTATTATTATTATTATTATTATTATTATATTACTATTATTTGGGGGCAGAAGTGGAATTCTGATGGTATTGGGGCAAGAGGCTTTGGTAACCATTAGGGGACACAGATCTGGAGACAGCTTTCCTTCACAAATGAACAGAAGCTTATTCAAGGGCAAGACAGCAGTGTTGTCGTGAAGAAGAACTTGCTGGTGACTTGACTTGGGCCCTGGGCTTTATTAGCAGAAAGTGATGTAGGGTTGCAATTTGCTAATACAGCCCCCAGAACATCTTCAGTCAGCCCAGCTGGTGAACTATTTACCAGACCATATTTGGGGGCATCACCCAAAAACATGTACCAAGACCCATTTTTTCTTTACAGGCATTTGAGCTGCTGGCCTTGTAAAATCCTCATCTCCCCCTTGTCTGAGCTATATTTGCCAGCCATCATGTGTTTAGCTCATTATGATAAAAATATAAATGACAAAACAGATTACAGTGGTACCTTGGGTTACATATGCTTCAGGTTACATACGCTTCAGGTTACAGACTCCGCTAAGCCAGAAATAGTGCTTCAGGTTAAGAACTTTGCTTCAGAATGAGAACAGAAATCATGCTCTGGCAGCGGGAGGCCCCATTCGCTAAAGTGGTGCTTCAGGTTAAGAACGGTTTCAGGTTAAGAACGGACCTCCGGAACGAATTAAGTACTTAACCCAAGGTACCACTGTATATTACAAAACATAATATTCTACTATGTTAGCCGCTGAACTTTTTTTATAAACTGAAAGGTAAAATACAATGCTTTTTATCGCTAAATTACAACACAAAAACGATTTCATCTATAAACTATAAAATTATTGATCACAACCAAAACAGCAAACTCTGATTTCTTTAATTTTTTAAAAAGCATGGCTTTGTTGCCCATTAGGCATAATTGGCCACTTTTATGATTTAAATGCAAAATGTCAGACTGTAAGAATGAATTTGTATTGGAATTTAAAATTCTAGTAACAAGGAAGCTCCATTTTTTAAAAAAATAAACATATTTCACACACATCCTTCAATGTCTCATTGGCAACAGGAAAGGTTTGTTAACAAAGCTACATCCTCACACTTCCTTGTGCCATTGCAATATGCCAAGTGAAATGTCAGATTTCCAATTGTTTGCTATTACTAGTCTAGCCACCATTAGCTGTCACAAGTTTCAGGTCACCTTTGGGAGGCGAAATATAAAGGTATAACACTTTATCCAGACATAATGTTTGGACAGTTAAAATAATCTTCAGGTTGTATCCCGTTTTAATTATACTCTGAGTAAACCCATTGAAGTAGACAGACATGACTAACTTGACACCATTAATCTCAATGGGCTCATATGACTAATGTCATATGAGCCCATTGAGATTAATGTCCTATGAGCCCATTGAGATTAATGATGTCAAGCATCACAAGATATACAAGATGTGGCAATAGCCACTGGCCTGGATAGCTTTCCTAAAGGAATTGTGTGGGGGAGACATGTCAACTAACGGCTATTCAGCTAACAGCAAAACAAACCCTCCTTATACAGAAGCAGTCTACCCAGAGTGTGAACAAAAGAACAACCAGCACATTCATGTCCTATCTGTAAGTGTCCACAGGTGGGCAGCTGGTTACTGATGAGCAAAACTACTATTGCTTTCTTTAAATAAATAAAACCCATGCCAAACCCTAGCAAAATAGTGAATGAGGAAGCCCCATGGAAATCCCATTTTTGCTCGGGTTTCCATCTGTGGTCCTCCAGATGTTGCTGGACTCCACCTGACACCAGCCAGAGACTACTGAGGTGGGAAGTCCATCAACACCTGGAGAGCCACAATTGGTTTTCATCCACAAAGGCTGTTCTGATTTACTTCTGTGCGAGAATGGCAGGTCAACAAGGTGTGGTGGTAGGAAATACTCACTGGCCAAGAGACTACACATTTCAAGAGTTGTGGCTTTCAACAGCTCAAGTCCAAGCTTTTCTGAAAAACCGCACTCTCTCATACAAACCTGCTCAGGTTTTGAGGTCTTTTAGGGAGGCCTTTCTCTTGGTCCCACTACCCTTACAGACCCACTTGGTGGGGATGGGAGAGAGGGCCTTCTCAGTGACAGCTCCCAAATTCTGGAGCTCCTTCCCTAGAGAAGTTCGACTGGCTCCTTCCTTGCCTTAGTTCCTCTGGCAAGCAAAAACTTTCTGGTTCCAACAGGATTTGAGGAACAGACCACTTTTAATGAAAGGGCTGATGCCATGCTCTTCTTATTGTAATTGTCTGGCTTTAATAGATTTTATATGTGGTTATAGTTTTCATTCCACCAATGTTTACTTTTTTTAATGATTGCTTTTTCTTAGCGGTTCTTGTTTTTATCTGTAAGCTGCCTTGAGTTCCATCAGGGGAAAAGGCAGGATGTGAAGAAATATAACTGTGGAAATGACAAGAAGATTAAACGGCTGGCTGGCTGCCAGTTTCAACAAGAGAAGCTGTCTCTTGCTTATTTACAGTGATTAGTCATTAAACACAGGAAGGAGTTCCTCACAACATTCTTAGGACATGATAAACACTACTTATATAATGCTCTAATCCGACACCAACCAGGCAGGTGAAATAGGCCTAAGGTTACATTCTGCACAAGGAAGGCTGCAGTTCAGTGCCAGGACATCTGAACTGAATGCAGAATGTTCCCTGGTTAGATTCTTCAGCATTCCCAGGCAGGACTAGGAAATACCCCCTCCCATCTGAAAAACCTGGAGAGCTGTTGCCACTCAGCATTGACAGCAGTGGGCACCTGGACCAAGGGTCTGATTCTGCTTAAGGCAGATTCCCATGCGCTTGCTGGCAGTGGGGAATGCTAGGCACAGACTGGCTGCAATGTGGGGCTTCCCTTACGCTCGAACCAGAAGCTGCAGTTAGTGCAGAGTGCTGCAGCACAATTTCTAACAGGAGTTGACCCTGTCAGCTTATTAACACCTATGCTCAGAGACCCACACTGCTTGCCGATTTGCTACCGGACCAGGTTCAAGGTGTTACTAGGAGTATATAAAGCCCTGAACAGCTTAGGACCAGTTTACCTGTGAGATTGCTTCACCCCATATATGCCCAGTCAACTACTTTGATCTGTGGAACTGACACTGTTACAGGTGACACAGAATACTCATTTTGCATTCCTAATAAATCAATATTTTAGTGTGGTAGTGTAACACTTTGGAAATCCCTGCCCAATGGCATCAGCAGAGGCTATATATCCCTTTTGGTGCCTTCTAAAAACAGCTTTGTTCAGGCAAGCTTACCCAGTTAGGTAGAATATTGTCTTTTAACTGTTGTAACCCACCCTGGGAACTAAGGATGAAAGGTGGGCAATTAATAATTATAACAATTATGCTCTCATCAGCTCTAGCATCCCACAGCTGACTGTGGCTGATGGAAGCTGTAGTCCAGATCACCAGATGAGCACCAGGCTGTTCAGGGAATCATTATTGTATCTTGGGATTACTCAACAAAACTGAGGATATTCACAAATTCCTAAGGCTGTATGAAGGGCTGGAAAGTCGCATCATCAAAGCTGCTCCATCTACGGCAGTTTTAAACTGTGTTGTACAGGGAACACCCAGCCTTTCTTATCACTGAATAAACACAAAGAAGCTGTGAGGTCCCCGGTCAACACATCTGGTTCCTAGTCTCACCTGCTGTTCTCCTTCCAAGGGCAGGCTGCAGCGCTGGAGGTCCTCAGCACTCAGGTTTGACCCTCCCTTCTTCTCACACAGGGTATTCACCAACTTGACAGTCAAGTAGTATTTCATACCCTCCACCACCTGGAAAACAAATTAGGCATTTGACATTTAGCAGAGTAATGCAAGATATATATATATCTTGAGAGATACGGAGGCAGGAACTAGATTGATGTAAACAGATGCAATTAAAGGTTAGTGTCATTAAATGAACCACGTGCTCAGTTCTACATGAAAAGAGTCCTGCTGGATCAGGCCGATAGCCCATGCAATCCAGCATCCTCACAGTGGTCAGCCAGATGCCCCAGATGCAAGCAAGGACCCAAGTACAAGAGCACTCTCCCTTCGTGAAGTTTCCAGCAAACAGTTTCCAGAAGTATTATAGTGGTACCTCGGGTTACATACGCTTCAGGTTACAGACTCCACTAACCCAGAAATGGGACACAGGTGGCACTGTGGGTTAAACCACAGAGCCTAGAACTTGAGGATCAGAAGGTTGGCAGTTCGAATCCCCGCGACGGGGTAAGCTCCTGTTGCTCGGTCCCTGCTCCTGCCAACCTAGCAATTCGAAAGCACATCAAAGTGCAAGTAGATAAATAGGTACCGCTCTGGTGGGAAGGTAAACGGAGGCGTTTCTGTGCGCTGCTCTGGTTTGCCAGAAGCGGCTTAGTCATGCTGGCCACATGACCCGGAAGCTGTACGCCAGCTCCCTCGGCCAATAAAAGAAGATGAGCGCCACAACCCCAGAGTCAGTCACGACTGGACCTAATGGTCAGGGGTCCCTTTACCTTTAGCCCAGAAATAGTACCTCAGGTTAAGAAATTTGCTTCAGGATGAGAACAGAAATCGCGTGGTGGCGGCGCGGCAGCAGCGGGAGGCCCCATTAGAACGAATTAAGTACTTAACCAGAGGTACCACTGTACTGCCTTTGACTGCAGAGGTAGAGAATAGCCATCATGACAAATAGCCATTGACAGCCTTCTGCACCTGTGAATTGGTCCAATCCTCTTTTAAAGCCATCAAAATGGGTGGCCATCACTTCCTTTTCTATCACCAACTCAGAACCCGATGGCTTTTTCATATGCTAATATGAGTTTGTATTTTCTGGGAATGTATTTGCAAGCCACCTGGGGGGGGGGGGATATCCTGAAAGGCAGGACAGGAGTTGCCATAAATAAGTAATGTTACCTCTGAATCTTTTTCAGTACCTCTCACTTCCTGCTCTGCAAACACACACTGCACCTCCACAATCCTCACCCTCAGTGAGGACTACCTTGTTCCTTTTTGTCTCAGGACCCTAGACTTCTACATCCCAGTGCCATTTCCCCCCAGGGATGGTGGGGGAAAGAAAGCCCAGTCTACATACCTAGATATTTTAGCCTTTCTAGCGGGGGGGCGGGGCTTAGTGTTTAACCTTTTGCTTGACTTAGGTTCACACTGAAGCATTTAAGAAAACTGAATTTAAAATGAGCGTTTGTATGTACACATCATTAGTCTACAGCAGGTGCCAGAACATCATGCATTTATTCAGCTTGCCACTTGGCCTGGGGGCATTTAGCAGTCCGTGACAGCTCTTAAGGAGCCATGATTTCCAATCCTGTCCTTTTGTTAGGACTCCTCCCCCCTACAAAAAACCACCACACAAACACACTCTCTCTCCTACTGTGTCAACCCATCTCAATTCTCTTCCCTTCGCCCCCAGCTTCCAGGAACTTAAGAAGTTGCCTTTAAACCAACAGACCGTTCATCCGTCTTGCCCATTATTGTCTACACTGTCTGGCATCAGTGAATCTCCAGCATTTCAGGGGGGGGGGGGGCGTGTCTCTCCCAGCCCTACCTAGGGATGCCAGGGACTGAACCTGGGATCTTCTGCATTCAAGGCAGATAAATGACAACTTGCACCCTGCTTTTCAATCTGGGACATAGCTGTCAACTTTCAGGTTTGAAAATAAGGGATCCTTAGCCTCGGAAATAAGGGATCAGCAGCCTCACCTGCCCCAGGGACAGTCTACGGGATATCAAACAATCCGGGATAGCAGCGGGAAACGGAGCTGGAATAAGGGAATTTCCCGCAAAAAAAGGGAAGGTTGACAGCTATGATCTGGGACCTTCTACACGCAAGACAGATGCTCTACGGCTGAGTTACAGCCCTTCCATTCCCCTCTCCACCCCCCGAGGCCCTCCTTCCTTCAACGACTAGGCTACTTCTCTATGTCAGCCTGCGCCCTTTCGGCTGCTTTGGGCTGTGGGCTGGAGGCTAATGACAGGCCAAGACAGCAGGAGGGCACCAGGCTGGGGAAGGCTGGTGTGAAGAGAGAGGTTAAGTGGTTTTAAAAAAAAACAGTTTTAGGGATGGAGAGTGGAAAAGGGGCCCAAGAATTTCTTGCAAGCCCCCCGCGTCCTTACCTGGCTCTCCGCCTTGAGGATGCTCAGCTGGCGGCAATAGAACATGTTGTTGCTGGCCTGGTTGTAGGCGGACACGGCGAAGGCAGCGGCCTTCTGCACGTCGGGATCCGAGACGGAGCGAGGCGTCAGGCCTCCGGGCATCCCGATGCTTCCCGCAAACAGCGCCGGGAGGAAAAGCAGCAGCAGCCCAAGGCAAGAGGAGATGCACATCGCGACAGGCGAACACAACTGCGCCATTGCTGAGAATGAGCTGGAAGTGAGCGCGGCCATAGGCTGATATAAAGGCCGAGGCCACGCCCACGCCGCGGAGCCGGCCAATCAACGACGCGGGAGGCGGACGCCTGAAAGGACAGGCAAGGCGCGGAGCCACGCCCACTCCTGGGGAGAGCTGCTCCCGCTGGAGGGAAGACGTAGGCGCCGCCTGGGAATGTTCGCGCCTTTACCTGGGAGTAAATCCCACTAAGCAGCGTGGGGCTTCCTTTTGCGTAGGCGCTGCAGAGGACGGCGTGGATCTTTCGCTGGTGGGTCACCTCTGGGTTGCAGCCTGACCGGAGGTGACCGATTCAGATTCAAAGCAGCGCAAATATAAAGGATCCTTCCTCAACCAGGTGCCCTCCAGATATTTGGACTCTGGTGGGACGTAGTCCACTAGAGGGCACCAGGTTTGGGAAAGGCAGCTGTTTCTGGAAGATCCTGTGCTGTGCATGCACACCAGACATGTAAAACACATCCAATGCGTATGGTGGCGCTGTGGGTTAAACCACAGAGCCTAGGACTTGCCAATCAGGTCCGCGGTTCGAATCCCAGCAACAGAGTGAGCTCCTGTTGCTCGGTCCCTGCTCCTGCCAAACTAGCAGTTCGAAAGCATGGCAAAGTGCAAGTAGATAAATAGGTACCGCTCCGACGGGAAGGTAAACGGCATTTCCGTGCGCTGCTCTGGTTCGCCAGAAGCGGCTTAGTCATGCTGGCCACATGACCCGGAAGCTGTACGCCGGCTCGGCCAATAAAGCGAGATGAGCGCCGCAACCCCAGAGTTGGTCAAGACTGGACCCAATGGTCAGGGGTCCCTTTACCTTTTACCTCCCCCAAAATCCTGGCAACTGTAGTTTCGCACTCAGATTGTTCCCAAGCAGCCTGAACAAGCTATTATTCCCAATATTCTGTGTTTTAAATGTGTATTGCGTGTGCTTTAAACCTTCCACTTGGATCTGACCTGTGTCACTACAGCAGCACTCAGACCAGGCAAATATTGAGCGCAACAGATTTGCAGAAAAGACTCTACAACCTGAAATTAGAGACAATGCATGTACTTTTGTAACCCAATAAAATCTTTAATAAAAATTATTTTTAAAAATTGAGAAGTGGGTCCTAAAATGCCTATTTAGGAAAATGGTAGGATCCTGCTCTGAAAAGATTGGAGACTCACTGCTCTAAGGCACTTAAAAATAAGTATTGTTTTTCATTCCTTTTAAATTTGTTAGCAATGTTATTACCTTACAATTTAAATACCTTATTTTTCCGTGTAGAAGACAATGTTTTTGCTAAATACCAGAAAAATACGGTATTTCCTTGATCTTCCAGCGGCTGCTTCCGCCACCAGACAAGTGTTGCCTCCTTCTCCTTCCCCTGCTGCATGTGCCGCTCTTTCTCGTGCGTGCACACACCGCAAGGCGCCGCAAACTGCGCAAGGTTAAGGGCACCAACAGAGCACTCCGAGTAAAAGTGCATCCGGGGCCTTCTTCATTTCTCTGTTTTGGGTTCAAATAAACAGGGGTCGTCTTATACATGGAAAAATGCAGTAATATCCTTTTGGACTGGGCCTGCACATATTTTACAGAACCTGACGCAGTTAAAACAATACCATTTGTTTCTGTTCAGTACCCCCATTTCAAAACATGCTGGTGCCAATGCCTTTCCACCCATCTGGTGCCCTACAGATGTTTTGAACGACAACTCCTCCCTTCCCACTGGGACCAGAGGTAGAAGGCCTGCTTTTGTGCTAAGGGAAGAGAAAAGAAATCACAGCAGATTCAAAGTTTGTGTTTTATTTTTCATGATAAAAAAACACACACACACACCATTCTGAGGCACAACAGATTTCTCTGACAGATTATCTAATTCTTCACGCTTAGGGCTCTGATATTTCCCCTTCCTTCCAGTGCCCTCCTGTGGCCAAGAAGAGCAGATTTGACGCGGAGAAGGAAGAGGGGTGGCACCTCCGTCACTGAGGCTGGACGGATCCCTCATTAGAAGGGCTAGGAGGGCTGGCAGAAAATGTGGGGCCTGTTTTAATTCACTGATGGGTTGGTTTTTCTTTTTACGGCAGCTGTTTCTTGAAGAGCAACACCCCAATTTGTTTGGAAACGCTGGCTGCTCTGCTGTCGCTCCCGAGTACCCCTAGAACCGCAGAGGGGAACACAATCCACCTGGCGCAGCTCAGTTCTTCTTGCTCTTGGGGGTGTCGTACTTCCTTTTGCTCGAGTACCAGAGGAGCAGAGGGATGCCGATGGAGGGGAGCGTCATGACCCCAAAGGCTGCCCAATCCAGCTTTATAAAAGAAAAGGAGGTGAAAGGGAAATAATTAGTCGTTTCAATTCAACAAGTTCATTGTGCTAGTCCAGTGGTTTCCAAAGGGTGGGGGGAGGCAGCACCCCCTGGGAAGCAGTGGGATTACAGAGGTAAGGAGAGCAGCTGGAGGTGTAAATGGCTATAGACTTTGAAATGCTGGCATCACATGATCAAGTTCATCAACTCTGTTGAGGTCATTAAACTAAATAGTTTAAACTAGATTTTGAACAGATGTGCAACAACTAGCTGTTAGTCACACATCTTCCTTAGTGGATTGTGCACACCACTATTCTGAATAATGCTTTTTATAGAGTAGAGTGGTGGACACTGGGGATTAGTTTATGGAACCAAGGGGATGGTGGCCTGAAAAAGTCTGGGAACTACTGTGCTAGTCAAAAGCCGTGACTGTGATGATTATATTATAGTGTTCCAAAACACAAGCATAGTGATAATATAACAAACATACATAATACAGTGGTACCTCCGGTTACGAACAGGATCCGTTCCGGAGGCCCGGCAGCATCCCGAAAACTTCGTAACTGGAGGTGCCTTTCTGCACATGCGCACAATGTGATTGATATTGAGCGCTTCTGTGCATGCGGTGAAACCCAGAAGTGTATACTTCTGAAGAAGTGTGCATGCACATGAAAGCTCATACCAATAACAAACTTAGTTGGTCTCTAAGGTGCTACTGGAAGGATTTTTTAAATATTGTTTCGACTACGGCAGACCAACACGGCTACCTACCTGTTCTTAATGGCTGCTAGCCATAATGGCTATGCTCTGCCACCACAGTCAGAGGCAGCAATGCTTCTGAATGGAAGCTGCTGGAAGCCACAGGTGGGGGAAGTGCCCTTGTTCTCCGGTCCTGCTTACAAGTTTCCCACTTGGGCACCTGGTTGGCCACTGTGAGATCAGGATGTGGACTAAATGAGCCATTGGGTTGATCCATCAGGCTCTTATGTTTTTAATGCCCCCAATGCTGTATTGGAGCAGGTTGACAGCACTGCTTTATTTACTTACAAAGTGTGGCGAAAACCTCCGGTCAAATTCTCGCTGGGCGAGGATCCCCCCTTGCCCTGGAGCGCTGGTGAAGCCCACCTGAAAAGAAAGAAAATTGAGGGGGTTTGTGTTTGTTATTATTCTTATTATATATTTATTTAACCCCACCTTTTCCCCTGAAGGGCCATGGTGCTTGCGGTCATGCAAGGTCTCCTTGTTAAACAACCACCACAAAACTCTAACCCAGGGTTTCCCAGACTTGGGTCTCTAGCTGCTTTTGGACTACAATTCCCATCACACACAGCCTCCCCAAATTTCCCTGCACAAGTCATAGGACTCAAGAAAGGGAGGGGTCAGTGGTAACTACAAAGAATGCCTTTGTTTGTGAGCTGAGCCAAAGCCTGTGGGCCCCCGCAGATCCCAGGCTCCACCCAAGGCGCTTGCTACTTACCACCACCTGGGCCCCCTCCTGTGCCAGGTAAGTGATGGTGGCAGAGGTGAAGTTGAAGTAGCCGGCTTTCAGGGGTCTCAGGACCACCGTGTGGGACACGTTGCTGGCGCTGAGCGACAGTGGCTAAGGAAGCAGACTGTGTCGCGGGAGCAGAAAGGAAAGAGAGGGGGTTTTCGGGAGAAGAGACCAGGGGGTGGATTGGGTCTTACTGCTCGTGCGTGTAACACTGAATACTTGCTCAGTGCTTCAAGATAAATAAGGGACAATCCCGAGGGCTTGTTGAGGCTTAAGATCTAAACCCAAACGTTTTTGGGGGCCCTGCCCCAATAGTTCCATAAACTTCTTCCCAATGTCCCTACTCTATCCTAGAAAAAGCATTATAGGTGACTCAAATTATGCAGCGGTTGCGTTCCAGTGATAACACAAGAAAGTCAAAGTTCCATCTAGCCCAAACACCTGAGTGCAATGGTGGGTGGAAATGACAAAGTCGTCCCCCCCACCCCAGATGCCTGCCCCCTTTTTATTTTTGTCAAATGCATAAAGCTGAATGCACACAAGTTAAAGCTGATTTAAGTTGTGAGTTACCTGCATTCAGAATAGCGGTTTGCACAACCCAGTAAGAAAGGTAATAACACAACAAAACTCAACACAGTAACATTTAACTGCACATTTATTCCAAATCCAATTAAAACTATTGAGTTTGATTAATGGGTCATTGGTCTGATCCAGCAGGCTGCTCTACTGTTCTTACGACTCTAAAGAATCTAAAAAGAGCCACTGTCACCCCTACACACACACACACCTGTCACACTCTGTGCAAAAAAAAGGATACGGTGCGATCCTGTCCCACTTGACATTGAGCATCCCAGAAACAATGCCGAAGTCTTCAGGAGGAAACGAGTCGTCCGACAACTCCACCTCTAAGGCAGCGCTTTACGCCAGCAGATAAAAGGATTGGGATAACAGTATTAGGAACAAGACACCATTTGAAGGCAGGGTGTGTGGGACCCTTACCTAGATCCCTTCCAATCTGGCTTCCAACTTGAGTTTGGAACTAAAACTACCTTGATCACCCTGGCAGATGATTTGTATTGTGAGATAGAAAGGGTGAGTGAAATCTTATGGATTCTCCAGGATTTCTTAGCTGCCATTGACCATGGTGTCCTGTCCTCCCCAGAGGGTAGGTCCCTGAAGTCTGGTGTGTAGGTGCCATAGCAATCCATCTTATTCCCAAATGCTATTCTTTAACACCTACATCATGGACCAATGGCAGGAGGCACCTGGAGATAAGGGGTAGGGTGCCATCAATATGCAGCTGACAGTGGCTTAATTTTTGATTAGACAAGTAACCTTAATGATTACCAGTATTTTTTTAAAAAATGAAAGTAACTTTTTTAAAAAAAAGTTATATGATGGTAAAGAAATACTGATGATTTAATGAATTTGTACTCAATTTTTCTTCCAAATTGGAATTCAAGACAGCTTCCAACATTTAAAAAACATTATAAAATACAATGTAATAAAGACAAACTAAAATCAATAATTAAAAATACAACAAAACACACTTAGAACCAGCAATTAAAAGTACAGTTTGCCCTGATAGCAGCCCAGTGGTCAGCATTGTCTGTGCCTTAGTTTCCAAAGGTCTGACTGAACAGGAAGGTTGTAGCCTGCCGGCCAAAGGATAACAAAAAGGAAACCAGTCTAACCTTTCTTGAGATGGAATTACACAATCTGGGAGCAGCCACACAGAAGCCTCTCTCTTGGGTCACCACCAGCCATTCACCTGATGTTGAAGGTGCACTCCCAAGGTTCATATAGGCAGATAGACTCTTTCAGGTGGCCTGGGCCGAAGCCCTAGAGGGCTTTATACGTTATAACCAACACTTTGAATTTTGCCCGGAAAGAGACCAGTAGTCAGTGACAAGAGAATAACATGCTTCCTGCAACCCGCTCCAGTCTGCAGGCTGGTCACAGCATTCTGCACCAGCTGCAGCTTCTAAAAACTTTTCAAATGCATCTCCATGGAAAGAGCATTAAGATACCATCAGCCTTTCCTAAGAGGGATTTACCTAGAGCCAACATTGTAGATGTTGTACTGCAAAGTGAGATCCCGGCCCTCGACGGCATATCTGTTCAACAGGGACTTGGAGGCCAAGAGCCTGGCCCCTTCCTCACAGTAGACTGAGGAGGTGGCAACCAGCACGGCAAGAATCAACAGCTTCATCTGGAATGGAGAAGAGGATGGATTTGTAGTTGCACCTGAAGAAGAGTATTATTTGGTAGAGAAAAAGTGAAGTACAGAATGGTGAATCTGTTTAAAGTGTGAGGAAGGGAAACAGTATCAGCACAGCAATTAAATGTGTGTTTATTTTTAAAAACCTGCTGCCAAATTAATCAAATTGAAATTTTGTTTTAATCGGTTAGCCTAACTGATTCACCAATTAAAACACTGCCATCTTACTAAACATAGATTAGAACCCCTACTTTGCCTCTAAACGAATATGGTTTTGGGATGGCTAAAGAGTGTATAACCCTAATCCATGATAAATGATCTTTGAGCATCCATGCTCAAACATGAATGAAATATGGCCTCCAAAGTGAAACAGGTGACTTAAAATAAATCAGTAAAAATACAATTAAGGACCATACAAAATCTTGGCACAGTGGATTACAATTGCTACAACAGGCAGAAAACCGATTTACGTAGTTTGCCAAGACCCTCAGCAATTTTCATGTGGCCTGTGGAGGAAAAAGTTTGGGAACTGCTGAGCTAGAGAAGGGAATGCTGGGCAAAGTGAATTTTATTTATTAACTTAGTCCATACAATGCTGCTTCCTGTGATCCAACACCACTAAAGGTTTATCCTATAGTTCTGATCCCCTCAACTGAATGGCAATTTTTTCTCTACTGTGATCCCGTCCTCTTTTTCTTCTGTCAGGACCCTTCCCCAATTGCTCAGAAATTGCCCCATAATAAGATTCCACCAAGAGCCGGTGTGATGTAGTGGTTAGAGCATCAGTATAGTAGGATCTGGGACAGACCAAGGTTCAAATACCCACTTGGCCATCATGAAGTTCAGTGGGTGACCTTGGGCCAGTCAACATCCCTCTCAGCCTAGGGTTGTTGTGGGGATTAAATTAGGAGAGAGACAACGGTGTGCGCCACCTTGAACACCACAGAGCAAAAGGTGGGATAAAAACGCAATTAACAGTAGTAGTAACAGCAGTAGTTCATCTCGCCAAGTGATCATTCTGACTGCCAGCCGCTCTCCAGAATCTCACTCCATGAAAAGAGACAATATTGTGTAGCAGAGTGTTCGACCCGAGAGAGACCAGGGTTCGAATCCCCACCCGGCCAGGAAGCTCACTAAGGGGATGACCCTGAGCTTAGTCCCTGCCTCTCAGCCTAACCGACATAACACAACACGGTTGTGGTGGGGATTAAATATGGACTAGGATTTAGGAGACCAGGGTTCAAAACCTCCACTTGGCCATGAAACTGCTTGGCGGGGGGGGGGGGAAACCTCACTGTCCTCTCAGCCTAACCAACCTCAAAGGGTTGTTGTGGGGATAAAACGGGGGGACGGGGACCCACGTGCACCACCTCGAGCTTCTTGGAGGAAAGAAAATGGGACACAACTGCTGTGAATGAATGAATGAATGAAACTTTCTCTGCCAAGCCTCCTTGCACCCAGCACCCAGTTCCAATCGCCCTCCTTTTTCCCTGGCAGAATAGACCCCCTCCTCCTCCTCCTCCAACCAACCTGCATTTCCCCGACTAAAAACCCCTCTCCTCCTTTTCTCATCCAAAGCTGTCCTCCGATCAGACCCCCAAACCCGGTTTTGCCTGCCAAGACCACCTGCCCTCCCCTCCTGCGCTCGCCCACCTCGGCTCCTGCAGCTGCCAGCAGAACGGAAGAGAGAGTCAGCACTCCCCGCGGCCGGAACCCCGCCTCTCTCTTTCGCGCGCGCGCGCATTACGTACCTTCTTCGAGTTGCCGCTGAGCTCGCTGGGAAATGTAGTCCTCAGCCCTGCTTAAGAACCTATGTGGAGACAAGCTGGAGGATGCCAGTGGCCCTTTTGGCTCAGTATCCTGTTCTCCCAGATGAACCAGAGATGCCCATAGGAAGGTCTCTAGCACAACAGCAAACCTCCTCTCTTGTGGCTGCCAGTGACCGGCACCTGATCCTGGATTTACCGCCTGCTTTCTGGTTATTTTGGTGTTAGAAGAAACATGAAAGATCATTAGGAGAGCCCTGCTAGATCAGACCAGTGGCCCATCAAGTCCTTTCATAGTTTTATAAGCTTCTATCATGCCACCTCTTTCTTGCCTTTTCTCTAAACTAGCCATTCCCAAAAGCTGCAATCTTTCCTCCATCCTTCTCCTGACCCTATTCTGAACCTTTTCCAAGTCTACAATATCCATTTTGAGAGGAGGTGACCAAAACAGTATTCCAAATGTGGTCTTAGATATGTATAACAACATTTTGATAGTGGCAGTTTTGTTTTCAATTCCTCTAATGATCCCTAGCATGGAATTTTCCTTTTTCATGTCTTCCACACGCTGGGTTGACATTTTCATTGAGCTATCCATTAAGGCTCCAAGGTGTTACTCCTTTTCTGCCATCACCAGTTCAGCCCCCATGAGAAATTAATATTTTTTTGCCCCCACATGCATCACTACACACTTGTTTACATTGAATTGAATTTGCCATTTTACTGCCCATTCACTCAGTTTAGAGAAGTCCTTTTGGAGCTCTTTGCAATCTTTTTAACAACCCTGAAAAATCTAGCATCACCAGCAAACCTTGCCACTTCACTGCTAAGTCCTAACTCTAAATTGTTTATGAACAAGTTAAAAAGCACAGGACTCAATACCAATCCTTGGAGGACACTACCTTTTACCTCTTTTTGTTTGGAGAACTGTTCATTTGGACAGTTAACTATCCAATTAGTCACTGTAACTATTTTGTGTTCAGATAAATCACAGGTTCCTCTGCCTATTTTGCATTTCATTGCTCACTGAACTCATTTTTCCACACCCACCCAGTGTGATGTATGCCAGCCAGTTCAAGATTTCACTCCGTGCATCTGATTGGCAGCACGGGCAAAGCCCTGTGGAAATCTTCACCCACAGCACTTTGCAAATGGGCAAAAAAGGGGTTGCCTGATGTCACTGTGACATCAGGTGATCGACACGTGGCTTGCCCCACCCTCCTGTCAAATTTGGCCTGCAGGAGGTGGGGGAGATAGCCAGTTCCCCAACCCTGCTTTAACCCAAAGAACACCCTCATTCCTAGCTGCCACTTTTTATTTAGAGCAAAATGTTTTTGTTTTTTTAATTGCATTGGGCGAGCAAGCTGGCCTGGCTTGTCTTACTCATCATGAACCTTTCCCGAAAAGATCACACTGCAGAACCGTGTTTATAACAACCATGTTTATTTTGAATCACTGTCTCTTCCCACACCACATAATACTGCCAGCCAGCGCAGAAAAAGAAATCAAATTTTACAAGCATTGCTAATCTATGGAAATCGTATATTGTCCCAGTGTGTGGTAGGATAGGTACACAGTTGCTCTAGGGTAGCTTTTACCTACCTGGCAGCCCTCCAGATGTGTTTGACCACAATGCCCATCTACCCCAGCCAACGTGATGGGAATTGTCACCCAAAATATCTGGAGGACATGAGGTTTGCTACCGTGGCTCTAGGGAGACTGAGAGCTTTGAGTTGGACAGGAGGGCACGTGCCAAGGCTGCTAGCTGGTGGGGTTGGGAGAGGAGGCTGAGCTCTTCGTGGTGCGTTGATCTGACTGCCCCAGGCGCTCCTGGTTTTGCTTCTCCTGCCTGGCAAGGAGGATGTTCATGGACTCTCGCATGTCTTCGAGGAGGGAGAGCTGTGCCTGTGCGATCTGCGTCTGTGTCTGGATGTTGTTGTGCATGCACTCCAGCAGGCCAAAACACTCCTGGGGCTGATGTTCAGGGGCTGGGGAGAGAGAGGAGGAGAGAAGGGAACAGGCAGAGGTTGGCTGAATCATCCACATTTTCTGCAAAGAGAGGGAGCCAAGGTGTTTGGTTTCCAAGGTATGACTGTATTTGGAAAAGACAACCTGTGTACCGCTCCTATATTTTGTAAACTTGCTTATGTTTTTGTTTGTTTGTACTTTTGATTCCATTTTAATAAAAACTTAAAAAGCGGGGGATAGGGAACAAGATAAAGAACCCTAGAGGGGAAGGGAGGGGTCAGTGAGTCACTCAAAGCAGACTGAGCAGACATACAAATATTATATGCATCTCTGCATATAAAGATGTTTGCACAAATTGATGTCCACTTTTTTGGCCATGGGGCTACTCTAAGATGAGGGCCCACATGCATGTAAAGCATGAGGGGGTTCCCCTAACTTACAGAAATGTCTCTTTCCCTTCCCGATCCGAGCTGTCTGGGTATATGGCAGGCCTGGGCTGGGCCTCCACTGAGTTGACGGGAGTTCCAGGAAACTGGGGGAGGGCTTGGCTGGACACAGAGGCTTAAAAGAAGGAGGCGGAGGACCATCAAAGTCTTCTCCTGTTGAGAGAGAAAGAGTGGATCAGGTTGCATGGCCAAGATCTCTAGAATCCTGGGATCAACTCTCGCATCGTTAAAAGTCATCTTAGTTTATTAATCGTATGAGCTGGGTTAGTTGCTGAAATTAGATTAAGTGGTTAAATTTGCATGCATTTGCATTTGGATATAAAAATTGTTTTGCGCAAGAAGCGTAATTTATTTTGAGTAGCAGGCATTATCTTGGAAAAGACATTCCCTCCTGTGTGAGGGAAAACACGGAAAGTATGTTAAGATGCTGATATCACAGAAAGAAAGGGGAACTGAATGGGTGGCAGCCGATTTCAGCCTCAACCTTCAGCCAGGCCTTTTGGCTGATTGTCTATGTCCTTTTAAATGAGCTTGAGGGAGGGTGGGGGGTTGTTCTTTGGTTTTGTTGCTTTTAATATGTACTTTGTGATTTTATTCTGTATATTTATGCTGTGAAACACCCTGAGATCTTCACATGAAGGACCACAAATATAATAAATTAATAATAACTTTTAAACTGCTCCTGCTGCTGTACCATTACCAATAAAAGCAGCAGATTGCAACAAGAGAGCAATTGCTTTTATCTGTGTACCAGGAGAAGCTTCACTGTTAATTCTTGCATCTCAAACTGCTGTTAAAAGATGCAGCAATAAGCGGTTGACTGAAAAAATCCAAATCACTGGAAACCCAGATGAAAGTGACTGAGTTTGGCTGGGTCATTCCCACCCCCACCCCCCAGCAGGGGCAAAGATATCTAAACAAAAACACTTACGTGGGACTTGTGAAGATCTTCTTGGTGTACCTGAAAAATATAAAACTATAGTTATTATGGATCTTTATTGGGCTTTTTATTTAGTAGATATTCATTTTATTCCTCTGTAAATATAGAGTCCATATTTTTGCTGTTTCTTTCGTCTAGGGAGAAAAGTTGCTAAGTACTTTTATCTGACCCTCCAAACTCAGCTCTGGGACTTTTAATAAATTTGCAGAACTTATTCTACCTCCACCCCATTAGCTTTCTCTATGGCTTGTTGCGGCCAACATTGCCTCGGGTGTAGCCACCACATTTTTCTCACCGTAAGGCACATAAGGATGCAGGGAATTTAGGACTGCTGCCATGGCTGCCAACACAACTTAAGAGGTACATGGTATAAGTGACATCCATAAGATACTAAAGGGTCTCAAACTGAGACTGTGGAGGGGCCATGCAGCTCGTTGCAGCTTGCCACAGGAGAGGACTTTGGGCTGCTCTTGTAGCCTTATGAGGCTTTGCCCTCGGGTGGGAAAAATATTGCGCCTGGGAAAGGGAAGTGGGAGTCAACAGACACTCAAGGAATAGTTTCGGAGAAAAGGCTTTTATTTCTACCATCCATGAACTGGTTGAAGAAGCAAGTGTGATAAGTCACAAAAAGATGCACGAGTTCACAATCATGTGCACAAGCATACATACCCCTTTCCAGTTCCCTCCCCCTTTCTCCTCCCTCAGGAGTTCCTCTGAGCATGAACAGAAAGCTGTCTTGGGACTATTGTGGACTCTTGGCACCCTTCCCAGGAAAGGGGTTTCAGAGTGTTCAGATATGTTTCAATTTCTTGTTCTGGCATGGTTCCCGGACAGAAAGTAAGTTGCAATGTGGTTCTTTAGCAAGACCAGAAGACATGAGAAAGGCCTGAGAAACAATGGACTGTTCTCTACCTTTGTTACAGCAGAGCAGAATGTTTCTGATGCTTAGCTGCTGAGAAAATGATTTTGAAAAGTTTTGAGCCTGCTTTGGTGGGGGGGTGACTTCGGGCCTAGGTGAGGTCACCTGTCCTCACCTTCCTTCACTCTTCCCTGGGCTGTAGCATCACCTCCACTGCTGATGGTCAGGAAGTGGTACTTAGGGTTGCCATTTCCCCAAAAGCATGGCAGCCCTAGTAGTTCTGCAGCTACCAAAACAGCAAGTGCTAATGCAGGGTTGCCAAGTCTCTTTACCCCAGTGCGTGTGTGTGTGTGTGTGTGTGTGTGTGTGTGCATGTACTTGTGTGTAGAGCACAAAGACTGAGGGGTGCAGCTGAGGGACAGCACTTGGAGGTATTGCAGCACATTGCTTGATGCCGTACACTGGGCAATGTTGGCCCCCTTAACAGCATAGGCAAGTTGGTGCCTCTGACTGTGATAATATATCTTGCTCACTTGGGTGAAAGAGAGAGGTGTTTTTACAAACCTCTAACTTTTGTGTGGTTGTACGAAAGGCAAGAGTCGCAGTAGATGCCCTGCCTGCATTTTAGCCTCTGGCCTTGCCCACCAGGGATATGTGACTCCCACAAGTTTATCCATGAGGGAATGCGGCCCCCGGGCTGGAAAAAAAGTTCCTTATCCCTGGTTTAAAACATTAGCTGGAGAGGGGAAAAGTCTGATGTGGGTCTAACCTACTTTTCCGATGCTGCTTCTCATCCTGGGGGTTGACATCTGGCTCCATCCGAACAGGACTGAAACTCTTACCTGGAACAGGAGAAGAGGAAGAAAATAGTTATTAGTATCACAAGCAAGAGTTTCCAGGTTGGGGAGGGTTAAAGAAAAGGAGGTGCAAGACTGGAAAGCAACTCCCCTTTCATATGGACTGGAGGGAGAGCCTTATGTTTCTTATTTAAGGCCAAGATGGTCTTCCGGTGTCTTTCTGGTTTCATACTGCTGCGGTTGGAAAAAAATGATAGATTAGAGCATACTCCACAGGGTGCACTCGCTTTCCTGGGCTGGCAGCCACTTCAAACCTCAGAAGACAAAGCCTAGGTAGGCCTTTTGAGCTTGTCGCAACACATCCCGCTGCATCCTGGCCAAAGGGGACACCTCCTCCTCAGTCAGAGGGGCCTTCTTGGTGGCTGCTCCCAGGATTTGGAACTCCCTCCCTAAAAAAGCCAGACTCCCTCTCTCCTTGCTGTCCTTTTGCCTGCAGGTGAAGTCTTTTACTGTATTCCGAAAGGCCTTGGGAAACGGACTATTTTTTTAAAGGAAATGGCTTCTGATAGCGCGGTGCTATTTTTATGATCTGTGTTTTAATCAGTTGGTTTCTTGTATTGTTGTAATTCTATTAATTTAATTACTTTAGAAATAAATATAATAATAGCAATAATAACAACAATCAGTGACTGTCCTTCATTGTGCTCTGTTTTTACATTCTGGGCCAGACTGGGAATGTGTTGGTGAGGAGTTGCAAACTCTACCAACTGCTGATCAGCCACTCTTCCTCTTCTCCCAGGTATAAAAAGATGGAGATGTCCAAGACAGCACCTTGGCTAAATGCAAAGCAGGGTGGTAGGTGTGCATTGGCACTGCACAAAACATTGCGTGGGTGACTATGGGAGAACATCATCCCTGGGGTGATCTTGAGCCAGTCACTCACTGCCTCTCGGCCCAACCTACCTCACAGGGTTGTTGTGGGTATTAAATGAGGAGTGGGAGAACCATGTACACCACTTTGAGCTCCTTGGAGAAAAAGGTGGGATATAAATGCGATAAACAAATAAATAAAGTTACTGTTAAACCAGGTTCATCCTTTTTGATTTTCTTTTCAGACAAGCAAAAATGCAAGAATCATAGAATTGGAAGGGACCAAAAGGGCCATCTAGTCCAGCCCCCAGCAATGCAGGAAGGGGAGGATCTTTTTAATTATGAGAAAGTGGCAATGCAAGAGGCACAGCCCACACTTAAACTGGGGAGGTTGGATTCCTTCACACACACACACACACACCCCGTCAGACCCACGCGGCCTCTTCTCTCCCTCTCTCAGTCAATTGCTTTCTGGGGTGAATTGCTTATCTTGTCACTCTCCCAGCTGGAGGTGAATCTGAGAAAGTGCTCTCTCTGTGTACCCATACAGACAGCAAGATTGAGAAGCAAGTTCTCGTCACAAAACGGATTGCAACTGTTCCTGCATTATGTGCCTTAGATCGATCGGCAAATAGCATGTGACAAGAGACAAAATGGGGATGACATGATATTCAGATTAAGTGCAGTATATCAGTTTAATAAAATAAAAGATATGGCATGTACAGCACCTCCAAAAGGTGCCTGCATTTAGCACTGAATGCACATTATCATGCAGTATGTGCACAAGCCATGATACTTGATACATTGAAGGAGGAGAAGAGAGTGTGGCTATTAGACTTTTCACTTTCATTGTTTTCACTTATAACCACTGTGGTTGCACTAGGATTTGTAAGATTAGGTATCATCCATATGTTCAATAAAACAAATGTGGTTCATTCTTTTTGCTCTATAATGGACAGTTTCAAGTATCTTTTGCAATCTTTATTGTGTGTGCATGTTGTCTGTGTGTGTGTGTGTGTGTTGCTAAATTTTAATAACGTTGGTGTGTGTGAAAATATTCCAATAACTTTTAACCTGGCACTTACATAATTTCCAATTTATGCACTGTTATTAGGGATTAATTGTAATTTTATTTATTTTGGCCTTGCATCCTGTCTCTGCCACAAACTCACCAGGTGTCCGAACCATAACATTCTCAGCCTTAAATCTTTTTATAGAGTGTCTGCAACTGGCCCCATGCTGCATGTAAAACTTGTTACTATGAATCTGAAACTGAGTTTGCTTATTTCTTTCTCCCACCTGATTTATTTTCCTTTTGTGTCGTATATTTTAAATGCAGATCTTATTTGTATTGATCTCTGTAATGATGTTTTCTCAGCTGAAAAGTGGCCTAATTTTCTTTTTATTTAAATAAAATGATCCAGGGGATGCAGCAAAATCCAACCCTATATCCCGTCTCCCAGGATATCTCACCCTGGAGAAAGCTCAATATCTAACTAGCTGCACTTTGGCAGCTCAAAGGGCATCTTCGTCAGAGAAAATACTACAGCTCCCATCATGCTCAGCGGTGAGGTTGGGCGAGGGTTGGCTTGGGAGTGAATGGGGCCCGGATTGAAACTTCAACTCCCATGATGCTCCTCTGACCAGAACTTAAAACGAGACCACAAATCCCATCATGCCTAGGCTCAGGCCAGTCAGGACTCCGGAGCTCCTTTTTGTGGTTTCCCCAAAACTCGCCTCTGGGGTGCGACTGGTCGGGGTCGGAGCGCGGCAAGTGCTGCAGCGACCGCCGGTGTGAAGACTCCATCCATCTAACCGCTGACAGGAGCCCGTGCGCGTGCGCACTTCCGCCTCCCTCAGAACTGTGCGCAGGCGTAGTTGGCGTCCTGCAGCTTTCGTTATGCGCAGGCGCGTCCAGCGGGGGCGGAGCGAATAAGGTGGGAAGACGACGCGCAAGCGCATTGCTTTTTCCGTTTTGTAGAGAAGCGCCGCACGCGCTACGCGAAGGGCGGGGCAGGGGGGAGAGCGTGAGTAGTCCGTTGTCCTATCAACCGATCTTGGTGGAAGAGCGGTGGGCGGGGCCATGGTGACAGAGCCCGCTTCCTCATTGGTGGAGGCTGAGGCGCCTCCGACCCTGATTGGCTATGCAGCCACAGCAGTCAATTAGGCTGTTCGGGCGCGGTGAAACGGCATTTCCCCCCTCCCTTTCCTTTCCTTTCTCCTCCTCCAGAAGGTTCCGCGCCGGCTTCCCTCACGCTTCGCCGTGAAGATGATGGGCCAGCGCCCCGTCCTCGTGCTCAGTGAGTCTGAGGGAAAGGGGGTGGGTGAGAGGAGCCCCTCCATGGACCCGCCCCTCCTCTGCCACCCCCACGAAGACCCCCCCTCAGAAAACCCCCTTAATTCGATTATCTCACCCTTCCCCAATTCCCTCCCGTAATATCTCTTTTCAGATATGCATAGAAAGTATATGTTGGAGACCACTCCTTATTATTGCCCCCTCGCACTAAATTCCCCATATAATTCTCTGCCTCCTTTAGCTCCCCCCCCTATAAACTGAACCCCAACATTCCTGGTTGCTCCTGTCTCGCCTCCCCGACTGTATAATAAACATGCCCCATAATTTATATATACCCCACCTCTTCTATCCCTGGAAAGTATATTCTGGACACCCCCTTCCCCCCTTAACCACCTACATTCCTTGATACTCCTGTTTAGTCCCCCTCCCACAAAAAACCAAGTGTGTAATAGGAACCTTTCCTGTTCCCCTTCAAATTCTCCTCAACAACGTTCTCCTTCATTTATACCCTCCTCCCTCCCAAAAAAGTGCCTATTAAGAGGCCTTTTTGTTGCCCCTCAAATAATTTTTCTCCTGCTGTATTAAAACACTTCTTGCTCCGGCCCACCTATGTTTCACTGAATTCTGCCCTGTTTCACATTCTTCCAAAATTTCCTAAATTCTGTATCTTCCCCATCCCCCCGAAAGTATGTGTTGGGCATTTCTCCTGATCATTCCAAACCCCTCCCAGAATGCCCCACTTCATTTAATCCCCCCTCCATACTCAAAAAGTGTATATTGGGGGAGGGGGGCTTCTACTAAATCTTCCCCATAATTTCCTGCTTCTTACATGCTGCCTCCTGCCTTCCCAGTTAATAATCATGTATTAGGTTGAGCTACTATGAGCCTTAATAGTTTTTAGGGTCCTGATCTGCTGTACCCCATTGTGTTTCAAGCTGGGAGTATATTGTGGATGTGCCTTCTCTTGTCAGTAAGCTGTTTGCGTGGAGGGTGCTCCCTTCATCGGTCTCCTCAAATATACCCCCCCCAATAATTCTTCTCCCGCTGTATTAAACACCTCTTCTTCCTACCCACCTTTGTTTCATTGAATTCTGCCTTGCTTCACATTTTATCACTGTCCGTTCCCTCACACTTTACACATATTATTCTCCATTTTAAGATGCCTAAGGCATCACACAAAACTAGGAATGAATGTTGGTGGCCCTGCCTCCTTTAAAAAAATATTCTCAGTAGACTAGTTTTGCTATTTTGTTCTGATTACTAGTTTCTTGGCTCCAGTATTGGATTGCTCTTGTTGGATCCTCCTTCCATCCATAAAAGGAGAATCAAAGTGAGATTTGACACACTATCGGAGTGGATAGAGAGAGTTTCCAAATATGGGTGTGGATTTCTGGTGCAGAACACGCCACATGTGTGCAGCAGATAGCAGGGTTGTGGAGATGGCAGGAGTAAATATCTGAAATGGGGATACACTTAAAGTGTGCGTTGAGAGAGTTCCCTAAATCAGCTTTCTGTTGCAGGCTCAAATATCATACAATACATTCCCATGTCATTAACAATAGGAGTTAGGTTTCCCTTAGTCTCTCCCTAGAGTCAAATGAATGTAGTTGAAAATTGAATAAGCCAGTGATAGCCCTTTCCTTGCTCGTCATAGTTATTGGATGTTTTTAATATACGTTCCTGTCTTTGTTGGGGTGTGGAGAATGGAGATTGTAGCTGTCTGACTGCAAACTGTTTCTTAAAGGGCCCTTCTCTTAAAGAGATAGATAGACAGATAGAAAGAAAAGAACATTGATATGTATAGAGAGAAAGTAGATACTTAGCAATTAGCAATGTGTGTTTATTCTACACATTTAACAATTTATATACTGTATTGCTTAACTACAAATTGTTTCAACTGCATGTTTAGTCAGAAGGACTCATGGGAAAGAACTCATAAATGAAATAAATAATAATAAGTAACTACCGCCAATTGGTAACTGTTTTTACTGTGGTATGCCGATTGTAGAGTTGTTGCAGTAAAAATGTTCTGTCATTAGCATTTGAACATTCTAGACCATTGTTGGGGGGAAATAATGTACCATGTAGCCCTTAAGACAAAAATGGGTATTCCAGAAGCCTTGCAGGAACATCACAAGCAACTATATTGCCATTTAGGGTTGGTTGGTTATGGATTTGATTTGGCTACTAGAGAAGTGATTTCCTACATTGCCTGCTACAAATTGTGTAATATTCCATTTCTGTTCCTTTAAGACAAGCTTTATTTACCTATGCTGTGCTGTTATGCATTCTTACCTGAGAATACTTCTCATTGAATATGGTGGGATTAATGTCTGATTAAGCATGCATAGGAATGTGCTATAGGTAGCAGAAGTCACAGATTATTATTGCACTGGGCCCATTCTAAAATCCCATGGAGGGGAGGGAATAGGAAAACAAGGAGGAATGAATGTGAACCAAAGAAGTAGTTAGGGTGAAAATGGGAGGTCTACAAGAGAAATTTTAAGAAAGAGAGCCTGCATTTTTATGAACGAGTTGTATTAGATGATTTTTGTAATTGTTTTTCTGTTTGCTTTAGGTCAGAACACAAAGCGAGAGACTGGCAGAAAAGTCCAGACCGGAAATATTAATGCTGCTAAGGTATATTTTTCTGTAAAATGCATTAGGGATGTGAAAGACAGCCTGTTAAAAGTGCACACAGGAGTGGGTGGTGACCAGATAAAAAGAGGGTAATACTTTTTTACTTTTAACCATTGCCTAGTAAAGAAAGTTTCATCAAGGACACAAAGCTCTCCTGCCAGCATTCCTTCTTCTGTATTTGTTTAGTCTAAAAAGAGACGACAGGCAGACACACAAACACAAAAAAATAGAAGTCGTTCCTCATTGAAGTTTTGGGTTAAAGTTGGATCCTAGGTCTGAAAAGACTGAAGGCTGCTGATTTAATATTTGATGCAACAGAACTTTCAAGCCTTTGCATAATAATATCTAATTACCTTTTACCCATGGTCTCCAGAGTTCACTTGTCTGTCTTTTCACTTCCTTTCAGTAGCACACAGTTCTCCTGTCTCCTAGCCAAACAGATCTTTTTTCTCCCTACACAGAATATGACCTGTTTTTAAGTGTTCTGTTGGCAACAGCTTCCTCTGCAGATGTTGGAATGTTTATGAATATTCCATAGTATCACAACATGTTTCGGCTTACAGTTGACAGACAGTAGCTAATTTTGTGTCTCATAATGTTTCTGAAATTCAGTGAATAACTATCAAGGATTTACCTAAGCTTTTCTTTTAAAATCATGTTGCCTTATTGATTCCTTCCATTTCAGACCATTGCTGATATTATCAGAACATGCTTAGGACCAAGGGCCATGATGAAGGTGAGAATACATTTTCCCATCATTGCTCCATTAATTCACAGTAAAGAGAGAATCTGAATACACATTCTCTTTTGTTGATATTGCATTCCATGTAATCTGACATAAGTGTTTCTAAATCTCCAATGCAGATGCTGTTGGACCCAATGGGTGGCATAGTTATGACCAATGATGGCAACGCCATTCTTAGAGAAGTAAGTCTCCTTGGTGCTCACAGGAGCTGTAGTTTCTTAGGGCTTAGCCAAAAGGCAGGCACAGCCTAAGAAATAAATATATAGTCTGTCTTGCCACATATGATTTGAAGAATTGTGAAATTGAACGGTGGGAAGTGCCTCTTAATGGGAATGCCCCAAAATTAACTTTAACAGCCAAAATGGCTTTTGAGAAGCACTTTAGGGCAGCCTTCATGCTCTTATTCCACCTGAAACAGGAATATGGGGGCTGCCTTACATTGTTTTTCAAAAGCACTGTTTGAAGCAACTTGCACGCTTCTCTTGTCCACTCACAGGAGAAGTGCACAGTCTGCTTCAAACAGTGCTTTTGGAAAGTGCTTTAAACTCTGCTCACCGGATGATGAATAGGGATTAATCCTGCTGCCTTGGCTGTATGATCCTGTTCCCTTCTGGGAACAGAATGCACGGCAAATATAGTGAAGCATTAAACCCTGTCCTGTAATCCCATTCCATCTCTATGTAGGTCTAATTCAAGACCCCCTGGTGTTTCAGGAGGTTTCAATAAGGGAGCAGGAGTGCTCTAGAATGCAAGGTTTGTTCATGAGTCCTTCCTTCCTTCCCTTTACAGATTCAGGTCCAGCACCCAGCTGCCAAGTCCATGATTGAAATCAGCCGCACTCAGGATGAAGAGGTGGGCGATGGGACCACATCTGTGATTATACTTGGTAAGATCACTCTGTGTATGCTCTTGTATGCCTGCCTGCACAAAAGAAACCGTAAATCAGAGAAGCATGTTGGTGCATTAAATGGCCACAAATGATTCACCTCTGTTGAGGTGTTGTGGGTATCATTGTGTTGGAGACAAAAGAAATATTGAGCACTGGATGCAACCTGTTGTTTGAATGAATGGGATCTGGACACAAGAGCATTGTAATTCTGTTTCACAGATCCTTTTCATTTCAATGGGACATGCAGGAGAATCTCTGGCTTTGACCCTGTGTTAAATGGTGAGGGGTACCATTTGGATTTGCCAGCTCTTGGTAAAAAAACCAAACATGTTCATAGGTTCTTGCATATTAATGAAGCTAATTTAAAATGAAAAGCTGTTGGCTCTCCCCAATACGATCCTTTCCCAAGAGAGCAAACCTAGATAGAGCTTGTAACATGAAAGAATCAGATAGTTTAGCATTATTAGCAACAGTCTAGCTCAGTACTTCTGTCTTAGCCCACTGTGAGTCACATGCTGTCAAAAGGAACTATTTCTCCTCCATGCCTGGAATTGATGACACTTCTGGTTTTTGCCTCTGTTTTGTACCAGCTGGCAGAGCGATCATTGGGGGAGACCTGGGGATAAAGGTCTTGAGATGCTCTGACTAATTTGTGTCACTGGCCATAACTTGTGCTAACTGTAGTTCATTACTGTGTGCAATTCAGAAGCATTGCAGTTGGTTGCAGAAATCCTCATTAACTGCTCTCTGTTTGCTGTTTAGCCGGTGAGATGTTGTCAGTTGCAGAGCACTTCCTTGAGCAGCAGATGCACCCAACAGTGATCATTAGTGCATACCGAAAAGCTCTGGATGACATGATCACTGCTCTGAAAAAGATCAGGTGAGCAGGGAAGCTGAAAAGTAGAAGGGAATATGGTGGATGGGCAGGTGATCTGATGACCCATGTCTGGACACCTGAGGGATGTGACAGAAAGGCAGATGAAAAGCCCAGAGCTAGGTAGAAGTGATGCAAGAGTAGTTGTGATCATCACTTTGTCCAAGTGTTTGTGCCTCTAGGTGCAAATTCACATTTGATCCCTCTCTATTCCTTTCTGAGGAGGGACCCTTATTTACATGATATACTAAATTATTTGCATGTGGAAGGTCCGAGGGTTATCTGCCTGAGATCTTGAAGTTCTGTTGTCAGAATTGACAGTTTTGGAGTAGATGAAACACTTGACTTGGTTTAAGCATCTTTGATAAGAGCAAAGCATTACAAATCAAAATAAAGTTGAAACATGTAGCTGGGGCAGTTGCAGAGAACTTCATGACCATCCAATCTGCTTCAAGTGTGCTTTGATTTGGTCTTCGGTTGTCCCCAAAGTCTACTAGCATGCTCAGCCAACAGTGAACTGCGTAAAGTTCTATTCTGTTTGTCTTCTGGATGACATGCTTTATGCTTGGTTTTTGCAGCACTCCAGTCGACATTGGCAACAGAGAAGCTATGCTTAAAATAATCAACAGTGCTATCAGCACAAAGGCTATCAGTCGCTGGTCAGATCTGGCCTGCACCATTGCTCTCGATGCAGTCAGGACAGTGGAGTTTGAAGAGAATGGCAGGAAGGAAATCGACATCAAGAAATATGCCAAAGTAGAAAAGGTACAAAGGGGAAAAAATGTACTGCTTTTTTGAAGGCCTGGAAGAAAATGATTTGAAGCCCCTTAGGAATCACTGACACCATCTTAGATTTGTGAAATAAACAAACAAAAATACAGAGAATGAATATAGATTGATCCTTCTGAGTTCATATTTGCTTTAAAGTATGGAAGAGCCTTGCTCTCAGAGTCAGAATATTGTTTAAAGCGTAGTTTATAACATACCAGAACATAAAAGGTAAAAAGGTAAAGGACTCCTGGACAGTTAAGTCCAGTCAAAGGCGACTATGGGGTTGTGGCGCTCATCTCACTTTCAGGCCAAGGGAGCCGGCGTTTGTCCACAGACAGTTTTCCAGGTCATGTGGCAGCATGACTAAGCCGCATATATACAATCAAAACAAAGGGAAGGTTGTAATAAAACACATCCACATGCATTACCACCTACATGCCTTCGTAGCAACAAATACAAAAGAGATTGCCTTTCCCCCACTTTTCTCTTGTTCCTGACTTGTGGGTGTCCTCTTTGCCTCATCCAGATTCCCGGTGGCTTTATTGAGGATTCATGTGTCCTGCGTGGGGTCATGATCAATAAAGACATCACTCACCCCCGGATGCGTCGCACCATCAAGAACCCCCGCATCATCTTGCTGGATTGCTCATTGGAGTACAAGAAAGGCGAGAGTCAGGTATGTTGGGCTGCAAGTCTCATCTGCTCTTCAGTGCTGAGGGCTGGAATGGATTGAACCCAAGCATTTCTCACATCTTTTTAAACATTGTATTCTTATTGTTATCAGTTCAGAATACAAAAGATACAATTCAAGATATACGAAAGGAAAGAAAGAGCTAGCTATCTAAACAATAATTGAGATAAAACAAATGTGATCAAATGATACAGGCTCATGCCCTCAGCAGTCTCCATTGATGGATTTATGTTTTCTTGTACCTTAGAAGGTAAAGCTAACTCCCAGTGTGCTGGCTGAAGCTGATGGAAGTTGTAGTCCAAAACATCAGGAGGGTATCAGGTTGGGAAAAATTGACCACCATTTTATGTACCTCTTATTGTTTAAAGAGAATTATAAGCATTATATATTGTCAAATCAGTCAGGAGATATACTTTCCAGTTAGCGGAGGATGCTTTGGCCTAAAAGGCAGCAAATAATGAAATAAGCAAAAGTTTATGAAAGAACCAAATATGCCCAGTGGAGTATAAATCTCACTTGTCTTCTTTTATGCAGACTGACATTGAAATAACTCGTGAGGAGGACTTTGCTCGCATTCTGCAGATGGAGGAGGAGTTTATTCATCAGATGTGTGAGCACTTGATCAAAGTCAAACCAGATCTCATCATCACAGAGAAGGGAATCTCAGGTAAACACCAAAGTGTATTTCTGTGGGTAAACATCTGGTTATTAAAATCTTCTCTTCTTCCTGCCTTTGCATTGTACTTAATATGTTTTGTTTTCAGACCTGGCACAACATTTCCTAATGAGAGCCAATATCACAGCCATACGTCGGGTGAGGAAAACTGACAATAACCGGATTGCAAGGTGATTGCAACACTGATTTTTGTTTTTGATGGCATGCCAAGGGTGCTTTCTTTTCTTCTGCATTCCATCAGTTAGTTTTTAATCTTTAGGGTAGCAGCTATCTTAGCCAGGGCAGAGCATAGTGGTGAGGAGCCAGATATTTTTGTACTCTCCCTTCTTGTTACTACATGCTGGCTGAGGATGAAAGCTTTGATGTTCTGTCTGTTTAGTCAGGATTGTATATATCTTTTGGGGGAAATTTGAAAGCATGGGAGAATGCTTAAGTTCTGGAAACTTCCTTTTATGCCTTAAGCCAGCTGTGGGGGGGAGTAAGGGATTAGAAGCTTCCTAATAATCACTAGTAGGAAACACGGATGATTGGGGGAGGAAACTTCACTGCCTGGCCTTCAAAACTGCAAACTTATCTGAAACCAGGCAGAGAGGCTAGGCATGCAGCTGATTAGATGCCAGCTTGATTTGTGTCCTGAAGGAAGGGTTGCCAATCCTCTGAAGAGCAGATAAGGACACAATTTCCCAACAGTTCTGAGACCCAGTTTTCTCCTCTTCAAAATTATCCACTAGCAAGAAAATGAAACTGTTGGTAATGCCTGTCCTCCAAGGAAGAGTCTTGGATGCAGGTGTGGAGCTACAGCATTGGAGATGTGTCTTTTGCTCTATTTCTGCAGGGCCTGTGGGGCTCGTATTGTCAGCCGCCCAGATGAGCTGCGTGAGGAGGATGTTGGGACTGGGGCAGGACTTTTTGAAGTGAAGAAAATTGGGGACGAGTACTTTACATTCATCACTGAGTGCAAGGAGCCCAAGGCCTGCACCATTATGCTCCGGGGCGCTAGCAAAGAGATTCTGGCGGTAAGCACCCAGTCATTAATAGGAGACAGATAAGCAACAACTTTTGTTCAGGGCTTTTTTTTTCCCTGGGGAGACAGGAGAGATGTGGCTTTGGAATGGAATCACTTAAAGATGATCCAAATCTATGTCAACCTGTTTTGAATGTTGAGAGTTTAAAAGAACCCTCTGGAACATCTAGTCCAGCCTTCCTCAACATGGTGCCCTTCAGATATTTTGGATAGCTCCTGTTATTCCCAGCCAGCATGGCCAACAGTCAGGGATGATTGGAGTTGTAACTAAAAGCATCTTGAGAGCAGCAGATTGAGGATGGCTAGTCTAGATCACTTCCAAGAAGCTCTCTGAAACTTAATATCTTTCAAACTCCTGATGGCTCTTTGTGCACTGTTCGTTTGTTTTCAGAATTAAAGTTGGCACTTGCTTTGAGTGTAGTTCTAAAACTTTTTTGTTTTTGAAATGTTGGTGTGTTTGCTGCCCCAAGATCTTTCAGGAGGAAGGGCAGGAGATAAATTCAGTTAAGAATAAAAAGGTTTACCTTTTAGAGTAATGAGTGTGAATAGCCTGTCCTTGGGTAAGTTAGTCCCTGTTGGTGTTCTGCGTGTATTTCTGCATCAGGAATGGTTGGCGCATTTTGTTGCTCCTTATAGAGAAATGCCTTGGAATTGCCTGCGCTCAGTGGATTTTGTCTGAAAGAAGGCAAGGTGAAAACAGTGACGCCTGCACCAAGCAGCCTCCCCTCATGAGAGGCTTTCCGTATTTCATTCATTTAGTTATTGTATCCACAGCCATCTCCCCTTTGAAATGTTCACCAGTTTGCTAAGCATGAAATGTGAACCTTTGCACTCTCTCCTCTTCCCCTTTCTTGCAGGAGGTGGAGCGCAACCTCCAGGATGCCATGCAGGTCTGTCGGAATGTCCTGATTGATGCGCAGCTGGTGCCAGGAGGTGGTGCTTCTGAGATGGCCGTTGCTCATTCCTTGACAGAGAGGTCGAAGGTCATGACTGGGGTGGAGCAGTGGCCCTACCGTGCAGTTGCCCAGGCCCTAGAAGTCATTCCCAGGACCCTGATTCAGAACTGTGGCGCTAGTACCATCCGCACACTCACTTCACTACGGGTAAGGGATGTGTTTGCTGTTGCTGCTGTTCTGCTCTGATTCCTCTCCTTTTGTCCTTGCAGCTAATAGCTGAAGATTGTCAAAAGCAAGAATTGTGCTAGGTGCTCTGTGCAGAGTAGAAATGATAATTTCTGCTCAGAGGCCCTAGAAATCATTCCAGAAAAGATTGTGAGCTCTGAACCTCAAATGTTAAATCAGCTGGGAGTGAGCGTAAGCTGAGTAGATGGGAGTCCTTTAGGAATGGTCACAGGGCTGCTTCATGACCTTTGGAACTACTTGCTTTTCAGAAGTGTGGTATGGGGGGTGCAACTGGATTGCTCAGTTGAATCAGTAAGTAGAAATCGGGCAATTCTGATATTGCATTGCATCAGGACTTTCTATTGTTGCTTACAGGCCAAGCACACCCAGGAAGGCAGTCAGACCTGGGGAGTAAATGGGGAGACTGGAGCCTTGGCAGACATGAAGGAGCTGGGTATATGGGAGCCTTTGTCTGTCAAGCTGCAGACCTACAAGACAGCTGTAGAGGTAAGAGAAACCACAAGCCTGATTCCATGGAAGCCAAAAGTTTTCACTACTCTGTGGAAAGAAGTGGGTGTAAAGTCTGCCTTGTTCATTGCAAGTGAAATTTTTATTCCAAAGTTCTCTTCTGGGAGAATGCTTTCTTCCCTCTGCAGTCTGCTGCTATGTGCCATGTTCATACAAGAGCACTGAAAGAATTCTTACTGGCTGCCCCACAACTTTGCTTCTCTAAGCCTGTTGATCAGGCACAGGGAAGCTGTAGCCCTTCAGACTACATACATCTCACATAATGCCTGAGTGTTGGCCATGCTGGCTATTGGGAGCTGGAGGCCCACAATATCTGGAGGCCAACGGGTTATTCAGCCATGTTGAACATTTTTGGAATACCCTTTTATATATTTTGGGTTAAGTTTGATAATGAGGGTGAAAAGGGCCTAATTTGCTAGTCTGACTTCCTTGGATGCATTATATTTTTAGTTTAGTTGCCCATCTCTTTAATCTCATGTCCCCACCTGTCTTAGGACATGCTGTAATCTATAAAATATACCTTTTGGCACAAATATAAGACACACCCGCAAATAAGACGCACCTTTAAAATTGAAGGGGGAGGAGAAAAAATATATAAGCTGCTTGCTTCCTTGGGGGGGGGGGGGAGCTGAGCTGCTTTGCTGGTGGCCTTTCCGCCTTCCCCCTTCCTTAGGCAGCTCAGGGAAGACTTGGGAGCGGCAGGCAGGTTGAGTGTGGCTGCTCCGTGCTCCCGGCTGTTCTCTGGAGGGGGGGGATCTGCATCACTTTGCCGGCGTTCTCCCCCCCCCCAGCGGAGGCTTGGGAGCGGCGGGCGGGCTGCACGCCATTGCCCCATGCTCCTGGCTGCTCTCTGGGGGATGAGAGCCCTGTCACTTTGCCGGCGGCCTCCCCCCCCCCCGACTGCCGGGGAAGGTTTGGGAGCAGCGGGCGGTACACCGCATAAGGTCACAAATATAAACCGCACTTATATTCCGCATGGGCGGAATTGGGGGTGTGTGGCTTATATTCAGGCCAATATGGTAAAAACAGTGTTCTAATTGATGCTTGTGAAGTGGGTGAAAAAAATGAATGGTGATCATCCAGTTATATGTTGGTGTTGGGCACACCAAGGAGAAAGTCTAGGATCATGCAAGATTAAATTGGGCATTTGGATAGAATCTGAGCTTCGGTGCAATTCCTGGAGCCAACATTGTACTAGGTTTAAAGTTCTATGTCTCGGATGCCGCAAACGTATTTAAAGTACAGGCACACACAAATCTTGGGGGCTGTAGTTTTCCCCTCAGAGCTACAATTCCCAGTGCCCCTTGTCAAGCTACAGTTCACAGGATTCTTTGGGGGCAGTGCTTTAAATGTATGGTGTGTATACAGCCATAGTGTAAAGACCAGTTGGCAACTTGTCTTATCTTACAAATCACAGGAGTATAGGATGGGAATTCTGCCTCTCCCAAGATTATTGTTCTTACTGACAAAATGTTTTCTCCACGTTAGACTGCCGTCCTCCTCCTGCGTATTGATGACATTGTTTCAGGCCATAAGAAGAAAGGAGACGATCAAAGCCAGCAGCAGCCAGGAGCCCCAGATGGACCCCAAGAGTAACTTTGTGGAGTTTGGAAAGCTATAGGGAAAGCCATGCACTGGGATAGCTGGACATGGAAACCACCTGGATTGATTTTGAGTGCTGCTTTTCTTCTCTCTCCCCTCCCCCACCTGCGTTCAAGGGCAGTCAGTGTCCAAATACCGATTTGTTTCAAGCTTGAAGCGGAGAGGAAAAAGGAAGGCCAATGATGTGTTGGTTGCCCCCATTCTGTTAAGGAGACACTGACGCTTTATTTAAACGTATACTGTAGCTTCTTTGTGGCTTTATTAATAAAAATGTCACCACATTCATAGATCAATTTTCTTTGTCACTTCTTCCTGTCCATAGCTGTAATGAGACTTCTTTCTGTGGTGTGGTCTCAAATCCAGCTGCTTTGGAGCAGTTTCACACTTTTTGCACCAGCATAGCCAGGCTTGCCTTGGGCAAGGGCTGCAGCCATACTTGTCTGTCTTGTGCATGTATCTTAAGCACCTGGTTGATACAGTCAAATATTTTTGAAAATGTCCATTTTTTCCTCCCCGAAGGGAACTCCAAACAGTTAACATCAAGCAATATTAACTGATGCCATATCAAAGGTATGATGAAACCGTTATGGAACTGGTAAGCAGAACAGATTGCCAGTTTAGCTTTCCCCAGTTTAGCACAACTTACTAGACAAGCCAGGTCTTCACCAGCTACCAGAAGGCATATAGTGAGGTGGCCATATTGAGAGGGTACTCCACAGTGCTGGCCCCACAATCATAGGGACCCTGTTCTTCATGCAACATACAAAAACTACTGGACATAAAACTGTTACCAAATGCATTTTGACCCTCAGATCTTCCTCAGTGGTCCTAATTGCATATATATACCTACATCCAGTTTGGCGTGATTGTTAGATGTTGGAGAACAATTTACAAACATCCCAGAAACAAATTGGTATCCAGTACAGTCAACCCAGGATCGGTATAATATGCTCAAACTGTCTTGCCCCAGAGAGCAACCTGGCACTGGCTGAAGTTTCCAAACTGTCTTCAGAGTCATACAATGTAAAAACCATATAAACAAGTTTAAATTGCATCATGTACTCTTAATTACCAGCACAGGCCTGGTGGAATAGAAAACTTCAAAGGCATTTAAAAGTTGAAACAGAAGGTGCCTGCTGCATCTTCATTGACGAGTATCCTACAATACTAGGCTGATAAAATTAAAGGCTGTTTCTTGTTTGCAAATGAGCCTCACCAACTTAGGGAACAGCCAGTGATGCTCCTGCTGATGATCTCTGATGGAGCTGGGGTATATATAAGGTAACCTGGACCTATGTTCAGGACTTTGTAAACTAATCTGGCTTGGTAGAAGATAGGCAGCCAGACAAAGATATCCCATGTTCTTGGCCAGATGCCCCCACCAGCAGTCTGGCACCAGCTGCAGCTTCTGAACTAGACCCAAGGGCAGCCCCACATCGAGCCTGATACAAGTAGTCCAGCCTTGACGTTACCAATGCATGGAATACAGTGATCAGGCTATCCCTGCCCAGGAACAGCTGTAGCTGAGAGCCGAACGAAGCCGTCCAAGTTGGTGGCCACTGCCTCCAGTGGGAGCAACCTCCATAGTTTGTGAACTATGTGAAGGACTTTATTTTACATATACAGTGGTACCTCTGGTGCGAACGGGATCCGTTCCAGAGCCCTGTTCACAACATGAGCAGAATGCAGTGCGTGGGTCGCCGCTTCTGCGCATGTGCGTGATGTTATTTTGAGCATCTGCACATGCGCGAGTGGCAAAGCCCAGAAGTAACCCTTTCCGGTACTTGTGGGACGCAACCTGAAAAGATTTAACCTGAAGCAAATATAACAAGAGGTATGACTAAAGTTGCTTCCAACAGAATACAGAAAAGACATCGAAAAAACAAGCTTTTGGGAGAGGCATTTGGTTAGCCATTGTGAGGCCAGGATGTGGGACGGATGGCCCTTTGTACATGCACCATGGCACTGTTATTCTCGTCCACAAGCCGCCTTGCTTTTCCTTCTGCTGCAGGAATCCGGGTTTCGTTCCACTCTCTCCCAAGAAAAGAAACCCAGCAAGCCGACTCCTCCACGCAGCGGCCCCTTTAAGAGCCTCCTCCCTTTTTAAGAATGAACCGGAATGATCAGATCAGCTGCAGGCGTCACGTGGTCTTGCAGCCCAGGCAGTTGGAGGAGCGACATGCAGGCAGGCGGTGGCGGCTGGGTCTGGCTGCCCCTCCTGTGGCTGGTGGGGAGCCGGGCAGGGGATCCCGCCGGGTATAAGAGGAAGGTAGGACGGCCCAGGGGCCGGTGGGTGGATGCCCTCCTTGGAGGAGATTTATTTCTAAGGGATGTTTGAGGGCTGGTTGAGGTCAGCCGCTGCCAGCCTGGGCTGGCTCATGGTGGCTGGGGCTGATGGGAGCTGTAGTTGAAAACATCTGGTGGAGGGGCAGGTTGGCAAAGGCTAGGAGCCTCGGGAGCTGCCTTATGCAGAGCCAGAGCATTGGTTTATCTAGTTTAGTGTTGCCGGCACTGACTGGCAGCAGCAGCTCTCCTGGGTTCTGGCCAGGGGACATTCCCAGCCCTACCTGCCTTATACTGACTCAGACCATGCTCTATCTAGCTCAGTATTGTCTACACTGACTGGCAGCTGTGGTTCTCCAGGATTTGTGGCAGGAAGTCTATTCCAACCCTACCTGGAGATGATGTTGGGGATTGAACTTTGGAGCTTTTAACAAACAACCCAGGTGCTCTCCCACTGAGCTGTGGCTCCTTCTAGTATCATGGAAAGTTGCCTTATACCAAGTGCGACCATTGGTCCATCTAGCTCAGTATTGCCTGCACCGGTTGGCAGTGGCATTCTGGGGTTTCAGGCAGGGATTCTATTCCAACCCTACCTGGAGATGCTATTGGGGATCGTACCTGGGATCTTCTGCATGCAAAGCAAATGCTCTCCAGCCTTTTTCAACCTGTGGGTCCCTGGATGTTGTTGAACTACAACTCCCATCACCCCTAGCTAGCAAGACCAGAGCTCAAGGATTATGGGAGTTGTAGTCCAACAACATCTGGAGACCCACAGGTTGAGAACCGCTGCAAGTCTACCCACTGAGGTGCAGCTGACCCTGATCAATGTTGTGTACCCCAGGAATGGGGTGCCCCTGTGGTCCCCCAGGTGTTGGGCTCCATTGCCCATCTGCCTGGCAATATAGTTCAGCAACACCTGAAGCTTTATTTTTACATGCTAATTTACACTTATTATGTTTTATTTTCTCTGTTACGCCTGTTGAAGGAAAGGAAAGTGGGGGGCGGGAGAGAGAACGATCAGTGAAAATGAGAAAAACAGGAAGAGAGAGGAAAACTGTGCTGTGTTGTGGGTGGATTTTAGGACTAGGGGATTTCCATGTGGACGGCAACTATTTCGAAGACCCAACTTTGAATCTTGTTCTGCCAAATGGGAGCCAGTTGTTGTTTTTAACCACTGTGTGTTTTTATGAGTTCCAAATCCTTGCTCCGTCGTAAAGCCCTGCAAGATTCCTCTTGGGGCTAGTCACCATTTCTGTTTTATATTTTAATCCTCCTTCCTCTCAGTTGCTCAGGAAGGCATGGTTTGTGTTATCCTCACAGCATCCGCGTAAGGTAGGGCAAGGCAGAATAGAAGTGCCTGGGCCACAGAGGTCACCCAGTGAGCTTCATGGCTCAGTGGGGATTTGAACCTCTAGCCTGACACTCAGTCCACTGAACAATGCCGGCTCTCCACCTCTGAGCCTGGCCCACCTCGTAAGGTTGTTGTGAGGGTGAGATAGAAGCAGAGCCATACATACGCCACCTTGAGCTTCCTGGGAGGAAGTGTGGGGTTAAAATACAAAAAAAGGATGCATGTGCATGTTTTTAAAATGGCAGATCCAATCTTGTAAGCTGGGATTCGCAACTGGAACCAAGACTCTGAACTTTTCGAAGACAGTGTGTTCCTGCATTGTCTGTTTTTTTGCCTCCCAAAAATCTTGCGCCAGGGCCAAATCTGACTTCTGGGAATCTCCACTTGTTCCTCTGATCTCTGGATGGGGCACCGGTGTGTTAGACTTTTCTGGTGCCCTGTTTTTTATACTGAGGGTGAGGAGATCAAGCAGGAGTTTCAGACTCTCAAATCCTGTCTTTGGCCTGTGAAAAATATGTAGGTGTGCATTGGTATTCCCTGCTTAGAAGCCAGATCAGGAGTCTGTAGGGACTTAATTTTTCTCCTGGTGAGGCACTACCACCAAATTGCAAAGTTAGGGAATCAAATCCATTCATTTCCTGTCAGTGTTTGGGGTGTAATAAAACCCACATTCCAACCTCATTGCCTGCTTTCCCACTCTACGCTGCTTGGGCTGAGGCAAATTACAGGTATGGCTGTGTTTAAAAAAATACTTTTTTATTGACGTTTTTAAAACCAAGGCCCAAAATGTACTGCAGTAAAAATACAAGGAAGGAAAATGGTGATCTTCCCTTAGTTCCGCAATCACTTTTGGTTTCACAGTACATTAATATTTTTTTAAAATGGAGATTTGTCCTTATTTGCTGGGCTAACATCAGAAAGAAGAGTAATAAACACAGTCCTGGACTGCCTTTCTCAATATGGTTAGAAATTCTTTTCTTTAACTTCTAAAAGTTGTCAACCCTAGAAGAAGTTCTTAGTGAGCTGATATGTAAGGCAAGTATTCCTTGCTTTTCAGTTATGTAATACTTTCAGTTCATTCTTTTTTTACAGTGGGAATTAGATATGCTGATCTAGTCATATTTCAGTGTTTTGAAATGGCCATTGCCGGCCGGCTGCCCTCCAGCTGTTTTGACAAAGGCAGGCGGGATTTGCAATTCAAAACTGCTAGATCCTAAATTGGCTTTGGATTGTAGTTTCCTTTGAAAATAAACTAAATGAAGCTCAAAGCACTTTCTTCTCTGACAGTTCTCTACACCATGGGAGGGATTTTTGCGTGCCCTCTGTCCCCACCCAGCACCGGCATGAGTCTCCCAGAAGATTGCCCAGATGTGGGATTGTGGCCCCTGAGCTGCGTGTTGAGTGTTGGGCTAAAACCCTGGGCAAGACCAGGATTCGAATCCGCACTCAGCTATGAAGCTCATTAGGTGACCTTGGGCCACTCACTGCTTCTCCCAACCTAACCTACCTCACAGGGTTGTTGTGAGGATAAAAATGGGGGGGGGGAGAGGACAATGTATGCCATTTCCTACACCTTGGAAGAAAGAAGGTGGGATGCAATAAATAAATAAGTGAAACACTCTTAGGCCACAGGTAATGAAAAGCCCATAAGGGACGCGGGTGGCGCTGTGAGTTAAACCACAGAGCCTAGGGCTTGCCGATCAGAAGGTTGGCAGTTCAAATCCCCGTGTCGGGGTGAGCTCCCGTTGGTCTCTGCTCCTGTCAACCTAGCAGTTCGAAAGCACATCAAAGTGCAAGTAGATAAATAGGTACCACTCTGACGGGAAGGTAAACGGTGTTTCCGTGCGCTGCTCTGGTTCGCCAGAAGCTGCTTAGTCATGCTGGCCACATGACCGGGAAGCTGTACGCCGGCTCCCTCGGCCAATAAAGCGAGATGAGCGCCGCAACCCCAGAGTCGTCCGCGACTGGACCTAACGGTCAGGGGTCCCTTTACCCTTTACCTAATGAAAAGCCCAAGGCCTGGCAAAAAAGAAGTGTTTATGCCTGGTGCCTAAAGATGCGTAATAATGACTTTGCCCGGCGTTTGTGAAGCAGATTTAACACCCTGGTGGGGACACCCATTTCCAGGTCTCCCTGGAGTATAACCCGGGCTGGAACAGCTCTGCCGTGAACCTCCTGCACGTCCGGGCGGTGGGTCTCAACGACACCATCCATTATGTCTGGAGTACCATCGGGGCACCCACGGTGTTGCTAGTCTACACAAGAAGCCAGAGCAGTGGTCTCCACGTCAACTGGACCCGGCTCCTCTCCCCCTCGCCCTCCGGAGCCATCCAGGTCGAGCCAGCTGGAAGCGTTTTGTATTCCATGGCTGTCATCTTTTCCAAGGTAAGCTTGGAGGGCTGCGGAGTCTGAAATGAAGGCAGGAGGTGGTGTGTGGGGTCATAGAAGTGGGGTGGAATGAGAATGGCAGCAGTGGGGAGAAAAGGGGTGTGAATATAACTGCTCCAGGACATTGGGCATCATCTGGCTAGCCACTATGAGAACACGGTGCTGGGCTAGATGGGGCCTCCTTTGGCCTAATCCAGCTGGGCTCGTCCTACATTAACACGGATGTTTCTAGGTGTTTGAGTACAACGGTACAAAGACCTCGGATCTCTCCAAAGCTAATGCAAGCAGCTTCTACCCTACCTATGAGTTGGCCAACTTCACCTGGGACAGCCTTGATGGCAGGCTGAACGAGACTACTTTGACAGCGACGTTTCAGGGGGTTGGCACCGACTCTGGAGGAACCTTCCGGAACGGAAGCATCTCCTTCCAGGTAAAAAAGGGCGTGGCTTCCCCTCCGACAGGTCAGACAGCCAGTTGCTGCGTGTTGTCATGACGGGCTGTTGTAGATCATGCCGTATATCTAATAAGTGATGCAAGGTAGAATTTTTCTCTCTTTGACAATGGATGGGTGTCAGTTGCAAATAAATATAAGGCGGCTTCGTTGTTGTTTTTTTCAAACTTGGTTCGCTAGATGCAAGTCAAATAAACATGCTAAATTAGATCACTTTTTCGGGAGGGCATGGGGAACATCTGTGGCTGCGCATAGTTAAACTATGGAACTCGCTGCCACAGGAGGCAGGGATGGCCACCAATTTGGATGGCTTTGAAAGAGGATTCAACAGATTCATGGAGGAGAAAGCTATCAATGGCTACTAGCCGTAATGACTATGCTCCGTCTCCATACTTGGAGGCAGCAAAGCTTATGAATACCAGCTATGGAAACCACAGGAGTGGAGAAGGTTCTTGTGCTCAGGTGCTGCTTGCGGGTTTCCCATAATGGGCGTCTGGTTGGCCACGGTGGGAACAGGATGCTGGACTAGATGGGCCACTGGAATTGAAATGGAATTGAAATATAAGGAATTGAAGGAGGAGGGTTGGGGAACCTTTGGCCCTACATATGTAGCTTGATCCAGCCCCCATTGTCTCCACTGGCCGTACTGTTTGGGGCTCATGAGAGTTGGCAGTCCAATGATACACCTGGACAGCCGTGGCTTCTCCGCCCTGGGCTGTTTTTATCCAGCTATGCCACAGCACGTCTCTCGCAACTGCAGGGCACGCACTGTGAGACTCTCTTGCCTAACCAGCCCACTTTCCACCGTTGGCGGTCCCCGTCGCTGCTCCCCAGGTGACGGCGTATGAAGAGACCAGCCGCGACGGCCCGCTCCCGCGTCTCCTGCACACGGCCAACAGCTCCAAGGTGGACTTTGTCATGCGCGGGGTCGCTCCTCGGGGCAACCGCTCTCGCTTTGCGCTGGAGATCGTCACTGTGGAGGAGAGAGGCGGGCAGAAGCAGTTGGAATCCACCCGCTCGATCGACGACGAGTATACGCCGACCATATTCGAGGTAATCCCGCTGCTGGCGTATGAAACGTGCAGAAAGGTGCCTCTGAAATGTGTGCAGAGTGTCATTTCCCTGCTATCTAGCCACGCTTAGCTCCAAGTATTGAGGTTAGGAAAAGGGGCTTCTGGCTTAAGAGGGTACCAGGGAGGTAGGTATTAGCCCTAAAATCCCAAACTGAGGCTGGATGGCCATCGGCCAGGGATTCCTTAGCTGTGATTCCTGCATCGTAGGGTGTTAGGACTAGAGGGCTCTTGGTTCCCCTTCCAACTCTATGATTCCTCTTGCCTGGAAATTATTTACTGTATTTTTCCATGTATAACATGTCCCCGTGTATAGTACGACCCCTATTTTTTGGGACTCCAAATTGAGGAAATGTGGGGAGATTGCCCACAGTTGGTGAGCTTTGGGGGGGGGGTTGCCAACAATCGCTCACCCGCCTGACTGCCACTGCCAATCCCACGCATCGGTGAAGCCACCAGCAGCCGCCTATCACCCGCCCAAATGCCACAGCGGCAAATCGCCGGCAGACCTTGCCGCAGCCACCAATCACCAGACCAGTTCTGTGAGGTAGGTTAGAGAGAGACAGACAAACAGACACAAACAGAGAGAGCAGTTGCCTCAAGTTGACTTATTATTAATAGTAGTAGTAATAAGCCAGTGGTATCATTACACTTTAAATCAGGGGTAGGCAACCTAAGGCCCAGGGGCCGGATACAGCCTAATTGCCTTCTAAATCCGGCCCACGTATGGTCCTGGAATCAGCGTGTTTTTACATGAGTAGAATGTGTCCTTTTATTTAAAATGCATCTCTGGGTTATTAGTGGGGCATAGGAATTCGTTCAATTTTTTATTTTTTATTTTCAAAATATAGTCCGGCCCCCCACATGGTCTGAGGGACGGTGGACTGGCCCACAGCTGAAAAAGGTTGCTGACCCCTGCTTTAAATGTATGGTGTGAATGTGGCCCTAATTTCATGAATGCCCTCTTTTCCTTTCCTTGGAGCAGATGGCCCAGCTGGTTTCTGTCCCCCGCAACAACAGCGCTGGGTTCAGCTTCCTCCAATGGAAGACGGCAGCGTACAGCGCCTTGCAGCCCAAGCGGGAAGACACTGTCCACTGCGAGTATTACCAGCTGGAGACGGAGAATCGCACCGTTCCTCGGCCTAGCATAGCCCACGCCTACTTTGGGGAGGAGCTGGAGGTCCACAACGGCGTGGCCGCCATCAACATCTCCTTCGGCAGCGAGGACAGCGAGGCCTACCAAGAAAAGAGCTACCTGAGCTGGTGAGAAGCGGTCCTGGGGGGATAGGTTTCTTTTCTCTGTGTAAAAAACAGGTGGGGAAAAGGAGGCCCCTCTTAACCCCTACGCCACACGGACAGTGGATGGAGAGGAGGGAGAAGCAAGTCTATAAGTTGAGGTAAAGGGACCCCTGACCATTAGGTCCAGTCGTGGCCGACTCTGGGGTTGCGGCGCTCATCTCGCTTTATTGGCTGAGGGAGCCGGCGTACAGCATCCGGGTCATGTGGCCAGCATGACTAAGCCGCTTCTGGTGAACCAGAGCAGCGCATGGAAACGCTGTTTACCTTCCTGCCGGAGCGGTACCTATTTATCTACTTTGATGTGCTTTCAAACTGCTAGGTTGGCAGGAGCAGGGACCGAGCAACGGGAGCTCATCCCGTCGCGGGGATTCGAACCACCCACCTTCTGATCGGCAAGCCCTAGGCTCTGTGGTTTAACCCACAGTGCCACCTGTGTCCCATATTATGCTGAGGTATTGGTTAACAATTTCTCTTCTCTCCCCCCACCCCACCTGTCACCCCTTCCAGGTCTGCGCTGATTGGCTTTGGCGAGCCCCCCAAGGACGGGTTCTCCCCCCTCGTGATCGCAATCCTCGCAGTGGGGCTGGGGACTCCAGTGCTGCTCCTGGTGGGGGGCAGCATCACCGTCCTCGTCTCTCGGAAGAAGCCCTATTCAGAGTACGAACCCATCAACTGAGTGTTGTCAGTGGACAGTTGCCCTCAGCGGCTTGGCCAAACTGGCTTCTGGTAGCTTAACTCCAGCTGTTTCTGGGGAATGTTTCTTCTGTTTCCTTCAGGGGGACGTCTCAGTGGCTTAATTTATCTCCTGGTGAAGATGCTCTGGTCTGCTTACTGTGTTTGGGTACCCTCAGTAGATGGATGGTGCTACCTGGTGGAGCCATTTGCACCTGTATTCTCTTGTGGAGGGAGGAGGGATGTGAGTTTCAATAGTTCGGCTGCTTATCAGGATCACTCCCCAGAAGTTTCCCTTTCTACCACTTGAAATTACTGTCACTCTACCGTGATATGTGCAGTTCTCAATATTCCAGAAGCACAGGGGTGTTTACAATGGGACAGGGAATGTGTGGACCATTAGACATACTTGGACTCCAGCTGCTGTCGTCATCCCTGACCAAGGGCTGCTGGGAGTCGGAGTCTGTTGGCATCTCGAGGGCTGCAAGTTCCCGGTCCCTGGTTTACGGTGCCCATTTCCCAAAGAGGGTTCTGTGGTTTTTCTTTCGCTGGGGGATGCTGGAGAGGCTGAATTGTCTTTTCATTTCCCCCACCAAACACCCTGCGATAAGCTTTGGGGAGGGGTAGTATTTTGGGTTCTCCGTTCCCTCAGACATTCACTTTCTTACCCTCTCAAAAGATAACGGCGTCTTTGCACTGCATTGCTTCATCAACAATCTCTTGACCAGACATCTTTCCAAAGATATGTTCTGACTTTCATTTTTTTTTAAAAAAAGCATTGTCTTGTTCTCAACGGGTGACATTTACAAAGTACTGTTTTTTTAAAAAAAAAATTTGCTGAAATGCCTCCTACAGTTGCAAACTTCTTTTCCAATTGAGGCTCCTCTGTATTATTTTTTTAAAGGGAACAAAGCTTTCCCCTGGTGGAGCCCTTCCGAGATGGTGGAGGCTGCAGCTGTTTCTCTTGCTGTGCAATATAATGATGGTGGTGGTGATGATTTGAACAGCTATATCCTCTGGTTCTCTCTCTCCGTGATACAGCTGTCAAATGTGGGAAGGGAAGCTGGCAACCCGTTTGTCTTTTTCCCCCACAAAAAGGGTAAGCCACTGTTGTTGTGTTTACAGGCTAACGGCCGTGAAACAAAGGACAAATTGCACTATTGACTGTTAAGTAATGCACCTTTTTCTTATTCTGGAAGTTAGGGTCAGAAAACCAGGACATCCCAAAATTGTTGAGCTTTTTTTAAAAAGGAAATCTCCGAAATAGTTGAGGTCAATTGTCAGAGGACCGCTTGAAGAGCCAGTTCGGAAGCTCTCGTTTGAAGCGAGAAGGGCTTCCATTTGGGCTGTGTGGACATCTTTTGGGGTTGGTAAGGGGAAGCCAATTCTGATTCCTTTGTTGGTGTGAAGCATCACAGCACAGCCCAAGGCAAATCTCCCCAACCTGGTGCCTTCTGGATGTTGTTCAACCCAGCCAGCACGGCCAATACTCAGGGATGATGGGAAGTCTGGTTCAGCAATATCTGAAGGGCGGCAGGTTGGGGAAGGTAGGTCATGGGGAGGGTTCATTTGCAGAGGTGGTCGGGGAGTTTATATGCATTTCCAGCTGCCACTTGTCTCTTGTGGACCAATTAAAGATTATTTTGTTTTGGAATTGGTTTTGTGCGGTTTCTGTAGGCTAATGCCTCTTTCTTTTGGAGCTAAATTTAGGGAGGTGAAGAATCGTTTCTTAATTTTCAATATTGGTATGTGGTCGTTTTTTAAACCCTTTCTATTTAAGGAAAGGTCAAAGGTCAGCAGCCTATTCATCTTTTGTTGTGTTTCCATAGAGTGACTGTGAAACAGTGGAATCTACATGTTTTTCACTTCTGCCATTACTGTTCCCGATTTTGCAATCCTCTGGCTGGCTTCCTGCCACCCCCCTCTGCAAACTGCCAATCCCACTTCCTATTGTGCAATGCAGGCAGCACTGATAACAGGCACCCTCCTGAGCCTGCGTTCTTCCTGGATCTTCCTCGTCCTCACTGCTGGTCTGTCTTTCAGGTAGCCTGCTTCTGTTGCCATTTCTCCACCCTGCTTTTGCTCTTTTGCTCCAGGACAGAAATGGGAATAAGCATGAGGGCAAGAGCAGAGCCTCTTGGCTAAGGCTGCATTTGTTGCTGTTGTCGAGAAATCACACTAGCAGTAGTAATTGCAAAGATAGCAAATGATCTGCAGAGGCTGGATTATCTTTGCTGTTACAAAGCCGTGTGCAAAACTTAGCTTAGCTTCCTTGCCCTGCTGGTGTCACCCTGAACTGATTCCCCACCCCCATACAACCATGTCTAAATCACTTTGGTTCCTTCTGCCTTGGCTGCTGTCATTTATTTATTTTGTAAAATTGATTGTAAAAGGACGCCCTCAAACCAGTTTACAAGAAATAATAAAATTGCCATTAAGAAGAATTAACCAATAATTTAAAACTTCTAGAAAGTTAAACTAAAGAGAGAATAAAACTCACATCAACTTTCTAAACACTATCAGCATAGGCTTGTAGTGAGTCCTATTGTTTATCTATGTGCTGCGTGAAAATTTTTTCTTCTCTTCTGACATTTCCCTTCCTGCCCCACCCCCCTTAAAAAACACCCGATGAGCAAAAAACAACCCATTACACAGTCACTGCTGCTGTGTAAGCAAATCGGCACTTTTGTGGTGAGCTGTTGGTCACAGACACATGGTGAGCTCTGACACCCTATCCCTACTTCTGCTTGCTTCTCACGGGAGCAGAACTGAGCAGTTTCTTTCCAGGGGCACAAACCTTCCAAGTGCGCCCGTTTCCACCAGCAACTGCCTGCTGAAGCATGTTCAGATTTCAACAACCGGTTTAGGAGGAAGCTGTTCTCTCAAGATCTCCAGAGAGTTATTGCAGCGCATACATCAGGCTTTAAAAATAATAATAATAATACAGAGGTGGTGTGCAAGCCTTAGTCAGGAAAATGTCATACTTGTGCAACACCTCCAAATTAAATGGCTATCGCCTCTGCTTCCCAAAAGCAGAAGCTTTCATTGTGCCCACTGTGAAACAGAACTGCAGAATTGTAAGAGACCCAAAGGGCCGTCTAGTCCAGGCTTCCTCAACCTCGGCCCTCCAGATGTTTTTGGCCTACAACTCCCGTGATCCCTAGCTAGCAGGACCAGTGGTCAGAGATTATGGGAATTGTAGTCTCAAAACATCTGGAGGGCTGAGGATGAAGAAGCCTGGTCTGGTCTAACCTGCAATGCAGGAATAGGATAACTAAGGATGATAACATCTGCTTAAAAAGAATATCCTTAGACTTCTGGTCTGCCTGCAGAACAGAATGACGGCGCGAAACGGGTCGTCTTGTTGACAGACAACCATTTTGGGCTATTTGGGCCTGTAGGGGAAGTGCCAGGGCTAGGCGCTCCCCTAAAAAAAAAACCATGGAAGAGTGGGGTCTCGAGGGGACCAGCTGAGTGGGGGAACTCGCCACAACCTCCCTACAAGCTCGCCACAGCTCCAGCAGTGAGTGGTGATGGGGGTGTGTGTGGAGAAGCATTTGCTTGAAAAGAATATCCTTTATGATTTAGCTATGATTAACTATACAATGGCATGGTTGTGACCAGTACAATAAACACACAAATAGAAAATGATAATAAATAACATAGGTTATGTAATGTTCTTAAAATATACTAGTGCCCTCAAAGTGTATCATCCAAAAATAGAGAAATTGCATTATTACTCCTATATAGATGATATTACATGCCTGCCAGGTTGCAAAGGACTTGTCGATCAGAAGGTCGGCGGTTCAAATCCCTGCGACGGGGTGAGCCGCTTGCTGGAGAGGATTTAAGGGATGGGGAGGATGTTGCCATATGGGGTGGCAATGCCTAGCAGCACAAGATTTATGGGTAAAGGTCCTAGCTCCTCCATAGCACCACAAGTTATCCCTCCAGACCCAGGTTTAGCATTGCCATCACTTCTCCCCATGCAAAATGTGTTATATAAGGACCTAATGATCCACCTAGTAACAGCAACTAGGTTGGAATTTGTCTGGCATTGGAGACAGCATTCCCACTTCACCTTAAAGTTAGCAGCTGTAGAAAAAGCTGTATCACCAACATGAGCAGTTTGGAAAGTTCTGGCTTAGGACAACAAATGGTTTTTAAAACAAGATTTATCACAGCATGAGTCAAAGACAAGTGTTCCACAAACAACTGGGCCTCCTTTAAAGGCCTTCACATTCCGAGATGGAGGTATGGAGCAGCTGTATCTCTAGAGCACACCGTCCATGTACATCATCAACAGCAGCCTGCAAGGATCTCGGAAGCCTCTGCAGAGGTGTCGCCACTTGGTGGAGGGAGCCTCCTGGGACGCGGATGGTGCTGTGGGTTAAACCACAGAGCCTAGGACTTGTCGATCAGGTGGTTGGTGGTTTGAATCCCCGCTGCTCCTGCCAACCTAGCAGTTCGAAAGCACGTCAAAGTGCAAGTAGATAAATAGGTATTGCTCTGGCAGGAAGGTAAACGGCGTTTCCGTGCGCTGCTCTGGTTCACCAGAAGCGGCTTAGTCATGCTGGCCACATGACCCGGAAGCTGTACGCCGGCTCCCTCGGCCAATAAAGCGAGATGAGCACCGCAACCCCAGAGTTGGTCAAGACTGGACCCAATGGTCAGGGGTCCCTTTACCTTTACCTATGCAAGAGAAGATTCCTGGAAGGAGAGGCGGCTCCTGGCTGCCACTGGGTGTGGCATCTCAGAAATCCAAGACATAGGAAGAGCCCTGCTAGATCAGGCTAACAGCCCAACTAGTCCAGCATCCAGTTCTGACAGTGGACAGCCAGGTGCCCCCAACGGGACCTTAATACCCTCTCCTGTAGTCTCCAGCAACTGGTACCTTGAGGGCAGTTGAAGAGGCAATGAAGTCCCCGCTGACCAATGTTTAACTCAAGGGTTGACAGGTCAGGAACGTCCCAGATCCTAAGACTTCAGGACTCAAACGTGAGACCAAGGGGTGGCCCCTGTCATGGGGGAAGCCTCTGGTGGTTCTTCCTCTGCATTTCCTCCTATCACTGAACCCTGGAGACGGAGGTTGATTGGGATAGAGGAGGCAGGAGTAAAGGTTGGAGAGCCCCTTTCCCAAGAGTCTGTGCAATAACTGGCAGAGACAGAGGTTAATTGGGAGAGGGTAGACCACCACCCCATAGTGTCTGTGCAATAATTTGCAGCCAGGTCCTGCCAGGCTGAAGCTTGCTATCTGCATTCACAATCCTCTTTTTTATGCTTTTTTATTAATTGCACTCTTGCTCACTTGGAGATCCAAGCCTTCCCTCTGCCACTTAGCGGGGGGTCAGGCAAACCTGGAGACTTCAGGCCAGTCCTGGAGATCCAGCAACCCTATTCCATTCTACCTCTGGCTTTGGCTGGCTTTGAACTGGGACACTGATCTCTCTGACCAGGCAAACTTTGCAGCCCAAATTTTTGTTGGCTGGAAGCATGCCTCATATCCAGGTTTTCCTCTGAATCTATGTGCACGTTGGGCCATGTGACAAGGAATCAATGGATTCAAATGACAAGAAAGGAAACATCAAACATCAAGAAAAACTTTCTGGTGGCAAGAGCTATTCAGCAGCTTAATGGACTTCCTCGGAAGGTGGCAAACTCTATTTCCCTGGAGGATTTTAACTGGTCGGATGGGCATCTGCCAGGGGTTCTTAAGCTGCAATTCCTGCATTGCAGGGGGTTAGACTAGATGACTCTTGGGGTCCCTTTCAATGCTACAATTATATGGTTCTATGTAGTGTCCATTTCCTGCACAGCCTGGCCCTACCACAACCATTTCTGGGTAACTCTGATTTCCTCCTATTTCCAGGAGATGATGACCTACAAACAGAACTTTTTTTCTTTAAAAGAATGTTTAGGGGGTCTTCTCATTTTGACTCAAGAAAACCACCATTTTATAATTCAAATTGGGGGAAATAAATACAGTAAATGGACAAAAGTACAAAGATTCACAAAATGTTTAGGGGTATACGTACCCCTGCATCCCCCCAGAAAAAAGCACTGCCTACAAATGTCCCTGCCTTCAGACTTCTCACACAATAAGGCTACCTGCACTTCAGATTTCAACTCTGCAGCTGGTCTAGAATAAGCTTCAATATTATAGGATACAATTTGGCCCCCGTTTTGAGGACAAAGCGGACTCAAAGTAATGGGGAAGAGGGCTCCTGCCCTACAGGTGTATCAAACATTAGGACTATAGCAGGGGGCGGTGGGCACTCCATCAGGTAGTGAGACCTGAGGGCCATCATGTATAATGTCCATTGGGTCAAGGCCAGAGTCCAAGGCAAGGCAGCGGCCATCCAAGGGGGGGGGCCTGGGCTGAGGCCTCTCCCCTCCCCGCCTGCCCTCTTCAGCCCCAGAACCGAGGCTTGGAGGCCGCCAGGCGCTGCTCCTTCTCTTGGGAGGACTTGTCACTGCTGTCGGCCACAGCAAACATGTTCTCTGGATCCATGATGAACATGCTGTAGAGGTTGAACAACAGCATGGTGAAGAGGGGCAGGAACGTCAGGCCGAATCCGAAACCACGGAAGGAGCGGCCCATGGCATAGGCTAGCCAGTAGAGGAGCCTGGAGGAAATTGGGGGAAAGGGTGAGAGAGAGGCGAGAAAGCAAGCAAGAAAAGGATCAAAAGATAGCCGTGATTGTTATGTATTCAGTGGTCCTGTTTGCCTGAGCTTGAGTTTTGAACTGAGCCCCTGTGTTCTGATTCGATACATGATATCCAATCACAGAACATTTCAGGATTTGGGCCTCTGCCATTGGCCCTTAAACTCTGATTTATGATTCGCAGCTTGGAAGTTTGAACAGCCAATCACGTTGGGAGTGGGAGTGGCCCAGGCCTTCAGAAATGTATATAAGCAGTTGCTTTGCCCCTGTTGTCCAGTTCTGTTAGTTCAATGAAGGTTCTTGCTGTTATCACTGTGTCTTGCCTCATGGGAACCCACCGACATTTCAGTGATGCTAGATGCCGTCACTACCTTGAAGATGAAAAATGGAGATTTAACTGGCTTTTGTTGGCCAGTGCAGCAGGGGAGGGGGTAGTCCCAGTGGTATAGTGATTAGTGTGTTGGACTAGGGTCCAGGAGACCAGGGTTCGAATCCCCACTCAGCCACAAAGTTCACTGGGTGACCTTGGGCCAGTCACTGTCTCGCAACCTAACCTACCTCACAGGGTTGTTGTGAGGATAAAATGGGGAGGAGGAGAAGTCTGTAGGCCATCTTGAGCTCCTTGGAGGAAATAGGTGGCATATAAATAATCAACCGCCGGTCTCCCCAGGAATATTAGACAACGTGCCTAAAACTCAGCCTCACCTCTAATGAGCTAGATTAAACTGGTTGGTCACCTGCTGGTGCCCCCCCCTGGTTTTCCCCTCCTGCCAAACAGAGCAGCAGGAAGTTGGGGGCATAAAATCCTTTAGACCGAGACAGACCCTTCTAGGTCAGTACTGCCTGCAGGGCCGGCCCTTCCATTAGGCAAACAGAGACAGCCTGACCAGCCTTACCTGAGATGCCTGCGGTGACTGAACGTGGGGCCTTCTCCATGAGAAGCAGGTGCTCTGTCACTGAGACACAACCCAGAGTCTGCTTTCAAAGCCAACCTGCCCAGACCGTCTTGCTCAGGGAGAGGAACAGGGGCCTCCTAGCATCTCTCTGCACGCTTAACAAACCGCAGCTCCCAGGATTCTTTGTGGGAAGAAGCCATGACTGTTTGAAGTGGTACCCTAGCGTTTTAAAAATGGATGGTGTGGACCTGGCCATGGCTGCTGCATTAGGGGCCTCCAGAGGAGGAGGCCCTGCTGGGCCTGCTGTTGAAATTGTGCCTGTGCTGCCGCCACTAACCATTCGCTGCGTTTCTGCTTCTCTCTCTTACCGTGAAATGGCAAAGAGGGCTGTCAGCAGAGGGATGAGCTTGAGGCCTTCCTGGGGCAGGTAAGTGGAGAGGACGGAGATGTTGAAGAAGTACAGGATGAAGAGCTGGACCGACTGGGAGACGTAGTGGCGGTGGATCTCCACCTCCCGGCGCAGCTCACCAAAGGGCTGCAGGGAGAAGAAGCAGATCCGCGAGACCCCGTACACAATCATACCTGCAGGATGAAAAGAGAGAGAGAAAGAGAGAGAGAGAGAGAGAGAAAGAGAGAGTGAGTACTCACACGCCTGAACATGAAGATGCAGTGGACTTCAAAGGATGCCAGGACCCTGCATCCCAGGAAATCTGTTTCCAAGCTGGGTTCAAGGCCCTCATATTAATTTACAAAATCCAGTCCACCTAAACCCTTTTATTCCAGCTCGATCACCAATATGATCTGCAGAAACATCTTTGACTATTCCCCAAGCTGGCAAGGCTCATTTGACAACTAGAAACCAAACCTTTAGCTTAGTGGTTCCCAGACTTTCTCAGGGACCTGCCACCTTGGTTCCATAGACCTGGTTCCAAGGGCCACATTCACACCATCCGTTGAAAGCAGTGTGACACCACTTTAAACAGTTGTGGCTTCCCTGAAAAGAATTCTGGGAACTGTAGTTCATTAAAGGTGCTGAGAATAGTTAGGACACTCCCTATACCCTTCACACTGTTAACCAGAGTAGTTTAACTCCCAATCCCGCTTCTCAGGGAACTCTGGGAATTGTAGCCCTGTTAGCAACTGTTTTGAGCAGGCTATTGGGACAAGTGATTTGGTTAAAACTGGGGAGGGGGCAAGAGGAGGCATTTGTAAGAAATCCTTCTCTTAGTGCGGCAGCACCTACACTATGGAACTCTCTGCCTATTGACATCAGACATATACAAGAGAAGCAAGACCACTCTAGGAACCAGGGCAGAGAAGAGGTGGGTTATTGATATTGCAAGTATTGGCCAATCAGAACTGTGCAACATTAGGTTCTACTGGAAATGGCACAACTAGTTTTTCCTCTAATCTTAGTCCTGGGAAGGGAATCCTAGATCCATTTGCAACATGGTGTAGATGCCCTTTGGAATTACAGTTTCTGATATTTAAATAGCATCCTCATTCAGCATAGCATCATTTACAGAGTAAAGCGAGAACAGGTCCCAGCTTGATCTGCCAGAAAAAGCAAGTCTGTTTACACACCCTCAGAATATCAACACGGAAATCAAACAATAAAACCCCTGAAGAATATTACAGGTCGGGGTTGGGCATCGCCTGAGAAGCGCATTTGTTCACCTATTGCACAAATGCAAATTCTGAGATCTGGTGCAAGAGTGTACATATATTTCACTGCTCTCTGCTTTTATGAGGAAGTTTATAGTTTCTATGACCCTTGCCAACAAAGGTCCGTATAGTTAAAGCCATGGTTTTCTCAGTAGTGATGTATGGAAGTCAGAGCTGGACCATAAAGAAGGCTGATGGCCGAAGAATTGATGCTTTTGAATTATGGTGCTGGAGGAGACTCTTGAGAGTCCCATGGACTGCAAGAAGATCAAACCTCTCCATTCTGAAGGAAATCAGCCCTGAGTGCTCACTGGAAGGACAGCTCATGAAGCTGAGGCTCCAATACTTTGGCCACCTTATGGGAAGAGAAGACTCCCTGGAAAAGACCCTGATGTTGGGAAAGATGGAGGGCACAAGGAGAAGGGGACGACAGAGGACGAGATGGTTGGACAGTGTTCTTGAAGCTACCAGCATGAGTTTGACCAAACTATGGGAGACAGTGGAAGACAGGAGTGTCTGGCGTGCTCTGGTCCATGGAGTCACGAAGAGTCGGACACGACTAAACGACTAAACAACAACAACAACAACAACAACATGGCCAGTAAAATCTCAGGCCAGAGAGGAAGAGCAAGAACGGTCGTCAGTATTGGTGGGTAAAGTTCTCAGCGCTAGCAGAAACCATTATGCAAAGTGTGGAAATAGATTAAAGTGTGTTAGATTTGCATAACTGATTCAAGTCAGCAGCTGGTACATTGGGATGCTGAGCAGGGGCAAGAATGGGGGAACTGGACTGCAGGGGTCAAATGAACAGAAGGACGGGGGTCAAAAGAGGCCCTCTCTTTCTAGCCCTCAGGACTCCCCTCAGGTCACACCTCCTCACACCAGGCAAACCCCTCTCCTTGGTCCTATTTTGCACCCTAGAAACACAGAATCATAGGGTTGGTACCCCATTTAGTCCACCCTCCTGCAATGCCCTCCTTGAGTACTTTTGTCCTTGAATTCCAACCATGCCTTTCGCTCGCCCAGTTGGAAGATAGAGGGGTGTGTTCAACTATGTGTAAAAACTAGCCTACTATATACAAAGGTACAATTTGCACTTGTGTTTCTGCCATCTTTTACCTCTGGCACCTGCCCCACTGCCAGGCAAGTGGCCCTTGACCAGATTCCTAAAAGGGAATGTGGCCCTCAGTCTGAAAAGGCTTCCCAAAGGCCTTTTTGGCCAAACTTGGCAGGGAAACCCTTTCTCCTCTGGAGCAAAACCCACAGCCAGACACTCACCTACGATGATTGGGAAGGTGGCAAAGACGCCGCAGCGCATGGTGTAGACCAGGCGGGAGCTCATGGTGGGCATGAAAGGCGCGTCAAAGGGCAAGAAGACATATGCCCCGTAGATCAGGCAGGGGAAGATGACAGCGGCTCCAATCATGGAAGCCACCGCTTTGAGGTTGGCTGAGCTGCAGGTGCCATTTTGAAGGCAAGGCCACCTCTCGGCGCAGGTCTTGCCTGTCTTCCCCTCGTAGCTTGGTGAGTCGTCAAAATGGGCCGAGTAGCCGCGGGAGATGAAGTTCTGCTTCTCGAGGGCGGCGTTCTCCCTCTCGCAGCGGATAATCTCATCCTCTTCATCATACGCTGGGTACCATTCCTTTTTCTCGGTTACTGGCGTGCGTTCGATGCAGTAGGGGTCGATGGGGATGAAGACTTGGGCCGCCACCGCTGGCATACAGTTGTCATCCTCTTTCTCCTCCTCCTCCTCCTTCTCCTCCACCACTTGGGTAGCAGGAACTCCAGAGAAGGCCTCACTGTCCACACCAGGCCCCATAATGGCCTCTTCCCTGCTCCCCTCAGGACTTGGTCTGGAGTCAGTCTCCAACGTTTCCAGCGTTGGCGTCTCACAAGACGTATCATGACAGGCTTGATCCCACGGCAGGGTCGCCTCAGAATTCTGCTCTGGGGTGTAACTTGTCACTTCCTGGTTCTCAGGCGGGTCCTTTCCCAAAGCTACCATCACCACCTCCTCCAAAGGGATAGCAGCCGCCATTTTGGGACCTCCAGGAAGATCTCCAGCAAGTTTTGACTTCTCAAGGGGTCAGTTGCATCCAGTGGGCTTCTCAAGCTAGGGCGCCATAACCACAATTTATCCCTGGTCCTGATGACTCCCTGCTTCCGAGAGGGCAATTTAGATCTGGAAAGCGGAGGTGCAATCTGTTTCTGGACAAGTTTATAGCTAGGTTCGCCTCATCTTCTCCATCTGGCTCTACAAAGGGGTGGAAAAGCATACAGCATGACTCAGTTTAAAGGCAGCCATTATAGGACTGTTCTATAAAACCAGGCCTCCCAACTCAAGCAAATACCAACAGTGGAAAAAGCTTAAGGACATAAAAATGTAAGAAAAGCCTGTTGGATCAGGCCAAAGGGGGGCCAAGCAGATGATTGTATTCACAAGCATTACTGCCTCTGACTATGGAGGCAGAGCATAGCCTCCTCCTCCTCTATGAATTTGTCTAATCCTCTTTTTTTAAAGCCATCTACTACCTCCAGTGGGAGGGAGTTCCATGTGTTACCTATGTGCTGTGTGAAGGACGTTCTTTTGTCTTGTCCTGAATCTTCCAATGTTCAGCTTCACTGGAAGTCAACAAGTTGTAGCTTCAAGAGGGAGAAAAACTTATCTCTATCCACTTTCCCAATGCCAAGCATAATTTTATAAACTTCTATCACGTCGCCTCTTTCTCGACTTTAAACTAAAACCCCCCCAAACGCTGCAACCTTTCTTCATTACAGTTACCCTTTTGTGAACCTTAAACCTTGGCACGGACAGTCTTGACTCATGAGAATCAATAAGGGCTCTCATGAGCGCCAATGACAGAACTGTAACCCTGGGTTAATATTTAGAAGGGAAATGACCAGCCTCGATCCTGAAACGGAAGCCACAGACTTGTGAGCTGGATGCCCGGGCTCCTAAATCCAGATCAAGCAGGACTAGGTAGGCTCTGGTTACTCAGCGATGATGAACTGGGCTGTCACCTAGCCAGAAACCAGGACCCGGCCCAACCAGAATGCTACCTTCCTGGCCTGTTGTAAGAAGACTTGGAGGATTATAAAGCCAGGAGGAAAAAGGGAAGGAGCCACACCCCACAACTCTACCCATTTTCCCTAGCTACTCTCATGATTCCAGCTACAACCCAGGACACCAATGTGGCATCACTTCCCTCCAAATTACTCATCATGGCCTCTTGGGTGGAACATTTGGCTTAACACTGTCTGCTATTGAGCCGGGTCCCTTGTATTAATTTTAATAGTGCTGTTTTTATCATCTATATTTTAATATATTTATTTGTGAGTTCCATAGTTTAACTATGTGCTGCGAGAAAAGTTCTTTCTTTTATCTGCCCTGAATCTTCCAACATTCAGCTCTGTTGAATGTCCACAACTTCTAGTCTCACGAGAGAGGGAGAAAAAAACTCTCCCCTAATCACTTTTTCCACCCCAAGCATAATTCTATAAACGTCTGTCGCTGAAGTACCATACCTTAGCAGTACTTTTTTTCCTTTTCCTTTTGTACCTTAGCAGTACTAAAAAAAAAACAAGCAAAAGAATTTATGAACTCAGATTTCTTTAAATCTGTTTGTCTTCTGTTAGTGATTTCGGAGTTCTAGATCTTGCTGGTCAATGATCTTTCCATCCCTACAGTAAAATATCACCTGCACATTGGCCTTCCCTAACCTGGCGCTCTTCGGATGCCTCACGCTACAACTCCCATCAGTCATGCTTATTGGGGCTGATGGGATTTATAGTCCAAAACACCTGGAAGGCTCCAGGATGGCAAAGGCTGATAGACGTCAAAACATATATATATATGAAGTAATAACAGATAAGGAAACAAAAGAATAATAACAAATAAGGAAACAAAACAAAACAAAAGTGCAACCACATTTGGACTAATCTGTACAGGTCTGGACACCTCACCTCAAAAAGCATATTGTGGAGTTGGAAATGGTTTAGAAAGAGGACCTCAAAATGATCAAGGGGATGGGATGACTCCCATATAAGGAAATGTGGCAGTGTTTGGGATTTCTTACTTTAGAGAAAACATGAGTAAGACGTGAAATAGAAGTTTATAAAATTATTTGAGGCACGGAGTAAGTTTTTCCTCCTCTCTCACAACACTAGGACTTGTGGGCTTCCAATGAAGCTGAATGTTGGAAGGTTCAGGGCAGAGAAAAGAAAGTCCAGTGTTAAACTCGCTCCCACAGGAAGGCAGCGATTGCCACTTGCTTGGTTAGCTTTAAAAGATAAGACAAATTTATGGAGGAGAGGGTGGTCGATGGCTGCTAGCCACAATAGCTATGCTCCACCTCCACAGCAGAGATAATAATAATAATTCTATTATCTATACCCCGCCCATCTGGCTGGGTTTCCCCAGCCACTCTTCTGAATACCAGTTGGTGGAAACTGTTACGTTGTGGGTGAACAACATAGCGATTCTTCAGACAGCTCTTGTTTATTCACAGGCCAGAACAGAACTGAACTGAAGGGTTCAGCCAACCTGCTTATATAGAGCTCAACTACAAAGCAACAGTAACAATTTTCTGTAACTATCCAATCACTGAACGTCACTTTCAATTCCTTATTTGCATATGCAGACCTGAGTAAAAACTATGCTGGCCCAGGGTGAGAACGTCAGTACATAACAGAAACCACAGGTAGGGTCAGAGCTCTTGTGCTTGAATTCTGCTTGCTGGTTTCCCACCGGGAATTGTTTGGTCATTGTTAGAACAGGATGCTGGACTAGATGGGTCACTGGCCTGATCCAGCAGGCTCAATCTTATGCAATGGGGCTCTAAGGAGAGGCTGCCTTTGCTGTGAAGGGACATTGCCCTGAGCTATGAATGCACCAGTGCAGGCCCTGTGGAAAGGTACTGGTGCCTGTTTGGGCTATTTCACACACACCTGTGTTGGCCTTGGAGATCTGGAGACAGGCTGGACAGCCTCAGCCAGTTGGATGCCCTTAATGATGAAACAGTTTGACCAGGTCAGCTATGGGTCAGTGCAGACTGCAGTCTCAAAAAATATTAGCCGCTCTAGCCTTGGCTCCCTTAACTGAAAGGAAGCTGCTTGTTTTGTTTTTTAAAGCAAAAGCTGGAATTGTAGAATTGAATTTTATAGTTCCATGAAACACCTGCTGTCTTGTTCAAAATCACCGTCCAGTCTGCTGTTAAAACAAAAAATAAAGGCAGCTTACTTTCAGCTGAAACAGGCAAGCCTAGGGTGGCTAATCTTTTTAGGGCCACTGGCCACAGTGACCCATGGCTGACCCTCACAGAGGGGAGAGATGCTTGTCAAAGTGGGCATGCAATAAATCAGTGTTCAAAGACTGCCTCCCAAAAGGGTACATGAGAGAGGGGTCAGTAATTGTACAATGCAGAAAACCGTGCCATGTTTTTATTTTTGCATTTGATTGAAGGCCCTAGCTGGAGAGGTCAGTGGAGACTGAACCAGGAATTTTTCGCATGCCAAGCGGGTACTCTGCCATTGAGCTATGGGTCATAGGTAAGGCAAGAGTACTGGGGGATGACATCAACTGAGCTCCTGCCAAAAAAAGAAGGAGCGGGAAGGCAGACAAGGTGGAAATTCCAGAACAGTTCCTGCAAATGGTCCCTTCTGACTCTATTAATTCTACAACTCTATAAACAGTCTGTTCTTTTAGGTGTTTTCCTGGGCAGCTGCCTCCAAACCGTGAGTTGTTGATCAGGAATGACAGGCTCCATTAAATAACCGTCCTTCTCTCACTACCAATACGCAAAATTTCAGGATTATTATTATTTGTGGAACAGTATGGAAGCCATGCTCTCTATGTGGGGCTTCCTTTGCGCTTGATCCAGAAGCTGCAGTTCGTGCATAATTTTGCAGCACAATTGCTGATAGGACACAGGCCTTCTAAGCATATAGCATCCCTGCTCAGAAATCCACACTGGTTAAAAATTTGCTCCCAGGCTAAGGTCAAGGTGTTACTATTAGCACATAAAGCCTTCAACAACTCGGGACCGGTTTACCTAAGAGATTGCCTTACCCCGTATGTGCCCACCTGCTTAGACTGGTAGAAATGGCAATACTACAGGTGCCACGTAATACCCATTCCAGATTTATAAGGACTCAGTCATTTAGTGCGGCAGGACCTGCTCTTTGGAACTCCCTGCCTGTTGAGATCAAGGAGGTGCCTTTACTATACTCTTTTCGGCACCTGCTAGAAATTATTAAATTTTTTTTAGACAAGCCAGCCCAGATGCTTAGAAAGTTGAGGAAATTTTAACCTTCTGGTTAAGATGGCAACCAGTCAGGCAGCTGGACCCAGAGCCCCATAGTTTATGCGATTCATTTCAGTTTTAATTTTATCTATGCAGTCTTAAATCAGACTACTTATGCATCTTAGAAAAGCAGCAGACAGCAGGTTAAAGATGCGGAGCTGTGTGGCTTGCTGCAATTAATAGAGTTTATGTCTAGTATTTTAACTTTTGTATGTTTTAAAGTAGGGTTGCTAATTTCCCTCGATTTTGTCATCTTTTTGTAAACCACTTTGATGAGTTTTTTCTTACAACCAAGCAGCGTGTAATTTTTTTTTTTTTTTTGAAATAAAAATAATATATAGGTTAGTTATTGTTCCCTATGAAGGGAACGATCATCACTGGCACTCTTGCGGGTGCCACACAATATTCTTTCTACACTTGTCAAAACTTGATGTTTTAATGTGGAACCTCCCGCACTGTGGAACTCCCTGCCTTTTGACAGGGAAGTTCCTTCTTTGCACTCAAAAAGAGTGCATGTAAAAAAACCCCAAACATGCTTGTTTAAACAAGCTCAGATACGCAGAGGACCAGCGTGTACTTTAATTTGTTTTTAGTTTATTGCTCATTTTATTTTATTTTTATTTTCAAAATGTTTTAAATAGTTGTTTTTAACAAATAATTTTATTGTTTTATTCTTTCTGGAAACCACATTGAGTTTGTTTGTTTGTTGTTGTTTACAATTGTGCGGTGTATACACGTTATGGAAGAAAAGTAAATAGAATAAATCATTTGCTGAGCTTCTGCTCTGCACATAGAAGGCTCAAGGTTCTCCAAAGACACCTGCCAGTCAACAATGCTGGGCTCGATGCACAAACAGTCTGACTCTCTATAAGGTCCCTTCTTCCGTTCTTGTGAACAATGGAACTGCACCATTTAAAACAGCCAGCCGACAGCTGCTGCCTTATTAGGAAACGTTAAAACTGATAAGGAGAATTACTTTCCATTTGTACGGGGCCTTTTACATTCTCCCAATGCTCTTCACATACAGCAAACCACACTGAGTTTGGCTCTCACCATAGTTTAGAAGCCAAAACATGATTAGAATTTTGAAAATGTACAACAGGCAAACAGGGTCCTGATCAATGACTTATTTCATTTTTCTGCCTGCTCAATGCTCCTGGCTCAGATAGCTCTCATGCTGTCCTCCAGGTATTGATTGACTGCTTGTATGTTTTTCAGTCACCTGCCCTTCTCCCTAAGGTCTCAGAGTGGGTTACAACAATTATAACAGAATATTAAAAACAAGTTAAAAGAGCTTACAACCATAACAGTAAGGTAAGTCTGAAAAACATACGCCTCAAGTGTCAAAAGCCGGGAAAAAGAAGCACATCTTCAGCATCTTCTGAAAGCTGTAGGATGAGGATGCCAGATGCTCCTCATATCATACCATATCTTAGGGGCTGCTACAGAGAAGGCCCTGTCCCTAGGCCACCACCTCCTGAAGATTTGAGAGTGGAATTACCAAGAAGTAATCTTAACACCCAAGAAAGTCTGTGGGGAAGGAGGCAACCTTAAAGGCATTTGAGGTCTGAGTTGTTTAGGGCATTAAATACTAACATGAGCACCTTGTATTGAGCCCAGAAACAAATTGGAAGTCAGTGCTGCTTGTTTAAAACAGGAATCACATGGGATATAAATGGAACACCTGAAGTCTCCAAGTCATCTTCAAGGGCAGCCCCATGCAGTGTTGTACCTTAGAACTACAAGTCCCAGCATCCCATGCTGGCTAGGGCTGATGGGAGTTATAGTCTGAAACATCTGGAGGACACCAGGTTGGTAAAGAATGAAAAAGATTAAACTTCAGGGTCCCTTCCAACTGTACAATTCTAGGCAACTGATATAAAAGAATTAAAACATCCAAATAGTACATCAGAAAAAATATATATACACAGGTGAACCGGGCATTCTCATGACACACTTGGGAAATAATATATAAATGCCAAATATATATAGGATCAGTTACAACAACAGGCTTGCAAAGTTAACAAGCTTCTATCAACCTTGGAGAGAGTCAGAGACATGATATCTAAATAACAAAAATCTGGATAAAGTTCAGGCTCACAGACCTCTCCAAAAGGAAAAGGGAACAGAAGGTGTTCTAGGCTGTTCTGGTGAGGAATTAATGAAATAAATGATGGGAGGCGAGTCGTAACATTTATCTGTGGTAACATCACCTCTGACTACAATGCAATGTTGTGTTAGTTTGTCTACAAGCACAATCTTCAATCAGCAGAACTGGCACCATCGCAAGTGCCACATAATACCCATTCTGCCTTTGTAAGAACTCGCTATTCTAGTGTGGCAGCACCCAAACTCTGGAACTCCCTGCCTGTTGATATCAAGCAGGCGCCTTTTTTCGGCACCTACTACAAACATTTTTGTTTAGACAAGCCTGCCTAGATAGAATCATAGAACGGGAAGGATGTTTCGAAAGCTGATGCGAGCTTTAATCTGTTTTTTATTTATTCCTATTTTTACTTTTTGAAAACCTTAAATTATCAGGACTCAAGTCTTCTTATTTACAATTGTATTGCCTTCTTTTTTTTGTAAAACGCTTTGCGTGTTTGCTTCCAAATCCTATACCACTTTTGCATAGTTAACATACAGCCCTAGCCTGACTGGGAGTTGCAAATTCTAAATGCGCCCAGAGGCCCCAAAAAGTTGGCAAACCCCTCATTTAAAAACTAACAATTTAAAGCAGCAATCCTGTGTGCATGCAGCTCAGTACAGTTCCCTATCCAAAGCAAACATCCACAATATTGCTTCGTAATGCTGCCGTTTCTATCTACACTTATCTGGGAGACCCACTGAGCATCACTATTTACCTCTTCTGACTAAGGATCACAGAACTGTGTCTAGAATTTCCCTCGAGTAGAATTCCCTTTGCAATTCAGATGTGCAAAAAGATTTCTTGCTTTCTTACCTAGTTTTCTTTGTGTATCACTAACCCACACACACCGATTTTATTTTAAAACTTTGGAGCCCAAAGCCTGTGGCATTTATTGAAAACACTGACCATTTTCAAGGAAATGCCAGTTTTCCCACCACACAAACACAACATGATGGTGGGGGGGGGGGGTGGAGATCACAACCGAAACACAATGGAAAATATTTCTGCAACCCGTCTATGTTTAGGAGAGAGGAAGAACCCAAGGTGGCTCCTATGTCTGAAGAGGAAAAGGTACAGAAGCAAATTAAAACAGGGCTTACCCAAATGGAGGAAGGCATGGCTCCCACAATAGCGTCCCCACTTTCTGCTCCCTCCAAATCCCCTCTTCCCCAGCCTTCACGTCCCCCTTTTTTTACCTGGGGAAAGAAAACTGAGCTTGTTCCAAACACCAGGAAGCAGATCCAGTTTAAGAACGGTTGTTCTCTATAGCGACTATAATTCTCTGGAAATGCTTAGCTTACCCTCTGCTTTCGCTTGGACTTTCAAACCTGTTTAACCAGCCCAGGTGGAGCTGGGATTAAAGGGCCAGGGGGGTGGCTTGCCTGGCCCCACCCTCCAAGCCTCTGAGTTTTGAAACACATGCACATCCCTCCTGGAAAGTGTGGATGGAGTCGGCTAAGTCCCGCAAGTTCTGATCTCTCTTTTAAACATACACGCCAACTTTATTTATCAGTATTAGCCATTTATTCAGGGATCAGCAAACTTTTTCAGCAGCGGGCCAGTCTACTGTCCCTCAGCCCTTGTGGGGGGCCGGACTATATTTTTTTTGCGGGGGGGGGGGGGGAAGGAATGAATTCCTATGTCCCACAAATAACCCAGAGATGTATTTTAAATAAAAGCACACATTCTACTCATGTAAAGACACCAGGCAGGCCCCACAAATAACCCAGAGATGCGTTTTAAATAAAAGGACACATTCCACTCATGTAAAAACACGCTGATTCTCGGATGCAGGCTGGATTTAGAAGGTAATTGGGCCGTATCCAGCCCCCGGGCCTTAGTTTGCCTACTCATGCATTTATTCATTGCGTTTCTATCCCACCTTTCTTTCCAAGGGGATAGATGTGCTTCTCCCCCTCCTTTTTCAATCCCCACAACAACCCTGTGAGGTGGATTCAGGTCGGTAGCCATGTTGGTCTGATGCAGTCGAAATAAATTAAAAAATTGTCCAGTACCACCTTAGAGACCAACTAAGTTCGTTCTGGGTATACTAAGCTTTCATGTGCATGCACACTTCTTCAGATACCTGTGAGGTAGATTAAGCTGAGAGGCAGTGACTGAGCTCAAGGTCACCCAGGCAGCTTCATGGCAGCCGAGCCAGGATTTGAACCCTCAAAGGTCCTAGTTTGACATTCAAACCAGGTCCTAGTTTGACATTCAAACCACTACACCATACTGGCTCTCAAGATCAGGCTCAGTCCTGATTTTAGGGTTGCCTTACATCTGGAATTTCCAGGATATAATAGGAAATGGGAGGTTGTCTGGGAAATCCGAACGTATGGCAAGCCATGTTGGCAGTGTCGTTTATGCTCAACAACTTTTTTGACCGGATTTTCACTTTTTGAAATATGGCAACCCTATTTTATGTGACGACGACTCCTTTGTTTTATATTTCACAATAACATCTCTTACTGTTTTGGTTTCAGGTAGCAACGCAGAGCAACCAAGAAGTTCCGTTTCTGAGTATGAGTGGGGTGTCGTTAAAAAGGGAAATTTCAGCATGCACAAAAAAAGTATACATTTCCAACAAAAGAGACACAAATCTTTGATTCCTGAGTATGCTAAAGGTTTCCAAAATTAGAAGTGCTGGGGAAGGCAGCAGTATTATTATTTTTAATCACAGGTTTTGATGGGGATTTCCTTTACTTCAGACCTGGGGATGGATGACCAAGTTGTGGGTGGACTCTGATGAACATTTTGCTGCTGCCCAGTCACACTTCACAGTTCAAGTGACTGTGAAGGGAAACCAGAACAGCCAGCAGTTTTGGGGAGAGAAGTTTGGCTTTCACATTCCAGAGGACTGATGTTCTTTCACTCCCACCTGTGTCCCCAAAACACCTTCTGAACCTGTGTATTTGCAAATACCCCTCACAAAAACAATGCAATCGGTTTTGCCTCTTATGTCCTCTTGAAGTGTTAAGTGCTGTTCAACTTCCCACCATTTGAGAATGGCAAACATGTTTTTTTGTTTTTGTTTTTAAATTGGTATCGTTTCCAGAGCTGAGCCAAGTCTGAGCATGATTGCTGTTGAGCAGAGTGCGTTCTGCTGTCAGGTCAATATTTGTTTTGCCCAGTTGTATACAGGAGCCTGAGCTGGACAAGAGTTTGAACGGCAGGTTTCAAACTGCTTGGTCAACAAAGGCAAATTCCGGAGGGAAAGGCATGCAAACCTGCTAAGGTAGCTCCTCAAAATGATTGATTTTTAACAGGGGAGGTGCAGGGGTAGGGGTAGGAATGTACAAACTGGCTAAAAGGCCACAAAATGCACATGGCACTGTAAATCTGTGCCATTTCCAGGCTAAGCTCAAGTTTATATAAGATATAAGATAAGCGCATTCACAATACAGTGATTGGTGATAACATTATGTTCCCAGTGTTTCCTAGGCTGTAGCTCAGTGAAAGAGTAACTGCCTTGCATGCAGGAGAGCCCAAGGTCAATCAGCCATTAATTGGGAGCCATAAGGGCTAGAAACTTGTACAGTATCTAGTTTTAGGAGGAGAGCTCTGGCTCACTGGCAGAACAGAAGGTACCAGGTGGAATCTATGCATATATAAAAAGCTGTGAAAATACTGAATTTGCCAATAGCTCACCATTGCCATCTAGTGCCACAGTTGTATAATGCACTTAAAATGCACTTAGAACGTTATATTTGCAGCTGTGTAGCTGAGTTCAATTCCCTGCCTCTCCAGATATGGCTGAAAATGTCCCCTGCCTGAAACCCTGGAGAGCCACTGCTGCCAGTCAGTGTAGACAATACTGAGCTAGATGGAGCACCTGTAGTGGGAAATAAAAGCTTGGACCCGATGAAGTCCTAAGCAAATGTAACTTACTGCAGTTTCACTATGAAGTTTCCCTTTTGAATTCATTTTGCCGGAAGTCCAGTGACCCTGAGGTAAGGACTGGCAGGCTGAACTTTTATCCGAACCGGCTTCTGAGCATCATTTTGGGTTAATGTCAAATTTATGTCAATTTATCCTTTTGAGCAGCAAATGGGAAATAATAATAATAATATTTTTTATTTATACCCTGCCCTCCCCAGCCAAGGCCGGGCTCAGGGGGCTAACAAGCAATAATAAAAACAAGTAGAATGAATACAACTTAAAAACAAAATTAAAATACAACATTAAAATATTGAAACATTAAAATATTAAAATGTAGCCTCATCGCAGGAGGAGAAAGGAAAAGAAAAAAGAAAGAGGGGGCAGGAAGCAAATTGGCTCCAAGCCAAAGGCCAGGCGGAACAACTCTGTCTTACAGGCCCTGCGGAAAGAAATCAGATCCTGCAGGGCCCTGGTCTCATGAGGCGGAGCATTCCACCAGGCCGGAGCCAGTGTTGAAAAGGCCCTGGCTCTGGTTGAAGCTAATCTAACTTCCTTAGGGCCTGGGACCACTAGGGTGTTGCTATTTATGGACCTTGAGGCTCTGCATGGGGCATACCAAGAGAGGCGGTCCCGTAGGTACGAGGGTCCTAGGCAGTGAAGGGCTTTAAAGGTCAAAACCAGCACCAGAAATGATGGACACTTCGCAAACAAATTTTACATGGTGGTTCCTGAGATCTAGGAGCATGTTTTCATCTATGTTTGGATAAAATTGGATGTCATTTTGAATCAAGATGGCAGAGGAAACTTTTTGGTTTATTAGAATTCTGCTGGGTATGAGGCTTCATGTGTGTGTGTTAGATGCAAATTTAGAAGTAATTGCTGTCATTTAAATAGAAACATAAGGTAGTTGGTTAGAGCAGGCATAGGCAAACTCCGGCCCTCCAGATGTTTGGGACTATAATTCCCATTATCCCTGACCACTGGTCCTGTTAGCTAGGGATGATGGGAATTGTAGTCTCAAACATCTGGAGGGCCGGAGTTTGCCTATGCTTGGGTTAGCGCATGGTGTTGATAATGCAAAGGTTGCAAGTTTTATCCTCTTACGGTACAGTTGCATATTCCTGCATTGCAGAGGGTTGGACTGCTAGAGGTCCATTCCAACTCTACAGTTCTAATGATTCTACATCTCCATACCTACTGGGCCTGCTTAGTGTTGCTGTTCAGGTGCTGCTAAGCCATTTAAAGCCTTTTTTGGATTATGTATATTTCATAGAATCGTAGAGTTAGAAGGGACCCCAAGGGTTCTCTAGTCCAACCCCCTGAAAATGCAGGACTCTCAGCTAAAACATCCATAACAGATGACCATCCAACCTCTGCTTAAAAACCCCCAAGAAAGGAGAGTTCACAACCTGCCAAGGGAGACCATTTAAACCAGATTGCCTTCTCTGAAGAAGGACACATGGCCACCCTACTTTGGATGTAAGTGGAGAAACGGAGTGTTTTTTTCTTTCTGCAATCTGACTGAGCCAAGAACAATTATTAATACATATTAGCCTCCTCTCCACAAAATATTTTCTATTAATTCATGGTGTTGGGTTTAGTCAGGGTCAGGGATCAGTACCTGGTAGGGTTGCCATATTTCAAACAGTGACAATCCAGACAGAAAAGTTGTTTAGCTTTCTTTCATGGGGGGCAGGTGGGCAAAGTTGTTGACCTTTCTTAAGCTGTTGAGATTTTTGGCAAAATCGCAAAAAAGAGAAAAGAATGAAGTTTGCCATGGGTTGCCATATGTACGGATTTTCCCATACATTTTTGTTTTCGATTTTTGCCCAGACACTGCTTCCGACTGCAGTGTTCCGTATATGTCTGGGAAATTCCAGACATATGGCAACCCTAGTACCTGGCAACAGAGGACGAGATGGTTGGATAGTGTTCTCGAAGCTACCAGCATGAGTTTGACTAAACTGCGGGAGGCAGTGGAAGACAGAAGTGCCTGGCGTGCTCTGTTCCATGGGGTCACGAAGAGTCAGACATGGCTAAACGACTAAACAACAACAACAAAGTACCTGGCAAACCTGGGCAGGTATCCGGGGCACCAGGACTCTGGGGGGGCTCATTGGTGTTGACCCCTACCCCTTGTGAGCCAGTGTGGTGCAGCGGCTATAGAATTTTGACTAGGACCTGGGTGACCTTGGGCCAGTCGCTCATAGCTGTCAACGTTTCCCTTTTTTTAAGGGAAATTCCCTTATTCCGAATAGGATTCCTCGCAAGAAAAGGGAACAGTTGACAGCTATGTGAGTCGCTCTCTCTCTCTCAGCCTAGCCTACCTCACAGGGTTGTTGTAGGGATGAAATGAGGAGATGCAGAACCATGTAAGCACATTCAAGTTCCTCCTTTTATTTTATCTATTTATTTAGCAACACACACACACACACACACACACACACACACACTTTGACTGTAGTAACACCATTAGCAAATTGGCAACCAGCGCTGGTCTCTGAGCAGGGGTGTTATATGCTGGCAAGGTCTTGCTCCTGTGAGCAATTGCACTGCAGCATTCTGCATTAAGCCCTCACCTGGTTTAGCCGGCCAGTCGAAGCCATTCCTGGGGTGTGGCTGCTGTCGTATGCTGACAGCTTCTAGGAGCCATAGGTGAGAGCTGAGTGCAGGGTGGGGACCAAAGGTGGACAAAAACTACCCCAGAAGGAATACGACATGGCCCCCACCAGTGTACCCCTCCCCTAACACCCCATACACGCATAATAATAATATTTAAAACGCTGATTTCCTTCCTCCCCAATCTGACCACGTTTGCTTGGCAACCGATTAGGTTGTCAATAAAGTTTATTTGAATGCAGTTTGAAGCTGGAAGAGCGGCCATCTTGCCCTTACTATAGTCCTGGCAAATCTCATGGGAAAGGAAACGCGCTTAGCGACCGGTGTATGAGCTCTCGCGACGATGTACGCTGATGTCGCGAGACGAAGCCGAAGCTGCCCTTTCCTTTGCCAGTCACCGGGGGACTGTCGTCACACAGAGGCCCCCTGCTGGAGTCCTGCCTTCGAGGTGCTGTAGAGAGATCAGAAAAATAGAAGAGAAACCCAGTCTTTTCCTTGGATTCAGGACTTCCAAGTTTAGTTTGAAAGAAAAACATTTTTAAATCTCCTCGGAGGAGGAATCCATTTCAAAAATGACCTGCTAAAAATTCCCCTGCCAATTAAAAAATTCAGTTCATTATCACTCTATTGCAGGGGAGGACTGATAGACAGAGCAGCTTAATACTGATGAGCTACAATCTCCATGGTTAATATTGCAGACTAGGGGGTCAAGCTGAGAAACGATGTTTACACAACAGCCCTGCATGTTGTTATCTCCACATTATAGGTTGGAGCCAGACTGAGACTATGAGTAGTGTACGACAATTCTGCAACCACTTGTAATGTGGTAAGTTAGTTGAACCAGGCAAGCTAGGTAAGATAGTTAAAAAGATGGCTAAAATCCCTCTTTACTCACAAAGGTCACTGAGTGACTCCTAGTAGTCAGCCTGGACAACCTCACAGGCTTGTTGTGAAGATAAAATTAAAGCAGGGGAGCACTGACTGGTAAGATGGCTCTTTTTGTTTGTAGGTATTTTTAAAACAGAACAATTATAACAGCAGGTGAACATTGAAAGACGAAAAACAAAACTAAAAAAGGGAAAAAGGGAAACACAGTTACACATGGGTTAAGTAACAAAATCCAAGCCATAGAAAAAAAGAAGTTAGAATGTCTTCACATACAAAAAAAAAAGTTAGTGTAATCTGATTATCAAGTCTAGTTCAAGATTTGCCAGGTTTGTGATGAGCGTTGTCTTGAAAATGATTTCTCCATTGCATATATAGTAAAGGAATGCCAAATTATATAAAAGCATATGGATGTTCTTGTCGAATCTAAAATTATGCATAATTTTCTTCATTATAGCTACATTCCAGTGTGAGTGGTGCCAAGTGTTCAACAGTTTGATTTTGGGCTGCTTGCTTGCCACTGAGTTGCAAATATTATTTGAGCTGCCAAGGGAATTTACAAGGCCAGTTCTTTTGGCAATATTGGTATCATCAAAAAAATTCAGTAACATTACCTATGGACAGCGAGTGAAAGCTTCTTTAGCAACACTGATCATTTCTGCCAAAATTAACAGTGAAAAAATCTTGTGTAAGGTGGCACATGAGAGTTACAGGCTCTTGCAACCCTACCTGGAGGTGCCGGTGGGGGTCAAACCTTCGGCATTGAGAGCCAGTGGTGGTGCAGACAGTGGTTAGTGTCAGACTCAGACCTTGGGAGAGACAAGGGTTCAGAAATCCCCACTCATTAACCATGAAGCTCACCTTGGGCCGGGCCTTGCCGCTCAGCCTGCCCTACCTCTCAGGGTTGTGAGGATTAAGAGTGTGTGTGTGTGTGTGTGTGTGTGTGTGTGTGTGAAGAACCATGTACATCAGAATGAGGGGGAAAGGTGTAAAAGACAGACAGACACAAAGCAAAGCAAACCCTCCTCCGCTTGCCACCAGGCCACTGCATGCTCCCTCTTTACTTTTCTATATCTATGTATGTATATGTATGTATCTATGCGGCCCTGGCGGTCGGGGTGCGGTGGCGCGCGGCCAGGTCTCGCGAGAGGCGCGGGCGAGTTCTCGCGCGACTTGGCTGAGGTGGGCAGCCTCCTCCTCCTCCGCCGCCGCGGCAGCCCCCGGGATCCCGATCGCGGAAGGAAGGAAGGAAGGAGGGAGGGAGGGACGGAAGGGAAGGGAGGAAGCGCGCGCACGGCGGGGCGGGGGAGGAGCCGGAGCGCGATGGCTGCCGGGCGAGGGGGCCGCCGGCGGCAGCAGCAGCAGCAGCAGGCTCGGCGGCAGCGGGGGAGTCTCGAGAGGCAGGCGGCGGAGGAGGAGCAGCAGCGGCGGCGGCCCCTGAGGCAGGGGCGGCGGGACGAGCAGCAGCTGGAGCGGCGCCGCGGGGAAGGCTGGGCCTGGAGCAGCGGCGGCAGGTGGAGCTGCTGAGGGAGCCCTTCGGAAGCCGCCGGCCACACGCGGGGCAGGCCCGGCTGGGCGCCATGAGCCAAGGCAGCGGAAGCGGAGGAGGAGGCGGCGGCGGCGGGGAACCCGAGGCCAAAGCTCTCCACACCAAGAGGCTCTACCGGTGAGGGAGAAAGGCAGGGAGACCCCACCCCCGGTTTATCTGCCTCGGATCCGGGCCTCTTCCCCTCTCCCTCCCGCTGGGTATAGATACCTGGTCAAATGATAATGTATCTATCCAACTATATCTGTGTGTCTACCGAGGTCACGGTGGCGGGCATGGTCCCCCCCCCCCAGTCCGCTCATATTTCTAACTCGCCCCACAACCAGCCCCGGGGCGGGGGGGAGGGTTAGGCGAGGGTGGTAGTGATTTCCCCCGTCCCAGGGCGGGTTACAAGAATTAAAACGCAATACTGGGACCCAAGGCTCTTTCTCTCTCTCGCTCTCTCTCTCTCTCACACACACACGGTTGCCCCCCCCCTTTATCCTCTCGTGAGGTTGAAAGGGCACAACTGAGTGGCCTAAGGTGCCCCCTTTCCCTCCCCCGTTTTCTGTTCTCACCGACCCTGAGGAGGGAGGATAGGATGGTCACCATTATTTATTAGCCACCTAGGACCCAGGGTGGGTTACAACAATTAACGCCCAATATTATGACCTGGGGATCTGTCTCACATCCGTCTCTTCATCCTCTAGCCCCCCCCCTTTGGGGTTTCTGAGAGAATAAGGGGGGTTAGGATCAATTCCCCACCTAAGGGCCCATGGCAGGTTACACCTGTTTAAACCCAAGTATCTTTCTCATCCACCCACCCCTTGTCTTTTATCTTCCTTTGCATTTTCCTTTTCAACCCTATGAAAGAGCAGAATTGACTGGCCTGAGGTGGCCACCCCATTTTGTATTTTTAGTGACCCTGAGAGGGATTGTATAGGTGGGGGGAGCTGTAGAGGCCAAGGTGCCTTCTCACCCCACCTTTAATCCTCTTGTCTTCACCCTCTTCGCCTCTTTTGAATAGGTACCTGGTCAGTTTAATCTTAATGTATATAAGGCAGAATATTGCTATAATATATCTGTTGGAAGTCCAAGAGGTGAATGTGCATTGCAGCAGCCCTGAACAGGAGGCTAGGTAAAAGTTGTTGTCATTGTTATTCTTCTTACTACTAAAGTTATTGTGCACCTTTCACCAGGAGGTCCCGGGGCAGATTACAGCAATTTCAAATTCAGAAATTTAAAATAGTTAAAACTCATTTTGGTATAGTTCAAGGTTCTTTCTAACCTCTCACACACCCTTTATTCTCTTTGTTCCCCATGAGGTCAAAAGAGGACAACTGAATGACATAAGGTGCTCCCCCTCCTTCTCAGTTTTTTCCCTGAACAATCCTTAAGTGAGGATAAAAGAGGGTGACTGAATGGTACTGAGGTGGAACAGGGTGACTGAATGACTCAAGGTCCCCTCCCCGTCTTCTGAGCAACCCTGTGAGGAAGCCTGAGCTGAAAATGGCCCCAGATCCCTTCATCCCCATCTTATCCTCACTTGTGAAGGGGGGTATGCTGTGAGAGAGAGGCTGGACCAAGGTCACCCAATGGCAGCAGGGATTTGTACCTGGTTCTCTCCAGCCACCAATTTCTGCCCTGATCCCACAGATAGCTTTATCTCTTAGATGGAGCTTGGCAAGGAGGAAGCTTTCCTTAAATTTGGCAAACTCTTGCAAACGTATGGATCCATCGTTTCCCCCCCTCTCCACTGGGTGACAGGAGGCATTTGCAATTATTTTATTTCACCTTGCTCTGGTTTTTTTAAAAGGTCCAGCCCTGCCCTTTTTTTAAATCCACCCTGACCCTCTCAGCCAGTTTCTTCTTCCATTCCCACTTAAGCAGAGTACGATGGGGCAGGAAACCCAGAGTCAAGAGTGTAAAGAAGTTGACAATTTCTTCATCCCGACCCTTTTTTTGACAGGGCAGTAAAGGCAGGCACTCTTAAGACACTCTTAAGTGATTCTCTTCTGTGGCATTTAACAAAGCCCTGTCCGCTGCATCTACCTATTTCCTTCCATCATAATTTTCAGAACGTTATATGGAGGCTGGTTACTTCACAGATGGATTATGGCGACTCTCAGTGGCTATTCCCAGGCCACTGCATGCAAGTTGAATGCTGGATGCACTTTGTTGCCATGTTCCTCTGCTTTATAGCATATCACTTCAGAGTAAATAATTCTGTTCCTTTCTGTCCCCACCTCATCTGCTTTCCCTGTGGCTCCACATAGATTCTTCTGTCTCCTTCCTGACATTTTCTTAGACAGCAACCTGGATTTAGACCCTCCAGATGTTGCTGAACTACAACTTCCATCAGCCCTAGGCCAAAGACTGGGAATGCTGAGAGTTTTGAGTTCAGCAATGTCTGGAGGGCCAAGGGTTTTCCACATCTGGTTTAAGACAGAGTGGCAAACCCATGAAGCAGATTAGGCCCACCAGTACTCATTTTCCTCCCCATAATAGTGCTGGATTGGGAGGAAATATTTAAAGCTCTTCATACAGCCAGGATGGTGATGGGGTGATCTGAAGCTCCGTTGCAGTGCTGGGATGAAATTAGAGGTTTAAACCTTGTCACCAGGTACTATGACAAGGATATGTGTGCTGTGTGCCTGCAGGTGTGAATGGTTTCTGAAAATACTCATGAGAGAGTGGCACATGACCCTTGGAGGGTAAGACAGCCTTTTTCAAGGTTAGCTTTCTATGGTTTAGGCATTTCCCTGCCACATCATAGGTCACATAGCTGTCTTTTTGTGGAGGGCAGTGTGGAATGAAGGAAGAAAACTGATGTAAGTGGTTTCTCTAAGGTCACTTGGTGAGCCTGTGGTTGAGTTTGAATCCTTGGCCAAGTACAGCTGAGGCTTGAGATGCAAACAGCTTTCCCTGCCTTCTTCCCTACAGTCAGAATGCTTGTCATTGGCTTGTGTTCATGGAGCATGGTATGCATTGCCATTTTCGGGTCTTTTAATAGACCGAGGCATTAGACTTGCTTTCTACCAATGAGCAAACCCAGCAGTAGGTATCAAAATGCGTCAGCAAGGTCCAGTGCCAACCTCTTAATAACCCAAAGTGGCACTGCTTTCAGTTATATTGAAAATATCAAGTAGTTGGAAGGTCAGTACTTCTTAACTGTGAAGCCTTTAGGTTTGCTTAGAGAGTAAGGGGAAAGGGTGTGTTTGAAGCCTGGTGCTGAGCACCAGATGGCTAACTACTGCCCCAAATAGTCTTCTCGTATTCCTTGCAGGTTTCTCTAGCTAACTTTCCTGCTTCTAGGTGCTGTACAGTACGTGTCTTTCTCACTGTCAAGTGAGCCCAAGTCACAGCTAGCTTCCATGTCCCCCAGCCAACCTTGCCTGTGTTTCGTTTCTATTGTGCAGTCCCCAAGCTCAAATTTTCCCTGTGCGGAATCTTGCTTGCAGAATGTCCTTCATTTTTTAAGGATGTGTACTGTGGATCTATTAATGTGGACACGTTACCTGTGTCCATGCCCATTTTTGGCCCTGGCTGCACCACCCAGTACTGGCATGTGGCCCCTGGAAGGCTTCTCACCAGAGAATAGAGCCTACCCTTACATCACAACCTTAGAACCACATGGTATTTGGCACCTGTGCAAGCTTTTAAATCTTGGAGTGGGACTTTCCTTCCAGAGCAGTGGCAGCAAGTTCAGAACTTGAGGGTAGTATCTGCTTGGGGGTTGCTGCTTTATGGGAATAGGTTGTGTATAGGCTACTCTTTGCACACACAAACATACCCAGTGTGTGTGTGTGTGTGCTTATTGCCTGCCCTTCAACCTAAGGGTGGGTTTTAACATTAAAGCCCAAACAACTTGCAACTATAAAAATTGGACCTAAAAACATACACCTCAAGAGGTTTGCTTCCAATATCTTCATCTGGAAGTATGGAGAGGTAGCTAACATTCTGTGGGAGCAAAGGAGGGAACAACTAGAGTGTACTTTCTAGTCAGGATTCAGCCACCGGCGGAGCTATGGACTTTCTCCATCAGTGGAGACTAGCCTGTCAAATGCGGCTATTCTTTCTTCCTAACAGGTATAGGCTCTGAAATCGTGGCTCTGTTAGATTCTTGTCTGAAAACAGTCTGGTTACACCGTGACAGACTTATTATGCTACAAGCATTTGTGGACTAGAGCCCCTTGTCAGGTACATTTTCAGCTGCTGCTGATGTGGATTGACGGCCAGGGAGTAGCAAGTGACGGGCTAGGTCAGGCCTGACTTCCTCCATGCAGCTGAATTCTGAGGGATGCTTGGAGAAAGGAGCAAGCACCTGAACTGGCTGTGCATTGCTTAAAACTGGAGGCTTGCCTCTTAGCTTAACCTTGCAGTAAAGGTAAACACAGTGACCAAAGGTAACTAGCCAGGTGGTGTGGCTATTGCACCCCAGAATTTTATCTGCAGAACTTGCACTTTTGCAAGGGCCACATGCTGTTCATTCTGCATTTGTGAGGAGTCGTTCCTTTTGTGTGGCTGCACTGGTGCTCTGGAACTCCCTGCCAATTGACATTAAGCGGGCACCCTCACAATACTATTTTAGACACCTGTTGAAAATGTTTCTGTTTCAACAGGCTTGTCCAGACACATGATTTGGTTACATCTGTTTTTAAACTTGTTTTAGTGTGTTTAAATGTTTTCAGATGCTTTAAAATGTTTTAAATATGCTTTTATTTCATCACAGTACAGTATTATTTTGTCACCCATGTATCTTGATTGCGTGAACAAGCTTTAAGAAACCAAGGAAAGGAGGAAGATCATGGCAATACAGAATTCCCATGCAGCTCTCAAAGCTGTGTCTTCCTTATGTTAATACTTGCTGTTCTTTTGTGTCTCTTGTAGAGCTGTGGTAGAAGCCGTGCATAGACTGGATCTCATTCTTGGAAACAAGGCAGCTTATCAAGAAGTTTTTAAACCAGAGAACATCAGCCTGAGAAACAAGTAAGCAAGCTGAGTCTTTTTTTAAAAGTTTTGTAGTTCACTTAGGGGCATGGTCTTGAAGGCACAAGATCTACCCTTACTGGAACTAAGCAGGTATGGGAGGGACGCTTTGCATGGACTTGTGCACACTGCCTTCCGGATATAAACGGAATAAAAAAAATACCTGCGAAAGCTTAATATTAATGATATGATATATACGCCTGCCTTTTATCAGGCCAGTGGATTATTCAGTGCAGGATATTGCTTTGTTCTGCAGCAGATTTCAGACTTGTGGTCAGAGCTGTTGCTTTACACATAATGTTGTTTGGGAACAACTTGCAGAAAATTTACCCCATAATAAAGTTTACCTAGCCTATTCACCTGCACATCCCTTTGTTAATTATGTGACACAGCAGTAGCCTGAAAAAACGATGGGGTGTGTGTGTGTGTACAAGGGGCTTGTGCATTTGGGAGTTCAGCGGAACTCGCACAGAAGAAGCTTCCAAACAGACTGTGCTCCAGCTCTCCCAGTTTTAAAAAGCTATCTTGCCTGGAGACAGTGACCAGGCAGTCTGGAAGCTAGACTGACTGCCACCATGTCCTGCTTTTTCCTTGGCTATTTAGTTGCCTCAACTATGTGGAGCTTCTTTTTTTAGTATAAAAAGTATTTTATTGCTTTTTCACTTATAAAAAAAACATAATTTAAAATAAAATAAACTACAGCAATACTAGTGAGTTTGTCATTTCTCGAGGGAAATGCCTTAAGTTGGAACTGCTGCTTAAAACATGTTTATACTGCATATTAAAGTTTCTAGTTCAGTAAGTCCCTCCAGATGTTTCTATGGGTTGGGGAGGTTGTCTCGAATGATTGCCATGTCTCATATGGGATGCCAGGTATTGTAAAAAGTAAAGGGTTCATCTGGCCTCTGGCTGCCCTGACCTGACATTTTGTGTTAAGTTGTATTTTGTTAAGCTGTATTGTGCCATTGACCCAGATTGCAGGATGCAGTGGAAGATGAGTGGCTTCAGACTGCACATCTTTTGGGTCTGCTGGGAAGGGATCATAGCTTAAGTGGCTGTTTTTGCTAAGTTGAAGGCTAACCCCCCTCTCTTTTGCCCACTCTCCAATTTCCTGCCGTAGGTTACGTGAACTATGTGTGAAGCTGATGTTCTTGCACCCAGTGGATTATGGGAGGAAAGCAGAAGAGCTGCTGTGGAGGAAAGTTTACTATGAAGTCATTCAGCTCATTAAAACAAACAAAAAGGCAAGCTGTCTCTGAACCTTTTTGAAAAAAGCATTTTAAAATTGAAAATAAAAAATAATAATGTACCCCTGCTTTCCCCAGCCTGGAAGCATAGTGCAGATGTAAACAGTAATAGCAAAGTTCCTACAAGACCTGAAGTGGAGAGATACTGAAAGTTGCTAATATCAGTATGAAGGAAAATGTTAACACAACTGTATGGCCACCAGTCCATCATAAAAGTTGGTGGGATTGTTGTTTGCTTTCTGGCCACATGATGTTTTTGTGTCAGTTTTTCAGAAAGCGTTATGTCCCAAATTTTGTTTCCCCCTTTATTTTTGCATTTAAACCACTGGTTCTGAAACTTTTGGCCCCCCTCCCTCTTGATTCCATAAACTCACCCCCAATGCCCCCTATCATATAAAAAGCATTCAGAGTAGCAGTTTGCACAACCCATTCAGGAAGATAATAACACAATAATATTCAAAACCGCAATGATTAAATGCACATTTATTCAAAATCCAATTAAAACTATGTAGCTTAATTAATTCACCAAAATGGATGAACTTCATTCAGTGATACCAGCTTTTCAAAGACTGATAGTCATTTACACTTCCAGTGTCCCCATGCTGCCCCCTTGCATTTAGTGCTCCCCCTAGGTAATCAGCCCTGGGGGCAGTGTCGCCCATTTTGGGAACCACGGATTTGAACCCTTTGCTTCTTTCCAGTTTCTAGCTACCAATATTCCTGCTGCCATTAATAAGTAAACAATTAAATGTTTGTACTCAACCCTTGGTTTTCTCCACTGAATATGCTCAACATTGCTATTTCAATGGGTTTCTTTTAAAAAGGTTTCCCCAGTATTTTATTTCTACAAATACCTCATCCCATGACTCAGATCTCATCCTTGATCTTGTTGTTCTAACATGTAAAGGCAGCAACATAAAGCGGATGAGCTACTTCTCTTGTGGGGCCACAGTGGTGGTTCTTAAGCTGCCTGCAGCCTTGGCTGCAGATTACACAGAGCAGCACCCCACATGACCCCTGGTTCTCCTGACTTTTTCCTTCCTTGCTTCAGGTTTGTGGAGTGAATAGTGCATAGATATGGCTACGGCCATGGAAGCCTAATTAAGGAGGCAACGGACGGTGTACATGCATGCAAAACTTTTGTCTGCAGCATGCAGAGGAAGGCTAACTTTTGAGTTGGCGATTGCTCCTTATTATCAGCTGAGGGGAGAGAACAGCAGCAACGACTGCCCCAAATCCCCTTCCATTGACTTAAGGGAGGGTGCAGCTGTTCACAAGCCCACCATTGGAGAATAGCGGAGTTGTCCTTTCTTTCCAAAGCGTAAAAGCCGTAAACTGACTTTTCACCAGCAAAGTGGCCCTCAGGCTGGCACAGCTCATCCGTGGTAGGGAGACAACAAGTAGCAAAATGCCAGTGGCAGCCTACACATTGCAAGTTCTACAGAAGAGGGGTGGCATAGAGTGGCCAGAAAAATAAGAGTTTTCTGCCGAACTTAGCTATGGCTTTGTCTACCTTTTGAGAACAGGGAGGGGGATGAAGGTGATGATGAAGCAACTGGGGATGTGTTCTAACTTTCTTTTCCCCTCCCCTCTTCTTTTTGCTCCCCACCCCACAGCACATTCACAGTCGCAGCACCCTAGAGTGTGCCTACCGGACTCACCTTATTGCTGGCATCGGCTTTTACCAACACCTTCTTCTCTATATCCAGTCTCATTATCAGTTAGAGCTGCAGGGCTGTATTGACTGGACACATGTTACGGATCCTCTGATAGGTCAGTACCCAGATGCTGACATATGTTTTATTTACCATTCATTTATTGCATTTGTACCCCTACCTTTCACCCCAAGGTAACATCCATGGTTTTTTTTCCATCTCATTGAATACCCACAACAACCCTGTGAGGTGGGTTAGGCCAAGAGGCAGTGAGTGGCCCAGGGTCACCCCGTGAGCAATGCCTAGTGGGGAATTGAACCCTGGTAATGGAGGCAAATTTAAAAGCCAAAGCTATAGTTTAAATGGGCATACACTACATCTCGCCAGAGTGGGGATGGTTGCAACCGCTTGAACCATATGGCTCCTAGGATGGCCAAGTGTCCTACTTTACAGGGAGCATGCAGTCCAAGTCCAGTCTGAAAATAAAGAGCTCTGAGAAGAGCAAGTGGGGATGGTTGTGGGGAACCGTGAAATACCTCGGCTGCAGTTTGAGCAGGCACACGTTATGTTTAAATGATGGCAATGAGCTTGATGGCCAACTAGGGATTCAAGCCCTTCCCTTCCAGGTCTTAGTCCAGCACTCTAACCACTACTCCACACAGGCTCTCTATTTTAAGAACATTTTATTCAATGCAATGGTTACTCTAATCATCTGCACTTACCCATTTACTTGCGTAACGGAAAAGCTCAGTATCTGAGATGTCCCTCCCACTGCAAACTTTGCACAAACCTTATGAAAATGATGAGAGCACCCAGCTTTTAAGAACAAGGGCGGAGGCCTTTTAGTGTGGCAGGAACCACCTCTGGGATGCCCTCCACTCCGTAACATACACATACGACATAGTCATATGGAAGCTGGGAGCCATTGAACTTAGAACCTTCTGCATGCCAAGCATGTGTTCTGCTGCTAATCTTTGCCCCTCCCCATATCCAAGGTGGTTTGATTATCCTGGCCATGTTGGTATTTTTCAGGAGCACTTACGATGGTCTTACTTGACTGGGCTGTTGCAGCATTTTAACACACATTTGGGCAAGACAATCAGAATTCAGAAATTTGTAGATGATTGGCAGTCAGATGACTGACTCCTTGAAAAAAGGGAGTCCATACTGAAAAATGTCCAGATACAGATATTTTATTTTAAGGTGTTATCAGTGTTATGCTTAAATCTAGGAATGTGAAAAATATGAGATAAGGTGTTGTTTTGTATAGAATTGTGAGTTTTGCATTTCTAATAGGGCTCACATAATTCACTTCTTTCGTTTAAACACATGAGTCTTATCCATCTGTTAAATGGGGTTTTACAAAATGGCATCTGGGTTGGTTTTTACAGCTTTGCTCTTGGTGTAATTAATCTTGATTGCATTATAAGCTGCTGAGTTCTCAGTAAATGACATAACATAGAATTTTCCAGATAGTTTGTGAAGGATCTGGTTTTGCAGAGGCCTTTGGGGGAGGAGTGGGATCTGATGGCCAGATGAGTCCTTTGACCCCTGTGAGATGGCTAGAAACGGCTTTTTTGTTCACTTGGACATGCTCAGTTCTTGACTGGTGGGAGTCCATCGCTTTCTTGATGGCTGCCTTCCAGAATGATGCACTGAGAGACTCGTGTCCTTGGCAACCATCGCTGTGAGAATCCCATTAATACTGCTGCAGAACTTAAGCCCTCAGAATGCCTTCTAATCCACATTTAAGATTGTGTAGCTTTTGACACATTAATTGCACTTTGAAATCTTACCTGGGTTGCTATTGTGGTGGGGGCAGAACTAAAATCCATAGTTATGGGGCTTAATGTATGTCCAGAGTATGTATGGATGTCGTTTTTGTTCCAAACATTTCTTACAGTACTCTAGTACAGAAATTAAGGGGACCTTTTTGTATTGCATGTTGTTCTCCAGCCTTTGCCAACCTGGTGTCGCCCAGATGTTCTGGATTACAAACTCAGCTGGCTCCAGCCAGTGGAACTAAGACATCTGGTGCACAGCAGGTTGCCGAAGGCTGTTTTGCTGTCATGGCTATTGGAGCTGGGTGGTGGCCAGCATAGGACTGAAACCCCACCCCCTTGACCACATGAGGTCATCTCTGCCCCCCTGAGGCTGTTCAAGCTTTTTACTTTTCCAAAAATAAAAGCAGAGGCTTTCAGGAGATCACAATCTGCAGTTTGTGTGGTCTATTTGTGGAACAAGCCTAGCCATATGAGCAAAGGCAAGCGTGGTGGTTCTGGTGTGGGCAGACTCTCCAGCATCGGCTTAGAGCCCCAGCTGCCTTGTACTTGAGCAGTGCTCATCCCAGGTTACCATATTCCTTGTGTCTTCCATAGGCTGCAAGAAGCCTGTATCTGCATCAGAGAAGGAGATGGAATGGGCGCAGATGGCCTGCCACCGGTGTCTGGTTTACCTGGGGGATTTAGGTGAGTGCTAACAGTGGAAATTGGGCTGCTGCTCTGGCCCAGTGAATCCACAGCTTTCTTACATTGCAGAGGGGAAGCAGACTCCATTCATTACTGACTAGCAAAGCCCTAAATGGCTTTGGACTGTCTCATCAAAAGACCCTTTAATAATTTCCTATGTGAACTCTGTGTAGATGACAAGGATGTGTTAATGATATTCTATGCTTGTTGGGCTTCCTCCTTTGGGGTTTTTCCTTAACCTGAGCTTAAGACTCTTCCAGGATTCTCCCCCCCCCCCATGTTCTGGGGATTGGGAACTAGAGTTATCCTAGTACTCTAGAGCTGGAGGCATTTATGTTGTGTTTTTAGATACTGCATTGGACTTTGGTAATTTCAAGAGGATTGTGAAAAGTTATTTAAACTTTTCAACTGCCCAGAGATGTGAATTTGTTTCATTTATTGAATAAAGCCTCACTGTTTCACTTGCCCGTAAGGCCTCCCAGATGGTTTTGTAGCATTGTGCTGCAATTCTCCACCTTTTCTTACTGCAATCCATAAGTCTCTTGTGTGTGCTTCTTCCTCATCAGCTCGGTATCAGAACGAATTAGCAGGTGTGGACACAGAATTGCTGGCTGAGAGATTTTACTATCAAGCCCTTTCTGTTGCACCACAAATTGGTAAGTGTTTGGTCCATGTCTTATGATCCTTCTCCCAGATTTGTCTAGCAGGCAATTTTGTTTTCAAGTTACTAGCCTATTGGAATGTTTGCCAGCCTGCTCACGATTAAGCTGGTCAGTATTTGTAAACTACTGCCCTGCATTGGGCTGCTCTTGGCTCTTGTTGGAGGCAATGGAGCAAGGGATTCTTTGACACATCAGAGCTAAATCAGGCCTGTGATGGTAATCTCCCAAGCTCAAAGCAAAGTGGGTGTGTCATGTACATGCACACTGTCCTTCCTGTGTGTTGTCTGCTGAGAGAAATCCCCAGTACTCAGCAGCTTCAGGACTTTTCCTACATGTTTTGTGGAACCATCTCTGCCAACCATGGATGTGGGAGAACGACAGCATCACCATGTGCCTTCATGACTTCTCTTCCTGGATTCAGAGGGCCATGGTGGTGCTGGCAGTAACCTTTCCCACTGTTGCAGCTATTTTCTCTTCCTGGTTACTCTGGACAGGAAGGCGGTGGAGAACCCTGTGCCTCTGTCTCTCAGCCAGCACAACAAGAAGTCACTTAATTGGCAGAGCCAACATTGCCAGTCTATCAGCCAATTTTTATGTATTTAAAAATGTGTCCCTCACTTTTTGAAGAACTGTTTCCACAAAGCAGCTTCCTGTGCCCAATAAAAAACAGTTCCACAGTTCAAACAATGTTCTTGGGTCTGTGGAAGCTCAGCCTGTGTGGATCTGGCCTGTAAAATCTTGATGACAGCTGTAGGACCAGGCTGCACAGATGTTTGGAAAGCTGTTTTGGCTGCTTCCAGGGCTTTAGACACAGCCTGGCCATAATGGGAAGAAGGCTGAGGGATTCAGGCTTTGCAGGATGAATTATCAAGCTCCCACTCCCTGTCCCTTCTGGGTTCCTCTTAAGTTCTACCTTCTAGCTGCTCAAATGGTGGAAATGACTGGATATGCCTGTCTGGAAGGAGCCCATCTCCTCTGGTCCTTTATGGGTTCTAACACAAACTCTTATGCAGTCTCTTACCTCTTAGTACTTGCAAAAAGGCCATGGGTTGTATGTATGTATGTATGTATGTATGTATGAAATTTCTATGCCACCCTTCATCTGAGGATCACAGGGCAGTTTACAATATAAAAACAGAAAATTGCACACCATAGTAACAAACAAAAACAAACACCCCACGAGTGTATGAGTAAACCCATTGAAATCAGTGGGTTAAGGTGATCATGCCCACTGATTTCACTGGGACTGTTCTGAATATGACTTGGTCAGGTACAGCCGCAGATCCTAGGTGGGATTCTAGACTCCAGGGTTTCTTGTTGTTGTTGGGAGATTTGGACAAGCACATGTGGAGCTGACTCACTTCTGCCTTTTTGGGACAGGTATGCCTTTTAACCAGCTGGGGACACTGGCGGGGAGCAACTACTACAACGTGGAAGCCACCTACTGCTACCTGCGCTGGTGAGTATGCCTCCCAAGGAGAGGGAGTCCACCTGTTGCTTTGGGGCAGAGAGGACTTTTCACTGTGCAGTGTATTGCCTGTTGACTTTCTTGCTCTATGCATAGCTGGAATGTGGTTCCCATAGCTGCCTAACCTGACTGCCTGGATGCTGGTTGCTCTGTTACAAGTGCGCGTGCAGCCTGTGCCCTTGGGCTGTCAGTCCTTGAAAAGCAGCTAAAAATAAATCAATCCCAGGAACTTGTGAGCGGGGTGCTGTGTAGCTTGCAAGTCGGTTTTAGGCACCAAATTCCACAGAATTTCTGCTTTAATTATTTTAAAAATACATTGTAAACTTCAAGTGAGAGATGAGTAAGTCTCCCCAAAGAGGCCTGCCAATTCAGAAGATTCCATCGTTGCTAGTATGTCTAGTGCTGTCACCTCTCCAGATCTAAGTTGGTTCCAATATTGTACAAATGGGGTTCATTTTTTGTTTTGGAAATGTGCTTGTTGATCGAGTCTTTCCACGCCACAAATGTTGGAGCTTGTAGGCCTGCTCAGAAGCATAATGTCCCTTTCCTCCTAGACCTTGTAAAAGCAAAATTATAGCCGTTTCTGGTGGCTTTTCCCCTTCCCCTCTCAAGCTGTTTCTTACCCCATTCCTGAAAAGGTGGGAAGACCTCATTCATACTCTGAACCCTGTGGCATGCATAGGAGCTTCAGTGGAGAGGCAAGGCATTCTATTGTTTGTTTGTTTGTTTGTTTGTTTGTTTATTACATTTATAGCCTACATTTTGTTCAGTCAGCTCAAGGCGGCGTACATAGTTCTCCTCCCACCCACCCCCAATTTATCCTCAAAACGCTATGAGGTAGGTTAGGTTGAGAGTGAGTGACTGGCCTGAGATCACCCAGTGAGCTTCATGGCTGAGTGGTGATTCGAACCCTCGTCTCTCCAGTCCTAGACTTACACTCTAACCACTATATCACACTTGCTCTCTTAATTTGTGCAGTCGGAGAGAGTCCTGTTTCTGACTGTTTCTCTACAAAGTAGAGAGAATCCCACGCTTTTCTTTCAGAACTCTGTGGAAGAGGGTGACCATGCTAGACAGGGTGGGGAAATTATCCTAGTTGATGGGTATGTGGAGCTCTGTGACTTAAAAACATGAGCAACTCTGCCTCTCTCATGTTACATTTTAGATACATACCCAAAAGCTGTGTGTGAGAAAGAGGTGTTGGTAATTTTGTCAAATGAACAGGCACATTAATGAGAGAAGATTAGCTGAGGTTTGCTCAGTGGCAAACATGGGGTTCTTGCTCTGGAATGGTGTGAAACAGCCTGCATGCTTGGGTGTGTGAGTGATGCTTGACGAAGTGACTGAAACCAGAGTGGACACTGAATGAGATTTCTAGTAGTTGACAGGGGAGTGCTGTACTTTGGGTTTATTGTGAAGGGAAGGAGTCTGACCTCACAGGGCTTGCACTTTCTCCCATTTCCGGCACAACCACAAATAGGAATTTTGAAGCTTCTGTTTTCAATTCAGTGCAGCCAGTCATGTTGCCTGAACTTGGCAAACTATTATTAATTATGGTTTGTTTGAAACAAACCAGCTTTAAACTCTGGTTTGTGCCAGCAAGTCATGGTTATGATTAGCCACAGTTTAGGCATTGAATACAATGCTAAACTGTTTAACTGAAACCAGAAGTGAAAGTTTCTGAACTTCTGCTTTGATGCCAGGAGGAATGAAATGTCATTCTTAACAAAATATGACATCTGGATGCAGCCAAGGCCTTGCAGAGCGTTGCTCAAAGTCTCACAAGTGTAAAACTAGTTAAGTGAAACAAGCAAAGAGGTGCAAACTTGCTTGATTTCAATAAATTCTACAGGTGGCAAAATTCTGCTCTTTTGACCTTGTCAAGTGTAACCCACTGCTTGTTTGAGGCTTTACTGAGAATTTAACATTTCTGCTTTTGGGGTTTTGTGCCTATTTAGTATCCAGTCTGAAGTGTCCTTTGAAGGTGCTTATGGGAATCTCAAACGCCTGTATGATAAGGCGGCCAAAATGTATCACCAGCTGAAGAAATGTGAAACCAGGAAACTGTCACCCAGCAAAAAGAGGTAAGGACGTAATGTGGTTCAGTCCTGCGGTGAGCAAATCTCAAAATCTGTCCAGTGCTCTGGTAGACATGTCCAGAGGTAGAGTGTTATCCAGCCTCTGTGAACATTACCTAATTCCATAGAGAAACACCTGTGACTGATCCCAGTGGGATGACATGCCAATGAGCACATGAGAGATGGAAAACTGTGGCTTTGTGCAATTGAGGCTTATTCAGCATTAGGACTCTCACTCCTTGTCTTTCCTGACTGCTCTTCAGTTGAGGCTCCAGTGCACTTTGGTGAGTGAAGTGGTCCTTTGCCAAAGTTGCTGCTGTTTGGATTCTCCTCCCTCCTATTCCAAATTGGAGAAGGTGCCTGTCACATACTAATATTGGCTGTGCCTGAAATTTCCTTTGCCTTTGTGATGCTGGCTGCATAGCTATAGGACTTCCTCAGAGTCTTAAGGAGCATTATATTACAAGGGGTGAAAATGACTAAATGACGAGAAAGAGAAGGAACAGTCCAGATTCTGTGCCAAGCAAAGTGAACTCTGCAATCTGTAGAAAATAAGTAGATTGAGTAGATTTGCCACAGTTCCCCATTTTGCACAAATGCCTTCTCCTTTGCTGAACTTACTTTGTTTCTAATAGTCTTGGGGGTGGAGCTAGAGCTGTTGGGCACTAAGGCCTTATCTGAAACCACAGAAAAATCTTCCTTGACTACCTCCTTGGGATAATTGTGCCCTTCCTCCTCTCTTTCCCTCTGCCAACTCCCCCCCCCGCAGGTGCAAAGACATTAAGAGGTTACTGGTGAGTTTCATGTACTTGCAGAGCCTCCTTCAGCCAAAGAGCAGGTGAGTCTTCTGCGTCTTTATTCTTGCTGTGCTGTTTTGTTAACTCCTGGTAGATTATGTAGCTGAAGCAAAGCACTTTTACATTGGGATAATATACTGGTCCAATGAAATAACTTCCCATGAGGGGAAGGAGAATTCCTTGTTCCAACACTCTTCTGCATTTTTGTCATGGATTGACAGCATTGCCTTTTCACCGGTTGAGAGTCTCCCACCACTAGGGAGGATGCATCACCCTTGGCCCTTGAGAAGGGCCATAGCTCAGCAGTAGAGCATTTGATTTGCATGCCAAAGGTCCTGGGTTGAATCCCAAGTAGGGTTGGAAAAGGCTTTCTGCCTGAAACCCTGGAGAGCCACTGCTGGTCAGTGTGGACAATACTGATCTAGATTGACCAATGGTCCAACTTCATATAAGGCAGCTTCTTAAGTTCCTAATTTGTCGGGTGAGTCTAAAGCACCTTGGGGAGAATGTGCCCTCAGATCAAGTATCGGGGTTGCCTGGTTCTTAGTTACCCACTCGTTGGTTCAGCCTCTGCAGATGAGGACTCTAAGATAGCTCATGAAGGGGGTTGTATAACCACTGTGGTTGCCTAGGGTTTGGAGAGGCTTGACCTGTTTCAACTGCTTGCACCTCCTGTTTGCTGTGGGACAATCCTCTGTGGCTCATCTCTCCTTGTCACCCACCTCTCAGTTCTGCAGACTCTGAGCTGACATCTCTCTGCCAGTCGGTACTGGAGGATTTCAACCTCTGCCTCTTCTACTTGCCCTCTTCGCCCAACACGAGCTCTGCCAACGACGACGAAGAGGAGTGCGAGAATGGCTACTCCTTCCTGCCAGACCTCCTCATCTTCCGGATGGTCATTGTCTGTCTGATGAGCGTCCACAGCCTCAAGAGGGCAGGTGAGCAGCATGGCTGTGTGTGGTGTGTCCTCCTCTTGCAGACTTGGTGTGCAAGTTTTAAGCTGCCCTGTCGGCCTCTCCTTATAATATGATTGGTTGAACTGAGCTAGCATCTCTCAAACTCTTCCTGTTTCCAGAACAGCAGCAAAGATGAGGTGGTTCAGCATCAACTTCATAAAACACAGTCATTGACTGCTGGGCTCAGGTGCTCACAGAGTAAATCTGGGATCGAAGCATTTTCATTTCGTTTCATTTCTCTTAGAATCATAGAGTTCATAGACTCAAAGAGTCTGGATATTTAGCATATCATCATTAGCATTAGCATTTATTAAATTTGTTAGTTGCTTTTTTGCCATGGCAATTTGAAGCAACCTGCAAAAGAAACCCACATACTTTAAAACTAGGATGGGATAATATATTAAAACATCCCACTCACTCTAAAAGGCCATAGATAGTTCAAAGCCAAAGGCCTGGTTTAAAAGGAGTGTTTTTGCCTGGCGACTGAAGCCTATGTAATGATGACACCAAGTGAGCCTTCCCAGGGAGAGCATTTCACAAACAGGGAGCCAACACTGAAAAGGCCTGATCTCAAGTTCCCACCCTCTGGACCCTCCTGTCAGAGGGGGCACATGATATATGCAAGTGGCTGAATGGAGTTCTTAGTTTTGTTGCAGAAAATGTAGTTTTTATGTAGTTTTATGTAGTTTTTCAATTTCATTGTTCTGCATGGGACAATGACAATAAGGATATCGTATAAAGGATTTTTAAATCTCTGAATAACAGTGAGTTGACAAGTGAGTTGACAAGAATTTTAACTTTGATCACATAAAGAAGCCCAAAGGCATTTGGGTGTCTGCAGTTGAATAAAAGTAAACGCATAATTATGGAGTTTGCTCCCCCATGGATGTTGCAGGCACAGATGCCAGCTCCCCTTGACGCTGATGCTTCCTCATCTCTCTCCTTACAGGCTCCAAGCAGTATAGTGCAGCCATTGCATTCACACTGGCCCTCTTTTCGCACCTCATCAACCACGTCAATATTCGCCTGCAAGCAGAGCTGGAAGAAGGCGAGAATCCAGTTCCAGCCTTCCGGAATGATGGCACAGGTGAGGGCTGCAAGAAGGGTGAAGTTTGCCCATTCTAAGATCCTTGCCTTCCATCTTCCACGTTGCGTTCTGCTCTTGTGACGAGGCAGGCAGTGGTGAAAATAATCTGGTTAACAGTTATTTACTTTTCCTAGGGGATCCTGGAAAGTTCTTTGGGGACAGTCTGTAAGAACTTGAAAATAGCCCTGCTGAATCAGACCAAAGGCCTGTCTGGCTCAGCACCTTGTTTACAGAGTGGCCAGCCAAATACCTATAGGAAGCAGGGAAATAGGACCCAACCCCAACGGAAGATAGTAATCGAAGCCAGTGATAGCCTTCTTCATGCATTTGTCCAAACCCCTTTTAAAGCCATCCAAGTTGGGGGTCATCACTTGATGTTTTGGGAGTGAAACCTTAGTTTAACTTACGTTCTTTGTGCAGAAGTCTTTCCTCTTGCCTGTCATGAATCTCCCACCATTCAGCTTCACTGGATGAAGATAATAACACAATACTGTGGTACCTTGGTTGTCAAACTTTATCCATTCTGGGAATCTGTTCGACTTCCAGAACCGTTCAAAAACCAAGGCACAGCTTCCAGTTGGCTGCAGGAGCTTCCTGCACTCAATCGGAAGCCGTGTCAGATGTTCGTTTTGCGGAAAATGTTTGTAAACCAGAGCACTCACTTCCGAGTTTGCAGCGTTCGGGAGCCGATTTGTTTGGGAGCCAATCCGTTTGACAACCAAGGTACCACTGTAAAACTATAAACAGCAAGAATGACTTCCACAGTTATTCAAAATTCAGTTAAAACTATTTAGTTTAATTAATTCAACAAAATGCATGAACTTTATCCAGTGAGACCAGCTTTCCAAAAATCTGACACAGTTATTTACATCTCCAGCACCCCCTTCCATCTCTTGCCCCTTTGCCCCCTCCTCCCAGGTAATCCCACCGCCCCCCAGGAGTGTCAACTTCGGGAACCACTGGTATAAACAGTAGTCAAGCCGGTTTGCGTATCTTAAGAGTTTCCAAAAATGTGTGTTCGGCTGCTCTTTTGCAGAGGATCTGGAGGCCCGGGAGTCCTTGAACTCCATTGAGAGAGAAGCCGAAGGGGACCTGGCCAACCACCGACCCAGCGAGAAGCAGCGGAAGAGCGAGAGCAAGAAGGGCAAGAAATACTCACGCCTCTCCTGCCTGCGCCGCCGCCGCCACGTCCAGAAGGTGGACGAGAGCGACCTGAGCGAGGGCTTCGACTCCGACTCCAGCCCAGATTCCACCAAAGGGAGTGATGGCTCAGAGAGCGGCTCAGAGAAGAGCGACGAGGAGGCCGAGGCGGCTTTTGACGTGGAGACCGACTCGGACATGAACAGCCAGGAGTCACGCTCGGACCTGGAAGACATGGAGGACGAGCCAGACGCCGAGGGGGGCAGCCAAGCTAAGGGCATGAAGAACGGCACTCCGGAGGCATTGGACTCTGCGGAAGGGGATGTTGGCAGGCTGGTGGACTTGAAAAGCCCTGGCGTTGCCAAGACTGAGCCCCTGCTGGAGCCTCCTGTGGCCAACGGGCCAGGCTTGCTGGGCGCCAGTGATGCCAGTATAGCCAGCAACCTCCAGGCCATGTCCACGCAGCTCTTCCAGACCAAGCGCTGCTTCCGGCTGGCCCCCACTTTCAGCAACGTCCTCCTCAAACCAAACTGTGAGCTGCCTGCCCCGAAGGAGGTGGCAGACAGCAAGCCATGTGTCAATGGGGACGTGGAGAAGTCCAAAATGACTGAGCAAGGTGAGAGAGAGAGAGAGAGAGAGAGAGAGAGAGAGAGAGCCTGCACGCTAGATTGGAAAGGAGATCCCTTCCATGAATGGAGAAAAGGGTGTGTGAATAGAAGTGGGGTGGAAAGACCTTAGGATTTTGTAGAGGGTGATTTGTGGGCGAGATCTGGCTGACACAGATCCCGGTTGCCAACCTAGAGGTGTAAGTGGGGAAGGGGGCAAGATGAGAACTCCTTTGACATTTCCAAAGCTAGCATTAGCATTAGCTACGTGCCCCCAAAATATTGCTGTCTTAAAGTGGGGTGACAAACCTGTCTTCTAACCTTTGACATTATGTCCCCATCTGCACTATACAGTCAAAGCAGCAGCATATCACAGTCGTGGCTTATTCCTCCTAAGAATCCCAGAAGTGTAATATGTTAAGGGTGGTAAGAGTTAATTGGAGGTCCCTTTTCCTCCCCACAGAGCTGCAATTCCCAGAGTTCCTTGAGAAAAGGGATTGATTGTTAAACCGCTCTGGGACTTGTAACTTTGTGAAGGGAATAGGGGTCTCCTAACAACTCTCAGCACGTTCAACAAACCTCATTTCCCAAGATTCTTTGGGGGAAGGCATGACTCTTTAAAGTGGTATGGTGCTGCTTTAAATTTATACTGCAGATGGGGGCAGAAGCGTGGCAGAAAGGAAGTTGAGGCAGGGTGGTGTACTAAATTGTGCACTAAATCTCCTCCTCCACCATCCCTGCTCGTAGGGAGTGATTTTCTTTTCTGTGAAGGTGCCAGCTACTGCTTTTCATCACCTCTAGATTAAAACTTGATAAAACCTCTTGATTCCCAGGGGCCAAATAAAAAGCACTTGGCAGGATAGGTGGGTGTCTCTCCTCTGGAGGGCAATTGCATTTTCCAATCTGCACTCCTTGTTTAATTATCTAAGTTCCTTGTTTTTAACGATCCGTTTGTCTTGTCCAAGACGATGTTTCTGAGTCAGAAGAGAGCGTCTCTAGCAGTAAATCCTGCAGGAACGAGCGTTCTCTCCAGGAGAAGCTGGAGGTCATCACCAACGAGGGGTTGCTGCCGACTGTCAAAGTATTTCTGGACTGGCTGAGAACCAACACTGATCTCATCATCATGTGTGCACAGGTAGGGAGGGGTAATGGGGGAGAATCCCACTTCCACGACTTCTTCAGCTTACACCTCTGGGCTGTTGAATGAGCCTCTATCTCATGCACTCAACCACTGCAGTTGGCAGCCTGTATAAAGCAGTTTGCCATTAACTGCTAAAAGTAGAAGTACTGTAGCTGATAAAAGCAGTGGGTCCCAAAGTGGGTGGTACTAGCCTTGGTGGGGCAGTGGGATTACTAGGGGCGTGGGGTGTGTGCGCATGCGCACTAAGAGGCAAAGGGGCGCTGGAGGTGTAAATGACCCACAGTTCTGATATTTATCAGATAAATCGTAGGGAAAAGGATGGGATTTCAAGTAGACCTCAAACTAATGTGAGGGTGACAGACCCATGCCTTCAAATACACACTTCATGTAATCCTTGTGATTTAAAGTAGCAAGGGAAGCTGTGAACCCTTCCCTCCCAGGTAATTTTCTCCCAGCTGAGCTCTATTCCACAGTCAAAGCCAAGCTGGGGAAGAAAGGGACTGTGGGTGGGAGAGGTTGAGTGTTTCAGTGCCCTATTCTTGCCCCCTTGCTACCTTAAATCTACACACACACACACACACACACACACACACACACACACACCCTCTTGCACTTTATTTCGAGGGCAAACCTTCATGGGCCCCCTGCCCTCAGCTGTGGTAAAATGGGCATCCCATTTTATCCTTGCGCTGACTTTGTGTGGTAGGTTAGGCTGGGAGGTGGTAGCAGCTGGCCAGTCTGAGCAAGTGCTTGAACCTGGATCTCTGGCCCAAGTCCTAATATTCACCACATGCTCAATTTGCATTTGTTTGTGGTGCTTTTTCCCTCCTCCAGAGTTCTCAGAGTTTATGGAACAGACTTTCTGTCCTTCTGAACCTGCTTCCTTCAGCTGGAGACCTTCAGGACTCAGGTAACTTTGAGAAGAAATTTCCTTTTCTTATGTCCCCCACCCCACCCCCAACACTCAAACTTCATATTCCTGTGCAGTTCAGGCACTCTTTAGTTTCCTGGGTCTTTTTCCTGCTTTACACCTAGTTTTTCTGCTGTTTTTAGATGGGGAAAAGTCTAGTCACACACAGCGACTTCTTTGAACCTGGAACCTTCAGTTTGCAGTCTCCACCATCTCTTGGTGAACCAGGGAATGTCCCTTGCTGGAAACCTTTGGAGACCTACTGTCCCAATCTGCATAGACAATACCTGAGCTTGGTAGACTTCTTACGTTCTTCTGGAATTCCATTGCTTAGTTCCAGAAGAACATGAGAAGTCTACCAAGCTCATATGCTATGCAGTGGAGTAAGCACAAAGCCCCTTTCTGTGGGAGCAGCTTCCCCCAGTTCCACCTTCAAGGCCACACTTGCTTACCTGATAGTGGCTTGTCTGGATTCAGAGAGGGAAGCTTCTGCTGAGGTCTTCTGTATGCCTCATGAAAAGAATCAGAATTGTAGAGTTGGAAGGGATCTCAAGGGATATCTAACCCAACGTCCTTCAATGCACAAATAACAGGTGCAGAGTCCCTGGCAGATGTCCCCATCCCCAACCTCTGTTCAAAAACCTTCAATGATGGAGAGTCCACCAGCTTCCAAGGTTGCCCGTTCCACCGTTGAAATAGCGCTTACTGTCAGAGCTGGTCATGATATGGAAATGTAATGAGCCACTTTACACAGAGTCAAGTTACTCATCTAGCCTAGTGCTGTCTACCTTCATCTGGCAACAGCCTCTGTGTGTGTGCTTGTTTCCCATCCCTACCTGGGGGAGATGCTGGGGGTCGATCTGGGGAACCTTCTACACGCAGAGCAATTGGTCTTCCACTGAGCTGCAACCTGGTTCTTCCAAGGAGACACAAGCATCCCAAGCCAGGAGCATCTTCCCCCTTTGGGCTTCCTGCGGGGCCGACTTCTGTGTGTGGCAGAGTCAGAGCTGGCACCACGAGGAGTTGTGGAAGTCCCAGTTTTAGACTAGATGTGCCCTAGAGGACTAGCGTTTCGTGTGACTTTCTAGTTGCTCCTTCTGCCTCTGTGACCCAGAAATATAAAGCTGCCATTCTGTCCCCTCCCCTCCCCACTGCTGATGCGCAGGGCTGTTCCTCTGCAACGAGGTGAAGAGCATGCTGCCTGGGTGTGAGCTGCCAGACTTGCCTGCCTGCCTGCTGCTCCCAGAGGACATGGCCCTCCGCAACCTTCCCCCGCTGAAGAACGCGCACAAGAGGTTCAACTTCGAGCAGGACAGGCCTCTCCTTGCAGAAGTGGAGGAGGTAAGAGGCTGGTTTTGGTGCTTGTTTTCAGAAGTCATGGGAGGCTTCTGGACTGGGGGGGGGGGTGAGCAAGGAGCGTGAGGGCAAGTGGAACCTTTGCTCCAGGACTTCGGGGGTGGGGAACCTCTAGCTTGCAGGCCAGTCCTGTCCCACCAAAGGAGCCCAGTTTGGTGTGTGAGGCTATTTTCCCAAACCACGCCCACCTGTCAGTCAGCTGGTGTCGCTGGGTGGGGTTTGATCCTTCTGGCCTAGGAGCTCTTTGCAGGGAGCAGGGCTCAACATTCCCTTTGATCCTTTGCAGCGAGAGGTCAGCCAGCTTGGCCCATCCTTTGCCCTCCCAAGTCCCAGCTGTTCCTGTAGCCATTCAGGTGTTCAGGAGGGGAGCTTTTACTTTGCTTTAGTGTGTGTGAGCTCCCATCTTGGCCTCAAGTGGACGCGCTCCCTGCTCTCCTCACCCACCGGGTCCTCCTCTTTCTTCATTACAGTCCGTGGTTCGCATCTGTTGCATCCGGAGTTTCGGACACTTCATCACCCACCTGCAAGGCAGCATCCTGCAGTTCAACCCGGAGGTTGGGATCTTCATCAGCATCGCTCAGTCGGAGCAGGACGGTTTGCTCCAGCAGGCCCAGGCCCAGTTCCGCATGGTGAGCTTTTGCAGGGTGGGCTGGGGGGGGGGGAATAGTGGGACAGAACAAACATGCTCCAGTGAAGAGCAAGGCTTGATAGCCATACAGGGGCCTCCTTTTGCATTCCCTGTCTTGTCACATGCCTGTGCATTGCACAACTCTTCTCTTCCATATGTGAGTTTATGCCACCGGTGAAGCCTGAGAAAATATCAGAAAATGCATGGGAAGCATCTGATGGAAGTTTCAGGGGTGATGTGGAAGTGAATAGCTGAGAAAAGACTTGTAGTAGCCCAGTTTCTAGTCCTCCACTTAGCACTTTCTTTGCCCATAAAAAAAAAAATGCCTAGGGAAAGTGTAAAAATACTTTACAGTGTTATTTCTGTGGCTGTCAGCAAAAAAGAGGGGCCCTTTAGAATGTTTGCAGTCTACATTTCAACTAGGGGATGGGGAGAGTATTCAGAGCATGCAATTTTATACTGTTTATATTGCATTGCATATTTAGGCTTTTGTGACCTTACAGTAGATTTATTTCTTATATTTATATGCCACCACCTCCTCCAAGGAGCTCAAGGGGCTGTACATGGTTCTCCCCCTGCTCCCCATTTTATCCTCAAAACAATCCCTGTGAGGTAGGGTAGGCTGAGAGGCAGTGACTGAGACCTCTCAGTGAGCTCCATGGCCGAGTGGGAATCTGAACCCAGGTCATAATTCCAACACCCTCTAACCATCTCACCACCCATGGATAGTGAAAGGAAGTGGAGGAGCCATTCCAGAGTTGTGGAATGGGACCATAGGTGCAAGGGCAGTTTGACATGCATCATTCCCTTTGCTCTCCCTTAGGCCGCTGAGGAAGCTCGCCGGAACAGGCTCATGAGAGACATGGCTCAGCTTCGGCTGCAGGTACGATGATGGACTGTGCATGGATGGGGGAGGCAAGCGCAAGTCAGTGGAGGCCTCCAAATACCTGGGGTTGGGGGGGGAGGCCGTATCGCTTGTGCTTCCACCTGACATAGCTTGCAATGCACTTGACTGAATGAGGACAATGCCAACAGGTAAGGTTGCCATCCTGCGCTGTAAACTGGTCAGGCCTGTCAGCTCTGTTGGTCAGAACCTGGGGTACCAATAACAGCGAGTCTTCATGATTGGTGGAACTGGTTCATAATGCCCATTACCCGTTTGTAAGAACTCAGTGTTGCAGTGTGGCCTCACCCACACTTGGGAACTCCCTGCCTATTGACATCAGGCAAGCTCTTTCCCTGTACTCTCTTTTGCACCGGCTAAAAGCCAAGCATACCAAGTGGTTTAGAAAGATGATGTGAGTTTTAATCTGCTTTTTAGTCTATTTTAACTTTTCAAAAGTATTTAAACTATTGTTAATTTTTCCTATTGATAATTTTGTTGTTTTATCTTTTTGGTAAACTGCTCTGAAGGGTTTTTTTTAAAAAAAAAAAAAACAGTGGATAAATTATATGAAATAACTAAAATATACAATGACCTACACGACCATGCAGGGAGAGGAAAGGCCAGAGCATATGCTTTATACGCATCGTTCAGTCCCTGATTTCTCCTGTTAAAAGATTATCTTGAACAGTTCATGTTGAGAAAGATTTCCTGCCTGAGACTCTGGATTCTTGCTGAAGCCAGTTCTGTAAAATCTTGCCACAAACTGAGTCAAGCCATACAAATCCCGGTATAGTCTTGTCCTTTTCAGTGTCTTTAGCAGAGAAGAGTCTTTTTCCGAGCTTCGCTACCTGGAGTTGTGTAGGGTTGAACCTGCACCCTGCTACATAAAACTTTTTGTACTCTGCTGGATGGGCTGGTCATCTGACAACACAGGGTGGGCCACTGAGAACACTCCTTAACGGATTTGGTGCTCTTGCTGAGAGCTTCTTCCCTTAAGGCTCCTGCTTCCTTCTCTCTTTCCCCAGCTGGAGGTGTCGCAGCTGGAAGGGAGCCTCCAGCAGCCCAAAGCACAGTGTGTGATGTCCCCCTACCTGGTCCCTGACACGCAGGCTCTCTGCCAGCACCTCTGCACCATCAGGCAGCTGGCTGCCAGTGGAAGGTTTATTGTGATCATCCCACGGACAGGTAAGTGGCCCCTCCCACCACAGGGCTGGTATCCTGAGCAGGACAATTGCTGTTGCCAGGTAGTGAAAGGGTTGATTGCCCTGGGGGTGTGTGAGCAAGCTGTGAGATTACCTGGGGGGGTGTGCTAAGAGGCAGGTGGGCAGCTGTATCACCAGTGCGGGTTCATCTACTTTGTTGACAGTTAAACTACGGTGGTGCCTCGCAAGACGAAATTAATTCGTTCCGCCAGTTTTGTCGTCTTGCGATTTTTTTCGTCTTGCGAAGCACGGTGTCGGGAAAGTTTTGGAAAAGCTTCAAAAATCACCAAAGTCTTTAAAAACCTCAAAAAAGGCTACCACATGAGTTGTTCTATGAGTTGCTCCTCGAAGTCAAGTCGCAACTGTATTAACGGTGTTAAGAAAAAGGAAACAAACTTGCAAGACGTTTCCGTCTTGCGAAGCAAGCCCATAGGGAAAATCGTCTTGCGAAGCAGCTCAAAAAACAAAAAACCCTTTCGTCTAGCGAGTTTTTTGTCTTGCAAGGCATTCGTCTTGCGAGGTACCACTGTAACCAGTTTTAATTGGAGCTTTAATAAATGTGTGGTCGTTAACTATTTACTGTGTGTTCTGAACAATGCTTTTTATAGGGTAGTGGGCACTGGGGATGAGCTTGTGGAACCAAGAAGGCAGTGACCAGAAAAGTTGGGAACCGCTGCCTTAAGGGCAGCAGAAGATGTAACCACCTTGTTTTTTTCTTCGATCCTTAGTAATTGATGGCCTAGACTTCCTGAAGAAAGAGAATGCGGGAGCTCGTGACAGCATCCGATATCTAGAGGCAGAATTTAAAAAGGGAAACAGGTAGGTTGAGCCCCCTGGTCAACAGTATTCATTTCCATTGTACATTGGAACAGGTAATAAAGAACCGTGTTTAAGAAGCAGCCTCTCTTGGGATGGCTCATTAGGTTGTATTTTACAGATACACCCTGATCAGGCTGCAGTTCTCATACGTAAAACAGCTGTTTGGGTCCTGCCCTTGAATGTTTGCAATAAAAAATTGAACATTGCAGCTCCATCCCTTTCCCAGTCTAGGTGTACAGGCATTTGATGTTTTTAATAATAATAAATATTTACAGTAGTACCTTGGTTTGCAAACAGTCTGGTTTGCATATGTTTTGGATTACAAACATGTCAAACCTGGAAGTGTGTGTCCTGGTTTGCAAATTTTTTTGGGAGGCCCCATTGACGAAAGTGTGGCTTGCGTTACAACCTTTTTTGGTTTACAAACAGGCCTCCAGAACAGATTATGGTTGTAAACCAAGGTACCACTGTATTTTGTTTCTTTTGATTTCTGCTCCACCTTTTAGGTCAAGTCTTTATAAGTCAGCTTACCATCAAACTTAAATGCAGTACAACAGTGGAAAAAACACCATGCAGTAAAAAGCAGCTTCTGATAAAATTGCAGTAGAGGGACCTGCAGGAGAACCAGCACAGTATATTGTAGGGTCTCAAGCAAGGGGTTTGAGCAGAGTTCTCCAAGGAGGGATCCCACAACTGCCAGGTGGAGCCTTTTAACTTTGATGAAGCTTTTGGGAAGAGCTGGGTTCAGATTCTCTCTCGGCTTGATCTTGGTCACTGAGCAAATCTTCCTTTAACAACTGGCATCCCTCACCTGCCAACCATGGACACTGCTTAGCAGGGTTATTGGGATAAATATGCATAAATGTACTGCAAATTACTTTGCAATTTCAGCTGTGCTGCAGAAGTAGCCTGATCAGCATTGCACTCATGCACACATCCGCCCAATGTGTGATCTTCTGTCTCTAGGTACATCCGCTGCCAGAAAGAAGTTGGGAAAAGCTTTGAGAGGCATAAACTGAAGAGGCAAGATCTAGATGCTTGGTAAGCATTTGCTTCAACCTGCATCAAATTTTAAGCAAAGCTGCATTCACAAGCAGAGAGCTGTTTTTACTAAGCCAAATGGTGGCACTGTTTTCTCTCTTTTGCCTCAATACTAATATAACAGGAACCTCTATAAGATACTGGATAGCTGCAAACAGCTGACAACCTCTCAAGGGGGCAGCGAAGATGACTCCAGTGGGATGGTGACCATCCTCACAGGCTTCCAGCTGGATGACCCAAGCAAGCTTTCTGCGCCCATGAAGGTGAGTGTGGTCTGAAACCAAACTGTTCCGGCTTCGTGATGATATTTTGACTTGGGGTATGGAATACTTTTTTAAAAAGCAGTGTTGTCTATTGAAATAGAGAGAGAGTACCACTCACAAAAACAAAATTTATACCTGCAGAACCCATTGCCACACGATGAGTGCAAGATAGTGGTTGAAAGTAAGTGGGGACATGGTGGGATAGGCAAAAATAGTAATGCAAGTGAGCAATTTCACCACCATGCTCTGCCTGTGATTTTCCCAGGATTCAGCTGCCCAGATACTGTTGGAAGACAGAATTCAGGGCTAGAAAGGCCTGAGATTCAGGGTGGTGAGAATGGTTACATCCACGGGTAGCTAAGAGTTACTGGGCAAGATGCAAAGAGCATTACCTCCCCTCCAGGGCCTTGCTGCATTTGGATCCCAACTCCCTTGTTCTTTCCCCAGTCTGCGATCCAGGCGGCAGCCAACGCCAGCGTCGAGATAAAGAACGTTCTGGAATTCTACAAGCAGTGGAAGGAAATGGGTTGAGGGGAGAGAAGCCGCTGGGTTGGTTGAAGCTCTGTCTCCCCGTCTTTGGACGCGCAGCGTTGGAACGAAAGAAGTCAAAACCTCAGGCGATATTTGGACACGAAGCAGCTGCCGCCGCGGCAATCCATGAAAAACAAGCAGCTGGGCGTGTGCACGAAACACCACCCCACATCCACCCCCCCGCCATCCCCTCCCCATCTCACCCAACGGGCGGCGTCTGTGGCAGACCACGCAGCCGCTTGGGGAAGAGAGACGGATCTCGGCCGGACAGAGGAGAGGTGGTCTCCTTTTCTCCCAGCTGATGGGGACGGGTGGGAGCGGTGGGAGGGAGGGCCTCCATTCATCTCCAAAAAGCTTGCTTGGTTTCTCGTCTCCAGGATCCTGCAGGCAGCTTGCCGCCTACGCTTGAAACAAAAACACGACGTTTGTGACTTTTTGCCACCGGATCCATGCTGCGAAAGAGCCGGTGATCCTGAGAGAGGGGATCAGGATTTGCAGGAGGCTCTTTCAGAATCTGGTGATGGGGAGGAGGACATTTTCTCTCCCATTTTTATTTCATTTCCACCCCTTCCCCTTATTGTGTTTTTCTTTTTTTTATGCTTAGTGAACACCCCTCTTGGTTTTTTCTTTTTCTTTCCCCTCCCTTGTCTCCCCCTTCTCCCCAAAACCGGGGAGGGTTCTTCACCTTTGAGTGTTTGAAAGATGTCAAGGTGGCAGGGGAAGAGTGATCCTGTCTCAGCAAAGCAAAACAGCTCTCTCTAAGAAGCTTCCGAATGAAAACATTATTTATTTCCTTGTGGGTGGGGGTGGGATGAGTTAGCTGTGAAAAGAAAACAGTGGGCCTCATTCCCCTCCCTTCCTGCACCCTCCACTCTGCCTCTCCAAAAACCGCACCATCTTCCCACGCCTTGCTTTTCTCATAAAGTGTTGCGTTTCGTGAGTGGTGTCATAGACCATCTTGGGCTGCTTGAGCCAGGGAGGAAACAAACCCCACATTACAGCTCTCCTTTCATTCCCTGGGGTTAAGCGACTGTCTGCATGGTGCTGTTCCACTCACTTCCCCTTCCCATTCCCCTGTTCACCAGACAACAGGTAACTAGAAAATGGTGGCCCTTCTACAAACCCTATTTTCTGTGGCTCCTTGTGGCTTTTATAGGAAGGATGAAGCTCTTGTGCAGAGCTTTTGGAGAGGAGTGAAGGGGGGGGGGGGCTTTGCAGGCTAAGCAGGAGAAGGAGGAAACCTGACGGTATCCCTTTGCCCCAGAGAAAGCCATGGGGCCTCCCTTCCCCCAGTATTCTCTGCCTCCTCTGAAATACCATAAACCAGAAAGGATTAATTAAGGTCTGAATGTTGAGGTTCCTGAATGGGTTCTCTACACCTGACTCCCTTCCGCATTTGCCAGTGTTTTATGTTGAGCCTGCCAAAGGGTCACTGTTGGAAAGATACAGGTAGTGGCAAACCATTTCTTCTTGAAGCTAGCTTTTTCTTATGGGGGCCAGGGGAAGCCACCTCAGGGCCTAATAAGCTTTTGCCCTATACACCTCTCAAGTCTTCCTTCCCCACCCCCCAGGCCTGGTTTTGACACCCTCTGGGAAGGGAAGATACTGGAAGGGTTTGGAAGCAGTTTCCTGCAAGGACTTCCTTCTGCATTCCACTTCCCTTCCGCCAGGAAAATAGGAAATGGGGGAGTTGCCAGCCAGGCCTCCCCCTTTCCCCACTCTTGTTTTCTCGGAGAGCCAGGTGTGGTTTCCTCTGAGGCAGCAATGCCTCTGGTGGCTTTGTGGGCCATCCAGTGCCGCCATCTTGGATGGTTTTCTGCAGGCTCTGTATTTGGACCTCGCTGCCTGCTTCTCTCGATCTCTTCTTAATCAGGTTGTGTTTCTTAAGCTTTTGAGTTTTCCATTAAGGTTGGGGTTTGGCCCCAAACATTCAAACATTTTATGCTGTTCCCAGGCATCCTTCTCCCCACCCCTAACAAGACACCCAGGATGAAATTCTTCGCTGCTTCCGTTACGCCCCTACCTTTGGCAGGAAGGCAACAGCACAGCCACCACCCTTTGGGAACCATAGATTAGATTTCTCTGGCTTAGCACATGCTTGATTATTTTTTAAGCCATCCTAGCGCTCTCAAAATAGCAGCTGAACACGAGTCCCATCATCTGCCTCCAAGAGGATACACTGAAAACAAAGGTTTTTGTTTTGTTGCTCACCTGCTCCTTCCTGGTTTTGCTTTGGGGTTTTGTTTTGGGTTTTTAAAGGGATTCTGGGCTGTTCTGCTCAAAATGGTGAAGCAGAGGGCAGGGGAAGAGAGAGAAAAGCCACTTGGTTTTCTGTTTGAGCTTCCATGCTGCAAACTGGGCCAAGGAGAGGAAGGTACACAAGAGCATGTGCAGACTTCAGAAATGCCAGCAAACTAGACCACTTTGTAGTTGTAAGGGGCAAGTTTTAGCCTTGGTGGAAGAGGCAGTGGAATCAAGAAATGGAGTTGTTACCTGAGTGATATATTTTAAAACCGGGGGCAGGGCAAAATGACTCGACATAAAATGGGCATTTTTAAAAAGAAGGGTGTATGTAGTTCTGCAAGCTGAGTGCAGCCCACCAGCTGTGTAAGGTACTTTTGCAGCATTGAAGTCCTCTTTGTACTTTGAGAAACAAGTAAATAAGGATTCTCTGAGGGTTTGACTGTGGGAAGAATCCTGCCCTTCTGAAGTGCAGGCAGTTGAATGCTCCTATCCTGCAGGGTAAGGTTTGCCAGAACCTCTCTTCCCTCCCTTGCTCCTCCTGCAGCTGGGGAAGGCGCAGGAGGACCCTTTGTGAATTGAGCAGGGATTTTACAGAAATGGTGAGCTGGACTGCCAGAGCAAATAGGTATTAGAGGATTTGAAGGAGTATCAAAAGAGGTCTGAATGGCCCACCAGAACTCTTGAAAGAGCTTCCAACAAAAAGTACTTCTGTACATTTTCTGCATTGCATGTGTGTGTGTGTGTGCGCGCTGTTTGTTGGGCCACTGTTTTGGAGAAGTTAAAATTAGATTACAAATTATAAATGAACCCCCCCAAAAAAGCACTTGGGGGGAAAATAATCGGCTCAAGCTAATTGGATGTTTTAAGTGTAAATTCTGACATTTCTGCCTCCATTTGGAGATTACTACTTCACCCAAAAGTAACTCTTGCCAAGGAGGTCCAGGCTGATCTAAAGAAAAAGAAAAGGTGAGGCTTTCAAGCCTGGAGCCTTGTTTCTTTTGGAAGCAGGGTTTAGTGTGGAAATTTATCATCACCATTATTACTATAGAGGAAACAGATCCTGCCAAATTTGCAACCAGCTCCGTCGGCACCCTACTTGGCTTCCAACAGCAGCCCCTGTGGCCTTCAGCTTTGAAATCCAACCTGTTTACCCATCAAACATTCAGCAGCAGATGCTGATGGGAGCAGGCCCTTTGTTTTCCTCTAAGTGGATGGAGGAGTAAAGGGATTTTGAAACATCTTGTTTGGGCTACACTGTCAGTATCACACCCACCTTTAGACCATCTCTGCAGTGTAGCCTAACTCCTAGTAAGCAGTAAAACATTCTGGTTGGATTTTCTCTCTTTTTAAAAAAGTTCCCTTTTTCCGTCCTCACTTGTTGGGAGTCTGTGACTGGCTTGTCAGAAGGAAGAAGAGATGGTAAATGTGTAAGGTCTCCTTTGTATGAGCTGCTTCTACCTAATGCTTAGCACATGGCAAAGGTCAAAGGCACAGCGGGCACATTTGAGTCTACTGTTTGGGGGGGGGGAGTTCCTTTTCCTAACCCAATGATGTACAGCCAAGCTCTGGCCCTGGTGATAATGACTCTCGAGAGCCCCAACAACTCTGGCTAAGCAGGAAGAGAGAAACCATGTGGGAAATCCATCTTAATATTTTATGTTCCCGGAAATTGGGGTTTCTGCTGCTCATCCACCCAAGTAAACCTGATCTTTTGGGCTGTCATCAGAAGTGTGTGTGTGTGTGTGTGTGTGTGTGTGTGTGTTTCACATGGGACATTAGCCATGGGTGGAAACATGGGTTTGAATTCTGTAGATACCCTTGTAGGCTGTGCCAAATAGCCCTCCAGTTCTTTTCTTCCTGCTTCCATCGCTTAACTCTGTTCCTTAAATGTTGTGTGCGTGTTCTCTGCATCTAGAAAGGGAGAAAAAATCCAGCCGAGATTCTCTGGCTGGGAAAACGTGGCAGGAGAGAAATTGGGGGGGGGGGGGAGCTGCCGCTGATGCCAGTTTGCGCACCAGAGCTGGCTGCTTCCAAAGACTTGGACTACAGCAGAAATGGTGTGGGGTATGGCCCAAACTGCAGCTTCTCTGAAAAGCGTGGGGAGTTCAAAAGTCGGTGGGAAGGGGGGCGTGTTACGAGATCTGCAGTCCTTAAGGTGGCTAGGAGCCATATCTGAGCATCCATATAAAGCTCTTCTCAGTATGAGTTGGGCGGGAGGAGGAAGAGATGTGAACTGGCCCCTGACTTCCTGGTATACGGCCCTCCACTATGTAAGATTGGAACACATCGACTGGCTTAATAAAAATGCAAGATGTTTGTAAATCTTTATCCGTGGTCACTTGTATTTTATTGGAGAGGAGGGATGTGGTCTATACTTCTTTTCCTGCGATGGTGTGTTCCATTGAGGTGGGGAAAGCCGCACAACCTGCGCCCTAACTTGGGTCAACTGAGCAAAGATGCCAAGCCAGGGGCCTTGGATGTTGAACTATGGAACTCCTTCCCACAGGAGGTGGAGATGGCCACCAACTTGCATGGCTTTAAAAGAGGATTATATTATTATATTATATTATTATATTATATTATATTATATTATATTATATTATATTATATTATATTATATTATATTATATTATATTATATTATTGTTGTAGGGGTGGTCAGGACTTTAAATCCCTGAAAATGTGGATGTGCAACATAATTAAGTTTCCACCAAAGTGGAACTCCCATGGGGCTTAAAAACAAACCACTACTCTAAGGCATGCTGTGTCCCTTTGCAAGATGCAACTTCCTCTTTAAGGCATGGGGGTGTGCCAAGTTTCTGTGGCGTCCAGATGGCCTTCTGCACTCTTGAGCATGTGCAGCCTGTGTTGCTTTTGAGGGGCAGATCATCCTTACTCGAAACATGTTTGAGTGCAACTGAATTGGACCTGCAACTTTAATTTGGGAAGTTTTAGCAGAGATTTGAGAAAACAGCTCTAGCACTTAGGTTTGCTGAGCTCAACCAAGACCAGGTCTGGAGCCCGGTGGTGCTTCTAAGTTAGGCATGACTTGAACACTATTTCAGTGGGACTTGGCCCTAGCCAACACCTGCTAGATCATAGGGTTTTTTTGTGCCGTTGTGCTAATTCTTGCTGTGTACGTTACTCTGGCTTTGCGACCTCTTCAGTTGGCCCAACCTTGGCCAGTTTAATTCTCTCCAGATGTTTTGGGCTACAACTCACATCAGTCTCAGCCAGCACTATGCCTGTCACTTGGAAAAAGGGGAATATGTTGGGTGGCTTCTCTCCCATAAGTTCTGCTGGTTGCACTTCAAGAACATAGGAGGAGCCTAGCTGCTGGGTCAACCCAATGGGATCTCATCTAGTCCAGGATCCTGTTCTCACAGTGGCCAACCAGGTGCCCCTTCTGGGAACCCCACAAGCAGGACCTGAGCTCCAGAGCCCTCCCTCCCTCATGTATTCAGAAGCATTTCCTGCCTTCAGCTGTGGAGGCAGAACAGAGCCGCTGCTAGTAGCCATCCTTAGCCTTCTCCCTGAACTTGCCTGATCCTCATTTAAAGCCTTCTAGGTTGCTGACCATTACTGTGGCAGAGAGTTCCACAGGTTACGTGCTGTGTGAAGAATTCCTTTTATCCATCCTGAATTTTCCAACATTCTACTTCATTGGATGTCCACGAGCTGTGGTCATAAGAGGGGCAAAAATAATAATAATCCTCTATCCACCTTCTCCATGACATCCATTATTTTATAAACTTCTATCATGTTGCCTCTTCCTTGCCTTTTCTCTAAATTTAAAAGTCCCAACACTTGGGTCGCTTTTTCCCTCTTGCAAGATTTAGCTCCGAAGCTGGTCTGAAGCCTGCCTTTTTACAATGAGCTCTCTCAGCGCTGAGCTCCACGCCTTGCTGCGATGCCCTTAAATCACTTACTTAGCCTCTGTGCCCACTGCAGAACGCCACAGCCGTCTCCCCAGTCAACTGACCCAGATCACACAACAATAGCAGAAAGAGGCTTTTGTGTTACCTTTTTTGTCAAAAACATCTTCCAACCTCCTTCGAAGGGAGCTGGTTGTGAATTCTGGGTCAGGGCTGCGTTCCACAGACATTTTGTTCAGTGCACAGTTTTTTTAAAAGGGATTTCTTCTCCCACCCCTTTAAAAATCTTTAATTGCCCCTACGGCAGAAATGCGAAGCCAGTCTCACCCTTCACCCTAAGTCCCTGAGATGGGTTGCAATATTAGAACACACATTAAAAACAGTTCAAAACAACTTGTTGGCATCCATGTGCCTCCAGGGGTGAAGTCAAACTGCTCCATTAGCAGCACCAAAATGAGGGTGCAAGTCTGGGCAGTGTGCGTGGTGGTCCAGGACTGCCTAGATGACAAGACCCCCCCCCCCAGTCTTGCCTATGTGGTCCAAAGGAAAGCAGAGCGGTACTCCCACTCCCAGTACTCCCACTGCACTGGCTAGGAGTAACAATAATAGTTACTAATTTTAATTACAATTTCAGTTATATAATATGAGACATTTTGGATTGGAGAGTTCCAGTCCTCAGTTACGCCCGCCTTATTTCAGTGGAAACTGTCTCTCAAAATTCAAAAATCTGGAAGCAGAAATTTTGGGTCACTTCAGAAAGTGCAAAAGGCTCTCAGCTTGACACCTCCTGGCTTTGCTCCGGCTGTGTGACTCTGGGACCTCCTGAAATGCGCTCCCCCCACCCAACCTAACCCCAAAAACGAATGTCCTCAAGGAACCTGCTGTGGCTCGCATCTCCCCCCCGCCCCCTCCACACTCCAGCTGCAGATCCCCTGTTTAAAAAGACACGTTAGGTTTCTGCCTTGAAGGAGGGAGGAATAATGAGGGCTCTTTTATTGCATTTCTGGCTCCTGATGGTGGTGGCTTCTGCGAAGAGAGAGAGGCCCATTTCTTCCCCTTCCGCCCATAAACTCCAGCCAACGGGGAGGGCGGCCTGGCACTCCGCCACCAGAACTGGCAAGGAATGTAGCTTAGGGAAGAAGACGGCGGGGGGAGTAAAAACTAAGGGGGGAAAAACAGAAACACACTGAGCTCGCTTGGAGCCCGGGCTGCAGGCCCCGCAACTCGGACAAGATGGAGTGCTGGTAGCGGTTCATTGGGGGGTCTGCCCCGCAGGGTCCGTCCTCTCTGGAGCAGGTAACTGCTTGCAAGCTGGCAGCCTCCTCGGCCTCTTTGCCTGCCTTTCATTCTTCTCGCCTGGGCGGTGGTTTCCTTCCTTCCTTCCTGCTGTGCCAGCTGTTGAGTTATTTTAAAAACAACAACTAACTTTTGAGCTTGCCTTGGTCAAAAGTTTTTCAGGATGCAGCTGAAAATCTTTCCGGGCGCATCGATGTGCCTGGTCCTCACAGCCTTGGCACTCTGGACCCAGTGGATCTCAGCCTGAGGTTGGATGGCTGTCTATCAGGGATTTATTAGCTGTGATTGCAGGGGGTTGGGCTAGATGACCCCTGGGGTCCTTTTCTTCTCTACAGTTCTATGATTCTGGCCTTAAGGTCCTGGCGTAGCCAGCCATTATCTCAGGAAGCAGGACTTTAGCAGGCAGAGTTGAGAAAAAGGAGGAGGAGGATCAAGCCACCTGCTCTGCACCAGCCTGGTCCTGCGTCCATTCCTTAGCAGAGAGCCTCAGTTTACCCAGCTCTAAAATGGGCTTAAATTTGAAGACAGTGCAACTTTTGGGGAGGAGAGGGAGATTGGGATTTTTTCTCTACAAATCAGTGCAGCTGTGCCCAGCTCAGGAGAGAGGGAACCTACATCCCCATAATGTCTTGCCCACAGCTGCTAAGCTTTCAGTATCCCTTTTAGGTGGACCAATGGAATTAGATATAGGACTTAACTGTGCCCCTTTTGACTGCTGGTACCGAATTTGGATTTCTCTGAGCTTTTTTGGTGCATTAGCTGTGAGTCCCTGATGTGATTCCTCTAGCATTAAAATTTCAAAACTAGTGTGTGTTGTTCTGGTCATCCCATCAGACGGGATGGGGTTGGAGCAGTTCCCCTGTGTGGAGAGTCTAAGACTATTGGGGGCTTTTTAGATTGGGGGGGAGAAAGATAACTGGGGGTGGAGGAGTGGACAGCATGAAAGAAATTTATAAATCAATGGTGTGATTGATCTATGTGACTGATCCACAATTTCAGACAACTGCATAGTTAAATGTGATGTTAGCAGTGGGGTTTTTTTAAGTGGGGGGTTGGACAACTCACGGGGGAGCAGATAACTGTTCATAGTTATCACCCACGAGAGCCAGGGGTGGAGAAGTGACTAGGACTTGGAAGACCTGGGTTCAAATCCCCACTCAGCCACAAAGCTCAATGGGCGACCATGGACCAGCCACTATTCCTCTCAGCCTCACCTCGCAGGGTTGTTGTGGGGATTAAATTGAGAAAGGGGAGAAAAATACGGGCTACAAAGGCAATAAAAATGAATGATAGGGAAATGGAATCTCCATGTTCAGCCCTGAAGGCCAGATGCTGAGGACAAATGATAAGGGGTGGTACGTCATCCCTATGCCCTGCTTGGGAACTGCCAGAACCAGCCTTCACTCCTTATCTCATAAAGAAGAGGAAAGTGAGGGTTGGAGTCAAAAATCAGATTTTCTAGGCATGAGAAGCCAGTGTGTATGGAGAATGCCAGTGCCATCATTCAGGAGGGACTTGGGGTCAACTCAGGGTAAGCATTTGAGGGAAATATCCACATTGGATGTTTGTGGGTTTGTGTTCTGCTCTGCGCAGCCATTAGGCTTTCTTTGTCTTTCCTCAACATGGACTAGAAACTTGGGGTGGGAGGACGACTTGCTTCCAGCTCGGCATGGCAGGAATGAAAAGCACTGTGGTAAACAAAACTGTTGACTTGACTTTACTGTTGAAAAAGAGGTCCTTGTGTCTCCCACCCAAATGCCTGCTAGCAGGGTCGGCAATCCCTAGGAGGAGCTGGGGGACTTGGGGAGTTGGGGCTGCGGACCAGCTGTTGAGGACCGCCGGGTATTTCATATACTCGCGTGTGTTTGTATGACATGAGAACATGGAATCTGTGACAGCTATAAAAGCAGATTTGCGCAGGGGGTTGGATTTAGATGACCCTTGGATGATTGAAACCTGGGAGTGGGGGGTCCTAGGTGGCTTTAGGAGAGGATTAGACACATTTGTGGAGGAGAGGGCCAGTGCTTTTGTTCCTGGGGGTGTGCAGGGGTAAACGTTTTGTGAATCTTTGTACTTTTGTCCATTTACTGTACAGTGGTACCTCGGGTTGCAAACACTTCGGGTTACAGACTCCGCTAACCCGGAAATAGTACCTCAGGTTAAGAACTTTACCTCAGGATGAGAACAGAAATCGCGCAGCGGCATCAGCGGGAGGCCCAATTAGCTAAAGTGGTACCTCAGGTTAAGAACGGTTTCAGGTTAAGAACGGACAGGTTATGAATTAAGTTCGTAACCAGAGGTACCACTGTATTGTCTACTGTGACACTGGCTGACCAGAGTTTCAGGAAGAGGTTTTTTTCATCAATGGCTATCTGACCTCTTTACCTAGGCATGGCAAGAACTGAACTTGGGATGTCTATGTGCAGGTATGGCCCTCCACATCTCATTCCATGTTGTACATTTCAAAAGCAGTCTACTATTTAGACTGCAATCCGATGTATTATTATCTTAATACAAGTCTAACTGAAGTCAGTGGGGCTTACTTCCAAGCAGAGATACCCAGGTTTGCACTATGAGTTATAAATTATAAGGTATCAAACAAAAAATAGCCACTGAGACATCTGAAACCTGAATACAGTGGTACCTCGGGTTACAGACGCTTCAGGTTACAGACGCCACTAACCCAGAAATAGTACCTCGGGTTAAGAACTTTGCTGCAGGATGAGAAGAGAAATTGCATGGCGGCAGTGGGAGGCCCCATTAGCTAAAGTGGTACCTCAGGCTAAGAACAGTTTCAGGTTAAGAACGGACCTCCGGAATAAATTAAGTTCGTAATCAGAGGTGCCACTGTATTTATTTCCCCCGATTTGAACTATAAAATGGTGATTTTCTTGAGTCAAAATGAGAGTATCCCTAAACATTTTTTAAGGGGGGGGAGCACTGGAGAGGGCTATCAACAGCTGCTCCTGAAGCCTGGAAGCTGCAGGAAGGGAGAGGACTCTTCTGCCTGGGTCCTGCTTGCAAGTTTCTTAAATCTTGTTAGCCGCTGTGAGAAAAGGATACTGCATTAGCTGGGCCATTGGTCTAATCCAGCGGGCTCTTCTTATGAATGCAGAATTTGGAGCCCGCAGCATCATTTGCAATGATTACCTTGGAGGAAGGGGATTTGTTTTGTTCTTCAAAGGAAGGCGGGTGGCTTCAATTAGCTAATGTCTGCTAAGTGCTTTTGAATATGGAAAATCTCTTAAGCGCTAAAAAAGCTTTTGCTGCCTGAGAAAGCCGGCTTTATTATATTTTTCAAGGTTTGTTTTTTTCCAATTGCCAAATACCTCCTTAAAACCTTGCCTGTGGCAGATGTGTGTGTTGGGTAAATCCAGGAGAAAAATGAAGCTCATTGTTGGGTTTCAAAGCAACTGATGTTTTCCACAGGGGTGTTAGGGCTTGGGGATAATTTTGTTGGGGTTCTTTAAGTGCATGGCTCCATTGGATGTGATGTGTGGGGAGGGGAGGGGTCTTAGGCCTTGAGCAGTACTAGTGGGGACTATTTATTTTACAAAATTTATATACTTCTGGTTTGTAAAGTGGGGGGAATCAACAGTAGGTAAACAGAAATAAAGCGCATGCCACTTCTACGTTTCTGGGTGGGCTTTGCCTAAACCAGTGTTTCCCAAACTTGGGTCTCCAGCTGCTTTTGGACTATTTAGTAAGTTTAAATGCTTTACTTACAAACTCCAAAGGTCACATTCATACGCTATTCCATGCAGCAACAATAAGAACACAGGTAGAAAATTATTGGGTTGCAAAATACCAATAAATACTTCTGAGCATGCGGCCTGGGCTTGAAGTTGTCAAGCTCATATTTGTTGCCTGGTGAGCTTCACATAGTACAAGAGAGTAAACAAAGGAAGCTTCACTTCCTTCTTCAATGGAGGTGAAGCAGTATGACCTGAGTCTAGGAATACAGTTCCATGGTCTTAACCCCTTCATGCGTTAACTAGCCCTAAGCTTTCTAGTTATATTTGACTGCAATATCCCACAGCGAAGAGCTCCAAAAGGACCTCCCCAAAGTGGGTGAATGGTAAATGCTGTTCACTGTGAAGTGATGCATGTTGTGGCAAAAATAATAATCTTAATTTCACATATGCGCTCATGGGGTCTGAACTGGTGGGGTCTGACCAGGAACGAGACCTTGGGGTCATAGTGGACAGCTCAGTGAAGATGCTGACCCAATGTGCCGCTACTGTAGAAAAGGCAGATTCCATGCTAAGGATCATTAGAAAAGGAACTGAAAGCAAAACTTGCCAGTATCATTATGCCGTTATAGAAATCTATGGTGTGACCGCATTTGGAATATTGTGTGCAATATTCTGGCCTCCTCACCTCAAAAAGGATCTTGTAGAGTTGGAAGAAGGTTCAGAAATGGCCAAGCAAAATGATTGAGGGGATGAAGCCACTCCTTTATTGTGAGGAATGGTTGCAGCCTTTGGGACTTTGTAGTATAGAGAAAAGGCAAGCAGGAGGTGACATGGTAGAAGTTTACAGAATTATGCTTGGCAGGGAGAAAGAGGATAGAAAAAAAGGTTTTCTCCCTCTCTCATAACAATAGAACTTGTGGAAATCCAATGAACTGGAACATTGGAAGATTCAGGACAGAGAAGATAGTTAAACTATGGAACTCCCTGCCACAGGAGGCAGTGACAGCTACCAGCTTGGATAGCTTTAAGAGAGAACTGGACAAATTCATGGCTGTCAATGTCTGCTAGCCACAATGGCTTTGCCCTGCCTCCACAGTCAGAGGCAGGAGTGCTTCTGAATCCCAGTTGCTGGAAACCACAGGAAAAGAAAGTGCTCTTGTACCTGAATCCTGCTAGACAGGCATCTAGATGGCCACTGTGAGAACATGATGCTGGACTAGGTGAGCCCCTGGCCTGATCCAGCAAGGATCTCCTTATGTTCATTTTCCTTGCTGCTCCCAGCTCCCAAACCCATCACGCCTTCGAGACCGCGCTTCAAAAAAATATTGCTGGAACGATGGAAAGGGTGATTTTATCTCCCAAGAATTCAGCTTTGGCTTGGGTCTTTTTCAGCAAGAAGGGAGCCCAGTGCTGGTTGGCACACACTGGACAGAAAGCAGGAAGGGAGAGAGGCAGGGCCAGGGTGGAAGAAGAGGAGGAGTGTTTGGGATGATGGGGTGACGAGGAAGCACAACTGGTGATTTTTATTGGATGCAACATTTTGCCAAATTGGAAAAATGGATAATGAGATGGTGGGGGAGGGAACCCCTTCTGACCTTTGAGCTTTGGGTGCCCTCCCATCTTTCCGGCGGGTTTTTCCTCAGAATCTTTTTTGTCTGGGTTGGTTACAAAGAAGTAATTAATCTTTTATTTCCATCCCTGCCGAAAGCCTTCATCGTTTTGCCTTGACTCCTCTGTGGTCAACCATGTGACTCAGAAGGCCTTCAGCTGTCAATGGTGGCCTTGTGCGAAGGAACAAAAGAGAACTTGATTTCTAGTTTGGGGGAAAACGGGGGGGGGGGAGATTTCTTCCCCCACCCCTGTGAATGAAAGGTCTCCTTGGTTGAAAGGAAAAAGATTCTGGAGGGAGAACTGGGGGACAACTCCGTGTCCCACTCCTCTCCCCCCCCCATTGTCAAAATAGAGATGGTCAGCGCTTTACATGGACCAGAACTGTGGAACTCCTTGCCTCATGAGGTTGGTTGTGTCCTTCTCTTGCTGTTCTTTGCTGGCTCAAGCTTTTTTTAAAAAAACAAACAAACCAGCAGGCTTTTGTTTTGGCAGATGCCTATTGTCTGATTTTTCTGTTTTATCACTGGGTCCAATTTTTGAGGGAGGCCTGGAAGGGGATGGCAAGGGAGAGGGCCTTTTCAGGGGCCCCTCCCCATCTGTGGAATGCTCTCCCATAACCCTCCAACATTTCTCCGATGAAAATAGGGACGTCCCATTCCATAATGATAATTTTACTATTTATACCCCACACATCTTATTGGGTTGCCCCAGCAATCTGGGCAGCTTCCAAAATATATAAAAACACAATAGAACATTAAACCTTTAAAAAACAACAACAAAAAAAACCCCTTCCCTATACAGGATTGCCTTCAGATGGCTCGGGGGTTGGGTAACTCCATACCCTCCAACGTTTCTCCGATGAAAATAGGGACGTCCTAAGGAAAAGCGGGACATTCTGGGATCCAGTCAGAAACTGGGACAGCTTCTCTAAATCAGGGACATCCCTGGAAAATAGGGACACTTGGAGGGTCTGCTCTCTGCTAGCAAGGTAAGCCTTGGGCCTTCACTGGCATTTTTTCAGAGCCAGATAAAAAACTTTCTCTCCCCCCTGCCAGATTTTTGGTAGACTCCAATGATGATGCTTTTAGGCAGAGCCACACATTGGAAAGTGCATGATTTCCCCCAGAGAATCCTGGGAACTGTAGTTCCCCTCACAGACCTACAATTCTTAGTACCCTCAACAAACTTCAGTTCCCATAATTATTTGGGATTTAAATGTATGCTGTGACTCTGTGTCCTATGCTGTTTGTGTGTGGCCAAAACTTCCTGCTGCTATTATGGCAGATGAAAAGAGTGATGTTTTGTATATATTTTTCTGAACTGCATGTGTGAATGTGTCAGCATTATAATGCATTTATGTTCATGTTTTTAAACACACTGTAAGTCACTAGGAGGCCTTTGTGCAACAACTCAAGTACTATGACTACATAATCATCTGATGAGCCTATCTCTGTTTTATCACATCTTGTGGTTTTATGGTGTGTTCTTGCATGATGCATCTGGCTTCAGTTATTTATTTCCAATATTTCTCCGCCTCCCCATAGCTCTGAGCTTCTCCAGGGGGGCACACACATGACAGAGTTTAAAGCACAACATGGTATAAATGCATTTCCTGTCTAAATTGCGCCGAAGCAGAGATAAAAGCAGTAAAACCAACCAATTTCATGCTGTTAGGGTGTCAAAAATTCACACACAGAACTGGGCCTGGAAATGGTCCAGAAGCTGTTTTGTAGCTGGTGTGATCAGACCAGGACATCCTGCCCCTGTCAACAACCCTGTTTTGGATGCTACCCCTTTCTGCACCCAATAGATCACTGCAGTCTGCCAAAGAGTCTCTCTTGCAAGTTCCAAACTTCTAGGGTGGCTACCCTGTCCTGTGGAACAGCACCCCACACTTTCAGGAAACAGTTGAAGATATTGCTGTTCTGGCAGGTTTTCCCAGAATCTTTACCAGAAGTGTCCACCTGTTAGAGTTTTAGTCTTGCTATTGCTGTTAGTTGGGGTGGGGAGGTAGGCTGTACGCTGAGACCCTGCTAACCCCTGGATCCAGTAAGAATCAAAATTTAAGCCAGGGTAGCTGGTCATTAAAGGGAGCAAAAGGAAAGAGCTTCTGTGTGAGATGGCAAATCCCTCCACTCGCAGGTAGTTAGAAAGGCATAGTGAGAGTTGAAAGTTGGGGTGATGTGTGCTAGGGGGAAAGCAGCAAACTGGGAGGCAAAGCAACGTTTGGTTTTTGTTTGAATCCAGGGCTGTAGCTATGGGAGAAACAAGTCCCTTTTGGTGGGTGATAATACTATGAACCCCTCCATTGTAGGCTCAGGTTGCATGTATGTGTAAATAAACTATATAGCATAAAGACACCACAGTCTCTGCTGTGCCTCATTACCAAAAGGAAACAACACGAAGCTGCTTGGAACCCCTGGAATCTCGCCCTGCTCAGAGATTGGGGTGAATTGCAACACTGCAGATGTATTTGCTGGGTTTTTTGTTTTTGTTTTGCATTAACTCTTTTAATTATTCTATGTGTAAATCATCTTGGGACAGTGGTTTAGAGAGTGTGCTGTAGTGCAGTTAAGAGTCATGAGAAATCTCCCACCCTGCCAAGCATCCCTTTCTTTGGATGGACAGAAAAATAGACGAAGGCTTTTCAGAGTGTGACCTTGGAGACCAGAGTTTGAATGCTCCGTCAACCACTGGATGACCTCTGTTTCTGCCTGTGTGTGATCTGCAGCGGTTGCACAATAAAGGAGAAACAGATCCAATGTGACTTGAAAAGTTTTATGAAGCTTAGAAAATGATGAGTTAAGGACTCTGTTGTGGGGCATTGCAACCTAACACATGAACACACACTTCAGAAGCTTCTGGCCATTGCGCTGAATAGGGGATGAAGACTGACACACCTGGCACCAAACCCTGACCAAAATATCTCTAAACTAGACAAATTGTTTGCAAGGGAGAGACATATATCAGTGTTCCTGTTCTGTGAATCAGGAAACCCTCAGAGAACCCTTCCATGACCTCGTAAACAACTATTCCCCTGGGCTCGCCTTTCTGGCATTGGCTGGCTGGGGGGTCGTGTTGCTGGCCTGCCTTACTGGGCTGTTTTAGAGCTTGCAGCAAAATAATGCCTAAGAAGTAGTTTTGAAGCTCTCTCAGGTGCTGAATTGCCAGAAAATAGGAACAGCTGGAAGGCCTCTAGGTGCTCCCCTGGCAGAGTGGGTTTGGCAGTCCCTGGAGCTGGAAGGGAAGGGGGTCCCACAGCCTTCTGGAATCACCCCCCCCCCCCATTCTGAGGTGCATCAGGCTGCTGCCGTTTTTGCATTCAGATTGACAGGTCTGGACACAATTCTCTGCCCCTTGATGGCAGCGGCACTTTATATAAGCTGTTCACCAGTGAAAGGGACTCCCTCGGAAGGCGGTGGACTCTGCTTCATTGGAGGTTTTTAAACAGAGGGTGGATGGCTACCTGTCAGGGATCCTTTAGCTGTGCAATGCAGGGGGTTGGACTGGATTACCCTTGGGGGTCCCTCCCAACCCTACAATTCTAATGATTCTATTTCTGCTTCTGCTCCCTGTTTTATTTGTGGCTGCTTATTCATTTTATGATGTCGGTTTATTTTGTTTTATTTATCGATTTATCGACAACTTCTTAATATACTTAAAAGACCACTGTAGACCGTTAAAATCATTAGCAGGGATACAATGACACTTGTACTGTGAAATGAATTTTGGTAACTCTGATTATATAATAGATGGATAATGGTAAAAGATGCAGGAGAAAAAAGAAAAAGATTTTTTTTTAATGGAACCCATGGAGGGAGGGGAGGAGGTCCGAAGGTTCAAAAGAGCCTTTTTTATTTTTATGTTGGGGAAGGTTAAAGTTGTTGTGTATAAATATATTCAGGTAGGTAGCCATGTTGGTCTGACGCAGTTGAAAATTGATTCTGTGTATCTGAAGAAGTGTGCAAGCACACTAAAGCTTATACCAAGAACAAACTTAGTTGGTCTCTAAGGTGCTACTGGACATTTTTTAATATATACAGTATTTCGATTGTATAAATATATGTTTCATTTATTTATTTATTGTTAAATTTGATTGTGAGGTTATTATTTGCCACCCAAGGCCTAGGAGGACCTCAGTTGTACAAACTCTGTAGCTCCATGTTTGGTGACAGCAACTCCTGGTTTCTGAACATTTTGCCCCTTGGGTGAATTTTCACATCTCTCTATCTCTGTCTCTCCTGTATACGTATATCCCCTGGACCCATCCTCCTTTTTCCTTTGTCATTTTAGGACACAAATGTTGACCCCCTTCCCCATCTCCAGAGCTACCTGGAGGAAGGGGGTCCTGGACTGCAGCTGCCCAGGACCACTTGGCAAAATCTCTCCCCACAAGCAGAGTTGCCTCTAAAAACACATCTCCAAGAGAATCCTGTGCGCTGTGACTGGAAATGCTTACAATAAAGCTGCCTCAGATCTTCAGGGTCCACCAAGTACCTCGTGTGAGTAAATTATCCTTCCAGTTTTTACGAAGTAGGGGCCATCTCCCCCCAACCCAATCCCACTACGCATGGTTCTGTCCAGGAGGGTCTCTTAAAATCAACACACCTTGGTGGCTAATCAGTCAAGGAAACTGCACCAGGTGAATTTCCGCCACAGGGTGGTCCTCTTTTTGAAGGCTGGCTGTTCCAAGTCACGCTTAAAAGAGCATGAACTCTCTAATCATTTTCACGTTACATGCGAATGCAGCCTAACAAGTTGAAAGCCTCCTTGTTTGGATCGTATCTCTGCTCATAGACTCTGGGAATGGGATGGAAGGTTGTTATTGGCCGGGGGTGTTTTGTTAAAATGTGAAATAGGAAAGATGTAAAATGAGAGTCTTTGGGGCCAGTGGGGCCCATTTGGAATTTGGAGAGTGTGCCGTGGGCACCAGTCACAAAATGGCTGCTCTGCGGGAGTGGCATAACACAAAATGGCTGCCGTGGGGCCGTAGCATTATGGCTGCTACATCTGAATGAGCAGAAAGAGAGGCAGGAGGACCACAACATGGCGTGGCTGTGCCCTCCTGTCAGCAGAGAGAAAGACCCCTACAGCAGTCACTGCCACCTTCACTCTTAGAGACAAGCTCTTTGTCCCTCTCCTCTGTTCAGAACAGAAAGGAGGGAGGGCATCCATTCTTGCTGCCCAAGGAAATGTGAGCATATATAAGGGGACATGTTCAATGCAGGGGAGGCTGAGCAAACAGAAGCAGTTGTGGATTTTTGAGGGGATATCTGCTGAAATCTTTTGTGGGTGCCAAAAGGGGTCCTGGTGGTCACACTGGTGCCTGGGGGTGCTGCATTGGTGACCCCTGATGGATTAACACAGGAACCTTTGACCTGCCAAATGCTGCTGAACTACAACTCCCATCACCCTCCACATTGACCATGCTTGCTAGGGCTGATGGGAGTTGTAGTTCAGCAACATCTGGAGGGCCAAAGGTTCCCTACCTCTGAACTAACAGAACTGAAGTTAAGGAGAGCCTGTTGCCACAGGTGGAGTTGTAGTGATGGGACACTTCAACAAAGCTTTTGATGCAGGCCTCACTTCTGCTAAATTTCTGTCTTGGCAACTCAAAAGTGTCTCATTGGGCAAATCCTGTCCTGTAGATCTTCTGGGAAGATGGGATCATCTCTGGCTACCGTCACCCCAAAAGCTCTGCCTTGGATTGCGTCCTCAGCTCTTTTCAGCTGAACAACGAAACCATCAACATTTGGACACATTTTTTGCCAACGTGGTAAGTCTGCAGCGTCTTTCAGCTGCGTTCTGTGTAGCGTTACTTATCTCCTTGGCTTCGGGGGATCACATAACTCCATACCTTCCAACATTTCTCCGATGAAAATAGGGACATCCTAAGGAAAAGCAGGACATTCTGGGATTGAATCAGAAACCAGGACAGCTTTTGTAAATCCAGGACTGTCCCTGGAAAACAGGGAAGCTTGGAGGGTCTGTAAATGACTTTGAAAAGCTGGTACCACAGGATCAACTTCATCAATTTTGTTGAACCGATTAAATAGTTTCACTTGGATTTTGAATAAAGCATGCAGTTTAATTGTTCCCGTTTCAGATTTCATTGTGTTATTACCTTCCTTACTGGGTTGTGCAAACTGCTATTCTGAATAATGCTTTTTAGATGAGGTCACTGGGAATGTGTTTATGGAACCAAGGAGACTGGGGGCTGAAAAAGTTTGGGAACCTCTGTCCCGTTGTCCTTCTCCTGGATGCCTTTTGCCCCTTGCAGGTATTTTCTGTGGCGCTTCCTGATGCTCTCCTACAGCCTGGACTTCTGGCGCGACACATACAGCTGGCCTTTCCTGGCCTACATGGTGCTGGTGTGCCTCTACCCCTTCACCTCCAGCTGTGCCCACACGTTCAGCACCATGTCCACCCATGCCAGGCACATCTGCTACTTCTTGGACTACGGAGCGCTCAGCCTCTACAGTTTGGGTGAGGCAGCCTTCAAGTCGCTGGTGGGAGGGAGTTCCATAGGTTAACTGTGTGCTGCATTTAGAAGGACTCCCTTTAATCTGTCTTGAATTTTCCAACAGAGGTTGCGCAAGTTTCTTCTCTGTTTATTATAGGCTGCGCTATCACATACGGAGCCTACGCAATGCCTGACGTCTGGGTAGACGGCCCTTTGCACCACTGCTTTGTCCCCCTGGCGGCCCTGAATTCCTTTATCTGCACCAGCCTGTCTTGTTACTCCCGGTAAGTAAGGCCAGTGCTTTTATTTTATTTTTTTAAGGAAAAAGAAGGAGCCGTTCCTCACCATGAAGTTTGTACTGTTATTGCCACACTTTTAACATTTGTGGGGGTGGGGGTGGGGAGAAGGTGCTGTTATTGCATAGCTTTGGGTGCCCCCAAAGAAAAAAAAGCACTGGGTAAGGCTTTTGTGCCGTGCCAATGTCAGAGCTGAAATGAAAACAGTGTATCTTGCACAGATGTGAAGTTGTGGCATATCAGATTTCAAAAAAGGCTGCATTTTGGAGCTCAGTTTATTTTAAAGATCTGGACATTGCCAGCAAGGCAACCATGGGCCAACTATGGCTTCAGATCCAGCGCTTTCTATAATTCGGAACCTTGTCAAAAATCAAACAGGGAGTGAGACTATGCAGTTGATGTTTGCTAGCAAATATGAGTTAAAAAGCGGCACTCTTTCCCCAAAACCACTTCAGCTCAAACCAAGAACTTTGCTAAATCATCCTCACAGGATGTCTGTAGATTCACCTGCGACCAGATCATTAAGTCACCTTCTACCGCAAATACTTTTGTATGTAGATTTAAAAACACAGAAGTTACCGGTTATATGACAGGAGGGATTTGTGGGCAGGTGGGGGACGGGGAAGAGAACAAGGGGAAATGTCCTGCCCTATCGCCAACCGTATACCTGGGATGGGGGGGGGGTCCCTTTGCTGTTAAAAAAGCAATAAAAGAAAGAAAGAAAGCAAAATAAACAAACAATAAATCACCAGGCGAAACAAGCCTGGGGCAAGGGTCCTTCATTAAGGTGGACATTACAAGTCCCTGGCCTCATATCTGAGCTGCAGAAGTGCAACCCACCCACCCTGATTTCAGGTGAGGTTGTAGTTCTGGGACTGAAAGTGCTGGGGTTAGGATCCCTCCAGCGAGTCTGTGGCTGAGAGGGCCTTTTGGCTCACACAATTGCAGGGGGTTGGACTAGATGACCGTTGGGTTTCTTTCAAATCTACAATTCAATGGCTCTATGACCGCTGAAGTCCCAGAGCTTACTCCTGTGCAAGTGCACTGAGGTTTATAGAAGACTCCTACTCACGTCTGCTCAGAAGTGAGCCCCATTGATTTCAATGGGGTTTACTTCTAGGTTAAGTGGCAGCCTAAGTCGTCCTGGCCCAGAGTTTGCTGCGTGGCTGCCGGCCTCCATTTTCTTAATCAATGCCTATCTTCAGAATGTAGATTAAAAATAACAACAAACAACAACAACAACAACAACAAACAACTACACCTCTCAAGGTGCCCCAGGTAGCAAACAGATACACAATTTAAAAAACAAAGCCAAAGCTTTCTAAAACAGATCAAGATGTTCTTAAAGCAATTACAATATGAAACCATTACAAGCAATTACATTTGAAAACATCCTTCTGCCCGCTGATCTTGAGGTTACTAGGAACAGTATCTTTCAGCCACCAAGTGTCAAGGCAAACAGGAATGTTTTCAAATTCCTCTTGCAAGTTATATTTATTTATTTATTTATTCATTCATTGTTTCTGAAGGCAGTCCTGTTTTGAGAAGCTTTTAATGTTATTTATTTATTGAAATATACTCTGAGTTGAGAGTGGATTTCATGCTCTTTATTCAGCTCATAGTGGTGAGGAGGAATGGAAGTTCCCCCACAATATCTGCTTTATATACATTATTTACACAATGGGCTGCATGTGATTGGCTAATTCCGGGATTCTCCTGTAGGCTAATTAGGTTGTGGGTTCACTTCTACCTGGAGCTGGATTGGGTGGCTCCTGCGGACCAATCATACTGCTGCATTGTTCTAGGACCAATCAGACTGTTGCATTCTGAATCCTATTGTTCTAGGACCAATCAGGCTGTTGCATTTTGGATCCTATTGTTCTAGGACAAATCAGACTGCTGCATTTTGGATCCTATTCAACTCAGTACATAACATTTATTTATTTATTTATTTATTTATTTATTTATTTACCTCCCGCCTTTTTCCCCACGGAGCTCAAGGTGGCTTTCATGGTTCTCCCTCTCATTTAATCTCCACAACAACTACCCTGTGAGGTAGGCTAGGCTGAGAGTTAGGGACTGTCCCAAGATCACTCAATTAACTTTATAGCGGAGTGGGGGATTCGAACCCTAGTTTCCCAGATCCTGGTCCAACACTCCAGCAACTACGCCACACTGAGTGATGGAGACAGACACATCGTGCTGGGAAGGACATTCCGCACCTGGGGAACTCAGACGGGTAGCTGGGGGGGGGGCAGGCGGGCACAGTGGCTTGGGCGCCTGCAGGCTCCACACTGACCGAAACAGCAGCGTGGGACTTGCGTCCTGTGGAGGCTCCGCACAGCATGCTCTGCCCTGGTTTGCCCCGCCCCATGGGCAGCTTGCTCCACCCCCATGGGCGGCTTGCCCTGCCCCCAGATGCAGGGTGTGTGCGCCGCCCCGGGCGCCCGAGCAGCTAGCTACGTCGCTGGGGGAACTACCACTGAAAAGTCCCCCGTCACGAGGCCAGTGCCAACTGGGCAGCTGCCCTCTTACAAGGTTGTTGTAGATGTAGTGCCAGGGGGCTGTTTAAAAGCCCAATCTAGATGCTCCGTTTCAAGCCAGAGATTCAAAACTGATAATAATAATAATTATAATAATAATAATAATAATAATAATAATTTATACCCCGCCCATCTGGCTGGGTTTCCCCAGCCACTCTGGGAGGCTTCCAACAAAATATTAAAATACAGAGGTCTGTTAAACATTAAAAGCTTCCCTAAACAGGGCTGCCTTCAGATGTCTTCTAAAAGTCTGGTAGTTGTTCTTCTCTTCGACATCAGGTGAGAGGGTGTTCCACAGGGTGGGTGCCACTACCGAGAAGGCCCTCTGCCTGGTTCCCTGCAACTTGGCTTTTCACAGTGAGAGAACCGCCAGAACTGCTACTCCACCCTACCCTGACTTTTTTCCTTCATAGGCTGTTTTCACCACCTTTTAATTGGAACTCCCCCCCCCCCCTTTGGTCTCCTGGTCTAGATTCCTGGAACTGGAGTGTCCTTCTTTGTGCAAGATCTTGAGGACTACAGCCTTCGCTTACCCTTTCCTCTTCGACAACATTCCATTGTTCTACAGGGTAGGATGACGGTGGGGGCAATGTAGCCACGGGGGGGGGGGCCCTCTGCTAGGAGAGGGTTGTCTATGGCTGCTAAACACAAGGGCTAGGCTCTGCCCTCCCAGTCAGAGGCAACACTGCATCTGAACAGCAGATGCTGGAACCGCAGGAGGGGAGAGTGTGGTTCTTATGCTCAGCTCCTGTTTGCTGGGTTCCCTGGTTGGCCATTGTGAGAACAGGATGCTGGACTAGATGGGCCATTGGCCTAATCCTGCAGGGCTGTTCTTGCTTTCATATATTTTTTCACTTTGGCCTCTAAGGACTGAATGTGCAGTTTCCCCTACCTTTGCAATTGCATACCAATAATCCAGATTAGTCCCAATAGTTTTTGGGGTGAGCCTCCCCACACCCAAGTCTTGCTGTGCCATGCAGATGCAAATTCTTGCCTTCATTTCTTTCCTCTCCTCATGGCGCCACAGGAAGCAGGTGGCTTCACCCTTCGGCATGGAGTCGCTGTTCCTCCCCTCCAGGGCCACCCTTCCTGGCTGACTCATGCCACTTCCTTCCCTTTCAGCTCTTGTTCTGCTTTGGCGAAGACTGCGCCTGGAATGACTCCGTCCCTGGTTACTTCTACCACCTTCTTTTTGCAGCCCTCACCGGCTTCCTCTTCGCTTCCCACCTGCCGGAGCGCCTGGCCCCTGGGCGCTTCGATTACATTGGTAAGAGAAGGGGGGATGGGGTGGGCCGGGGTGGAGATAATTGAATCCCTGCAATGGGGTTGCTCGGTCCCAGCTCCTGCCAACCTAGCAGTTCGAAAGCACACCAGTGCAAATAGATAAATAGGTACCACTGCGGTGGGAAGGTAAACGCCATTTCCGTGCGCTCTGGTTTTTGTCACGGTGTCTGGTTGTGCCTGAAGTTGTTTAGTGCTGCTGGCCACATGACCCAGAAAGCTGTCTGTGGACAAACGCTGGCTCCCTCGGCCTGAAAGCGAGATGAGCGCCGCAACCCCATAGTCACCTTTGACTGGACTTAACTGGCCAGGGGTCCTTTACCTTTACCTTAATCAAGTCCAAAGTCAGAAGCAGGAGATGCTTCTGAATACCACTTGCCAGAAACCACAGGAGGAGAGAGTGCTCTTGGGCTTGACTGATAAAGGCATCTGGTTGGCCACTGTGAGAACAGACTGGATGGGCCATTGGCTTTATCCAGCCCCGGCTCTTCTTCTTCCTCCCCACGGAGGACCTTAAGGTCCACAAATGACAACATTTTGAAGGTCCCAGGTCGCAAAGTGGTTAGATTGGTCTCAACTAGGGCCAGGGCCTTTTCAGTACTGGCCCCAATTTGGTGGAACGCTCTGTCACAAGAGACTAGGACCCTGTGGGACTTGACATCTTTCCACAGGCCCTGCAAGACAGAGCTGTTCCGCCTGGCCTTTGGTTTGGACTCAGTCTGACCCTTATGTTTCTCTCCCCTTATGGTCTTGATTTACCGGCTTCTTTTAAAATGAGGCTGCATTTTAAATTGCATTTTAACCTGTATTTTATTTTTTTTCTTTTTCCCCTATTATGTTTTTACTGTGATTTTATTGGTGTTAGCTGCCCTGAGCCCGGCTCTGGCCGGGGAGAGCAGGGTATAAATAAATTATTATTATTATTATTAGTAGTAGTAGTAGTAGTATTAGGTTACAACCATTTTCTCTCTCTCGAGCTTCTCTTATCGCCCCATCTCTTCTCTCTCCCACCTCCCTTCCTCCCGCCACAGGACACAGCCACCAGCTCTTCCACATCTGCGCTGTCGTGGGCACCCATTTCCAACTGGAATCTGTTTTATGGGACTTGCATTCACGCCGGGCCTGGCTGAGTGCTCACGCCCCGGCGGCCACCTTCACCCGGACTTTTGCCATCCTTGGAGCTGCCCTACTGGGCAACCTCGCACTCGTGGCTGCCTTCACCATGGTCCTGCTCCGGTCCTCCGGCACGACGCTGATTCTGCAGAGCAACGTCCCCGAGGTGGAGCGGCCCAAGGAGCAGTGATGGAGCCCTCTCTGGCGGTGCTCTGTGGCTTTGGTTTCTCTGAGGGACCTTCGTTCCACCTCCCTCGGGCGGCAACTCCTTTGGGAGCCCCTGGGGTGAGCGTTTTCTCCACTGTCGCACTTTATACCTCAGTGTTCTTTGTTCCAGAGGAACGTGGCGCCTGCGTCAGAAGGGGGTGGGGGACCCTTTTGAATGTTCCTTCTAAGTTTGAGCACTTTAAACATTTGGTTGGGACTCAACTGTTCGTGGGTGTGCAGCGTGGAGACCCACAACTGAATGCCTCCCCCCACAGTATGTCAGAGAAGTGGACTTGGGTTTCTGCCGGGACGGCCATTGCTGGCTCTCTCTCCTCCTACACAGAGCCTGATTTCCACTTTCCATTCAGCTCTGCTTCCAGGGGTGCTAAATTCTAAATATCTGGGCACCACGTCCTTTCTCTTCAGATGTTCTCCTCAGGAGAGTTGCTGTTGCACTGAGAGTACTGCTCATGGGCTTCCTGTTGTGGGTATCTGGTCGGCCATTTTGAGGACAGGATGCTGGGCTAGAATGGGCCTTCAACCTGATCCAGCTCCAGGCCTCCTCTGATGTTCTTACATAACTCTTGTCTCCAACGATGGCAAGCAGATACCTCCAGGGAGAGGGTGAAGGCACCCTGTATTCTGAGGGAGGCTTCCTCAGAACATGGAGCCTAGACCTGCTCTGCATCCATTTCTCTCACCCCCTTTTAAACCGCCCACACTATCACCACACCTTAGGGCAACAAATTCCATCCATTAATCCTGAATCGTACGAGGAAGGCCCTCCTTTTTATTCGTCTACCGCCAACCCAGTTTTCTTGAGCGACTTTCCTCACACTTGTTGCATTCTGTCTCAGATTCTCCAGCTGTGGCTCCTGCGTTGCAGGGACACGGACTAGATGAGAAGGTCCCTTCTGATTCTACGATCCTGTGATTCTCATGTGACACAAGAGGGTGGAGGCATCCTCTGTGGGCCAAAACCCCAGAAAGAGAGGACTCTCTCCACACTTGGCGCAAGAGAATAGCACCGCCCACAAGAGAACTAAGCGGGTGTGCCTTTCTTTTGGATTGCACGAAAACCCGAAAGGCATCTCTCCCCACCCCAAGTTGCACTCATTAATTGTTAACCAATTATTGGGAAGTTCCCCTGGGAAAGCCCTGTCAAGAGAGAGGAGATACGCAAGAAGGGCCCAGCCTAAATCCATATGGTGTAAGAAAGGAGAGCAACAGCAGGATGAGAATTCTCTGTGCCTCCTGTAGGCAAGATTAGACAAAGAAAGGGCTCAGACTGCAAAAGACGGTTGGATGCTGGGACGATCCATAAAGGTGCACAACTGCGATGGATTAAGCCAGTGGTTCCCAAACATATTTGGTCCATGCCCCCTTGGCTCTATAAACTCATCCCCAGAGGGCCCCCCCTCCATTAAAAATATCCTTCAGAATAGCAGTTTGCACAGCCCACGAAGGAAGATCATAACACAATAAAAATCAAAGCAGCAGCTATTAATTGTGTATTTATTCAAAATCCAGTTGAAACTATTTACGTAGTTCATTTGAATCAACAACAACAACAACAAAATCATCATCATCATCATTTAATTTATATCCCGCCCAGCCATTCTGGGCGGCTTACAGCATATATAATCAAACAGAATATACTATACAGGCAACAAACAAACCAATAAATCAATAGAAACCAATAATAACAATAATAACAACAATAATAGCAACAATAGTAAACAGTTTACAGTTATACCCAAATTAAAATAACCGCCAACCCGAACTAAACATTTCCAGTGAGACCAGCTTTTCACAGTCTGATAGTCATTTACACCTCCAGCACCCTCTGCCACATGCTTGTTTCTTAGCCCCCCCCCCCAAGTAATCCCCCTACCCCACCCCCCACAAAGGGGGTGTACCATCCACTTTGGAAACCATTGTCTAAGACGCCTGTTTTGCAACCAGTAAGTTGGGATGACCTACAGACCTAGTTGGGTTGCACTAGCAGCACAATCGTGATAACCAGTTGCTGGCAGGGGCTTATGGGAGTTGTAGTCCAAAACAGTCAGCAGGCGGAAGATTGAGGGGAAAGCTGCAATATACAATTATTATTTTTTAAATACTAATAATTAAGAAGTGGGGTCTCCCAATGTATGTCTGGGCTAAAGATGGGTTCTGGGTCTGAGAAGGTTGGAGACTGCTGAACTCAAAGTATTGTGGACTCTCCATCGCTAGAGATCTTTAAGCGCAAGTTGAGGAAACATTTGGCTGAGTGGCGTTGATGTGGATCTGATTCATGAGGCAAGATGGGTAGCTGGATGAGGCCAAGACTCACTTCCGTTCCTGTCTTTCCAGGCTGCCCATCAGTAGGGATGAAAGATGGAGATGTTGCCAAGACCAGCAGAATCTGAAGGCCACAATGCTTAGCTTGTGGATGGTCTAGGATGATGACTAGAGGAAACTAGTTTCTGCAAACTCATTCCTTTCACTACAGAAACCCCAAGATGTCCCATATTTTGTACGAGGAATGAGATCCAAACCAAGGAAACCCCAGACTTGCAAATCTGAAGATGTAGAATTGCAGATCCTTAGCTGTCCTAGCAAGCTTATAAGGAACACAACCCTGGTGGGACATTGTGTCTGGACATTCCCAAACCTGATAGGAAATTCTGTCCAGATGTTCCCAGAAAAATGAAAGTCCAAAGGATGTAGTGGGCGATATACTTTTGAGCGTTTGAGGCTGTTTTTAGTGTGTTCTTGAAGAGGGTGGAGCCTGGATAAGGCCAGTGGCTCATTAGCTGATGGCGCTAATTGTTTGACTGTTAATTATCAGAGCCGGGGTGGCTGAGAGGCATGAGGGTCCTGATGATGGAGATGGAGTTTTAATACGGTTTCCTGGAGGTGTTTTTAAGAAGGATCTAGCGCTGGAGCAAATAGTTGTGGTATCCAATATGGAAAGTGGGGCCCTGTCTTCACTTAGCTTGTTCCTTGCATTACACCCAGTTCAACCAACCTGGGCGATGGACATTTGCAGGCTGAACTTGAGTGACCGTGAACTGGATTTTCTAGATTGATCAGAATCAGCATTTGTGGCTTTGGGCTGGTAGTGGTAGAAATTGTCCAAAGCCTTCCATTATCCACTTTGCTGCTAACTAACAATTACCGTATTTTTCGCTCCATAAGACGCACCAGACCATAAGATGCACCTAGTTTTTAGAGGAGGAAAACAAGAAAAAAAATATTCTGAATCCCAGAAGCCAGAACAGCAAGAGGGATTGCTGCTTTCGCTGCAATCCCTCTTGCCGTTCTGTCTTCTGGGATAGCTGCGCAGCCTGCATTCGCTCCATAAGATGCACACACATTTCCCCTTACTTTTTAGGAGGGAAAAAGTGCGTCTTATAGAGCGAAAACTACGGTAGGTAGCATGCAAACTCAACAAGCACAGTTTTTGTGGATCACAGCAGGCAGGGGTGAAAGCCACAGGAATAGAGAGAGTTGCTTTTGTGTTCAGGTCCTGCTTGCCAATTTCCCCACAAGCATCTGGTTGGCCACTGAGAGAACAGGATGCTGCACTGAAGGAGCCTAGACTAGATGACCCTTGGGGTCCCTTCTGACTCTACAATTCTATGATTCTATGGCTAGATGGGCCACTGGCCTGATCCAGCAAGCTCTTGTTATGCTCTTATGTTGCCTTAACCACTGCTAATGGTGTAGAGCAGTTCTGTGGTTGGGAGAGAAGCCAGGCAGAGGAAGAGATCTCTTTCTAGAACTTTCTGTCCCTCCTTGAGTGATAAGCAGAGAGCAACTCCTTAATTGTAATAAGTGAGGCCTTCTCTTTTAATCTGTAAAACAAACTACCCAAATCAGACAGAGATAAGAGCGTAACCCCGCTCCTCTGGGTTTTAGGACCTCGGAAAGAAAGTTCATTGAACCCTTGTAAGTTCAATGGCAAACAAAAAAGGACAGTAATAGATTACTCTTGGTCACCTCTCTTTCCCAGCAGCGGCAGAGCAAGCTGATCGGGCGCCTGGGGTGGCGCAAGTGCCCTGCGCCCAGGGGCAGGGCCAGCCGGGGCAGGACGCTCCGCGGGGCGTCCAGAGTCTGCCTGCCTCCTCCCACTCAGCCGCCCTACAGCTGGGGGGCAGGCAGCAGGCGGACTGTTTGGGGCAGCACAGAGGCTGTGGGTGCCCAAGCAACCACATCACTCCCAGGAGAGATGCGTGGCTTGGGCGTGCTGCCGGCTCCGCGGTGAATGCCGTCCAGCATTCCGCCCCTGCTTCCCAGACATGTCCAGTTACTACTTGCTTGAATATTGCAAGCTGAAGCCCTGCATTAAGGAATGATCAAAACAGGCTCCAGCCCTTACGAGCAGCACCAGATGGAGACCTTTAGAGGCCCTGAGCACTGAAAAGGTGCTGCTACTACGTAATTCAAAATAAAAATGGCATGGGGGAGGACTAGATAACTCTTGGGGTCCGTTCCAACTCTACAGTTCTTCTGATTGTTTTGTGTGTGTGTGAGTGCTTTGCTGGTGCCTGATTGTGCCTACACTGCTTACTAGGGATCTGGGGTCAGGGGACCTTACTTCTGAGTAAACATGCAGAGCTTTGCGCAGTTAATGTCTCAGTAGGAGTGGGAGGCCCAGGAACAACTGGACTAAAAGGGCTCTACTTTTTGGTAGCCACACTTACCCTTTTTTAAAAAAAACAGTTCTGTTTATGTTTACAACACTAGTCATTATTCTTGCTTTCTGTTTTTTCACAAAGCTTTTCCTAGACATTGCTGCTTTGGGGGGGTTAACATTTAAATGTCCCCCGCCTTCCTTTTGTATTAACATTAAAAACACATATATGTTTGCTTTGGAGGGGGTGGTCTGTTGTACTGGGCAGAGTGCAAGTAGGGAGGGAAAGCTTAATTATTATTATTATTTGTTCTTGAAGAGGCTTCAAATTGCTCTTCTGGGTGTTCTTTTCTGCTCCTAGACTGTGCCTGAGAGCTGCCATTCCTGTGCCTTTAGATGCATGCAATGGACAGAAATCCACCAGGTGCATCACCTGTTGGATTTCAGCCTGCCGTGCAAGGGAAAAGTGCCTGAGGGTTGCCACCCTTATTCCTGGCAAAGTTCCTGTGCCTTAGATGCATGCAGCAGACAGAAATTCTGCCAGTCATGAAAGAGGAGAGCTGGGGAGAAATAGCAATTTTTAAAAAAATGTTTCCTTTGAGGATAGGGAATGTCCCGAAACCTTAGACAGTCTTCGCTGACATGTGCCTTTTACTGTGTTTTGAATGTGTTTTGAAATATTTTATTGACCTCTCCTTGTTCACGTAACCTTAACAAATCTGTGCTTGCTGCTAGGAAAATCCTGAATTCCGCAGAAACGAGAGATGCCAAAATTACATATTTATTCCCTGTCCGAGAGAAACCACTTTTTATGGAAAAGCTGTATAAAATGTTTTGCTACCTTAACTGAATGATGCTATGTCTCTTGGTTTTCTGTTGTTGTTTTTTAAAATAATAATAATAATAATACCTGTATTTGAAATAAAACAGCTTTAATTCAAAACTGGAATGACAGAACGATAAACTCTGAAACCAACAATGCCCTGCTTGTCTGCTGTTCTGTTCTGTGATTAAGATATTTAGGTGCTTCCAAGATGGAGCTTAATACTACCAACAAGTGAATCAGATATTACAAACAGATGACAACTGGTTTGGTTTTTTAAACAGACTGTATTTCCCCTAGAAAGGGTAAATACAAATTAAAATAGCGGGGGGGGGGGGGAGTGTCAGCTGGCAGTTTGATGCCAACATTGCGGATCCCACTTCTGCCACCAGTGCTGCAAGTACCTCAATTTCCAAGCGGTGACACCTGTGTGTGCAGCAAAAAAATGGGGGGGGGGGGGGAGACAGGCTTTAATAGTGTCCCTAAAAATCTGCCTGAATCAATCTAGTTCTCGGAAAACCGAGGAGGTTTTTTTTCAAATACAACTATACCTTGTATTCTCAGACACAGAGCTCTTGGCCTGCTTTTAACACCATGTTTGAAAAACTGAGGCATTGAGGGGCACCAAGAGGTCAGAGCAGTCACAAGTGGGGACTATTTAAACTCTTCCAGTGTTCGAAACTCCCATTGTCCTAGGCGCATTTTGCGTCAGGGAATTTCATTGGCGCAAGCAGTTTCTGGGCTCTGGGTGCAGTACTGAGCCTAAGATTTCAGATTAAAACTGCAGAATAGAAGGAAAGGGGGACCTTTTTCTGCCTCCCCTCTTCCAACTACTTTCTGAAGACTAGAGAAGAGACCCTGACAAACTGGAACGTGTCCAGAGGAGGGTAACCAAAATGGTCAAAGGCCTGGAAACGATGCCTTATGAGGAACGGCTAAGGGAGCTGGGCATGTTTAGCCTGGAGAAGAGGAGGTTAAGGGGTGATATGATAGCCATGTTCAAATATATAAAAGGATTTCACATAGAGGAGGGAGAAAGGTTGTTTTCTGCTGCTCCAGAGAAGCGGACACGGAGCAATGGATCCAAACTACAAGAAAGAAGATTCCACCTAAACATTAGGAAGAACTTCCTGACAGTAAGAGCTGTTCAGTAAGAGACAGTGGAATTTGCTGCCAAGGAGTGTGGTGGAGTCTCCTTCTTTGGAGGTCTTTAAGCAGAGGCTTGACAACCATATGTCAGGAGTGCTCTGATGGTGTTTCCTGCTCGGCAGGGGGTTGGACTCGATGGCCCTTGTGGTCTCTTCCAACTCTATGATTCTATGATTCTATGACCCTCTTAAGAATACTAGGGGGGTGGGCAGGGGAATGACTAGACTATGTGAAAAACGAACATAACATTTTAGCCGCAGTTCATTCATTTTCATCTTTGTATTCTTATTATAAAAAAGTGCACCTAGACATTTTGAGGTTGTGCCCATAACCTAGGCTTAAGGTGCCATTTAGCTCCTAGCTTTCATATCTCAGTTTCTAACACTGAACTCTTCCATCTATGATCTCTTATCCACAAACACTTATACATACAAGGGGTTCTTTCTAGCTCTGGAGCTTGTTGGTTCCAGAGTTTTGAATGCTATTGGGCTTGACATGGGGCTGACTAACCACCCCCTTCAGGGGCCTGATCTGCCCACCCCCCACCCCAAGCAAAGGTCCCACTGCTTTCAAAATAAAGGAAGCCACAGCCTGTCTCCTTTTTAAGGTGGAACGGAAATATCCTAACAGGGACCCCATGGGGATGCAAATGTATATAGGCATTTCTTTCCCACCCTTTTCATCAAGGAGCTCAAGGTGACATACATGGTTCTCCTCCCCACACTGATTTAATCCCCGCAACAACCCTGTGAGGTAGGTTAGGCTGAGAGGCAGCAACTGAGCTTCATGGTCAAGCAGGCATTCGAACCCTTGTCTCCCAGGTACTAGTCTGACTCTTAAGCACTAAAGGTAAAAAAGGAAAAGGACCCCTGGACACTTAAATCCAGTCAAAGGTGACTATGGGATTGCGGCACTCATCTCGCTTTCAGGCCAAGGGAGCCGGCGTTTGTCCACAGACAGCTTTCTGGGTCATGTGACCAGCAGGACTAAACTGCTTCTGGTGCAACGGGACACCATGACAGAAACCAGAGCGCACAGAAATGCTGTTTAGCTTCCCTCCGCAGTGGTACCTATTTATCTACTTGCACTGACGTGCTTTTGAACTGCTAGGTAGGCAGGAGCTGGGACAGAACAAAAGGAGCTCATCCCGTTGTGTGGATTCGAACCACCAACCTTCTGATCGGCAAGCCCTAGAGGCTCAGTGGTTTAGATCACAGTGCCACCCACTACACCTAACTGACTCATAACAGCAGCTCTGGGGCAAGTGACATTGAAGCTGAGTCCAAAAGGGGTTGCAGGTACCATGGATGGGCAGGGCCTGCAAGGCACTTCAAAGCCCCATCAGCTGGTTGTCGGGCCTTCAAAGCGCAGCAGAGGGCTCTCTGCAAACATCCATCTGCTTAGTTTGGCTGCAGTCTTCATGATTAGTTCAGGACTCCCATGCAAGGGAAGTTGCCTGCACATGTGACATTTTAAATGTAGCAGATGCTCTTTGCATAATCCATCAAACCACATGACACTCAGAACAACCTATTCATTAAAATCTAGTCAAGGCTGGCTTTTGTGAACCTGTCACTTCGTGCTTTTTACACAACCACCAATGCTCTCAGTAACTACTGATCAACATACCCAGAAAGGGGTTGTATTTTTTGTGGGTTTTTTGCACCCTTTATTACCTTGATTTATGACCTCTTCTTTCTTAGAACCAGGATCTGATCAGGAATTCTATCTTTAAATAAATAAATGAGTATTTGACTTGGGTTCCCCCCCCCCACAGAAAAGCACTGTAATATATATTTTAGTGATCCAATATGCAAATACTTTTTCTCCTAACCTAACCTAACCAAAGGTTTTATTTTGTTTGGATTTCATTTTCCTCATTATCCTGGCACTGTTTCCATGTTGCACAATATGCAAACACATTTATGTCTGCAGAGGACTTTCCCCCCTTTTGCCACAGCAATGTTGTTCATTGAATGTGCGCATGGGGCTATAGCAGAGCTCTCTAAACTTTTCATGTTGGCGACACACGTTTTAGACATGCATCAATTTCACGACACAGCAATTCAGTTTTAATAGCAAACTGGAGGTTAAACTAACCCCTTGTAAGAGATACAGACGCATACATAAACTGCAATGACAAAATGTACGGGGACACAGTTACACACCACAACTGGCACACAGCTGGCAGAGTTTGGAAAGCTCTGGGATATCAGGTCCCTGACATTTCCACACTTAATGTAAAGCTGTAGATAAAAGAGTACAGGCCACTAAGTGATGGAAGTAGGAAATGCAGGGGATAACATTGCGCCCAAACCCAGCCTGCTGCAGGTCTGTTTCACGCTGAATAGAGTTGCAATATAGCTACTGGAATAAGTTACTGGACAGATAGATGGATGCCTGGGCCATTTGTACCTCATTGTCAGCTAGCTCCTTGGCACTCAGTGTGGCTGCTGGCTCACCCCAAGAAAAACTGTCTCTGGATTAGGTGTTCTTGGTGGGCATAGGCACCAACCCCCAGGGGCTGAGGCAGTTTCAGCCCTCCCCCACTCCATGTATTTTTTTGAGCCCCTCAATTGTGCCAGGCCACCTCAATCTTCTGGAGAAGTTGTAGCCTCTGGTGGTGGGGATTTTCTTATAGTGAAAGAGGGAAGACTGCAGGGGTTAAGTAGTTTTGCACAATCCTGTTTTAGAGCGGCAGGTTCCAAGCTTTTCTGAGCTTCCACCTCACTGCATAGATTTATAGCCAGTGGTCCCCTACCCTAACTCTATAAAGAGTTAGCGGTTTGGAAAACCCACTAAGAAAGTTTAATTCAACAAAATTAATGAACTTGATTTAGTGAGACCAGCCTTTCAGAATCTGAGAGTCGTTTACACCTCCAGCACCACCCCAGCTAGCAAAAGACCCTAAACCTCTTAGTAGCATGTGTAGGAAGACACTTGGGTCAGCTTCTGGTTTATCATGTCTGACAAAGTTCCCCCAAAGACAGGGCTGCAACTGAACACATAGCAGGAGGCCAGTGATATTCTTTTGGAGGTTTCTAGGTGCAATTTTAATTTCAGTGATATGCGACTCTGGAATGCAAGACATCCAGTAACTTTCACTTCTGCACCTTCTGTTGCAAAAAGTCTTGACCTCCCACCCAACTAGAAAGCCAGGCTTGCAGGGGATGCCCCATGTCTGAAAATGAAGTCTTTTCCCGGAAACATTGCTGAAACCGTGAAATCCTTCATCTGCTGCTCGGCAAACTCACCCTGCTCTTTGTACAAACAATTCTGGAGTCTGATAGTTCCTTGATGTTATCCCCCTGGCTGTTGACTTTTGTCAGCAAGCTGCTAATAAAAGGCAGGACAGAGGCGACCTCTGCGCATCAGAAGACCAGAACATCGACATCTCCTAACCAGGTGAGCCAGGAACTTTCCTTCAAAGCATAATAGTGTGATAGAATATGGAGGGAACAAGTCACACTCCCTTTGAACACAGAGAACCCACCACTGTAGAGCAGTAGGATTCAGCAGTTGCTGTGTTGATATCAGTTTTGGACAAACTTGAAGACCCAAAGGGAGACAAGAGGGTTGTGTGTGCTGTATCAGTGTATTTGCATTGCGGCAAATAGCAGCTGCGGGTGGGTGATGTTCCTGGCCGCTGCTGTTGGTGGTAACAAGAATAACAGTGGTGGTCCTGGTTGGTGGGGTGGGGTGTTACTACTACTAGGTTGATATCAGTGCTTCCGACTGGTACTATTGCACGATACCCCAACCTTCAAGTGGTGCAAGATCCCGTGGGTTGCAGGGAATGAGGCACAGCAGAGACTACGGTGTCTTTAGGATATATGGTTTATGTACAACCTGAGCCTACAATGGAGGGATTCACAGCATCAGCACCACCGAAGGGGCTTGTTTCTCCCATAGCTGCAGCCTGGATTCAAGCAGAAATCAAACATTGTGATCTCGATCTCTCTCTGCCTTTTCCAGCCAACAACTTTCCCCAGCCTTCTTATCACACATCACAGCCAGCTCTCAGCTCTGGCTTTTGTCCTTCTAGCTAGGAGGAGCTGAAGGAGGGTCCCCACCCATTTGCCTCTGGCAAAGGGCCCCCTCTCCTTTCCTGCAGGTTATCAGGTAACGCTGCGTCTGGCCCCAGGCTAGGATCCGCACCTGTGGGCAGAATATTCAGAGCAGAAGTCCTTTGGTCTTGCAGTTATGGCTGTGATCGTGGAAGAGCGGACATTCAACGCTGCTCAACTTCAGTCATGGAAAACTTCGGATGGTCTCAAATGCAGGAGCCAGATTACTGATTTGGGTTCCCATTAGATCTTATATATTGAAAACAGCGGCACTGGTTGCCTGTTCATTCCCGGACCCAAGTCAAGGTGCTCATGTTAGCACTCAAAGCCCTAAATGACTCAGGCCCCAAATATCTGAAAGACTGTCTCCTTCCCTGCAGATGCTCCAGGAGGTGGTGTGGTTAAGATCAGCGGGGGGGGGGTGTCCTCTTGGTAGTTCCTTCGCCCTCAGATGCTCAGGGGGGCGGGTGGCCCAAGGAGAGAGGGCTTTCTCTGTGGTGGCCCCTAAGTTGTGGAAGTCCCTGCAAAAGCGCATCTGGCACCTTCATCCTACAGCTTTCGGAGGACGCTGAAGACGCACCACTTTGCCCTGGCTTTTGACGCTTAAGGGATATATTATTAGGACCCACCTTATTTTTATGGTTGTAAACTGTTTTTTAATTGTTTTTAATATTGTTTTTAATGCTGTAACCCACCATGGGACCTTAGGGTGAAGGGAGGGGAATGAATGGATGGATGAATGAATGAATGAATGAATGAAGGTTGGTGTGGATGGGCCATGGATAGCTCAGTCAGTAGAGCAGGAGACTCTTGATCTCAGGGTTGTGAGTTCAAGGCCCACGGTGGGCAAAAGATTCCTCATTGCAGGGGGTTGGACTAGATGACCCTCGTGGTCCCTTCCAACTCTACAATTCTAAAGCAAGTGATGAATCGGTGTTGATTGTGGGGCGCTGGATTAAGAGAGATGAATTGTTCAGTTCTTTGACTAAGACCACTGCTTTTTTTTCTGGGGGGATGCATAACCTTAAACATTTTGTGAATCTTTGTACTTTTGTCCATTTATTGTATTTCTTTTTCCCAATTTGAACTATAAAATAGTGATTTTCTTGAGTCAAAATGAGAGTACCCCTAAACATTTTTTTTAATTTTTTTTTGGGGGGAGCACTGATTAAGGCCCACCAGTTCCTATGGGTGAGCCACCCCTGTCATTGACTCACCAGCCCTCTCATTTTCACCCACAGAAAGAGCCCACCATGAAGCGATTTGCTCTCCTCCTTTTACTCTTGGCTGACCTCCCAAAGGGGGACCTGTGTGGTATGTATATGCTGGTGCCGGGGGGGGGGAACTGTGCCAGGATGTTGTGCTTTTCTTTGGTCTTTTTGGGGGGGGGGCAAGGGGCCTTTCCATACACATCTGGCAAATCTCGGGGCAAACTCTTGGAACCGTTGTGTTGGAAGGGCACCTCCAAAGGACATCTAGCCGAGCCCCCTGCCAATGAAGGAGATGCACACCTGCAGCACCCAGTGATAAGTACCTATCCAGCCTCCGCTTAAAAGCCACTAGTGATTGAAGAGCCTCTCACCTTCCAGGACTCTGTGTTCCACGGCTGAACACCTTGTGCCATCAGGAAGTTCTCCCTGCTATTGAGTCAGAATCCTATTTCTCGTAAATCGAAACTCCTGGTTTCAGCCCTCCCCTCCGGAGGAACATAAATCAGATCTGCTCTCTGTGAGGGCCGTTCAGATGTTTGAAGGCGGTGGTTGTATCTTAAGAACATAACAAACATCTCCTGGGTCAGGCGGCCAACCACCCATCTAGTCCGGCATCCTGTTCTCACAGGGGCCAAACAATTGCCAGTGGGAAGCCCGCAATCAGGATCCGAATGAAAGAGCCCCCTCCCCTCCTGTGGCTTCTAGCAACTGCTAGTAGCCATTGATAGTCTCCTCCTCCTCCTCCTCCTCCTCCTCCTCCATGAATTTGCCCAATCCTCTTTAAAAACCATCCAAGCTGGTGGCCACCACTGCCCCCTGTGGTAGGGAGTTCCATAGTTTAACTATGTACTACGTGAAGAAGCCTTTTGTTTCTCCATCCTGACTCTTCCAATATTCCACGTCATTAGATGTCCCCCGGGTTCTAGTGTCAGGAGAGCGGGGGGGGGGGGTGTCTCAGCCTTTGGCCTCTTCTCCAGATTGAACAAAGCTTCTTAAACCGTTTCTCACAGGATTGGCTTCCCAGGCCCTTGACTGCCCCCATTTCCAGTTTGTTCATATCCCTTCCTGACAACCAGAACTGGAAACAGTATTCAGGTGAAATCTGACCAAAGTAGAATGGAGCAGTACCAGTGCTGTTGGGTTTTTGTTTTTCTTAAAGGGTACTCACGGGTACACAGTACTGGCACCTCTTTTTTGTTGTTAAAAAGTGTGGCACTTACTGTAACAACTTCATGGTGAGTAAGGTAAAGGTAAAGGGACTCCTGACCGTTAGGTCCAGTCACGGACGACTCTGGGATTGCGGCGTTCACCTTGCTTTATTGGCCCAGGGAGCCGGCGTACAGCTTCCGGGTCATGTGGCCAGCATGACTAAGCCACTTCTGGTGAGCCAGAGCAGCGCATGGAAACGCCGTTTACCTTCCCGCCGGAGCGGTACCTATTTATCTACTTGCACTTCGTGCTTTCGAACTGCTAGGTGGGCAAGAGCAGGGACCGAGCAACGGGAGCTTCCTCCTGTCGTGGGGATTCAAAGTGCCAACCTTCTGACCTGTTTTTCCAGGAAAAAAAGTACAGTGGTACCCCGCAAGACGAACGCCTCGCAAGACGGAAAACCCGCTAGACGAAAGGGTTTTCCGTTTTGGAGGCGCTCGCAAAACGAATTTCCTATGGGCTTGCTTCGCAAGACGACAGCCCATAGGAAATCTCAGGTACAGGGGGGATGCGCTGCGCGTCTTCCCCAGTGTCCTGGTACCACCTCCGATGCCTGGGGGCGGGGGGGGGAAACCTCCTCCCGCCGCCGCGGGGATGGGGAAGGCTCCTCCGAAGCCGGGCGGGGGAGGGAACACCTGCCGCCGCCGCCCGGCTCGGAACGGTGCTCCGGCCGGGCGGGGGAGGGAACACCTGCCGCCGCCGCCCGGCTCGGAACGGTGCTCCGGGCCGGGCGGGGGAGGGAAGACCTCCCGCCTCTGCCCGGCTCGGAACGGTGCTCCGAGCCGGGCGGTGGGGAGGGAAGACCTCCCCGCCGCCCGGCTCGGAACGGTGCTCCGGGCCGGGCGGGGGAGGGAACACCTGCCGCCGCCGCCCGGCTCGGGAACGGTGCTCCGAGCCGGGCGGGGAGGGAAGACCTCCGCCTCTGCCCGGCTCGGAACGGTGCTCCGAGCCGGGCGGTGGGGAGGGAAGACCTCCCCGCCGCCCGGCTCGGAACGGTGCTCCGAGCCGGGCGGGGAGGGAACACCTCCGCCGCCGCCCGGCTCGGAACGGTGCCCGGCCGGGCGGGGGAGGGAAGACCTCCCGCCGCCGCCCGGCTTCGGAACGGTGCTCCGGCCGGGCGGGGGAGGGAAGACCTTCTGAAGGCGGGCGGGAGGGCTTGTCCCGGAGGGCTTTTGAAGGCGGGGAGCAAAGACTTCGCCCCCGCCCGCCTTCAGAAGAGGTCCAGGACCTCTTCTGAAGGCTGGCGGGGGCAAAGTCTTGTCCCCCTGCCTGCCTTCCCAGGGGCTTTGAATTGCCCCGGACAGCGGAGAAGTCCTCCGCTGTCCCGGGTGATTTTAAAATGCCGCCCGCCAGCATTTTAAGATCGCCCGGACAGCGGAGAAGTCCTCCGCTGTCCCGGGGTTTTAAAATGCTGGGGTGGGAAGAAAAGCCCTTGCCTCCCCAGCCTTCAGAAGAGGTCCGGGGACAGACTGTCCCCGGACCTGGTCTGAAGGCGGTTTCCTAGGAACGCATTAATTGATTTTCAATGCATTCCTATGGGAAACCGTGCATCGCAAGACGAAAAACTCGCAAGACGAAGAGACTTGCGGAACGAATTAATTTCGTCTTGCGAGGCACCACTGTACTGACCATTACTTCTCACATTCTGGACACTATACTTCTTTTGATACAACCCAGAATTGCACTGGCCCATTTTGCTGCCATACCACACTGCTGGCTCATGTTTTGCTTATCCATTAAAACCCTGGATGCCTTTTCCTAGGTTCTGCTGTCAAGCCAAGTTGTCACCCTTCCTGTATTTTGTCCCTGTGAGTCTGCCTACGTAAGTGCATTGATCTCTGTTGAAATTCATGTTGTTAGTTCTGGCCCAGTTCCCCGTCCTGCCAAGGTCACACTGGATCCTGCTTCCGTCTTCCAACCTGGGCAACTCCCTCTCCATATGTCTGGGTAACTCAGCCTGTTCACACCTATTGTCCTGCACGCAGATAGCAGCTGCTGCCTCAGCTCCGCAAAGCAAGATGTCCTCGGTCTGCTGCAGAAGTGGGAGGAGGCGTCATCCTGCAGCACAAGCAATCCACACGGTCTTCACAAGCTTCCAAGGAGCTGCAAAGAAATCAAGAGCTCCTCGCCAGGGTGCACAGGTGAGGAAATAAGCAGCTGTTCCATGGACTACAACTCCCATCATCCCTAGCTAACAAAGACCTGTGGTCAGGGATGATGGGAATTGTAGTCCGTAAACAGACCCAAGTTTGGGTAACACTGATCTAAAGGTAGCCAAGTCTTCTTAAGACCACCCAATTGCTTGATCCTGTATTGATCCTGAAGGAGTTAAGACAGTTATGATTAAATGGGCGCACGATTTTGGTCACAATATTGAATTAGAGATGTGGGAAAGATTATGGACAAAAACAATTAAATTCACTGCATGTACGGCATTAAAAGAAAATTTAATGAAGATGATGTATAGGTGGTATTTGACGCCGACTAGCTAAAATGTATAGAATTTAAGATAAGGTATGTTGGAAATGTAAGGAGAAGGAAGGGAATTTCTTTCATATGTGGTGGATGTGTCCTAAGATTAAAGCCTACTGGGGTATGATATATAATGAACTGAAAAAGATTTTCAAAAATACCTTTAGTAAAAAACCAGAGGCTTTCTTATTAGGGATAATAGGTGAAGAAATTCCCAAAAAAGACGTAAATATATTTATGTATGCTACCACGGCAGCAAGGATACTTTTAGCCCAGAAATGGAAGCAGCAAGAACTTCCAACGTTGGAAGAATGGCAGACAAAGATGATTGAATAGGTTAAGCTGGCAAGACTGACGGGGAAAATCCGAAACCAGTGCAACTGTTTGAAAAGGACTGGAATAAATTTGTACAATATATGAAGAAACATTGCAAACATTTGAAAACATTTGCAGGATTGATTTAAAATATTTTGTAAGGTTATGATTTGATACCTGTTTATAAATATTAGAAGTAAGTCTTTTAAGTATGGAGATAAGGTAAATAGGGTGATGATTTAGAAATGCGAAGATAAAACTGATTACATATGGAAGTCAGGGAAGGGGAGGGGAGGAAGTCAAAGCTCAATTTGAGCAAAGATATATGTGATGAAGAAATTTTATTTGGTTGTTATAAAGGAAAAAAGAAAATTTAATAAACATTATATTAAGGGGCGGGGGAAAGGTCCTGTCTTGATCCTGTCTTTTGAGCAGATGGGTTGTATTTCCTGGCCACGGAAGACGGAGAGATCTACCAGACCTTCTGTGACATGACCACCAACGGAGGAGGCTGGACTCTGGTGGCCAGCGTTCACGAAAACAACATGTATGGGAAATGCACCATGGGGGACCGCTGGTCCAGCCAGCAAGGCAGTGACGCCAACTACGCTACAGGAGATGGAAACTGGTCGAACAACTCCACCTTTGGGTCAGCTATAGCCTCAACCAGTGATGACTACAAGGTGAGACTGTCTTTGTAGTGGCGCAATAGGTGAACGATACCCTTTGTCTGCCTATTCAGAAGTCCACTGCTACTGAGTTCAGCAGAGCTTGGCCCCAGCAGTAATGTAAAACTTGCGAAAGGTTAAAATAACAAGAGATGGAAACAAATTAAAATCCGCGTCAACTTTCTAAACATCTGGGGAGGGTTGTCTAAACTGGAGGCTCCGAGGAAAGGTACGATGACAGCACCGGCTGATATCAAGAGGCAGGGAGTTCCAAAGTTTCGCCATGTTAAATGACTGAGTTCTTACAAATGTGGGTCTTATGTGGCCCCTGTGTGAGAATGGCAATTCTGCCAATTGAAGGTACATCGGGAAATGTTTCAAAGACATCCCCCTAAAAGGCAAAAACAGGGACAAAAATAGACTGCCTGTACAGGCCACAAATATACCATATTTTTCGCTCTATAGGACGCACCGGCCCATAGAACACACCTTGTTTTAGAGGGGGAGAACAAGAAAAAAAATTCTCCCCCTCTCTGCTCAGCGCCCCTTCAGCGAAGCGGCAGGAGAAACGGAGCCCCTTCCATTTCTCCTCCCACTTCGCTGAAGGGGCGCTGCGCAGCTCTCCCTCTCTGCTGAAGCCAGGAGAGTCTTGCTCTCCTGGCTTCAGCGAAAGAAACCTGAAGCCTGCAGAGCACAGCGGGAACTCGCGCTGCGCTCCGAAGTCTTCAGGCGGCTATCCCTGAAGCCTGGAGAGCGAGAGGGGGTGGTGCGCACCTACCCCTCTCGCTCTCCAGGCTTCAGCGAAAGCAACGCAAAGCCTCCAGAGTGCGGAGGGAGCGCTCCCTCTGCGCTTCGGAGGCTTCGCGTTGCTATCGCTGAAGCCAAGGAGCCTGCATTAGCTCTATAGGACACACACACATTTCCCCTTAATTTTTGGAGGGGGAAAAGTGCATCCTATAGAGCGAAAAATACGGTAATCAGTGGAACTTGCAAGGGGGGGAAATACAGAGGAAAAGGCTCTTTCTCGACAGTGTCTCCTGTTACTGTAAAAGACACACACACACCCCAATTTAAAAACCAAACCCTCCTCCCCCTCTAACACCCCTGATTCTCTTTCTTTCCAGAATCCTGGCTATTATGACCTTGAAGCAGCAGACATGGCCATATGGCACGTCCCCAACAACACCCCCATGAAGAAATGGCGCGAGTCTTCGCTCCTGAGATACCGCACCGAAACCGGGTTCTTGTCTGAGCTTGGAGGGAACCTTCTCAGGCTCTACCAGGTAAGCAAGTCATGACTCAGGATTTCTGCCGGCTGACTCGGCATTTGGGATTTGGGTGGTTGAGCGGGGCAGGAGACCTCCCCCCCTTTTTTTTAGTAATCGGGACCCAGGAAGCTCCCTCAAAACCGTCTACACTGACCGACAGCAATGGCTCTCCAGGATTTTAGACAGGAGTGTCCCTCTAACCTCACCTGGGGAGGCCACCAGCCGGGATTGAACCTGGGACCTTCTGCTTTCAAGGCAGACCCTCTGCCACTGAGCTACAAGGGCCCTTCCCCAGGCCTCCAGGTTTCCCTAGGAAAGCCCTGCTGTGGCGGAGACCCCAGATTAGGGCCCCATCTGGGCCTGGGGCCTCCAGCAAGCTCACAAGCAGGGCAGGAAGGCACCCCTTGGTCACATATTGGGGTCTCACGGACCCTCCAAGTGCCCCCATTTTCAAGGGACAGTCCCAGATTTACAGAAGCCATCCCAGTTTCTGATTTGGTCCTGGAATGTTCTCGCTTTTACTTAGGTAAAGGGACCCCTGACCATTAGGTCCAGTCATGACCGACTCTGGGGTTGCGGCGCTCATCTCGCTTTATTGGCCAAGGGAGCCGGTGAACAGCTTCCGGGTCATGTGGCCAGCATGACTAAGCCGCTTCTGGCGAACCAGAGCAGCGCACGGAAACGCTGTTTACCTTCCCACCGGAGCGGTACCTATTTCTCTACTTGCGCTTTGACGTGCTTTTGAACTGCTAGGTTGGCAGGAGCAGGGAGCAACAGGAGCTCACCCCATTGCAGGGATTTGAACCGCCGACCTTCTGATCGGCAAGTCCTAGGCTCTGTGGTTTAACCCACAGCGCCACCCGCGTCCCATCGCTTTTGCTTAGGACGTCCCTGTTTTCATCAGAGAAACATTGGAGGATATGGAATAGGGTGTCCCTAATTTCATCCAAGTCTGGGATGAGGCTGGGTGGGAGATTTGGGGGGTCTCTCTGAGGCAGAGGAGACAGAAAATGTGGGAGCAGCTCCACCCTAGAAGGGGCCCAATTCACCTGCTGTCTTTTTGTACTGGGGCTCCCGTCCCCTTGGCCTGTGTCACGTTTCTGTGCTGAGAGTAATTAGATGTTCTGGATCTCCTTTCCTCCCTTATGGATCTTTTCTGGCTGAGCATGAGGAACGCCACAAGCCCAAAGCGAGCCTCAGATCCCTTCCTGCTTCTCTTTTCAGAAATACCCAGTGACCTATGGGATTGGCACCTGCCAGACCAACAACGGCCCAGCCGTCCCCGTCACCTACGATGCAGGGAGTGCCCAGAATACCTCAGACTACTATTCTCCAAACGGGCGAAGTAAGTCTTGCTTCCTTTGACCAGACTATGGCTGAGCATAAATAAGAAATGGGGGGGGGGAGACAGATGAGGGCTGTGGTGAGGTCTCTCCTCGACCTGCTGCTCAACTCACTCAGATGCCTAACTTGACTGCCTGCCTAACTATTTGCCAAGATGCTTTGTTGCAAGGCCTGAGACACATTTATTGAAAAACTGGGTTTACTGAAGAACTGGGTTCCCTCGCATGCTCACCTTACCTGGCTTATTTTTTAAAAAATACCGTATTTTTCGCTCTATAGGACACACTTTTTCCCCTCCAAAAATGAAGGGGAAATGTGTGTGCGTCCTATGGAGCAAATGCAGGCTGCGCACCCCGGGCTTCAGCAGCTATCCGCAAGCCTTCGGAGCCCGGCGGGAGTTCCACGTCTAAAAACGAAGCCAAGACAGCGAGTGGGATCCATCCCGCTCACTGTCTTGGCTTCTGCCAAAGCCGCGCACAGCCTCTCCCGGATGGAGAGGTTGCGTGCGGCTAAAGAGGAAGCCAAGACAGCCAGCGGGATGGATCCCGCTCGCTGTCTTGGCTTCTTTGCTCTTTGGGGCTGGGGGGAAAAATAATTCCCCCCCCTTTATTTTCCCCCTCCCTAAAATCTAGGTGCACCCTATGGTCCAGTGCGCCCTATAGAGCGAAAAATACGGTAAATAACAAATTATGTATCTCTGCAACAAGGGTTTAGGATGCGGCAGTGCGACTGAGGCTCAAGTTACGCAGTTATGTGTGGCACGGAGAAAACAAATAGAGAAGTTTTTCTCCCTCTCTTGTTTAACACTAGAACTCATGCACATCCCATGAAGCTGAATGTTGGAAGATTCAGGACAGACCAAAAAACGAGGGCTTCTTCAGGAAGTGCATAGATAAATTATTATAGAATTTGCTCCAACTTGGATGGCTTTAAAAGAGGATTAGACAAATTCATTGGGGGTATTGGTTTGTGGTTTTGTTGCTGTTTCTATCATGTGTTTTGTGCTTTCATATTGTATTTTTATGTTGTGAACCACTCTGAGTTCTGCTGATGAAGGGCGGTACACAGATTTTAATAGTAGTAATACTAGATGGCTATCCTCTGTCTCCATGCTCAGAGGCAGTAATGCTTCTAAATAGCAGTTCTTGGAAACCACAGGAGGAGAGAGGGGCTCTTCTGCTCTGGTCCTGCTTTTGGACTTCCCAGAAGGGGCACCTGGTTGGGCCCTGTGAGAACAGGATGCTGGGCCATAGCTGTCAACTGTCCCTTATTTGGCGGGAAACTCCCTTATCCCAGCGCCGTGTCCCGCTGCTGTCCCTTATTGATGATGTCCCTTAAATTTCCCGGGTTTCAAAGGAAGCAGCTCATCTCCCTCCCTCCCTGCTGGCCAGGGAAGAGGGGGACGCCAAGTGTGTTGCTTGGCTGCGTTGCTCACCCAATAAGGAGTCGAAGAACGACTGGGGGGTGGAGCTTGCATGCCTTGCGCTGATCAAATCGGCCGCGTTGCCTGGGGACTCGCCTTTGCTCAGCCCTTCCCAGCGGAGAGGCGACAGTGGTTTTCCTTGCTGCATCCCCTTTGCCGGGTTGCTGCGAGGGGAACCACCGCTTGAGGCTTCGTTTGGCTGCTGGCTGGGCTTTCTACCTTTGGCTCGGAGGGGCTCAGAAGTTGAACATACCTGTGCCCGGAAAATCCCTTATTTTGGCTGCTGGTCCCTTATTTTCAAATCTGTAAGTTGACAACTATGTGCTGGGCTAGGTGGGCTCCTGGCTTGATCCAGCTGGCTTTTCTGATCTCGTTACGCCCAGCTGCTGGCCAAGGTTTTCCACCAGAGGGACTAAAGACACTTCTGCTATTTCTCCTTTCTTTTTCTCAGCCGAATTTGTCGCTGGCTTTGTGCAGTTCCGAGTGTTTAATCACGAGAAAGCCGCCATGGCTCTGTGCCCTGGTGTTAAAGTCACAGGATGCAACACAGAACACGTGAGTCTCCTCACCAGCCTTGAATCCACAGCAAGACGCCCTCTTGTCTCTTCTTGGCTTCTGCTAGTTTCCCCTCCCAACAGCCACTTTTAAAGGATTTGAGTAGTCTCTGCATGTCCTCCACTTTTAACTTAGGATACTGAGGATTTCCTGTATCTCCTGAAGTTCCTTTTGCCAGCTGAGGCCCTCCTCTTCCACAAAACCCTCAACTCTTGCTTGCCTTCTGTTATAAAACTGCTCCTTTTCCCTTATGGGGTACCCAAGAGTCCATATAGAGTCCTTATGTAGGTTCTCTATCGGTAGGAGAAAATAACAGAGGCCAACCATATTGAGAAGCAAAGCAGCTAGTAAGCCTGATCTTTATTAAACTGTTGCAACAGGGTGCTCCCCCCCACCCCCACAGGAGGGAGGAGGAACCCAGAACAATGATGTGCAAGCCCTTATACAGTGGTACCTCAGGTTACATACGCTTCAGGTTACAGACTCTGCTAACCCAGAAATAGTGCTTCAGGTTAAGAACTTTGCTTCAGGATAAGAACAGAAATCATGCTCCGGCGGCGTGGTGGCAGCGGGATGCCCCATTAGCTAAAGTGGTGCTTCAGGTTAAGAACAGTTTCAGGTTAAGAACGGACCTCCGGAACGAATTAAGTACTTAACCCGAGGTACCACTATATAGACTTTTGAAATTGCCACCCTGTAGATCAAGACACGGGTGACGCTGTGGTCTAAACCACTGAGCCTAGGGCTTGCAGATCGGAAGGTCGGCGGTTCGAATCCCCACGACGGGGGTCCCAGCTCCTGCCAACCTAGCAGTTCAAAAGCACATCGAAGTGCAAGTAGATAAATAGATAAATGTTGCATTCCAAAAGCAAGGAAGGATTGGACTCTGATTAATAAAACACACACAAGGCTTGCCCAGCAAGACTCTGGGAGGAAGTGCTAATAATAATTTGTGCACCCCTTGGCCCAGGTCGTTTTATTCACAAAAGAACTTTTTACACAGTGTTCGTAAGAACCAATCAGATTTCCTCTGAGCATTTCAAAAACCCCACGTGGGACAAAGTCAGATCAGAAGAAATCCTTTTAACTACAAAGAAACTATTTCCTACTTGAGCATGCATACGTGGTTAAGCTAAATAAACAGGAACCAAGGAGGAATGCATTTAGTACCCCCCGGAGGTCATAAACCCATAGGAAAGAAAGACGCATTTACCATCTCCATGTAAACTCTGTTCCTGGCTCTTAAGATCTATCTAAAGATTAACAAAACTAACAAAAGCTACATCAAAGCTACCTTCTACCTTTATGGCTCAGGATGCCTGGTGAACAACTGGCCTGTGTTTAGAATGCTTTTACTTGCCTGTCAGGCGTAGAGAAAGAAAATGGCAGAGGTGCAGAGGCTTGTGGGATTCGATCAGAAATTACTGTCAATGACTCAAACCCAGTCAAGCAATGCTTTCATTGCGACACAATGGCTTGTTCCATTTTTCATAATTCCTCATAGCAATCCCACCTGACCCCCACATACTGCTCCGGCGGGAAGGTAAACAGTGTTTCCGTGCACTGCTCTGGTTCGCCAGAAGCAGCTTAGTCATGCTGGCCACGTGACCTGGAAGCTGTCTGCAGACAAATGCTGGCTCCCTCGGCCAGTAAAGCCAGATGAGCGCTGCAACCCCAGAGTTGTTCGCGACTGGACTTAACTTCTCAGGGTCCTTTACCTTTTAGATCAAGACCACCCCACAATACATCATACATACATCACAGAAGGGGCAGTCTACAGCAGAATCTTGCCAGGCAGAAAACTTGTTAATGGGTTTACCTGGACAGCTTGGCCATTCTTTTGTGATGATATATACTTACAGTAATTCCTGAGTCCAGGTCACAGGCTCACCCTATTCATACCCAAATGTGCCCTTAAGGCAGGATTTGTGAGCACAGAGACAATGGCGAGGCTTTTCCCATTTCCATCCAAACTGCGGAGGAATATTTGAGGTCACTGAAAGAGTCAAAATGGCTTTCAGACATGTGGTTTAAATATTTATGTATGTGTTTGCCTGGTATATTTATGAACATTTATTTTATATCTTAGACCTTATAATTCTCACAACACCTTCCTTGTTATAAACAAACTGGGGTGACCAAAGACTGGGCAGTCAGTGCATTTAGTAATGCAGCTCAAAAGTGCCACCACCTTGGGTGGTTTTTGCTGTTGCCAAAACTATCCCATTGCTGGCTGGCTAACAGTGGCCTGATCACACTCTGATCCCTAAGTCCATCTCTCAGCAGAGTTCACAAGACTAGGTGTATTTTGTATGTGCCCCCTGAGTTTCTTTTTCTCCTTTGCTGCTGAGCTCTGCAATCCATCAAGCGCATTTCAAACTGCGATCCCATCCTCTCCCGTAGGGCTTGCATCCCCTCCCAATTTGTCCTACCTCTCTGCCCTTGTTCTTTCTTCCCTTTCCTAGCATTGCATTGGGGGAGGAGGTTTCTTCCCAGAAGCCAGCCCTCGGCAGTGCGGCGACTTTGCCAGCTTCGACTGGAATGGCTACGGGACTCACAAAGGCTGGAGCGCTTCCAAAGAGTTAACAGAGTCTTCCGTGCTGATCTTTTACCACTGATTCCAGCAGAGGCCATTGCTGCAGAAACAGATGCGTCAGAGCCACAACTCTGAAGACGAGAAACTTCTATTTGGGGGGTGCGGTGGGGTTGGGGAACCTGGAGCCTTCTGGGGGCTGTTGACCAGCATGGCCAGTGATCAGGAATGCTGGGAGTTGCTACAGTCCAACAACAGCCCCCCCCTTAAAATAATGTTTATTCATTTTCCATAAAAAAACCAACCAATTATTAACAAATCAAATTCCCAACCTTGAATACAGAAACCTCAAAGGCAATAAAATTGTAAAAGCACTGCATTGAGATAGTCCCTGTGGGGTTTGTTCTCTGTGTGACCTAAGGAGATGCATTCCTTTGGAGAGGGCTTCCGGGTGAACATCGCCCTAACCTAAGAACATAAGAACAGCTTGGCTGCTGGATCATGGGTGGCCCATCTAGTCCAGCCTCCTGTTCTCACAGTGGCCAAGCATCAATGGGAAACCCACAGGCAATTCTCTTTTAAAGCCATCAAGGCTGGTGAGCACCCCTGCCTCCTGTGGGAGGGAGTTCCATAGTTCAACGGTGTGCTGTGTGAAGGACTTCCTTTTCTCTGTCCTGAATCTCCCAGCATTCAGCTGCATTGGATGTCCATGAGTTCTAGTGTTACAAGAGAAGGAGAGAAACTTTTATCCATCCACTGTCTCCACGCCATAGACACTTCTATCGCATTGCTTCTTACTTACCTTTTCTCTAAACTAAAAAGTCCCACACGCTTTTCTTCATATCAACCCCTGGATATCCACACAGGAATTTTATCTGCTGATCCCAGCTAGACTTAGTGAAGAGTGTAAGAATCACATCATCATCATCATCATCATCATCATCATCATCATTAATGTTGCACTTCTGACACCAGTGTTGCATGTAGCCCAAACTCTGAGTAGCCAGACTCTAGGTGTGCCTGCATTCACCCAAGGTCCAGTTTCCTTACAATGAAACCAAATAGAGACCATGGTATCTTTGGGATATATAGTTTTATTTACAGTACACATATACAATATATAACCTGCTCTCAGCGGTAACACCTCAACAGATCTTTCTTCCATGTTAGGGTTCCAGGGAAGCCCCAAGCCACAGCTTGGGGTCCAGGAGAGAGCAAGACAGTATCTCTGTCTCTTCATATTCCAGCATCAGCCCAACTCACACACAATTCCCCACTTTGTCCTATTGGTCTCCATATTAGGGTGACGGTGGCATCCAGCCAGGTGGAGTGGGAAAAGCCCACTCATTTGTCTCTATGGCAACAGAGCTCACTTGGTTAAGATGCAAATGACAAGTACTGTACTTAACTTTCCTGACAAAGATACACATAGATAGAGGATCACAGAGGCCCAGGGTATCATTCAGATTGACCCCTCTCATTCTAGCTAAATGAGGGGTGTGTATTTGGGTTAAATGTGGATCCTGGGTCTGAAATGGTGGGAGGTGACTGGCCCCCACTGGCAGCAGCTCTCCAGAGTTTCAGGGAGGGAGTCTCTTGCAGCCCTACCTGGCAATGTCAGAATTTGAACCTGGTGCCTTCTGCAATGCAAGGGGGAAGCACCACCACTGAGCTACGCATCTTCCCCTAAACTTGGGAGATATGAGTTCTCTACTGTATGTAAAAGGATGGGATATGTTCTCGCTAGAAACGTTGCTTAAAGGGGAACCGCCTGGGAGAAGCTTGAGCTATGAAAGCGGAAGAGAGATGTTTCAGCCAGCTGGCAGACAGAATGTCAGGAGCCTCAAAGTTCCGAAGAAGCGTCAAGATGCAGGAGGCGCAGGATGGGCCCAGGGCGCAGGTGGGTGGGTTGTCAAGGTAACAGTGACCCACCCTCCTTTGTGACATCTTATTTTTCTACTCAGGGTGGGAGTTAGACGCGAGGTAGTTAATGTGTATGGGAGAGAATAGAAGAGGATATATATATATATACACTATTTATACAGTTGCTTGCTTTTAAGATACCCTGTTCTTTGTTTCCAACCTGCTAACAAAGATCTTCTACATCTCTCAAGGTGCCTCCAGGCTAATGCATCAGCAACCCACCTGCCACCAAGATCTGTTCCCCCCGCCCTTGCACTTTTAAGAGCATAAGGCGAGCCTGTTGGGTCAGGCTAAGTGGCCCACCTGGTCCAGCATCCTATTCTCACAGAGGCCAACCAGGTGCCTTATTGAGAAACCCTAATCCTCTTTTAGGTACGCGGGTGGTGCTGTGGGTTAAACCACAGAGCCTAGGACTTGCAGATCAGAAGGTTGGCAGTTCGAATCCCCGCAACGGGGTGAGCTCCCATTGCTCGGTCCCTGCTCCTGTCCACCTAGCAGTTCGAAAGCACGTCGAAGTGCAAGTAGATAAATAGGTACCACTCCGGCGGGAAGGTAAACGGCATTTCCGCGCACTGCTCTGGTTCGCCAGAAGCAGCTTAGTCATGCTGGCCACATGACCTGGAAGCTGTACGCTGGCTCCCTCGGCCAGTAAAGCGAGATGAGTGCCGCAAACCCAGAGTAGGCCACGACTGGACCTAATGGTCAGGGGTCCCTTTACCTAATCCTCTTTTAAAGCCAGCCACGTTGGTGGCTTTCACTGCCAACTGCGGGAGGGAGTTCCACAGTTTAACCAGGCGTTGCATAGTGTTTTTCCTTCGCGAGGGCAACTGTCCAGCTCCTTGCATGGGGCTGTTGGGAAATGTTTATACCTACAGTTGTTCCATTGAAAGAGAATCATCGAAGGAGCGCGCTTCAAAGCAGCCGCAAGAGGGCTCTCTCTAGCTTTGCCGGCGACGCCTTTTGCAAAGGTTGCAACCGCTCCCAGCAGAAATTGCATTTCCTCCCGCAGCAGCTTCCTGGGGCTGCCCTTAGCCGGGAGTCGGCTTCACTTCCTGCCTGAAACTTACAAGCCCCTAAAACAAGGGATCGTGCAATGCACAGGTTGCAACAGCCTTTGCAAGGGGGGAAAAACGGGTCTCCTGTTCCTTTGCAACCTCTGCGTGCAAATGCAACGCCCGGACGCCGCAGAGCCTTTTGCAACGTAGCGCAAGCATGTTTCAATTGCTCATGATAGTGAATTTCTTCCAAGCAGCCAGGCTGAAAAGCCTCTGAAAAGCCTCGCTCCGATGCTGGCTAGGAGGGCGAACATGAAGAGCATCACGAGGGTGGTGGTTTACCTGTCCAAAGAGAACAGCTGCCCGCAGCGCGCCAGGTTCCAGCAGGTAGCGACGAAAACTGTGTGTGGGTCTGTCACTTGCTGTCCTCTGTTGGGATTTTGTGGAAGGATCCGGGTGATTTGCAGGTGGATGAGGTCCCGCATCCACACCAGGCATTTAAAGCAGTGGATCCTGGGGTGATCCCTAAAGGCCACGGCAATGGATTAAGCCAGGGGTTGTCCAACATCTGGGTGGTCTCTTGGTTCCATAAACTCGCCCCCAGTGCCCCCTACCCTATAAAAAGAACAAATCAGAATTGCACTTTGCAGGACTCCCTAAAGAAAATAATAGCACAAGAAAATTCAACACAGTAACAAGTATTTCCACACTGGTTCAAAATTTGGTTCAACAACAAATTCATCAACAACAACAAATTTATTAAATTTGTGAGGTCCATGCCTTTACACAAAATACCATAAAACATTATTAAAAGATAAACCAAAAAGATTATAAAAGTAAGCTAAAATTCATGCCATGTTGTCCCAGCAAGGAAACTACCCAAAACCCCACCATTCAAGGAAGAAGGTACAGCAACAGGTTAGGAGAGCAATGGGAGGGACCTCACCGTTTCATCCAGGAACCATACCCTAGTTTTCATAGCCTTCACCACAAAGACCGCTACCACGTGAGAAATCCGTGGATCAGCGTCTACCAGTAAAAACTTTACTTGGTCCTCAGAGTTGACTATTGATTTAGGAATAGTTTGTAACATCGCATCCCTGAAGGCCGAATAGATGGGACAATACAACATGTAATGTATGAGATCCTCTTTGGTTCTCATATAACAAGGACATATCCGCTGCTCTACTGGGATTTTTGCATATCTGCCTGACAGATAGGCCGTAGGAATGGTTTGAAAACGGGCCATAGTAAAGGCTCTCCGAAGAGTGGGGTTGTTGTTGTTAGCTTTGGTTCAACAAATTGATGAACTTGATCCAACAACAGCAGCTTTTTTTAAAATTATTATTATTATTATTATTATTTGAATTTATATATCACCCTATACCCAGAGATCTCAGGGTGGTTCACAAAAAAGATCAACATAAAAACCACAATATATATATAATCAAAATAAAAACAACCCCCTCACAAAAAGAGCCACATTTCAAAAGGGTATAGGATGTCAGTCAGGTGAACCAAAGGCCTTTTAAAAGTCTAATAGTAATTTACACCCCCGGAACTGCAGCATTACCTACAGTCTTAATTGGACACCGCCCCCAGCCAAAATAATATTGCATACAGTATTATGAAATGGTGACCAGGGTTTTGTTTTGTTTTTTGTCTGCTTCTCCCAGAGCATCGTTGGCCACTTTTGCACAGGCGACGAAGACAGCTGGATGGTGAACTGCGCTTTGGACCAGCGCCGGTTCCTGATTTCTGACAGGGAGTTTGCTGGCTCCAACAGGGTCCTCTTGCAGGTTGGTGGGGGAGATGGATGGGGTTTCCAGAACTGAAACACGCTTTTTAAAATGTTCAGTTCTGCTTCTTTTTTTAAAGATGCCTTCTTCCATTTATTTTCACCCAAGTTGCTACTGTGACCTTTTTTCTTTTTCTTTTTGAAGGAGAGAATAAAAATATAAAACCAAAAAATTACCTTCTTATTTGTCTATCAATTGCCCAATGATGGAAAAGGTAAAGGTAAAGGGACCCCTGACCATTAGGTCCGGTCGTGACCGACTCTGGGGTTGCGGCGCTCATCTTGCTTTATTGGCCGAGGGAGCCTGCGTACAGCTTCCGGGTCATGTGGCCAGCATGACTAAGCCGCTTCTGGCGAACCAGAGCAGCACACGGAAACACCGTTTACCTTCCCGCCCGTTTACCTATTTATCTACTTGTACTTTGACGTGCTTTCGAACTGCTAGGTTGGCAGGAGCAGGGACTGAGCAACGGGAACTCACCCTGTTGCAGGGATTCGAACCGCCGACCTTCTGATCGGCAAGCCCTAGGCTCTGTGGTTTAACCCACAGTGCCACCCGTGATGGAAAACTTTGTCTCAATCAACACCTCCCTATGGTGGAGTAACATATGGAAAATAGCATTACACCTGTTTTTGCAAAGAAAAAAAAATTACGGTTGTCTCTTCCACACATCTCTAGAAAGTTGGGATAAGTAACATCCAATTGGTGTAATTTAGAGCCTTTTATTCTTGGTAGTCCTTGTGTCTCTGGTGGTTCCAGTTATAGGTTTATGTTTCTGTATCTCTGGCAAGTCATCTCTGATTCCCTCATTTCTTATGATGCTGCTCTCCGCTTACCTGTCACAGGTATCTAAGGATAACCAGCTTTTATCGTTCTTCTTGCAAATGTAGCATCCCAAGCTAACCTTTGTTCGGTTTGGTTTATGTGTTTGTCTCATGAAGAAAGGAAAAGATAAAAAAAGAGACCTTCTTCCACAGAGACCGCCTTTCTGCCCCATCAAACACCTGACGGAGGCGCAAGCTTCTTCCCTCCCAGCAGAGACCCAGGAGCGAGGGGTGGATGTGGGCGTGGCCATCCTCCTGCAGTCGGCCAATCAGAAAGTGTTGCTGACAAGGCGGTCCAAGACTCTGAGCATCTTCCCCAACATTTGGGTCCCTCCAGGTGAGAGTTGGAGGTGAGGCAGGGGAAGGGAATGTGTTTGTGACACCGCAGTTAGAGAAATTAGAGGTGGAGAAGGGATGAGGAAAGCTGCCATGCTCCAAAGGCAGGAGAATACACAGTCATCCTACAGCCGGACCCTACAGGTGGTCCACAGGAAGGTTGAGAACACCTGTATTTCCCCCTGCAGTTTGTATCCCCACCCCAGGTAACTGGGATTGAGGCTCTTTAGACTAAGCCTGTATGCTTGAACAGGCCAGCCAAGGACCTTACCTGGGGCCCCTGATTTTCATAAGAAAGTGCTTTGAATTTTTTTTCTTCTTCTTAAGACCAGCAGTATATAAATTTTACAAAATTAATAAAAGAAACAATACCACATTGGCTTTGAGTTGGATCCTGGGGCTGAAGGACCTGACCATTAGGTCCAGTCGTGGCCGACTCTGGGGTTGCGGCGCTCATCTTGCTTTATTGGCCGAGGGAGCCGGCGACAGTTTCCGGGTCATGTGGCCAGCATGACTAAGCTGCTTCTGGCGAACCTGAGCAGCGCACGGAAATGCCGTTTACCTTCCCACCGGAGCGGTACCTATTTATCTACTTGCACTTTGACGTGCTTTCGAACTGCTAGGTGGGCAGGAGCAGGGGTAGTATATCTTTATCCCCATTGTGCATGCCGGAGGGGCCGTACATCCTGTGGAAAGCTGCCCCCCCCACGTTTCACCCCCTTTCCTTTGTGTCCAAGAGCTGAGATGGCAACTCCGAGAATGAAACGCTGAGCTGAGCGGTGGGCTTAGAGGGGGATCGAGCCTGTCAGAAATAAATTGGCATGGACCTTTCTTTTCCTTTGCAGGTGGCCACATCGAACAGGACGAACAGGTAACGAAACAGCTTGCTGTGCTCTGGAAGGAGAGGAAGTACAGAGGCAACCTGTGTCAGGGGAAACCAGGCTGGGAGGAAATAAGTTTATTTATACCAGGGAGGGTCAATGTGGTTCCTTCTGCATGTTGCTGGACTACGCCACCCATCAGCCTGGCCGAGTCAGGGGCTGATGGGAGTTTAGTCCAGCAGCATCTTCATGTTGGCTACTTGCAATTTATAGAGATTTCTGTCCCATCCTTCTTGTACCTCAGAGTGGCTTCTATCAATCTGAATTTGTGTTTTTCCTTAAAAAAAAAGGGAGTTTCAGGATCTGCTCCAAACCTGCTTTTTCTGCTCCTGTAGTTGCTGGATGCTGGGCTGAGGGAACTGGGGGAAGAGACAGGCCTGTGGCTTGAGGACGGGGAGTTTTCCTGGCGCCCGCTGGCCCTGTGGGAGGTAAGAGTCACTCAAGCACCCCAGAAGAGCTGAGGTGAATTATGGGGTGCCTAGAAGGGCTGGGAGGGACCGGGGTTCAAAGGCCTGTCCACATGAGGCAGGGGCAGCCATGTTAGTTGTGCATGACTTTGTCCTCTTCATATCTAAAATGCACAAGTGTGAATTATTTGCGCACTATTCGTTGTGCAGAGTCACCCATGAGAGACTCCTTGGTTTAGCAATCTGGTTAAGGCTGAGGAGACACCAGTTCTGATTCCCACTTGGATGCAGTTTGCCAGGTGACCTTGTCATCATTTCTCAAACCTGGCCTACCTCACAGGGTTGTGTTGAGGATGGAATTGGGGTGGGGAAGAGCCATGCCACCCTACTCTCCTTGGGGCTATTAATTTTCAAGAATAGATAAAAGAGAGTTATGAAACATGGCAATACTTGAGACGTATTGCTCTATCTACCGTATTTTTTGCTCTATAAGACGCACCAGACCACAAGACGCACCTAGTTTTTGGAGGAGAAAAACAAGAAAACAAATATTCTGAATCTCAGAAGCCAGAACAGCAAGAGGGATCGCTGCGCAGTGAAAGCAGCAATCCCTCTTGCTGTTCTGGCTTCTGGGATAGCTGCGCAGCCTGCATTTGCACCATAAGACGCACACACATTTCCCCTTACATTTTAGGAGGGAAAAAGTGAGTCTTATAGAGCAAAAAATACGGTACCTCAGAATTGTCTACACTGACTGGCAGCAGTGGCTATTTGTGGTTTTCGATGGTATCTTCCCAGCCCTAACTGGAGATGCCATTGGGGTTTGAACTTGGGACATTCTGCATGCCAAGCAACTGCTCTGCCCCTTGAGATAGGGCCCTCCCCCCAGTGTTCAAAGCAGTTCACTTCCAGCCTGCTCTTTACAACACCCCTGTGAGGAGGAGTCGGTCTTCTCACACAGCCTAGGGGTTTCCTCACGGGTGCTGCCTTCTCTCACCCACTGCAGTCTGTGTACCCTCCCATGCTGAGCAGAGGCCTGCCAAAGCGTCACCATGTCGTTGTCTACCTCCTTTTGCTTTCCCGCGAGAGTCACCAGCAGCTCCAGGTGAGGTGGTTGGTGCTGTTCAGGGTCACGGGAAGCCTAACCGGGTGTCCAAGCGACCCCCCAGAAGAGAAGATCAGAAGCACACACACACACCCTCCTGGTTTTAAACTATGCACAGCATCCATATGTCAAGAATGCTCAAGTTGTGATTGCAGGGGGTTGGAATAGATGATCCTTGGTGTCCCTTCCAACTCTACAATTCTGATTCGCTCTTATGGGCAAGCTCTGGTGACTCTGGTTTCTTGGAACTCTAGTTCAGCCTTTTTCCACCCGAGGGCTGAATTCCCTGATGGGCAGCCTGCCTAGTTCCTAGAGTGGTTTAACAATCTATCTCTCCACAGTGAACTCTGGGAGCTGCAGCTCTAGGAGGGCATTAAGGGGGTCTCCTAGGAACTCTCAGCACCCTTAACAAACTACAGCTCCCATAATTCTTTGGGGCAATTTAAAGTGGCATCCAACCAGCCTTTTAACTGAGAATGGCAAACCCCAGATATTTCATGGGCAAAGATGGGGGGCATACTTTTGTACTGGTGATAACCTTGTTTACACATCCAGCTTTGCCTACTTAAAATGATCCTAACAGGTTTTTTAAAAAGAAAATGGAAATTTATTAGAATATTTCATCTCAGAGTAAACAACAGAGCGTCTTGTGGCATAAGCTGAGAAGGATGGGGAAGCTTTTCTGATCAATGGGCCAGATATCCTGACCCCTGGCAGGCAAAATTTCACAGGTGGGTGGGGCACATACCTGCCAATTGCCCTATGTCACAGTGACATCAGGTGATGCTGCAGTCTAAAGTGAAGCCCTGGTTGTCGGGATTTCAAAGCACGGTGTGGGGCTGTTTGAAAGCCCTTTTGCAAGGAGACACAGACTGCTTTCAAACCTCTGAAAACCTGTTTGCAAAAGGGCTTTTAAACAGCCCCACACTGCTCTTGGAATCGCCAGTTTTCTTTTAAAATAATATCCCACCGTACTCGACATGCCTAGAACAGTTCTGGTTGCTTGGCTGTGCTTACTTTTGTGTCACATTTCAGGTGAGACTGAAGCCCAATGAAGCAGAAGTGAGCGCTTACGCCTGGCTGGACGAGCCAGTCTTGGCATCCATCGCTGCTACACAGAATGAGATTGGGGCCACCAGTACGATGGCAGGCGATCTCCCACCAGCTGTCAGGTATGTGGATGGTTAGGCGATGTGGAAAACAGGGGGGGGGAAGCACCCCCTCTCCTTCAGCACCTAGGTCAAAAGTGTGCTGGCAGCCCCTTGGGCAATGTTTTGGGCTAACTGGGCATCTTCTTTGCCTCCCCGAACAGCATCACCGAACTGCAGCACGGCTCAGCCAAGACAGTGGCCATCCCCACCACAATGTTCCTCAGCTCCGCTCCGCTACAGGGGGAAGATGTGGAAAGAGTGAGCACCGGGACAAAGTTTGCCCTGAGGCTCTGGCTGGACACTTTAGCGGTGCAAGCAGAGTGAAAGGATCAAAACTGGGAAGGAAGAGAAAGAAAGAGGTGGCAAGCCCCATGGGGTATGATCCGGACTCAGCCACTGGATTTAATCCTAGTTTTATGCTGGTGCCAGTTGGCTCTCTCGATACCACTAAGGTTAATCAGGCTTCCCTTTTTGGGGGGTGTGGGTGGGGGGAAGGACTGATCTAATGGGGGAATTGTATTTTCACATTTTATTGTTCAGTGACCAAGGAGCAACAAGAGTTTCACTTCTTGCCTGGACTTTCACAGATGTAGGCACACTCCACATTAACAGGGGCAGGAAAGCAAATGAGGGTTTTTAAAAGGTTGGGTGTGGTTTTTTTTAGCAGAACATGTCATTGTAGATACTTAAAAGAGGCAGTCCACTGGACAGCAGGGAAGAAATAAACAAATGCAAACGATAGGGCGCATCTGAATTTCACACCATGAGTTCCAGAATTTTATTTCACGCGCTTGTCTGGTTCCTGTTCAAAGGACTAGCACACATCAGTTCCCTTCGCATTCAAGATGACAGAAAATAACCCGTGGAAGTGGGGTGGATTTGAAGCCCTGTCTTCTTGCTCAAAAGTCTTACAACTTGTTCACTGTGCCACTGTGGCCCATGTCCACAATGGCCGTGCTTTTTAGGAAGGGGCAACACATCTTTTGTAATCAACTGTTGCTATTCTTATTTTAAAAATATTGTTTTGAAAAACCCAACAAAAAATTAAAAAAATGGGCGACATATGGCTCCACTTTGCTGCTCTGCTCAGCAGATCGGCAGCCGTATCCTGTACCAGCCGCGGCTTCCAGCCTGCCTGCCAACTCTACAATTCAAGGGTAGCCCCGGGTGCAGCACATTGCAGTAGTCCAGTCAGGACTGCCAACCAGGCTCTCTTGGTCCAGGGACAGCCATAACAGGTGAACCAGCTGAGGCTGGAGACTGGCACTAATGAAGTTAGAACTCCAGAACAGTTCTTTTGCCAAGAATTTATTTTATCTAAAAGGTACTTTTTGCATATACACAATGGCTCCAAGCTGATAAAACAAAGAGATTCAATGGACAGAAAAAGGAGACCCAAAAGTGTGAAGCGAAGCATTCCTCTTTTTTGCTATTGGGGTGCAGATGAAATGTTTTATGAGGTTAGGGAGATGAAGCAGGGTGTGTGTTTTGTCTGCAGAAACATTGTTTTAAAGCAGTTGATAATGGCATTGAAAGAAAAACCAGAACCCCTGACCTTTCTTTGTCCCCAAATGCTCACTGTTAATGTACAAAACATATATGCCTGTAGAGCTTGGCGGTTCTTCATGCGGCTGCCTGGTCTTAACCCCCACTTGATAAACAGCCGCAAGGCTGCATGCCGAGGGGGGGGGGTAGGAACCTTGGGGGACACCTGCCCCCAAGTTCCAAGACAGTGTCTTCCTGAAGGCTCCCCACACCCATCCTTGAAAGACAAATCAGGTCATCGCAAATAGATGCATGTGTTGTTGGAAGATAAATTTGCAGTATCGCTTACCAAGATTTCATGCTTCGAAGGAGCTGGAATGTTGGCAATGCTCAGGAGGAATGGGGGGGGGGGTGTACCAAGCATGGAGATTTGAGGTTGGAAGAGAAGACTGCAGCTGTAATATAGGGCAGGAGCTCCCTCCCCGCCCCCAGCTCTTTATTTCTGGCTTCAAACTTTGCTCAAAGAATAGCCTCACATCACGGCGCTTCTCCTCCAAAGGACTAGAGACTTGAGTTTTTGTATAAACAGAAATGGAGTTTTCAGGAGACGAATGCCTAGGGCTGGGTGACAGGAGTCAGCGCGTTTTGCAGTCTAGCGTTATAGATTTATGTCAGCTAGAAAAGTGGCACCCAACCCACCCAGAAGGTGTAAATCTCTTGGCGTTTGACCGTTCTAAGCAGATGCCTTGAAAAACAACCCCCTAGATGGAAATGACATGGGGACACCCAAGTCACACACCTAATGGCACATAATGAAGAACATCAGAAAAGCCTGCTGGATGAGGCCAGTGGCCCATCTAGCCCAGCATCCTGTTCTCAGTGGTGGCCACCCGGATGCCCATGGGAAACCTGGAAAGCAGGATTTGAGCACACAAGTGCCCTCTCCCACCCTGCGGATTCCAGCACCTGGCATTCCTGGAGGCAGCAATGAGCAGCTACTGATAGCCCTCTCCTCCATGAATCTGCCTAATCTTTTAAAGCCATGGAGGTTGGTGGCCATTGCTGCTTCCTGTAGGAGGAAGTTCCACCGTTTCAACTCTTCATTACCTTTCCGATTCAAAATATCCCCCCACTTCTACAGCCGCAGATCACCAATGCAGATTAATACTGCCTGCCCACCAAAGGATGCTCTGAAGAAACGGTGTAGTGTATTTGCATCCATGCAAGCATCCTCTAAAATGTTAGTGAAATGATATATTGGGATCGGGTGAGGAAACTAATCTGTGTTAAAGCAAAGGTTGGATGACCTCCAAGGCACCAACCCTTACGCTGTAGTCTGGCAGACAGAAGTGCTGCTGAAACGTAAGACATTCCCTACAGTGGGAACTTCCAACAAACTCAAATTTGGATGGCCGTGAAGTACCGTATTTTTTGCTCTATAAGACTTACTTTTTCCCTCCTAAAAAGTAAGGGGAAATGTGTGTGCGTCTTATGGAGCGAATGCAGGCTATACAGCTATCCCAGAAGCCAGAACAGCAAGAGGGATTGCTGCTTTCACTGCGCAGCGATCCCTCTTGCTGTTTTGGCTTCTGAGATTCAGAATTTTTTTTCTTGTTTTCCTCCTCCAAAAACTAGGTGCGTCTTGTGATCTGGTGCGTCTTATAGAGCGAAAAATACGGTATGCGGATTTTATGTGTTGCTACTTGGAAGTGAAGCATTTCAAGGCAGCTTTGGCCCAGTGATGCTAGGAAGTTTGCGGGCTGTTTAATTCTGACTTCCACCTCACTTTGCCAGCTGATCCTTTTGGCTGGAGAGGCGGGGTTTGCGCCTTCTGCATGTAATGGAAGGGCTCTGCCACTCAACTATGGTCCCAACGCAGGGAGCAAATGTCTCCTATTACCTTCCCATTCAGGAACCCCAGATAAGCTTCCAAGGAAGCCCAGGATTCATCAAAACCTCTTTCTTGTTCCAAACTCAGATTTAAAATGAAACATGAAGGAGGACTTATCGAAGCAAAGTTCTCCCATGAGTGGGAGATCTGGGTAATGGGCTACGCCAAACGGAATTAACAGCTCTGATCAAAATGCATTGGGACATTTCCTGCCCTGAAATTGGGCATTTCTGGCTTTTTGATCTGCACACTGTGGAGTCTTTGTCGAGTGATTAAAAAAAATAAAGTTGAAGAGGCAAAAGCTTCCTCATAAGGCTGTCACTGCTTTGCTGCATCTGGCTTAGTGCTCCTGTTGCTTTCAAGCAGGGAGATATTTTATTATTTAACTTCTAAACTGCCTTTTAGGGCAGAACCACTCCGCTCAAGGCTTGTTCTTGTTGTCGAAAGCAACAGGATTTGTTAGAAAAGGAAAAAGTGCTTAGCTTTCCAGAACACTGTCTGTCTTTCTCACCGCATCGTCTGGCTTGGAAAAGGCGAGACGGGCAGGTGCAGGAAGCGGAAAATGCAGAAGCAGCGGCTACGAACTTAAAAAACACACACACAAAACAATTATACACTTAAATACATAAATAAAGTTTGTGCAATGGACGATGCGCTGCCCCCACCTGGGCAGGGAGGGAAGTGCAACCTTCATTTCGTCCTCGGAAGTGGGGGTGGGGGACACAGAAAAGATCTTTGGAGTTTCTTATGTACAAAAACTGAAAATATAGATTATAATAATTATATATATCTATATATATATATCTATATATATCTTTTGTTCTCTGTACAAGATTGGCAGGAAATATTTTAAGAGGAGTGGGGACGGGAACCCTAGATCTACAGCTTTAGAAAAATACACTGTGGTAACAACAGTCTCGAGGATGGGCAGGTCTGCAGTGGATGTTGGTGATGGAGGAGAGGAGGACAGAGACACGGGGGCGCAAATCACGGGACTTTTAAGGGCATGCTGGTTTCGGAAGCGTCCCCTGGGGCTGCACATTAGCGTAAGTCCGAATGTCAAGGAAGCACAGCTGCTAAGGAGGTACCTATGGCAAAGAGTCAAGACAGTGTTGCCTGCGATGGGTCAGGTTTTGTGGGCGTGGGGGGGGGGTACACAGACGCAGAAGTCACAGCCCATTGCTCTGTAGAGGGCACAAGCTCTCCACCCACCCGTGGCTCCCGTCAAGTGCGCACGCAGCCCAGGGGAAGAGGAGAAAACAGTCACGGAAGTCCCCAATGCGGGAAAGTCAGCAGGAAAGTGGAATCACGGTTCCCCAGTCCTTTTGAGTCCTTGAGCTGCTCCAAAGCTCATCCCGGGCTTCTACTTCATCTTCATTATGAGTAAAATACCTTCTTTTCTTGCTTGCCGTCAGGCTCTCTCGAGCGTAATAATCTCGAGAAGTTTGGGCACGTGGAGGATCTTTGAGAAATCTGTTTTATTTGTGGCAAAACTCTCAGCTGGAACCAGCCACTCCTCACTGTGGAAGTGAGTTTCCTGTTATGCCCTCACCGGATGAGTCTGTTAAAAATCTGCTTGGGAGGGGGGTGGCTTTGGTTTTGGCAAATTAGTACACTGCTTTCAAGTCTCACGTTAGCCCTTCAACGGGCACATACAGTATGTCCTTCCCTGAAAAAGAATTCTATCAGACTTCCACTTTTTTGTTTTTTTAATGCCAGTCTGAAATGGTCCAATATAACCTGCCTGGGATCTCCGGTCATTTGTTGCAGAGCTGGCGATGTGCTGAGTATGAGCTGTGCCCAAACACCAAATTTATTCGTGCTTACGATAAAGTTGCCTTGAGTTCACTGAGGATTCTGCATTCAAATCCTGGTCAGAAGAAACCCAGGTTTCAGGCTTAAAAAAAAAAAGTGGAATTCTGCAACTCAGATTATATGTCGATGAGTCTTCATTTGCCTCATTTTGCATAAATAATCCTGCTTCCGTTAAGCCGTGGGGACCTGGAACTCGACCCTCCCGTGACTGAAATTAAATCTTGTTTCCCCAGTTCTTCAGGGCTTTCTGGACTCCACCAGCTCAAAACTCCCAAGCAGCTCCAAGGCCAAATGAAAAAGCGAGATTCTTTGGACCCCCCAAACTGTCCCAAGTCAATTCCATAATTTTTCAAACCTTGAGCGGAATTGCAGAATGAAAAAAAGAGCCCTGAAGGAAAACAAGAGAAAGATCTTTGCCCGATTTGTCTCTTTCTAAGAAACAGGCTTGACGGAATTCTGTCTTTTCCTTGTTTCACTCTAGTGGGGGAACGACGATTCCACCTCCTGCCCTCCTGTAGGGAAAGGGTATCTTTTAGTCTAGAGAGATGATATCTGGCCGGCACCCCGGCAAGATGGGGCTGCCCCCCACGGTGCCACTGCGCACATGGCTTTCCCGCAAGGCCGTGGTGGGCGAAGAGACAACACTGTTCATGCGGCTGCTGCTGCTGGTGGGGGAGCCCGCGGTGCCATGGGACCCCACCACCACAGGGGCCAGGGGGTTCATAAAATGGGGTGAGGTGCCACGATACTGGAAGAAGTGGCTCAGGGTGTCTTGCTCATCCAGGGAGGTGATCACGGAAGGACTGTAATGCTGTCAGGGAAGGAGACAATCAGTTATTGGATGCAAAACAAACAACAACAGCGAGTTAAAAGGTATTAACCAAGGCTGTGAGCCGGCATGATCCATTATGTCAGAGGAGAGGGGTGGGAAAACTTCAGGGAAAACACTTAAAAACAAAACCCCTAGAACTCCCATGATCTTGTCTGCTGCCAATTAGACATGGACGTCAAATTAAAGGAAGTCTGATGTAAGAGCTTGACCCACGGAAACAAACAAACCCCCAAGTCTGGCACACAGACAAATAAACCAGAGCTTATTTCTCCAAAGTTTGGTTTCTTGCCTGGTGCCTCTGCAGCCTGGCGAGCGTGTGGAGGAGCCCCAAAACTTCCTAGGTGAAGAAGAGCCCTGGGTTCCTGCACAATCGCAAGCCACAGTTAACAAGGAGCCAAGGTCTGTAAGCATCAACAAAACTCTGGATTGCGGGCAGTGAAACAAAAGCACAATTAATCTGCTAGGCTGGGTTCAGACAATCAAACCAACCAGAGTTTCATACGATGGTTTATTAAGCTGTGGCTGGCATTATGAGCAAAGGATATCCCCATGAAAAGGGTAAGAGGAACTGTCAATTTACCAAGTCCGGCCAGACAGGCTCCCTGCTTCCCCACCCAAATCCAACAGGCAGCAACAGCTTTAAGAAGTCCCAGGAAAATCAAAACTCCTTTCTCTAAAGGCAGATAAAGGAGATGACTCATGAGTTGCAGAGTCTTGCAGTTCATGAGGATTTCCTCGGAGTGGGAAGCAGGTGAGGCAACTACCACTAAGACCAATTAACATGCCTCTCACAAACATTTTTTGCTTGGGGACAGTTTGGAAAGGAGGAGGTGGGCAAAGTCCAGCGGAGAAAGAGAAACTGCCCCCTCCCTACCCCTACTTCAAAATCCAACTTTGTTCTCATCAGGTTAAGTTCCCTCGAAGTTTCTCAGATTGTTACTAGCAATCTCGGGAGCTGAGCTCGCTAGATCAAAGCAGAACATTTTGCAAGACAAGAGTGACTCTTTTGCAAAGATTTTTATAGGAGCTCATTGCACAACCTGAACTGCTAGCTCCAAGCCAGCCTCTCTGCAAGGGCTTCAGTGCAACAGCTCAGCTCTAAGGTCCCAGAAATATGACCCCAGACAAACGCAATTTGCTTTCCACAGAGCCGAGGGCTGTTAAGCTGTTCTTGTTTCTCAGAACAGTTCTAGGAATTCACACGGTGAATGCACCTTGAAAGGAAGGTGCTTTGGGGGGGGGGGCAGCAGCCTGCCCCCCACTGTGAAAACAGACAGAGCGAAGCAAGGAGGTAGGAATTTGCAAGAGGCAGGGAAAAGACTGATTTCCCCCAGCCTGTGTTTGCTGGGTTAGCACAGTGGCAAGAGAAAGGCTAGGTGTGCTCAAGGGTGAAGGGTGGCGAGAAAGCTCACTGGGTGGCTATGTTGCTGAATACATGGAGAAATGAAGACTGGGGAAGGGAGGATGGGGAGATGAAGGAAAAGGGAGGGGGGGAACATACCTGATTTTCACTTTGAAGGAAGGAAAACAAATCCAGACCTAGAAAAATGAAAAGGTGAAAAAATAATCTTAATGGTAAAATGAACATATTGGAGAAGAGGAAGGGATTACTAAAAAAAAAAATTGTAAAGTTGGGAGGGGTGTAGGAAAATATATTTTGGTCATGGCAGGAGGGCCGGTCTCCATGGACACCGCAAAGGCCTCAAGTGTCCTGGGAAGGCTTGAGGAGCACTCCTGAGATGGGTGACCCACCTGCCTCCATGCCCCCCCCCCCACTGCCTGCAGTGGCAGAGGGGTCCTCCTGTGAGCAACATCCCCGCTGCAAGGAGAAAACACTGCCCCCTCCCTGCCGCACAGCTGAGGAAAAGGGATGTTGCAACACACCCAGTCAAAAAACTGGCATTGTCATTTTGGCTGGAGCAGTATTGCTTGGCCTGGGGGGCACAGGGCACTGGGGTTTGCTTGGTATGGAGGCACCTAGGTTGGGGGCAGCCGGGAGAGAGACCAGTGGTGGGGGGGGAAGCTTCCTGGCCTTATGGCTGGTGTGCAGAGAGGGAGCTGTGCCACACAGCAGCTGGCCCATGACATGCCAAAGCGCCTGACATCCTCTCTGGGCCAGGTTTGGGTGGGTATTGAGCTGGCAGCTTTAGCGACCGCAGTTACATCAGCATTTCCTGTCTGTCTGTTTGTCTTCAGAGCCTTCACCTTTTTTTACTTTTCGGACTCTGCCTTCTCTCCTCTCCTCTCTTGCACTGCCAAATCCCCAGGCCACAATTCCTTTGGACACAAACATACAAGCATCACGATGGGAATGAGGCTTATCAATCAGGAGGGGCAGGGAGCACCTGGCAGGATGGGGAGCGGCTCACTTTATACCAGGCGAGAGTGAGACTGTGCATTCTGCCAACTGAGCAACAATGGCACACTGACACACACCAGATCCTGGGGGCTTTGCACAGCGTACTGCATCTCAGCCAACTCTTAACATTTTTGGTCTCAAGGTTTTGAAAATGTGCCAGGAAGGATATGGGGTGGGCTTAAGGAGAAAATTAAAAAATGTTTGCAAATAAGCTTACTCTGCTTATATCCACGCAGGTCACAGATATGTTTTCTAGGGTGTATTTTGGCATGGAAAATCCCAAGCAAGCCATACGTTCTAACAGAGTTCACGCTGCTCCATCCCACCACACCCTGAAAGCCAGACGTAAGGTTGATTTGCCTCCCTGCCTGGTTCTGACCAGCAACCCTCAGCTCTCTTTCTCCGCAGGGCTCTGTGTCCACAGCTGCATCCTTCAGAGGTATATACTGGGATTGTGTAAGAAGCATTAGATTGGCTGTGCTTCTTCACAGCCTCTCCCATTTCTGAGGCTGTCCCTAGGTACATTTGCATTCCAATAAAGGCCTCTCTTTTCACTTGGAGCCTGCATCCTTTTCTGTGAGGTATACTTCAGACCATTTAAATTTATCCAACATGGGTCGAGGGCACAGGGGAACAGTTTATGGAACCAGGGGGGCGATATCCCAAAAAAGTTTGGGAACCACTGGTCTAAGCCTTCACAGTGCAGAGAGTCCCGTGACAACACTGCTTGGTTCTGGTGGAATTAAGTTACCCTGCTCCTACGGGGATACAAAACAGAGCAACAAGGAACTAAACACAAGTTTTGGTCCTGTGCTGAGTGACGCAGCCCAAATTACCTTGGATGTCCGAGGGGACCTGGTAAGGGTGGTAGTCGGGGATCGGAAGGCTGGAGAGGTAGTCGCTCCCCACAGTGGCCATCGGGGGGCTGCGCAACACCGAGGAGGGCTGGTGGTCAGGGCTTAATACTCTGAAATGAAACAGAAAGACTAGGCTTGGAGAAGGAAAATAAAGGGGGAGCACATGGCGGACAGGTATCAAATCATATGCATACTGTACTGACAGAAGTCTTTCTCCCTCTCTCATAATACTAGAACCCAACGGGGTCATCCAATGAAGCTGAACGTGGGAAGACTCAGGACAGACAAAGCAACATCCTTCTTCATGCAGCACATGACCTAAAACTATAGAACTTGCTCCAGCAGGAGGCAATGAGGGTGACCATCCTGGATAGCTTTTAAAGGGTAGGGGGTAGGCGAATCCAATAAAGCTATTGATGGCTACTGGTAACAATGGCTACACTGCCTCCACGGCCGGAGGCAGCATTGCTTCCAAATACCACTTGCTAGAAACCACAGGAGGGGCTCTTGTGTTTGTGGGTTTCCCACTGACCTCTGGTTGGTCCCTGTGAGAAAAGGATGCTGGGCAAGATGACCCTCCCCCCATGACCTGATCCAGCAGGGCCTCCATATTGTTCTCTGCTCTTCCCCATTCTGATTAACCCGCTTAATCTGGACCTGGAGCATTCCGCACAAGAGAGTGGGTTCGATGAAACTATCGATGGCTACTAGCCATAATGGCTACAGTAAGGATTCTGAATCCCAGTTGCTGGAGGAGGACAGCACAGCTGTGGTTTAGCATGCTCACGTCCTGCTAGCCGATTTCCAATGGGCACCTAGCTGACCACTGTGAGAACAGGATGCTGGATAAGACGGATCCCCCCTTGGGCCTAATCCGCCGGCCAGGCTCTTCTCAGGCTCCTACACTCCCTTCTTTCCATGCAAGAAGGTTTAACCCAACACAGAGGAAACACAAAGTGAGCCCCACCCCTTGGGTCCCGCTGCAGATGGGATGGCCGCAGTGGTGAGTGGGAAGGGCTTCTTGGCGGGAGGCTCCTCCTCGTCCGAAGAGCTGTCCAGCGTGAGGTCGATGACCTCCACTTTCTTCTTGCCTTCGGCCAGCTGCTTCCCGTCAGAGCCCACTGTGTACAGCGAGGCTGCGAAGAGGAGGAGAAAAGAGGTTAGGGTAGGCGAAGACAGACAGCCCTGCCGTAAAACAGCAGCAGGGCTCCGATCTTGAAACTCGTCAGCACTCAGGTTAGCACAGACAGCAGGGAGTTCCCTGTCTGCCCGTCAGGAAGGTGTACAGTTGGGCTCCCTGATCCCTTCATCCCTGATCACTAGCTGTGTCAACCAGGAGTGATGGAAGTTGGGAGTCGAGTAACATCAAAGGATGTAAGCTAGGCTGACTTAGGAAGGAGGAGCAGGAGGCGCTGCAGGGGTCTCAGGACTATGGCACTTCACTTCCAAAGCTCTTGTATCCTGCCCCTGCCATACAGACACGTAGGCAAGACTTGAAGAGCTTCTTCCTCTTCAAGGCTGCCTTTAACTGAGATCATGATGAGCTTGGATGTCTGAAGAGGAGGAGAGGGGCTGTGGCTCTGCCCTGCCCTCTCCTCAACTGCTTATGCCTGGCTTGGCCGTGCCCTTGCACTGTGACTATAATACCTCTTGCCTGCTTAAATGCAGGAGGGGTGTGAGTGTAAAATCCCCAAATTTTGCACAACTACAACATCACATGCTGCACAAAGGTGACATCTGTTGCTCGACAAAGTGGCAAAAGTGTGTCAATGCAGGAATTTACAGCCCTTGGGCTGGTCAAGAACTGTGTTTTGCTTGCTAACTTGGCTATTGTATCTTTATCTCTTGCCTTGCTCTTGTCTGTCTGTCGTGAGGATCTGTCCCAAAATGCCACTCTAAAGTATTTTGGCTCTTCATCAATCTACCATTAGCCATGACACTGCTAGGCCCAGACCAAAGGGCACCATTCGAGGGCCCCATGAAGGCCAGAAGAACTCAAAGATGTCTCATCCTCTTCTAAAGCCACCAAGTTGGCGGCCGTCATTGCTGCCTCATGTGGGAGGGAGTTCCACAGTTTAACTCAGTGTTGCATGAAGACGGGGACTTTGAATCTTCCACCAATCAGTTTCAATCACACAACGGCCAACTAACATGCACAGGGAGGTGCCAGGCCTCCTCACTGCCTCTTACCTTCCAGCCCGTTGTAAGCAGATGGCTGGCAAACCTCCTGGTTCTCTTTCTTGGGCTTCATGGGGCACCAGGAGCCATCCTCCATGAATTGGATCTCATCGCAGTCTGTGACAGAGTTGAGGATTTCCATGAACAACCTGGGGGGAAGGAGGGGAAACAGAAGAAAACATAGGGGTGATTCAACATCTGGACAGTGGCTGAAGTGCTATAGCCCTAAACACCTGGAGGGCACCACTTTGGTGGAGTCTGAGATTACTATAATTGATCCACAGTCGGCCATAATCTTACATAGTCCCTACACCCTTCTTCTTGTCTTCGTGAACAAGGAGGAGGAGAGGAAGCGTCCTCATTCCTTTAGAATAGGAGTAGCCAATGTGGTCCCCTCCAAAGGCTTTTGGACTACAACTCCCATCATCCCTGACAACTGCCATGCTGGCTGGGGCTGATGGGAGCTGCAGTTCAAAAACATCTGGAGGGTTCCAGGTTGGCTGCTTTGGAACTGGCCATAGTTCAAGGTAACATACAAACTCCAGAAACCGTGACTCGTTTTAACAAACGTCAGATAGAACCAACCACAGGTCCAAGTTTGTAAGTGGCATAGCGCTGTGGTTCGTCCTTAAAGCAAAAGCAGGTGTCTGCATGGAGGGAAAGTGGAGGAGAGCTATGCCAAGCCAGAGGGTCATCATGGTTTGTTTGTGGTCTGACACAGGCCACACAAAAGATGGAGAAAATTGTAAGTATGGCTGCAATTCTTGAAGAGCATAGATGGCGGACAGAATGTGGTTTCTGGAGAATCTCATCTTGTACTAAATCATTTACTAATTTACAGAGGTTGTGGAACCATTAATTTCTAGGTAATAAAGCAGTACATCTATGCAGCCCTGAAGATAGACAACACCACCATCCCTCCAGAATTTAGTAAGTCTGATGGCAAAAGCTGTGGGCAGGGGTCATGTGGGGAGAGGGAGCCTGACCTCCAAGCCTCCCCCAGCATTACCCGTCAATGATCAAGGCCTCGTAGGGGGCCTTCTTGTCACAGACAGGGCAGGTCCAGGTGGGCTTCTTCTCATTCATCTGAAGGTAAAGGGCTGCGTCGAAGCACTGCAGGTGGGTGCAGGTGAAAGCTCGGCAGGGGACGATGAGCCTCATCTTGCCCAGCTGAAAGGAAGAGGGAGTTTGTTTATCATAATCTACTTACTGCGTTTATATCCCACCACTCTTGAGAGTTAAGAAATCCTTTCTGGCTTACTTCAAATTATCCAGAGATCTACCAGAAGATCTCAATCCACCTTCCGCCCACCCTGGTCCAGATCGCAGACTGGGAGCCTTTTGCAGATAACACAGGTATTGGTGAAATTTCACTAATAGAAGCTTCACATAGAAACTCCCTATGCTCACATACCATACCATTAAGCTTTCATGGGGGCTGAAAGCTTTAGTGTAACTAAAGCTTCTAGCGGCTGCCAGATTAGTAATTGCCCATTATTGGAAGCGTCCTGAAGTTTTACTGTTTTGAGTCTGGAACGTTGCTTTGTTGGAACGCCTGACCAGACACAGATGGGAGAGGCTGAATCTGACAACTTCGAGGCAGAATGCTTTCCCTTCTTTGAATGTCCCTCCGGTTTCTCATTCTTTGTTATGAGGGGTATTCAAATACCATCTGATACTCAGTGAAGCAATATTGTACACTGGTTTGCTGTTATTAATTTTATTCCGCAGCTCTGTATTACTTTTTCTCTGTCTACCTATTTTGTGTGTGTGTCTCAGCCGCTTTTTGCTGGCTGAAAGATTGGCTACTTCTTGAAAATGTGGACATTTTGGATTTAGAAGGTTTTGATAACGTCTTTGGATGGCATGCTTATCTATGGTACGACAAAGTTAAAGCGCATAAGGCCTTTAAGAATCATATTGTCAGGAAAGCATTGTTTAATGTTTGGGTGAGATATAAGGATTTGTTGGAAAGTAAAACACCAAGGTGGCTGTCACCAATGGAGGCAAAGGCATTGAAAAAACTAATATGGAGACAAACTGGCCAAAATATTGTGAAATCTTAGAACAAGTTGGTGATAAACTAAAATTGCAGAGCTTCGACAAATTAAAAACTAAAGTTCGAGATTGGCTGCATTATTATCAAATAAGGGAGGTTTTTAATTTAGACAAAAGATTGGTTTCCAGGAGGAAAAATCTAAACTGGAAACGGAATTGTTAGAACCTAAAACTAAAAATCTGTCAAGAATGTATAATCTGCTGTTGAAATGGAATACACAGGATGAAATGGTCAAATCTGCTATGATTAAATGGGCGCAAGATGTTGGGCATAACATTATGTTTGCTGACTGGGAACGGTTATGGACCACAGGTATGAAATTTACGGCTTGCAACGCCTTAAGAGAAAATATAATGAAAATGATTTACAGGTGGTACTTAACCCCAGTCAAGCTAGCAAAAATTTATCATTTGCCTGATAATAAATGTTGGAAATGTAAAGAAAATGAAGGTACTTTTTTCACCTTTGGTGGACGTGCCCAAAGATCAAGGCCTTCTGGGAAATGATATATAATGAACTAAAAAGGTATTGAAATATACTTTCTTGAAGAAACCAGAGGCCTTCCTCTTGGGCATGGTCGGTCAATTGGTGCGAAGGGAAGATAGGAATTTTTTATGTATGCGACAGCAGCAGCAAGAATACTCATTGGGAAATACTGGAAGACACAAGAATTGCCTACCCGAGAAGAATGGCAGAGAAAAGTGATAGACTATATGGAACTTACATATTCTTGTATAAGCATAATTAAAAGAAGAAGAGGAGAACTTTAGTATTACTATATCAACCCAAATGTAATCACAGATGAAGAGGGACTCTTATTCAGGGCCTTGACATCAGATGCTCCTGTTCAGCGAAGCGCAGAGCGGCTTGGAAGCTTCGTTTTCTGCAGCACCCTGGAAGCAGGCTCTGCTGCAGTGCTTGGGAGTCCCCAACTGGGGCCTCACACTGAATACAATGAGCAAAAGTGCTGGAGTGGGATTTTCCTTGTGCTCAGGGAAGGGCTGCTGATCCAGTGGAGCCACTCACTAACGGAAGAGGGGGGAATTGGGTCGATTCTCCCTGCAGTTCCCAGGCTTATTTTCCACCCTGTTCTCTCAATGCTCTGAAGTCGGCTTGAGAGAGAGAGTTGCAAGGGGAGAGGGAAAGCCCTCTGGGTCTCTATGCTCAGGGTAGAATTTGTGAGCAGCACAAGGACCTAAGAAGAGCCCTGGCGGATCACGCCAATGGCCCATCTTAGCCCAGCATCCTGATCTCAGTGGCCAATCAGATGTCCCAGTGGGAAACCAGCAGGCAGGACCCCAGCACAAGAGCAACTCTCTCCTTCTGTGGTTTCCAGCAAGTGGTATTCAGAAGCATTGCTGCCTCCAACTGTGGAGGCAGAGCAGAGCCGTAATGGCTAGAAACCATCGATAGCTCTCTCCTCCTCCATGAATTAATCCAATTTCTTTTTAAGCTATCTAGGGTGCTGGCCGTGACTGCCTCCTGAGGGAGCGAGTTCCACAGTTTATCTAGGCACTGCGTGAAGGACTTTATTTGCCCTGAATCGCCCAACATTCAGCTTCTTTGCATGTCCCTGAGCTCTAGTGTTAGCAGAGAGGGAGAAAACCTTTTCTTTATCCACCTCCTCCATACTTGCCTTTTCTTCAAGCTAAAAAAATCCAAGTGCTGCAGCCTTTCTCCATAAGGGGATTTGCTTCACACACCCCCTTGATTATTTTGCTGGCCCTTTCCTGAACCTTTTCCAACCCTACAATATCCATTTTTGTACACAATATTCCGAGCACAGTTGCAGTACAGATTGGCATGACAGCATTATATCAGCAGTTTTATCTTCAGCTCCTTTCCCAACGATCCCTAGCATGGTATTTGCCTTTTCCACGGCCGCTGGGTCGATATCTTCATCAAGTTACCTACCACAACCCCAAGGACTGTCTCTTCCTGGCCAGATTTGAGAGTATATGGAAAGTTAAGGGGGGAGGGTTTTGCTCCCAAATGCATCTGAGATTAATTATCTTTGGTTAAGCTTACAGCTGCCTTCACTAACCCCATGCCCTCCAAATTTTCTGGATTACAGCTCCCAACTCAGCAAAGGCTGCTGTAATCCAAGACACGTGGAGGGCACCAGCTTGGTGAAGGCTGGTTTGCAGCATTATACAAAATCAAAGCGGAAACAACAACGGGAGAAAGGCGATTTTTGTGCATAACGAGCAAATCATCAGTTGCAGGTTCCAAATACATATTTATGAGCTTGGGCTGGAACGAGCTCCTCATCTGTTTTTGGACAGATTTGGTTTAACTCTCAAGACAGATTTATAGTGTTTTGGTGGTTCTTCATGTATTTACATATATACGGCTTCATGTGAAATAAAGAGATAAAAGGAGAAACCCAACATACCGGACACATGAGAGAAACTCGTAAGCTCGTTGTCGCTATCTCGCTGTCGGGATCGGCTGTCAGTTTTTCTTTGACTGTGAGGTGTGGGGAGAGAAAGCAAAGAGCTCACTCAATATTAGGAACACACAATGAGGCACACTGTGTGGGAACTGTTTGGGTGAAGCATCAGCTGGCATGCAGAAGGGAAATGGTTCATCTCCAGGGGCAGCTGGGGAAGACCCCTGCCTGAAACTTGGGAAAGGTGATGCTTGTCAGGGTAGACCTGAGCTAGACGGACCAAGGGTCCAACTCCGTACAAGGCAGCTTCTAATTCCCCCCTAAACACTTGGTGCGCGAGGGTGGGACTCCACTCAGCAATCTTTTTTTACACCGGGACTTTTAAAAAATATGATCTGGAGTAAAGCTCTGCTCCACATTTAGGCTGGATGAACAATTTCCTGCAGGCAGGAGGGCAAACAGATCATAGAACTGTAAATTAGAAGGGACCCCTTGCCCACAGCCGTCCCTGGGTGGGCTTGGACCACCAACCTTCTGGTTAACAGTCAGACATATTGACCCATTGAACCATCCAGTTCTGGGAGTAGTATTCAATTCTTTGCACTAGCGGGCAGCACTTCTGCTCATGAGAGATGAAGCACATGACTTTCACCAGTCCCCAATACACAGCACAAGGGCTGCAGTGAGCCAAGATGATAGCAAAAAGGTGCTTTGCCTTGTGTGACTAAGAGAGCTTTTCACTAGTGCTAACCTACCACCTGGAGGTAATTGCAAGAAAAAAGCACACACATCCCTGATGCAGAATCATAGAGTTCGAAGGGACCCCAAGGGTCACATACTCCAACTCCCTGCAATGAAGGAACCACAACTAAAGCGTCCTTGACAGATGCAGACAAGATTTCAAAGGACACAGAACTTACTCAGGGCTCGTGAGTGGTCTGGGTTTCGGATGCCCTTAGCTCTCAGTTTCTGTAGCAGTGTCACTGATGTCAACTGTTTCACCAAATAAACCGATAGGGAGTAATTCTGGGCAGAAGGAAACCAATTATTATTCACTGTTGTACAGAGGAATTAATGTATTCGCTGATCTAAGTAACAGGCTAAACCCCGGCTCTCGTCCATTGGCTGCAGGTCTCCCTGCCCTTGGTTGGTTGAGCTTTGCTGATGTCATGGAATGTTCACAAATGTTTAGCTGCCAAACTGGAGAGGCTGCTCACAGGATGTTCAGTTTATTTATTGCCAATCACCTAATTGGGACAGGCGCTTTCATACACACAGTTGCAAGGATGGACAGGAATAATTCTGTTCACACATTAAAAAAAAGAGCAACATAAACCACAAAGCTTCTCCTTACCCTGCCAAACTCAGAAGACCAGTTCACGACGATCGTATTGGGGACGGTGGCCGAAAGCCGCACCAAAGGGGTGATGTTGATGGGTCGACTGGGCCGCTTGGGCTCTGCCCCATTTTTGGTGGGGGGAAGATAACCCTGCAGAGGCAGAAGAGGACATCTGAGGTCAGGCCCCTTGACCCTTTGCCAAGGCTGGACATACAGGGAACCAAGAATAAGGATGGCGGGTGGGTCATCAAGGGGCTGCAGTCAAATACGGCCAAGAATCCCATGAAGCCAAGAATATACAATGGTGGATAGGAGGCAGTTCACCTTTCCATTTCATTATGGTGTCATTTGCTAGGAAGGGCAGCCGTGCCCCCAGCTCCCCTAGGGGCAGAGGAAAAGCCCACTCTAACTGAAGGCATCTCCTGGAAGGAACATGAACACAGGCAGGCACTAGTGTGCATTCCAGAACACCACCACTAATAATAATGATAGTTTATTACCTGCCCTTTACCTTAAGGTTCCAGGGCAGGTTACAACATTAATATGCTCTCAGGGTTAGGGTCCTGACGCCCCCAGAACTTTCCTGGTATACATGCCTGGTCTCTCAGACCCCAGGGCATGTACAGAGTTCAGCAGAGTAACTCAGCAGAGTGTTGGCAGCAAATGAATCACACGAACAGCTCACTCCATTGGCAAATATGCTTTACTGAAGCATTTTGATAAGCATTGCGGTTGCGAGTCCTCAGCCAGATCCCTGACTGGCTGTATAGCTCAAAAAACAGTTACAAAGAGATGCCGGCAAACTGCATAGCTTGAAAACAAAAGCCTGACTGACTCTCACACCTGCATGCAACTATACAAGGAGGGCTCAGACAGCCTGGAACCTTCCGGTCAGCAATGAATACTAATGAGAAAGGACTGCTGAGTCACATGTGCAATATTTAAATCCGTTTAAAACAATCACAAAAATAAGGGAGATGTAATGAATAAAGTGCTTCTTTGAGACACTATATAAACTATACACCAACTATATGGGGTTTGACAATGGGTAAGCATAGATGGACAGATCGTGAAGCTGAGGCTCCAATACTTTGGCCACCTCATGAGAAGACTCGACTCCTTGGAAAAGACCCTGATGTTGGGAAAGATGGAGGGCACAAGGAGAAGGGGACGACAGAGGACGAGATGGTTGGACAGTGTTCTCAAAGCTACCAGCATGAGTTTGACCAAACTGCGGGAGGCAGTGGAAGACAGGAGTGCCTGGCGTGCTCTAGTCCATGGGGTCACGAAGAGTGAGACACGACTAAATGACTAAACAGCAACAAACATAGATGGACTCTACACACCTTTTACTTCTGCAAAAAAGACTCCTATTAATTCATTGGAAAAGATGACTGTTGCCTGGTGTATATTGTACTACAGGCCATGTACTGTTGCAGGGTTGTTTGATTGTACTATAACATTAAAACATTTATTTGAAAAGTACAACTTGGGAGATCAGGTTCTGCATGCAAAGGGTGCACTTTGTCACTGAGTCGTGGTCCCTTCTGACGGAACCGAGGAGCCGGTGGGAGGAGGGGCTTACTCACCGGAAGAGGGCAGAGCTTCCCATTGATCTTGACAAACAAATTGGGTGGGAAGTAGTCCTCTTGCGGGCAACTGGTTTCACACAAACAAAACCTGCAGAGGCAAAGAGACCGGAAGGGTGAGGGGAAGACTACCCCAAGGACAAAACAGTAACTAGAGAGGAGGGAAGAGTTTCCCTGAGTCAAATTCCTTATTAAGAGAGATAGATAAATCATAGAATAGAATCATAGAATCATAGAGTTGGAAGAGACCACAAGGGCCATCGAGTCCAACCCCCTGCCAAGCAAGAAACACCATCAGAACACACATCAGAGCACAATGAGAACACAGAATCACAGAATTATAGAGTTGGGACCCTGAGGGTCATCTAGTCCAACCCCCCTGTAATGCAGGAATCACAGCTAAACCACTATGCAGGCAGGGCCTCCTAAGTTGCTCTGAGCTCTTATAGGGCAGGCCTCAGGGATTTTGCTCATTTGTAACTACACAAATGGGGAGGGGGACAGGTTCAAGGGCAGGCCCACCTACAGCACTTTGCAATAATACAACCTAGAAGTCTCCAGAGTATGGAATACATTGGCCAAATCATAGCTGGCCAACCAGCCTTGGCTAAGATTGAGCCAGGACTGCTTTATACAAAGGAAAAAGCACCCCAGCTGCCAATCTCTAAACAGTGTGAGATTTGTAGAGATGTATTTTTCCGATTTGTAAAAGTCCAAGAAAACATTAGGCTCTGCTTACCTCAGTTGTACCTGGACGGTGTAGTCACATTTGGCAGCAGGTAAGATATCGCTGGAAAAAGGAGGGGGGAGGAGAAATTCTTAAATTTCCCAGAACAGTCAAGCTACTTAGAAATACTGTCATTATAATACAATACGTAACAGGCTGAAACCTACTTTTCAGGTTAGATTTTTGTTTTGTTTTTAAAGAACACAACAAAAACCAGCCCCCCACCCCCCACTGGCTGAGCTTCTGTGACATCACAGAGGGCTTGTGGGCTTTCTAACAGCAGAGGGGAAACAGCCTACCACAGATTGTTGCTGTGAGGGAAATGGGAGAATTGTTGACCTGCGTGGGGACAGGGAAGAACCTTCTCTTTGGCTTGTGTCTTGGAACATCAGAGACAGCCTACAGTTAGAAAATCAAAATTACAACAAACAGGGAGCAGAGGGCCGGCACTTCACGCAGCAGCAGCAGCCTGGAAGGGGTTCTCTGGTTTAAGAGCACAATAAGAGCCTGCTGGATTAAGCCAATGGCCCCTCTAGTCCAGCATCCTGTTCTCACAGTAGCCAACCAGGTGCCTTTGGGAAACCTGCAAACAGGATCCGAGCACAAGACCACTCCTCTCCTGTGGTTTGCAGCAACTGGTATTCCAAAACACTGCTGCCTCCCACGCAGAGCCTAGCCATCAAGGCTAGTAGTCATCCACAGCCATCTCTCCCAGGAATTTGTCTGAGCCTCTAGGCTGGTGGCCATCCCTGCCTCCACTGGGAGGGAGTTCTATAGTTTAACTATGTGCTGCATGACTTTCTTTCACCTGCCCCCGAATCTTCCAACCTTCAATTTCTATAGCAAGCAAGATGGTGTCATTTGCTGGTCCACAGCCCAGGCCTAAAACTGTGCCATTGTCTGGAGTTACAGCGGGGAGCCAGTGGGAGATGTTTGGCTATGCTGCTGCATTTGCCCCTGACTGCTGCCAGTCTCCGCAGCAAGCAGCCCTTGTTCCTGCCCAAACAATGCCCAAACTCCTGCTAACAAATGTGGTACCTAAGGCTTCGTTCAAACTGACTACAGTCAAATTATAGGTGGTCAATTAGTAGCATTTGACCAGCGTGCTAAGCCTGGTGGCCAAACTTCTAGTTTATTTTTAAAGTAACTCTTTATATATGAAGTCCGTGGTAGGGAAGAATAAAAACCTTCTGGAACGCCCATTTTGGTTGCATATATGTTTTATGCGCAGCTGCCTCTGTTGGTGATACCCATGGCGGGGGGAGGGGGTTGAAGTTTGGCAGAGGGAAGTAGATTATATTAAGAAGCCACTTAAAGAGGATAAAAACTGATATGAGGGAACTTTAAAATGAAATTATATTACAGTTATAAACACCAAGGACGGGTAAGCAGGAAGTCATTAGTATTGCAGAACAGGATTATAATTATTGAGTGTTAAAATGTAATTTTGAATCTTGAAATCAGATAAAATATTGATATTGGGGGTGGGGGGAATGAGAGGTCATCTTTAACTATCCTCTGAACAAAGGAGCCAGCCTGGTTGCCTTGTTCTACTGTAGACTATCTACTTAGGCTAGAACTAAAAAGTCACTCCCTAAATTGTGTATTGCCGACAATAAACATAGCTTCATTACTTTCTTACCTACAAACATTTCTCTCTCTCTCTGTATGTGTGAAAGCAACAGGAAAAGCCTGCTCTCTAAGCAAGACTCACTGGTTTAAACACAACTCATCCTGCATACTATCCCATTAGTTTGTTTGTGTGGGTGAATGCGTAGATGTGAAAATTAATTTGAGGTGTGGACGTGTTAGTCGATGTGGAATTTGTGTGGGTTTTGAGTGAATGGAATTGTAAAGTTAAAGTCCTGCATTATGGTTTTTTCTTCATGTTTTATATACTGTATTTAATTTTGTTTTCCCCCCCTTTGTAAACCACTTTGTAGACGTTTCTGGTGAAAAGGAGGATGCAATACTTGAAATAAACATCCTGGTTGTAGTATTGCTCTTATGTTGCTGGCTTGGTTCAGACACCACACCACAGTTTGTATCAATCATAGTTTAGAACAAACAAGCCAAACTAGGGTTTACCAGATGCTTATTTGATTTCATTTTCTGTCTGGCTGAGCACTCCTGTTTCGAGGCAAAGAACCGGTTGTCACTTTGGTTTGCCAATTCAGACACTGCACCAAATAACGATGCTTAGTGCTAATGCGTAACTAAAATTTCCTGATGCTTAGTGCAAACCACGGTTTGCAGGCACACTTCAAACCAGCTTCCGATTCCAGTTTCTCAGGCAATCACAAACTGTGGTTGTTAAGCTCAGACGTCACACCAGTTAAGCACCCTTGACTGTGGTTTCATACGATGTCTGCACTCAGCCATTGCATTTTGTGTGTGTGTGTGTGTGTGTGTGCGTGTGTGTGTGCTGAAAGAGCTACAAATCCTAAACAGAAAATAAAATGGCCCTTACCGAGAGGCAAGGATCTGCTGCACCTGCTGAGGAGTCAGGGCAAAGGTGAAGTGAGCCTCCTCAAACCTCTGGCTGTTCACAGATGCTGCAAAGAGAAAAGGCCAGAGGCTAAGCAGTGATCAGACAAGGCCGCAATCGGAAGCCCACAAGGGAGGCCCAACCAAGCGTTCTGCTATGCACAAAGGAATCCTGAAACAGAGGGAAGAGGATGGGGAGGGGGGAGCTCAGCAGGCTCCCTGGACCACCTATTTGCCCTCTCCATCATAGGTGGAAAGGAAATGGGCTCCACATACTTATTCCTGGCTCCTTAATGTCTAGCACAGGGGTGGGGAAAATGCAGCTTTCCGGATATCCTTGGACTCCAACTCCCATCGCTCAGCCCTAGCAGTCAGCACGGCCAATGGTCAGGGATTATTAATACTATTATTACACTTAATTTATTAATTGCCTTCTAAACTGCCATCTCAACTAGGTTTACACATAAGGTAATTAAAAACAGTTCAAAACACCAGCTAACACATTGCAGCAACAGTATTGCATGGAGGTAGAGAGGAAACTGGTGAAGAATCACCAGTGTGCACTACCAGTTGGGAGGGAAGGAAAGATTCAGTGGGGGACCATGTGCCCTGCATGCGGAAGGACCCAATCCACGGCATCAGAAGTTAAAAAACAGATCAATGTGCAGCAGGTGACAGTGAAGACCCTCCCACCCAAATCCAAAGTTGCCGACTGGCCGTCTGATCTGGCTGAAGGCAGCTTCCTATGCAAAATATAGATATTTTGGACTACAGCTCCCATCAGCCCCAGCAACTATGACCAGTCCCAAACATCTGGAGGGCCCTACGTTGGGGAGGTTTGGCCTGCACAATTCAGGTTCCTGCGCACAACCTGCAAAGCAAAAAAACCATCACACAAAATAGTGAGGGAAGGCAGAAGGCATTGTGCAACTTGCGCAATTGACACAGATAATGGAATTTTATTTTCTTTCAGTGCAGAATGCATAGTGCCTGGTGTTTATGAGACTAGAATCTCTGTGTCTTCGTACTGACTCTCTCTCCTACCATTACAGGGTGAGACGCAGGCAGCTCTGCCCCTCAGCAGAAAAATCTGAAAAATGCTAGCCGCGGGATAGAGAAATTCCCAGGCCCTGCAGGTGAAGCCAAGGCAAGAACTATCAGTTAAACATTCCTGCAGCACTTCATGGCCTCAGGAATGAGAAGAAGGGCCCTTTACCCTTACTCAGTCTCACTCTGGTTCTACTGCAAAACACATGCCACTCTATATTATTATTATTATTATTATTATTATTAAGCTGGCATTAGCTCACCAACACTCTTGCCATGACAAATCTCTCATTTTTTCACGTGCCATAAGACACATATAATTACTTTTGGCCCTGACAATCAAACCAAAACCTCCAAGGATTTGGCAATGGTCTCCCTATACCATCTCTTTCCATCTCCTTGGAGACACACAAAGCACTAATGCTTTGTTAAATTCTCAAAAGAGTATTTACTTTTTGGAATCTTGGGACTCAGCAAAAATTGTCTCACTGAGAAGCTTCTTCATCTGTCCCCTGGTTTCAGTGGCTCATTTTCCACAGCACAATGAACCATGGCTTGCCCTAAGCATCATTTAGCACCCCACTCACAACAGACAAAAGGCAATCCCGGGTGTAGAACTCCTTGCCTCTTTCCATTTTCTTCTTCTGTTGATTATTGGACTGATTAAATAATTTAACCAGAACACAAACTCTGCCGCACAAACAGTACCCGCTCCATCCTGTAACATATGGTTGTATTAAAGTCTTCCTTAGACTGACATCGACTTTTGGACTCTCGCTACTTATACGAACCTGGCAAATATTATTTAGATCTGAGATCTGAACTATGCTTTCAGGATTGGGGGGGAGGGGAGGATGTTTTGTTTGTCTATTTTTCATTTTCTATCCCTTCAGCATTCAACTTTGTAAGTTCACCTCAATGTCTATGGCATAGAATACCTCCAGGGTCGAGCAACAGCATAACTAGGATTTAGGACCGTAGGGAGCTACCTTATTCTGAGCCAGGCCACTGGTCCATCAAGCTCAGTACTGCTTACACTGACTGGCAGCAGCAGTGGCTCTCCAGGGTTTCCACATAGGGGACATGGCCAGCCCTACCTGAAGATACCAGCAAGGATTGAACCCGAGACCTTTTGCAGGCAAAGCAGCTGCTCTATCGCCGAGGCTTGACCCTTCCCTTCCCTTTGTTATCATGCCAAACTACAGCTAACCACAAACCCAGGTTTGCAAACCCACTTCAAGCCAAGGCTTGCTGGCCAATCGCAAATCATGATTTGTCAATTCAGACATAATGGTTTCCTCTTGTGGCATCTTATTTCCCCTGGCTGGCGCCAATGTTTTGGCAGACAGTTTGTAAGCTTCTGGGTTCCACAGCACTCTTCTTCCCTAGCTATCTCAAATTCTAGAGTCAGTCGGGAGGAAAGGGCAAAAAGGAAGAAACAGCTTGGAGGACTCACCTAACGTGGTGGGCTTGATGAGCTCGTCGTATACATCGTAGAAGGGCAACCGCCGCATTTTCACGTCCGGGTGAACCGGGTGGATGGGGGGAGACAGGTGTGGGACGTCCGCCTCATGCTTGGGTCCCAACATAGGCACCGGGGGCAACATGCCAACCGGCACCCCAGAGGTCACTGACGCGTTGTCGTAGGGCAAGTGGCACATGGTGCCCTGGGTCAGTGTCGTGGTGGAGGGGAGCTGTCCCGCCTGGAGGTGCAGCATGGATAAGTCCGAGGGGGTGAGGATCTTCCGGGGGAACCGTCGCCGGTACAGCTCCTTGATTTTCATCTGAACGGCCGGGCTGCAGCCAGACTTCAGCAGCTGCAGGGCCTTGGTGAGCAGCTCATGCTTCCTCCCGCTCTTGTTCCTGCCCGCGAAACCCAGAAGCACCTGCAGCTCCGACACTCTAAAGCTCATAACCATGTGCTGGAAGGGGGTAGAGAGGGAAACAGAATATTTAGAGAAGTATACAGATTTTGAGATGGCACTCCCTGAACTCCAAATTTTAGTGCTAGCCATCTCTGGCATTAAAACATCTTATATTGTACACATCTGGTACTGGTGACTGGGAGTGGCCGCCGGGACCACATAACACCAGTCCTGAGAGATCTGCATTGGTTCCCAGTACGTTTCCGAGCACAATTCAAAGTGTTGGTGCTGACCTTTAAAGCCCTAAACGGCCTTGGTCCTGTATACCTGAAGGAGTGTCTCCACCCCCACCGTCCAGCCCGGACACTGAGATCCAGTGCCGAGGGCCTTCTGGTGGTTCCCTCATTGCGAGAAGTGAGGTTACAGGGAACCAGACAGAGGGCCTTCTCGGTAGTGGCGCCCACCCTGTGGAACACCCTCCCTTCAGATGTGAAGGAAATAAGCAGCTATCCTATCTTTAAAAGACATCTGAAGGCAGCCCTGTTTAGGGAAGTTTTTAATATTTAATGCTGTATTGTTTTTAACACTTGATTGGGAGCCACCCAGAGTGGCTGGGGAGACTCAGACAGATGGGCAGGGTATAAACAAATTGTTGTTGTTGTTGTTGTTGTTGTTATTACTCAGAATGAAGCACCGACCCCCAGCCCCTGATTCCATCTACACAAGAACCAAACTGACTCTGCAGGATTTCCAGTTGTGAGGGTGGAAGACGGGTGGGTGGGGGGTACTTCTAGACAAACGGAGGGGAGGGGGTGCTGCTTAGGGCACAGAGTTTGGGCTAGAGAAGCAAAAGCCTGTTGAGGAAGAAAAATTCAGGTTCGCCTCACTCCATATAATCAAGAAAGAAATGGGAGGGGAATTGATTTTTTTTAATGGTGAAATTGGTGGAAGAAAACCGTTTAAGAAGAGTTTTCTAGAAGATAAGGAGGGCCTGCTGGATTAGGCCAAGGGGGACCTATTTAATCCAGCATCCTGTCCTCACAGTGGCAAACCAGATGCCCCATTGGGAAACCTGCAAGCGGGATTCAAAAACAAAAGAGCGCGTTAAAAAAGAGGGAAAGAAATTGCTGGACAAACAAATTGAACTGGAATACAAAAGAGGGAGGTATGAGGAGGTCCAGAAAATAAGTAAACTTAAAAGTGGTGATGAAAAGGTGGCATTGTTTTTAACTGTTTTCTTTTTTGTCTTTTTTTTTTTTTTTTTGGATTATGTATTGTGTATTTTTGAATTGTGTATTTTTCTTTTTTCTTTTTCTTTTTTTTTTAATTGATGTGTTCTTTTTATTGGAAACCCTAATAAATATCATTTAAAAAACAAAAGAGCGCGCTCCCCTCCTGTGGCTTGCAGCAACTCGTATTCAGAAGCATTCCTGCCTCCATGGAGGCAGAGCAGAGCCATCATGCCTAGCACCCATCGATAGCCCTCTCGTCCATGAAATTGTTAATGAAATTAATAATAATGAATTTGTCCAATCCTCTTTCAGATCTGCAAGTAAAATACTTTTTAAAGCAGAGTTTTAAAAATACTACTTACACAGCTAATTCATAGTCCTGCACACCTCCCAGTCAGATACAAGATTCAAAAGCAGTAATATCAGCAACTGCAGTGCTGATGTACTTGATTGGATGGCCAAGCAAGCAACAATTCTAGGATCTGGTGCTGGAAAAACGCTTTCAGATGTTGCCAAACGCAGACCATCTTCAGGTGCTTCCAGCGGCGTAGCGTGGGTTGTCAGCACCCGGGGCAAGGCAAGTAATTTGCGCCCCCTAACCCGGGGCAAGGCAAGTAATTTGCGCCCCCTAACCCCTAACCTGCCGCTGCTGCCTGGTCTGGTCTGGTGTGGTTCTCTCCCGCGCTCAGCGCTGCGCTGGGCGGCCGCTGCACTGTCCCTCCCCCAGATAGTCCCTCGCTCTCTCTCCGCACCGCACGCCTGGCACCCACCCCCTCCACAGTGGGCGGCGACCCAGCGGCTCGGATCGGATTTGCACAGCCAGCACTGCAGTGAGAGCGAGTGAGTGAGCCAGGTAGGGGCAGAGAGCTGCGAGTGCAAGCGCCCCCCCCAGATGTTGCGCCCGGTGCGGCCGGCCCCCCCTGCACCCCCCACGCTACGCCACTGGGTGCTTCATAAATGTGTGCAGCCTAAAAGGTAAGGCGTTTCAACCTTCTGGACCTGGGCCTTTAGCTCATGAAGTCACCCGCAGGAACCCAAAACATTCTCTCTCTCTCATTTCCTCAAATGGCAAAAAGCTCTTATCACTAGCTCCTAGATGCATTCACGGTTGCCATTTCAATAAAACTAAGGCATGTATACTTTTAAAAATTGCATAGCTTTATCTTAAAAATAAAAAAGTCAAGCAGTGTGTAAATTGTGCGAAATAAATAAATACACAATACAACTGTGGGCACTAAGATATATCGTATTTTTCGCCCCTTAGGGCGCACCTAGTTTTTTTGGGGGGGAAATAAAGAAAAAAAAAACATTTCCCCCCAGGCGCGGGACTGGGGCGGGGGAAGCCCAAGCTTCCCCCGACCCCAGAACAGGCTGCTATCCGCAAGCCGTGGGAGAGCTGCGCAAAACCCGAAGCCTGGGTGCTGGCAGCTCTCCACAAGCCGTGGGAGAGCTGCGCGACTTCGCACAGCTCTCCCACGGCTTGCGGATAGCTTCCTGAAGCCTGGAGAGCGAGAGGGGTCGGTCTCCAGGCTTCAGCGAAAGCCTGCATTTGCTCCATAGGACGCACACACATTTCCCCTTCATTTTTGGAGGAGAAAAAGTGCGTCCTATAGGGCGAAAAATTCGGTACATTAAATACACATAAACTTCATATTCTCGAACCAGCAAAATAAGTTTAGGGTTAATGTGAAAGCACTGCATGCAATACAACTTTTTCCTAAAATCCACCCCCCAACACTTTCCCCCCAGGTTTTCCCCATAGCTACAAAATGTTTTGGAATGTGATACTTTTAGCCAGTCTTGCCCCCCACCCCCTGCAATGAAGCTGCCTGCTTCCTATCATGCTACATTATAGGCTAAACCAGGGGCCAGCAAACTTTTTCAGCAGGGGGCCGGACATCCCTCAGACCTTGTGGGGGGCCGGACTATATTTTGGAAAAAAAATATGAATGAGTTCCTATGCCCCACAAATAACCCAGAGATGCATTTTAAATAAAAGGACACATTCTACTCATGTAAAAACACGCTGATTCCCGGGCCGTCTGCGGGCCGGATTGAGAAGGCGACTGGGCCAGATTTGGCCCCCGGGCCTTAGTTTGCCTACCCATGGGCTAAACCATCCCAAAGAATTGAGGGGGAGTAGGACGTAATCTACATTCAATAGGCATTAGGTCATACTTGGAAACTTAGGAGTGGAGGGCAGGTTAGCCATTAATGTCTCCCAAGATCTGGATCATGCCAAGGTGGTCACCTGAGCTCAGTGGCAGAACACCTGCTTTGGGAAGAGAAGGCCCAGATCTAATTCCTCTCAAATCCAGTTCAAAGGATCAGGTAGCCCGTTAACTCAGTAGAAAGTACCCGCTTTGCATGCAGAAAAGGGCTGCCAAAATTATCAAGGAGATGGAGTGACTCCCCTATGAGGAAAGAGACTTTACTTCCTCTCTACAGAAGCAAACACCTCTCCTCTCGTTTCAAGATGGTAAAATGTGGGCTGGGGCAATACCACGGTTAGGCAACTCAACATCTGGTTGAGTGCTCATTATTGGCTCTATGTCAGGCTTCTCCAACCTGCTGTTCTTCAGATGTTTTGGACTACAACTCCCATCAGCCCCAGCCAGCACTACAGCTGGGTGGAAAGCAGGAAGTGGAAGGGGGCCAACAGGTGTGCAAGCAAGGGGTAAGGGGAATGGAAGCTTGCAGCATGTCCCCAATAGCTGGTTTGAAAGATCACCTGAATTTAGGTAAAGGTAAAGGGACCCTTGACCATTAGGTCCAGTCGTGACCGACTCTGGGGTTGCGGCGCTCACCTCACTTTATTGGCCGAGGGAGCCGGCGTACAGCTTCCGAGTCATGTGGCCAGCATGACTCAGCTGCTTCTGGCGAACCAGAGCAGCGCACGGAAACGCCGTTTACCTTCCCACTGGAGCGGTCCCTATTTATCTACATGCACGTTGACGTGCTTTTGAACTGCTAGGTTGGCAGGAGCAGGAACCGAGCAACGGGAGCTCACCCCGTCACGGGGATTCGAACCGGCGACCTTCTGATTGGCAAGTCCTAGACTCTGCGGTTTAACCCACAGCGCCACCCACATCCCACACCTGAACTTAGACACCCTTTAAATTGGTTTCTAGTCCTCACTGACTACCAAGATCAAAGAGAGAAAACCGACCAGCAACACATGTGAGGTTTGGAGGGAGAGGAGGTGGAGTCTTTCTTGCAAGGGTACTCACCTTCCACCCCTTCACCCAACTTCACATCTGCCAGCCACATTTCCTCACCTCAAACCTCCACAGGCTTCTCTCCGTGCTCAAAACTCAAGAATAACCAATTCAGAAAATAAGGCAGGGCAACTCGGGTCCAGCAGATAAAGAACTGCTTTGGGGCCTAAGAGAAGGTAAGTTGGGAGTCTCACCTCTATTGAGTGTGCAATCCCAGGAGGATGAGAACAACCACCTAACTCACAAGGCTGTTCTGAGGATGAATGTCTTAATTATTTAAAACACTAAAAGTTTGTAACATGGGAGGAGCTACTCAGAGATGGCACCACAAATTATAGGACATCCTGAGAGGAAGGCTTACAGAGCACACCCCAGGGGTTTTCAAAGCAAGATAAAATCCTTTCCTTTTAATCCTCAACAGCCTTCTAAATTTGGGGGTCTCAGAGTTGTTTGGTTTGTAAATGGGGCAGAGGGCTGCTCATTCCTGTTTTTATGCTATTTATCTGGTTCAGTCTGCTTTTAAGGTCTTGTTTGCTGCTTTTTTGTTTGTTTCTTGTTTAACAGAAAATAAATTGAGAAATATTATGAACGCAAACAACAAAACAGTCTATATAGGTTCATAGAGATACGGGGACAATGCGTGGTTTTCAATCTGCTTCTCAGATTTTCAGTGGGAGCTCTTGCCAGTGCAACAGACACAGAGAAGGTTGTCTTGAAGCCAAGAGCCTCTCTGGTTTCCAGGATGCAGCATCAAGAAGGCACTCTTACTCTCAAGAATTACAGGGATCTCTCACTAAGCTCTCGTGGGCGTTTTGTTTTTGCTTCTGCGGCCCAGAGGATGGGCCACAGCAAAATGGTAGGGTGTCCATTTTGCTGTGAATCACAAGTGGGGCTGTTGTGCTCAAGTCCTGCTTTCGGGCTTCCCATAATAGGCACCTGGTTGGCCACTCTGAGAACAGGATGCTGCAGTGGCCAGGCCATTAGCTTGACCCAGAATGCTCTTCTTATGATAAACTTTGCACACAGGAGATCCCAGGTTCATTCCCAGCTTTTCCAGATGGGGCTAGGAAAGACTCCTTTTTGAAAATCCTGGAGATCAACTTCCATCAGCCTCAACCAGGATGGCCAATGGATGGAAAGATGGGTGTACTAACCCAACAACAACTGGAGGGTCACAGTCTCCTCGGTCTTTGGGCAGGCTCTACTGAGCAAGACCAACCCATCTTCTGTAAAAAGAGGTTTCTAAGTCAAAATATCTGTGCAGCCCCTGAGTTAAGCCCTGCAGAGCCACAACTTCTCTGTGCAAAGATGGAGCATTGCTACCCGGGGCAAAGGATTTTGTATCATGACAATATTTTTCATTAATAAAAGAGGAAAAGCAAGTTCCTAGCCTCTGAAGATTAGATTGAAATCATGTGGGCAAAGGTGAAGGCGGAAGCTGGATAATGGCAGGAAACGGGGGGCGCCGCAGAAGATTTTAGTGCCCACCCAAGATCTAAATTCCCCCTTTGTTCCATGTGTACCTGACAACGCATTGCAAGTTCTTGGGAGTATAGATATATATACAGTGAGGAATTGCCTAGTCTCTGCTTGCCTCAGAGTCTGGGAAATCTTTTATTTTATTTTTAGCTGCCAAATATGCAAAATTATCAGAGCTGGTCCTAAGTATACAACCGCGGAAAACAAACCCTTCACTTCTCTTTCCAAAGGAGCCCCTTCCTGGACACTGCAGCCCCCCCCCAACCCCAGACAGACAGACAGACCTCCAAGGTGGGGAAACCAAATCTTTCTTGGTCTCAGTCAAATAAATATGGAACAAACGAAACAAAGCAGAACATGGAAAAAGGGTCGATGGGGGCGAGAAAGAGAGACAAGAGGGGATTCAGTTTGCCGAGAGGGAGCCTTCAGACTTCAAAGAGGTTAAGAAAGCCATCAAGGCAGCCAGCTGGGCAAATGCTCCAGCTCCATGGGTGGGCTAAATCAGCCTTTGAAAATGCAACGCTCTACATACACATACACACACACACAACCAACCAACCCATGTGCTTAAACATTACTCTCCTCCAAGTGAAATGTCTTAGCTGAGGCCTTATTTGCAGAAGGGGGGATTGGCAGAAAAAGGGCCTGGAAAATTCCATCCTTTAAATGGAGGAGTTGGGGGTGGCAATGCAAGGCCCACAGGCGGCTCCCCACCGCTTGCCAGATCCGGCTCTTCCTGTCTGAAAAAGCACAAAGCGGCAAAAAGTGGGAGGGGGCAGGGGAGAAGAAGGGCGTTTGTGCAGTTGTGCTATCTCCTTCGAGCTGACCCACTGTATATGCCTGACACTCCCCACACCTCTTACATTTTTGCAGTTACAGGATTTCCTACTTCTGCCTACGTTTACTCAAAAGTATGCACTGCAGAGTTCAACAAGACTTAATCTCAAGGAGGCATGTGTGCATAATATTGCCGCCTAAACCTTATATGCACATATTTGAGTTACTATTATTATTGCACTATTATTATTATTAATTAAAATTTATATACTGCCCTTCATCTGTAGATCTCAGGGTGGCTCACAACATAAAGGTAACCCAGGGATATTAACAATGTATACTTAATGTGAGCCTGGTTTTTAGCTTCTCTTTGAAGTGTTTTCGCATTTTGCATTTGCCATGGGCATGGGGGGAAATTCTCTAATACCCACCCACCCTTATTGCGCAGCAGGATTTGCAGAAAAATAACGTCTTCTAAGGAGTACCTGATCTCAGATAAACCCACAACATGAAATATGCACCCCACCTGTGGTGGGGAAACGTGGAAACTACAGAGATCCAAAGAACTAGAAAATGCAACAGGAGCCAGACAAGAAGAAGCCCTGGGATCCTGTCTGGTCTCCAAATAACTCACTTGGCAGTCACTGATCTTACTTCACTCATAGGCTAAAAACACGTAAAGTTGGGAGCAGCCAGTTTGGCCCGTCTCACAAAAATGGCTTGGAAGAAGACCGGCACATTTTGCTTCATAACTTACTTTCAAGGAGAGCTATAGGCTTACTTTCTTAAAATAACAAAAAACAAAAACAAAAAACAGAACATTCAGAATCTTGGGCCCCTGCTGGCTATGGGACCAGTATACCAGGAGCTCCTCTGCCCACCTCTCCAGGTGTTAAAAGCAAAGTGTTCCCATTTAAATTCAGGAAAGGTGTGCTCTGGCTCTCAAAAGTTCAGGAAGTGACACCTTACATGTACAGAAGTGCTTCTTTCAGGGCTCTCCAGTTCAGTCCTCACCCCAAAGAGATTCCAGCCACGAGGGGCAGGTACCCTGCACAATGCATCTTGAATAGCTTGCTTGAGCCACCTGAAGCTATTTGGTATAAAGGTATCCTTTCAGTCACTGCTGGTGGCATTTGATCACCTGCTATTTAACCACAGTCAAACCTTCCACAGCCCTGAAGATGAAGGTGGCCTGTTGCTGCCAACTTAGCCTTTTAAAAAGTAACTTTTGTTCTTTTTGTTAGAGTTGCTGTCCCTGAGCTTCATTTCTTCCTTTTAAGCAAACTGCAACTGCAGGCTGACCTTGCTGTTCCAAGATAAAAGGGAAAGAAAAAGAACTCTCCCGTGAACCCATTCACATTTGAAAAAAATCTCACATAACATTGTAACTCTTAACTGTTCTTTATATATTTTTTAAAAGTTCATTTCATGGTTTCACAATAAACAGTAACTAATTTGTTTCTTAGCCATGAGTATCAAACTTGCAGGTAGCCAGAGTTACCTTCCACCCCTTTTTTTGTTCTAATCAAGCAAATGCTTTCAAAAGTCTTGACCATTAAATGCCCCAGAGTGTGGTCTGGATTGCCTGTCTGAGGGAGTGTGTTACACACTAATGATTCTCTCTCGTTACACACTAAAGATTCTTTAGCCCTTTCCAAGGCTATGGCTCCTTCCAGTCTCTCAGCAGCATTCATACATTAGACCTAATTCCTAAAATGTCTAGTTCTGGCTCTTCATGTCCCCCTTCAGTTCAAAGGCATTATTTTATTTAAAACGTTTCTTACGCAATGACACAACCATTTCAGAGCAGGTCACAACTATAATATTAATGTTCTCAAGATCATTCTTTTCTGCAACAGGTGTGATGGATGTGGTCTGGTTCACACAAACAGCAAGGGGAAGATTGTACTAATCTGGGCTGTAGGTATGGGAATCACAAGACTGATCCACATAATTTTAAAACAGAACAAAACTCAGATTCTGTGCACTTAGAAAACTAACACAGCGAGGAGAGGAGTTGTAACCTAGCCATTTCCCTGCTGTAGTACGGAGATTAGATTTTGCATGGAGGAACATTCTGTTGTGTGAACTCCCCCTCCCTTGCAAAGTGGTACATTGGAGAAACTGTTTTAACCACCTCCTCTGTTAATGCAAATTAGACTTTTTTGGGCAAAGAAGCAGAGGGCATTACTCAAGGGCTGTGTGTATGTGTGAACAAGCTTTTAAGTCTGTACATGTGCACAGCCTATACGAAAAGCCCCTAACACGTATTTGCTATAAATACTTCCAGAGACCTACAGACAAAGCTTCCTTACCATTAAACAATGTGTGGCCACACCTGGCTGAAAGCCCCACAGTGAGGTATTCACCAGTCAAGCCAGCTTGTCATTTTATTGACAGAAGCTGTCCAGTCTGTCAGCATTCGACGGCTGTCATCTTCCCCTACCTCCCCAAGCAGTTAAAACATGGTGATTCCTTGACAACGCAGCCCCTTAAGCCAATGAGAGATGTAAAAAGGGTCAGAGATAAGCAAGTGATGATTATTAATATGCTTGGGTAGATAAGTTTAAAAATGAAGGATTCCCAATCCTCTCCTGCAATTTCAAGACCTAGATTTCCCAGCAAGCTCAATGTTGGGGGTTAGTAAAGATCTAAGACACAATAAAGTTGTTTCATTAAAAATAAGATGGAAGGTAAGGACAGACAAAAGCTGGAAAGTCTTAACAATTCTATGAATGTTTAAAGATGTCCCCATGACTACTCCCAGCCAAGGTGGGTAGAACCTCAAGATTTATCCCCAGGAAAAGCCAGATAGGAACCCATGCAGGGGATTTTAACACACCACCGAGGACCCCAAATTGGTTTCAGAATTCGTTAGTTACCAGGGGCAACTGCATATTCCGGGGTTTGGCAGTGGGCAATGATGGCAGTGGGCACTCTGACTCCTAAAAATGAGAAAGAAAGAAAAAAACCATATATACAGGAGAGCAACCCCACACCAAATTCTCTAGCTATGGGATCATATCATGAAACAAACTGCAGCACAGGGGAAATAGGAAGCTGCTTTTACCATACTTATTAGCCACGTGTTGTGGCTGTATTTGAGCAGATTATACTGAATAAAGCCATTGGTTCAATTAGCTCAATATTCTCTACACTGACTGGCAGCAATGGCTTTCCAAGGTTTTAGACAAATGTGGTCTCTCCCATCCCTACCTGGAGACGCCAGCAGGGATCAGACCTGGGACCTTCTGCATGCCAAGCAGACCACTGAGCCATGGTCCTTCCTCAATGATCTTATCCCTCCTGAAACCCCAGATCGCACTCAATCCGTACACCCCTGCCCCCTGCCACAGCCCACCCTTCCACCTCTGGTTTTCATTGCACAAAACTACACATACCCAATGTCCCTTTGGGGATTCTATCAGCTTCACATCACCCCAGGTGTTCTGCCCCCACCCCAATATTATTTGTCTCCCCCACCCTAATATCCTTTTTACGACACAGGTTTTCCCAACTCCTCACCTCCCCAATTCATCCTGAACTCATGTCTGATTCTCTCTGCTCTCTCTGTGCCCCAAACACCCACACCTCCCTATAGCTTCTCTCTCGCCAACATACCCCTCCCTCCACATCGCCACTGTACCCCATCTTCTGTTTTGCAGCCCCTCTTTCTCACACTAATACCCCTCCCAGGCAAATTCTCTTCTCACCCCTTCACCCCCTCACTTTGAACTCCAACCCCACACCCCCTCATGATCTCCTGTAGGAGTCATTTCCCACCCCCTCCTTGACCCCATGTTCTTACTCCCCAACCCTACCAAGGCTTTTCACTCTGCACATGTTCTTACTCACTACCCAATATCAACCCCCCCCCCACAGCTACTCACACCGCACCCTCTTTACACCCTTCACTAGCCTAACCTATACCCCATTGCCCCCCACCCCCCCATTATTCCCTCCCCCTTTTACCCTGGGCTTTACTGCACAGCTGCTTTCCACACCCACCTCTCTTCTCCCTCCCCCCAACCTGCCAAAAAATTGTACCCTCAGGTACCCACCTTCCAGTCCTCCCCTCCTTTTCTACCACCCCCACTTATTTCATGCAATAAAGCTCTCTCATATCCCTCCCCCCACACACACCTGGGGGGGAGGATGTCCCTCTTTCTAACCCCAATTATCCCAGGTACCTTCCCCATCCCTCTTGCCTATTGCAGCCCCCCGTTTTCTACCCCCCATTTGTTTTGTATATATTCAAGGCTCCCTCATATTCTTCACACACCAAAATAGCTGGGGGGAGTGTTTCCCTTCTGCCCCCACAAAAACCGCGCCCCAAGTACCCCCCCTTTTACCAACTACAGTCCCCGTCATCTTTACCCTTTTGCTTCATGCAGCAGAGGTTCCCTCATCTTATTTGGGGGCTCCCTCCTTATATCCCCCCCCAAAAAATGCACCCAAGGTTTCTCCTCCTCCCCTATCTCCCCCCCCCCATTTTTCTACCCATTTGCTTTATGCAATAAAAGCTCTCTCTTATTTTTTGTTATAATTCTCCTCCCCCTCCTCCCCCCACCCTTTCCTGGGGGGCGCCCTCCTTCCCTCCCCCCCGCCCCGCTTCCTCTTCCTACCTTCAGCTCGGCCGCCTCCGCCATCTTGAGGCATCGTAGCCGCCGCGGCCGAAAGCGGAGGGGGGCGGCCCAGGGAGCGGCGATAAACTCCGCCGCCGCCCCAGAGCCGCACGGAGTGCCAGAGGGGGCAGGAGGAGGGAAGACAATAGAGGGTTGGAGCGCTGGAGGAAGCCCCGCCCCCTTCGAGCTCCGCGGAGGGGCGGGGGTGGATGAGAGGGGGCGGAGGAAGCGCCGTAGAGAACAGCGGGGAGGGCCTAAGGGAGCGGCGCTAAATTCCTCCGCCCGTAGTCAGGCGCACCGTGCTCGTTTCAGCCGCTCTTTTTGGGGGGAGCAAAACCAAATTGTTTAGTTTTTTGGGGGGGGATCCTCCCCTCAAAAATAGTGATTTTACGCTTTCGGAGCTGTTTTTCCATCGCGTTGCCATATATCCGGGTTTTGCTGCCAAAATTTCCCTGACAAAATCTGTATACCGCTTGGTTGTAAGAGGGTGGGAGGTGGGGGAGCTCAAAGTGGTTTACAGAAAGAATAAACATTTTAAAATTGTTAGTTGAAAACAGCTTAAAACGACTTTTTCAAACATTCAAAAACAATGATGTTTGATGATCAAGTTAACCATGCCTAACCATGCTAATCTCTGAAGCAGCGGCCCCGAGGCTGTCATCTGATTGCAGCCTCCCCCCATAATAATAAATGTTGTGACACATTAATTATTAGCAGATTTATTGTGGCAAAAGGCTGCTCTGTTTGATGCATGTAGTGGCACCCACAATTTGGCAGAGATACGTCTGGGACTGGGAGGGTAAAGATTAATAATGCTAGGTTGCCAGGCTTGTAGCTGGAGGGTCTAGGGCAGGGGGCCAGTCCACTGTCCCTCAGACCTTGTGGGGGGCTGGACTTTTGAAGGGGAAAAAATGAACGAATTCCTATGCCCCACAAATAACCCAGAAATGCATTTTAAATAAAAGCACACATTCTACTCATGTAAAAACACACTGATTCCCGGACCGTCCGCAGGGTGGATTTAGAAGGTGATTGGGCCGGATCCGTCTCCCAGGCCTTAGTTTGCCTACCCATGGTCTAGCGGGTGGGAGCAGGAAGAATAATCAGTACAGAGTAGCTGCAACCGAAGTGTTATTATTGTTGTATTAGATTTTCCCCTAGTCTGGAATTCAAGGCGGGTTACACAGATAAATTTTAACGAGCTAAAAGTATAGAAAAGACCATCACTAAAATGTAATTAAACACTAATAGAATTAAAATAGTATTTTTTAAAAAAAATATCAATTAAATGTAGGCAGTCAACAATAAAAGCATCACATCACCAGCCCTTTCTTCAAAATACAGGTAGTCCTGGTGCAGGAACCACCCTGGGCTACTTTGTGAGGAAGGGCAGAATGTCAATTAGATAAATATGTTTCTATGAAAATTATACAGGAAAGTTGTATCCATGAGGTTTTAAAACAAAGGGCATGTGGGCTGCAAGTCAGCCCATGGACTTCACACTCACTAACTGGAAGTTTCCTGCTTTTTTCAAGAGCAAATGGGTACAAGTCACCTATTTGTACAAAATCAGCTCAGGAACAAGATGGGGAAAGGGTTAACACTTTCCCTGCTCCCCACTCATGCTATTTTCTTCATTAAACCCAACCACAAGCTTCTATAGAGGGAAACTCAGCTACCATAAATGCATAGCATTTTCAAACAACCAATCCATTAACAAATTAATTGGGTGAAAAGCAGGCAATTGAAATCTTCTGGATGGCCGATGGCCTTCCAGCACAATCCAATATTTGTGTTTACTGAAAGCAGATTCACTTAAAGCGTATCCAAGGAATGTTTACAGCATTGTGGTCCATGAACGCTGATGATGTGACACAGAGCTCATGGCAGAGTCGCGATTTGAACCCAGGACTGTTTGGTTTGTTGCTCACCATGCTAGCCTGTATGATGTGTGCTGTGCGACATGGGAGAGGGCCTTCTTGGTGGCTGCCCCAGCTTTGGAACTCCCTCCCTAGAGAAGCCACAATAAGATTTGAAGCACTGTCGACTTCACATTTATTCAAAATCCAGTTAAACCTATTCAGTTCAATTAATTCAACAAAACTGATGACCGTGATCAAATGATACCAAAGCCCAGTACAGTGGTACCTCGGGTTAAGTACTTAATTCGTTCTGGAGGTCCTTTCTTAACCTGAAACTGTTCTTAACCTGAAGCACCACTTTAGCTAATGGGGCCTCCTGCTACTGCCGCACCGCTGGAGCACGATTTCTGTTCTCATCCTGAAGCAAAATTCTTAACCTGGGGTACTATTTCTGGGTTAGCGGAGTCTGTAACCTGAAGTGTATGTAACCTGAAGCGTATGTAACCGGAGGTACCACTGTTCATTTGCCCCCAGAGCCCCTTGCCTCTTAGCCCATACACCCCTGGTTAATCCCACTGCCCCCCACAGGGAAGTGCTACCACCCACTGATTTAGGGGGGTCAGGGCAGGAACTGGTACTGATGGTACCTGCTGAGGTGCTGATGCCAGGCCTGACCTCAGACCACACACTCTGGTTGCCAGTTTTCTACGTGGAAGTGAGTTCCGTGTACGAAATCTTGGCAGAGTGTGTCCCTGTGACTTTCACTTACCAAGTTATTTTTTATAGAAGGCGGTGTTTTCCCTGCTGGCTCAGGTGTCCCAGCTGTCTTCAGAGAAGTCCAGAAACGTTGTGGTCTTCTCTGCAGTTCCTGCAAAGGAGCGCTATGATCAGGGCTTTCTTGGTTGTGTGTGTGTGTGTGTGTTTCCCTTACTCTGCAGAAAAAGAAAGTATCAGACTCTCCCAAACAGCTCAAAACCACTCCTTCCCCGTCATCTGGGAGGTTTATCTTGGCAGTTGGAACCCGGAAACCCAAGTTAACAGACCCAGGCTGGTTAAAAAAAATTCATCACAGTTAAAAATAACTTATTTCTTTCTTTTTTCTGCCAATGCTGTGCTGCCCCCTGGAGCTCAGCACTCCACAGCGCCAATCAGAACTGAACCATCCTACTCATTTATATGGCTCATATTTATCAGTGGTTTCCCCCCCCCCCCCCCGGGGGTGGTGGGGTTACCCATGAAGGGCGCTAAGAGGCAAGGGAGGTGGCAGGGGGGCCCTGGAGGTATAAATGACTCTCAGACCTTTAAAATAAAAGTCTGGATCAAGTTCATCAAACAATGTGCGTGATTTGCTTTTTCTAATACTTGCTTATTGCCATCGCAATTTATTATTTAATGTGAAGTGTTTAGGCAGACGCCTGATACAAGCATAATGTGTGAAGGGCACACAGAGTGAGTGTCTTAAGAATGTAGATCGGCAAGTGAGTTGCTCTTTAAAACAAGGGCCTCTTGCCACTTGCAGCAGTTGCAAAGCCCTCTCCGCAATTTCCGTGTTGGCCACAGTTCCTGGTGTGGCTTGGAAGGACCCCAGTCATGTCATTTTGCTCTGAAACCCTTTGAGGAATTGTGGAAAGCATCTGAGAGGGCCTCACACTCTCAAAACCCTCCTCTGGAAGTTAAAAAACAACAAAAACCACTGAACATCTCGTGTGATTAAAGGTAAGTAGCTGTCACAACATCCCACAAAGGTTTCGGATGAAGACTTTGGAAGGATGCGAGCTTGCCCCCAAACCACCCTGAGAATGTTTTTTTTTGGGGGGGAGAAGAAAGAATATTCAACGCAGCACATTTTTTGAGTGCATAAATGCCCAGTTTACACGTTCAGCAATAACAGGAAAAGACAGACAGACAAAGCCCACCTGAAGTGTGAGTGGAAGGGGCAACGTCGAGATGTTGGCTGAAAGTAATATTATTTATTGTGATTATTCACCAACAGGATCCAAGGTGGGTCATAGCAATTTTAAATTCAAAATTCAGAACAGTTAAAACAGATTGCAGTTGCAGGAATAGGGTGGGCTCTGAAAACAAACATCTCCAACATCAAAGGCCAGAGTAAAGAGGTGTCTCTTCAGCATTTGCTAAAAGCTGCATAGTGAAGAAGCCAGGTGCAACTCCACGGAGATGGACTTCTACAACTTTGGAGCCACCACAGCGAAGACAGTGTCCTGGGCCCCATATTTCTGAGGGTGGTGGAACAACCAAGAGGGCCCCCTCTGCTGATCTCGGAGGGTCTGTAGGGTAGGATGCGGTCTTTTGGGTATTTGGACATAGCTGTCAACCTTCCCTTTTTTTGCGGGAAATTCCCTTATTCCAGCGCCGTTTCCCGCTGCTATCCTGGATTGTTAGATATCCCGTAGACTGTCCCCAGGACAGGTGAGGCTGCTGATCCCTCATTTTCGAGGCTGCTGATCCCTTATTTTCAAATCTGAAAGTTGTATTTGGAGTTCGAGTCATTTAGGGCTTTAAGCACCAATGTGAGCCCCTTGGATTGGGTCCAGAAATTAACTGGGAACCAGTGAAGCGATTTTAAAAGTATGGGTTTCTAAATGGAACCCCATCCAGTCATCTGGCCACTGCATTTTGGACCATTTCAAGTTTCTAAGTTGTCTTCAGGGGCATCCCTACGTAGAGCATGTTGCAATAATCCTCTCTGGAAGTTTCCAGAGCATGAAGTACGCATGTACTTTCAGTCAAGCTTTACCTTTACCATCGTCTCATGGAGACACACCCAGCTTTTGCAAAGGAAGGTGCTCACTCACCTTATGTACCCTGGGTAGTAAGTGCATAAGGACCTAAGAAGAGGTTGCTGGATCAGGCCAATGTCCCAGCATCCTGTTCTCACTGTGGCCAACCAGTGAGATGCCTGTGGGGAACCTGCAAACAGGACCTGAGCACAAGAGCTCTCTCCTCGCCTGTGGTCTCCAGCAACTGGTCTTGAGAAGCATTTACTACCTCTGACTATGGAATCAGAGCTAGGAGCCATCAATAGCCCTCTCTTCTGTGAATCTCTTTAATCCTCTTTTAAAGCCATCCAAGTTGGTGGCCACACCTGTTTCCTGTGGCAGGGAGTTCCATAGCTTAACTTTGTTCTGCATAGAGAAAAGCTGTGGTCTGTCCTGGATCTTCCAACATAGTGGGCCATACTGCCCTGTGACCATAAGCATCTCCTTTCACTACCCCTTCTCTCCACGGCTACAGTCAGAGGAACAGCTTTGTGTTAGTTCCTTCCAAAGGCATTTTTTAAAAATGGACTATAATTACTCTGTGCACCATTTCCAGCGTCCCTTTCAAGGAAACCAAGCAAACAAGGAAGTTGGCAAGGCTTTCCACCAACCGTGTCAGTTTCATCGGACAAATTCAGAATGGATAAAAGCAGAAGGCAGATCAATTCAGTACGTGCATATCTAATAATTTCATTTGCGATTTGTTCTGTTGATGGGGGGGGGCGAGAGCAATGCCGGGGGTGGAATCCCCACTCCAGGGTAAATGGAAACTTTGCTCAGATCATTGGCAGACTTTGTCTACACCCCTGGAGGCAGCGAAGCTTCCAGTTGCTGAAAACCACCGAAGAGGAGAAGGCTCTTGTGGATTTCCTATTGGGGCATTTGGGTGGCTACTATGAGAACAGGAGGCTGGGCTAGATGGGCCAGTGGCCTGATCCAGCAACCTCTTCTTAAGCTCCTCCTTAAGGCAGAGCTGGCCTGCCCCTAAGGTGATATGGAGTGCCGGCCTCAGGTGGCAGAACTGCCCCTGCCCCACCGCCACTTGCATAGCTGTCAAGCGTCCCTTATTTGGCGGGACAGTCCCTTATCCCAGGGCCATGTCCCGCTGCTGTCCCTTATTGATGATGTCCCTTAAATAAGCTACTGAAGGTAATGGGGCCCTTTCTATGTCCAGCTGTGCTTTGTCAACAACAAATTGTTGCTGTTTTTTGTGTGTTGAATATTTGCTATATGGTAATTAATGGACCTAATAGGTATCTAAAGCCATTTGCACGCAGCAAAATATGTATTTTATCAAAGTAATTGTTGATCCCTTATTTTGGCTGCTGATCCCTTATTTTCGAGGGTGCTGGTCCCTTATTTTCGAGGGTGCTGGTCCCTTATTTTCAAATCTGTAAGTTGACAGCTATGCACTTCTGCTGCCAAGGTGGGGTTCTGGTGTGTGGTTTTGCAGTTCATCTTCTTCATCCCAGGCAGAGGAGTCGCTTGGCAATGCTTTGAGGAGTGCCCTGGCTGCTGTCGAGTTTGGTGAGAGCTGGGGGCGACAGAAGTGGTGGCAATGCAATGGGTGGCAGAAGACCGTGGCAACCCCCATTTTGTCTCAGGTGGCAAAATGAGACGGGCCACCCCTGTCTTAAGGATTAGGGACTTTGAGCCAGGGAGGATGCAGCAATTCTGTATTCCGTACACAGCACCCAGCAGGTTCCTATTCCTTAAAAAAAAGTGCTTTATAATTTTTTTGCCCTGTGAAATTCTGGGAAGGTCATCAGCTTGAAAACTGGGCTATTTCTCTCTGTTCCCTAACCGGGTTGGCAACCAACTCTCCCATTCGCTCCACCCATTCTCTATGGAAACAGGTTTTTTGTCCCTGGCTTCCCATTGCATTGTGGGCCGATGCAGAAGGTTGGCTGCTCTTGCTTAGTTAGCTTTGGAGGGGGAGGGGTACCCCTCCAAACACAGGTGGTCCATTTGGGGAACAGAAATGCAGAAAAAGTGGAGAGGAAGAAAGGAAAGTGTTTCACTTTGCCAGACTCCCCTCTTAAAAATGGGTTATGCCATTTGAGGGAATTTGCAAAACGAGAGACCGTGGGCCCCAGTCCCTCCTTAATTTTTCCCGTACCAGAATGAAGCACATGTAGAGACACTCTGCTGGACGGTTGCCATATTTATCAGACAGCACGAAAAGGAATTTTGTGCCGGAATTAAGCTACAACCAGCATGCATATTGTCACTGGGGAGAACTTCACTGCCACAAGATGTGGTGCCTATCGCTGACAGTTTGCCACAATAGTTATAAGGACCCTCCATGGCCAAGAGCAGTGTACCTTTCATTGTACCACTGTTGCTGCTAGGAGCAACAGTGTGCGGACAGGCTGTAGTCTTCATGTTCTGCTTGTGGACATCTGATTGGCTCCTGCTGAAGCATCTGATTGGGCCCTCTTGGAAAGAGGATGCTGTGCTGGATGAGCACCCACCTTGGTCTGACCAGCAGCCAGGCTTTTGGGGCTCATCCACATTTTCACTTGAACCATTTTTTGATGGTGTCACATCCCGATTCATTCTCCCAGGTACGAAAGCATTTTTTCGTTCCTGTGTGATTGCACCTTGCGAAAATTCAAGCCCACCCGCTGAATTGAAGCTTGGTTAAGCAGATCTCTCTTCAGGCTTTCTACGCAACTGATAAGATCTGATTCAGCCCCAAAGATTGCGTTTCCGCAAGGCAAAGCCACGGGACAACGAGAAAAGCTCTCAGACTGGGTGGGAGCAGTGATGGGATTAATTGGCACACGATAGGATCAAAATATGAGTGAAGCAAAATTATGGACAAGGCCTTTGACGTGCTCAGAGAGGGTGACCCATGGGATAGACGTGTGGGGAGGAGGGAAGAGACAACAGACTGAAGGCATTTCTGCCAGGCACACATAATTTATTTGAGTTCTTTCCGCAGGACTCAATGCAACCTGCATTTTTCTTTTAAAGAAACAAAACTAAACACAAGCATGCATGCTTTCTCACACAGTTGTTAAATACACAGTAGCACAGATCTTTTTTAAGATGAAGCAGCAGCAACCACCCTCTCCAGGTGATCCAAACGAGATTAAACAAATAATCCTTGGCAGAGGTCAGAGTGCATGGCCTTGGGGTACCTGCCAACGTTTTATGATTCCAGGAGCTGAAGGATGCATCTTGTGCAAACTGTCACAGCCGTGATCCTCGCAGAAGGGCTCAGCCCTTAACCTAAAAGCCACCCTCCCTTCAGAGGAGGGGAAAGCAGCTGCCCCAGACAGTGGATGTGAGGCACTACTATGGATGGCAGAGGGGGAGATGGGCAGATCAGAGGCGCGTGGGACCCAGTCCGCAATGGGGCTTTCTCTTGCGTAAGCCTTGCTGAAATGAACACGAGTAGCACAAGAGCATTACTCCCGGTCATTACAGCGGACAGTTCTGGATCACCCAATAGGCAGACGAAGCTCATGGAGGAGAGGGTGATTGATGGCTCCTGGCCACAGTGGTCCAAGGGCCAGAGGCAGAAATGCTTCTGAATACCAATTACTGGAAAGCCCAAGAGGGGAGAGATGCTCTTGTGCTCAAATCCAGCTTACAGGCTTCCCACAGGGATCTGGTGCCGGCCACTGTGAGAAGAGGATGCTGGACTAGATGGGCCCTTGGCCTGATCCAGCTTAAGGCTCCCTCTCATGTTCACTCTGCCAGAGACTCCAGGCACAGGTTATCCTGCCTAGCACAGGTTACAGTGTTGGACTACTAGGACCTGAGTTCAAATCCACACTCTGGGTGACCTTAACCTCCACTCTACACTTGTCTTCCCCAGTTTCTCTGCTCTCTTTTTGTTTCTTATCCCTACCTAGAGTCAGGGGGTGTCCTACTAATATTGATCGATTTTTTAAAATAAAAAAACATTTTCTTTTTATGGTTTATAGCATGGTTTTAAATATTTTAAATAATATGTGGGAGAGGGCACCATGCTCTGTTCATTGCTTGCGGCCTCTAAAGGTCTTCATCTGGCCATGTATGTTGGGTCTTGACCCCAGGGAGGGAAAACCCTACTGGACTGGGGCCCACCGTGTGGTTGCAGAGGGCACCTTGCCATCTCTGACACCAAAATGCCTTGGGGCTAAGGCGCATCTCCCTGGAATAAGCCAGTTTCAAGATGGGGCTGTTTCTTGATTCACTTCCTTTATAGTTTCTCTTTTACCCCATTGCTCACTCTCCTTTCTGTTCACCAGCCCAGCACATATTCCCTATTCTACAATAATAATTTAAAAAGAAAAGTGTCAGGGGGTGGGGAGAGACAGAGGAAGATATGATTATTTTACCAAAAAATAAAATAAAAAAAATTCCCAGCACAGCACATGGGTGGGCATCATGATATGGAATCTTTGCTCCATGCCGCACAGATTTGCCACTTGGACAACTCTGGAAATCAAAGCTGACCTCTGGGAAGAGGTGTGTGTGTGCGTTTGTGTGTGTGGACGGGTGTCTTGATGCTAGAAAGGTGCTGGAACCACAGGCCAGGATTCTTCTTGCCCTCCTGGTATTTGCCTCTGCCATGGAATGGAAACCTGGAATGAGAAAATGATTCGAACACTGTGTAGAACCAAACATTGAAAATGTTACAGAACGCCTGAAAACGCCATCTTGGTAGTCACGATAACCCCAGGGCTAATTGTTCGTTGCTGCAAGAATGAGCTCACATGTGTTAATCTGCTTTGAAGCCTTCATTTGGGTTCAGTTAGTTGGGAGAGGAGAGGCTTCTTACGAGCCACCTGTCAGCTACTCCCTTATCTGAGAGACGGATGAGAGAGTTGGGAAGGGGCCTCTGAGCATTTACTGATGTCAGCCTACGTAGTTTGCTTGGTGTGTAAAGGTAAAGGGACCCCGACCATTAGGTCCAGTCGCTGATGACTCTGGGCTTGCGGAGCTCGTCTCGCTTTACTGACCGAGGGAGCCGGCATACAGCTTCCAGGTCATGTGGCCAGCATGACTAAGCCACTTCTGATGAACCAGAGCAGCGCATGGAAACGCCGTTTAACTTCCCGCTGGAGTGGTACCTATTTATCTACTTGCACTTCATGCTTTCGAACTGCTAGGCTGGCAGGAGCAGAGACCGAGCAACAGGAGCTCAGCCCGTTGCGGGGATTCGAACCGCCGACCTTCTGATAAGCAAGCCCAAGAGGCTCAGTGGATTAGACCACAGCGCCACCCGCTTGGTGTGTAAGTAATGCTTAACATATTAATGCTTGGCAGACAAGTCATGACGACCTTTCACTGCTGCGGTGTCCAACTCGTGTCTGTAACGGCTGCGAGGCTTTGCAGGTTGTGTTGTTAAGATGACACCTTTCTTTAATAAAGGGTGCTTTTGACGTCCTTTGGTATCCCTGTAACAAGCCACTTTGGGCTTGTGGATCAGCACAATCGGCATAGGATTCATGAGCTTTGCTGCAGAGCTGTCTCGCCTCTTGGGGGCAGCACTTACTTAGAGGTCCCGATTTTCATTTTGGGATCGATTCCTAACCCAATGGAACAAGAAATCTGCTTGACTGCATGGGAAGGAAATGAACTTTAGATGGGCTCAGAAAGTATTCTGAGTGCTCTGAGCATGTTCTTTGGGTGTGCAAAATAGCTTTCCCCCTCTCTCACTTTTTGACTAGGTATGGGATCTTTGATGGTTGGTGGCTGCTACAAGCCATCAGAATATTACTATTACAGTGGAACCTTGAGTTACAAATGCCTCAGGTTACAAACGCTTCAGGTTACAAACTCCGCTAACCTGGAAGAGTTACCTCGAGTTGAGAACTTTGCCCCAGGATGAGAATGGAAACCGTGTGCCAGCGGCGCAGTGGCAGCAAGAGCATAGCTGTCAACTTTTCCCTTTTCTTGCGAGGAATCCTATTTGGAATAAGGGAATTTCCCTTTAAAAAAAGGAAACGTTGACAGCTATGAGCAAGAGGCCCCATTAGTGAAAGCACGCCTCTAGATAAAAACAGTTTCAGGTTAAGAACGGACCTCTGGAACTTAACCCGAGGTACCACTGTACTATTATTACTGTTGTTGTTATTTTTTAAAATTTGTATTGAATTAAAAGGTCACAGAGCAGTTCACAACCCAAAAAATACATAACAACAATCTCACATGAAGGGAAAGTGGGAGGCCTGGAAATTTGCCAGTCAACCGTCGTTTGTCCTCAGGATCCGCAGCAGCATTGCATGGACTTCCTCATCCATGAAACCCTGAATTGGAGAAACACCACACATCAGACCCTGGGAAAATTCACCAGCATCTTAGCTGAAATTTCTCCCAATAGTTACTTTTCTGCATTTATTTATTTTCTTGCATTTTTAGTCCATCTTTTTCTCCAGGGAGCTCCAGGTGGCACACTTGGTCCCCCCCCCTCCATTTTATCCTCACAACAACCCTGTGAGGTAGTTTAAGCTGAGGAGCAGTGACTGAGCTCAAGGTCACCCAGTGAGCTTCATGGCCAAATGGGGATTTGAACCCTGGTCTCCCAAGTCCTAATAGTCTGCCACTCTAACCACTATACCACACTATATGCCATTTTGCCTAATGCAGACATGGCAAAGTGCCTTTTGGTATGTTATTTCCTTTTTTAATAACAGTTTATTAATTTTCAAAAAGCAAAATTCAAAAATAAAATAAAATATAAAAACAGTATAAAAACAAAACAAAATGAATCAATTATGACAATTCAGATCATAAATCTTAACTCAATTGACTTCCCTCCACTCCCCCTCTTGGTTCCATTGTATTAACTTATTCATGCATGTTCCTAGAGCCTTATATTCTTAATAATCCAATCTTAAAACCTTATTCATCTTAATACAAGTAACATTTAGAAGTTCTACTAATGTACAAATCTATAGATTTATTGGTATGTTATTTCTATTAAAATATGTGGCCTTATACACACTCCCCCGATACATGCAAAGTTTGCAACATATCTATTGACTGGGAAACTGCACCCAAAAATCTGGAGAAATGTGAATTTTGAAGGATAGCGGAACAGTACTCATGTATGGTTCCATAACTGTCAATTAGGTACCTTAGCCATTCATTATGGACTTCTCTTCTATCTCTACTGCTGGCAAGAGATCATGTGACCGGATGCTCCTCCCAAAATTACAAAAACAAGCACATCCCCACATATAGAGGAAACTAGACATCACAGAGGGGCATTTCTAGCCTATTTTTCTTTTCCTGACATGCCAGAGTTCTATATGCCTTTTTCAATAATAAAAAATAATCCCCATCTGGGAGTTTTTGAAACATGCAGTCCAGATCTGCTGAGAGAGGGGGTTCAGTAGAGAAAGGTCTGCTGTGTGCATAGACCAGCCCTCGTTCTTCTGACTCTGTATGGTATACAGCAGCCTTCTCCAACCTGGTGCCCCCAGCATGGCTGGGACGGGTGGAAGTTGGACTCCAAAACAGCTGGAGGGTTGGCATGGGAAGCAGAGGTTCACTATTCCCACTGGAACACCATCCCCTGTCCTCCCAAAGTTTCCAGGAGTCCACCTCTTGATCCCAGACTCTGGGAAGGAATATCTCCTCCACTCAAGGCTTCGGGACAAACATTACCAAAATGTCTCTGAAATGCTTACTTGGGCTGCGTTGAGCAGATGCGTTCTGTAGATGGCCACAATCTCTTGGTGGTTCTTCTGGACAACCTGAAATACAAGTGAATAAGCCAGTGAAATTAAGTCCACAGACATTCTCCTGGCAGAAAAACAGTGGGGGACTCCAGGTGCAGGTTACACAACAGCCTAACCTACCTGACAGGGTTGTCGTGGGGATTAAATGAGGGGAGAACCATGTATGCCACCTTGAGCTACTTGGGGAGAAAGGTGAACTATAAAAGTAATAAATCAATAACAACAGGGGACACGGGATGGGAGCAAGAAAAGAGGAGGAAGAAAAGTGGTGGTTTAAAACAATGGGAGAGGTCTGAATAGATTGGGAAGGGAAGAACATGGAGGGGCTGCGGCTAGTTTTTTTTAAATTTTATTTGAAGGAAGTCTTAACAAGGAGAAATAGTGGAGGTGGGTAGAACACAGCAAAACCTTTAACTCCCTTTTTGCTGTACTCAATCCTCGTTTAAACCACCAGTATTCCTCTCAGTGTAACCTCCGGTTTGCTCTGCTCAAACCTTTGCCATTACAGTGGTACCTCTGGTTAAGAACTTAATTTGTTCCGGAGGTCCGTTCTTAACCTGAAACTGTTCTTAACCTGAAGCACCACTTTAGCTAATGGGGACTCCTGCTGCCACTGCGCCACCGCTGCACGATTTCTGTTCTCACCCTGAAGCAAAGTTCTTAACCCGAGGTAATATTTCTGGGTTAGCGGAGTCTGTAACCTGAAGCGTATGTAACCTGAAGTGTATGTATCCCGAGGTATCACTGTATTTAAAACTACCATTTCCCCCCTCTCAGTGTGTCTCCATCTCTGTTCAACTCACACCTGAACCTTGGTCTCTCCTAGTCCTCATGTAATCCCCACAACAATCATGTGAGGTAGGTTAGGCTGAGAGGTGATGTCCAGCTCAAGGTCACCCAGTGAGTTTCATACCTGAGTGGGGATTCAAACCCTGGTCTCCCAGGTCCTAGTCCAACACTACTCCAGTGCATGATAGATAGATAGATAGATAGATAGATAGATAGATAGATAGATAGTAAGCAGTCTCTATAAACTGAAATAATTTGGGGGGGACGACCCCCAAGGCTCACTTCATTTTGCAGCTGGAGTCGGGCACGTTCACTGCGCAGATTAAGAACTTCGCTTGAAAGCTTCTCCGTTTCCTTCAGCAACTTCCTGATCTGAGGGGATATGACAAAACAGGTGACATCCAAGTCAAATCTATTGCAGGGAATCCCTGAGCAGACTCCTCAGTCTTACGTCTTCCCATCTATAAAGTAAAGGTAAAGGGACCCCTGACCATTAGGTGCAGTTGTGACCAACTCTGGGGTTGCAGCGCTCATCTCGCTTTATTGGCTGAGGGAGCCGGCGTACAGCTTCCGGGTCATGTGGCCAGCATGACTAAGCCGCTTCTGGCGAACCAGAGCAGCACACGGAAACGCCGTTTACCTTCCCGTCAGAGTGGTACCTATTTATCTACTTGCACTTTGGCGTGCTTTCGAACTGCTAGGTTGGCAGGAGCAGGGACCGAGCAACGGGAGCTCACCCCCTCATGGGGATTCGAACTGCCAACCTTCTGATCGGCAAGTCCTAGGCTCTGTGGTTTAACCCACAGCGCCACCCGTGTCCCTATCTTCCCATCTATAGGATGGGGTAATAACATTGTAAGGTGGGTTGGACTAGATGACCCTTGGATCCCTTCCAACTCTATAGTTCTATGATTCTATGTCCTTACCAACAGGGTCACTGGTGCAGACTGGTCAAAGTAAATGGTATATTTCTAATAATGCTAACAATAATATTTGTTCCCTGTTCCCCCAAGATGGCCCTTGCAATTCAGACAGGCCCAGTGATGCCAGGGGTTCCAGTGAAGTTATTGCACAGATCTTTTCTAATCCCCCTCTTGCTCCTTTGATCTTGACAAATTTACTGGTTCCGCTAAAAATATGACAAATTCTCACATATTACATTCATTCTTAAAAGCATAACAACTCAGCTGTTATCGGGCACCTCATACCCTTGAACTGGGCTAGACAGTCATTATAGGAACAGCTCTTTCAGAATCTGGGCTTTGATATATTTTTGTGACATAACGTTATTTACGTATCTCCATAAATAAACAAGAACTGGTGGCTGAGATTGGATTTCCCCCCTCTTCCCTCCCTGTCCCTTCCCCTTGCATGTCGTGAGCAGGGACTGCCTTGCTTTAACTGATTCTACATTAGCCACATTGGGAGCCCTTTTGGACACAAGTAATAAAGGCATAAGGCCAAAAGGGGTTAGCCGCCCCAGCCCTCAAAATTTCCCCTCCTACCTTCCCTTCTCTGTCCTGGCAGGTCCTGGCCATCTCTTCCATCTTTCTATTCATCTTCTCCATTGCACTTTCCATCATCTGGGACTTCCCTCTCAGCTCCTCCACCTCCTCCTCATGCTCAACAGCCTCAGCGATGAGCTCCTCATTCTTCTGCCTTTCGGAAGCAAGGTCTTCCTTGAGGCGGGAGCACTCCCCGCTCTCTTCCTCGTATTTCTCCCGAAGGGCGGCCAGCTCCTCTCCCAGGGCTTGCGCTCTGACAGACAGCATGCCACGGACTTTCTCATGCTTCCTGAGGGCCTCCTCTTCCTCCTGGCGCAGTTCGGCCATCTTGGCGGCGAGGCGATCGAGCACCTCCTTCAGCCGGGCGGCCTCCTTGCCTCTTCCTCCCAGGGAGACCTGGACGGCTTCTAACACCCCTTTCAGCTCTTGCAGGCCTTCCTCCAGCTCGCTCATCCGCTGCCTGACCTTCAGGTTGTCTCCGATGGCATCTGAGGCCTCGGAGGAGCCTTCCCGCCAGGCCTTGTCCTCCACCACGGACGAATCAAGGCCGTTGTGGTTGGCAAGGAGGCTGCGGTCCACCTCGAGGGCATGGCTCTCCTCCTCCATCTCGGACACCAGCTGCAAGGCCTCATTCTGCTTCTTCACCACATTGTCCAGCTTCCAGTGCAGCTCCTTCAAGATGCAGCTGTCGAGATTCTCTGGCCTCAAGTGGCCGGCTTCTTTGGACATTTGCCTCAGGAAGGTGTCCCTCACGGATACCATCTCCTTCCTCTGGGCCTCCAGCCTCAGGCGCAGCTTCCTCGATTCCTCACTCTCGGCCGAGAGCTGCTGGTTCAGAGAGTCCACCGTCTGCTTCAGTTCTTCCACCAAGCTCCCTGGTGCCTCTGCCTCGGCGGGTCCATCTTTCGGAGAACACAAAGTCCTCAGCTGCTCCTGGAGCTTCTCTCTCTCCCTGCTCAGCTCTGCCAGCTCCTTCACGAGGCTGCCATTGTTCTGCTTGAGGTCCCACACCTCCTTCTCCAAGTCAGAGCTCTTCCGGCAGGGGCGGGCCTTGTTTTCTGCCACCTCAGGCTTCGGCCTGAGCTTGACCTGCCCGGAAGAGCCCTCAGGGAGCTGGCTCTTGTCTTTCCCGGCTTTTCGCAGTTCCTCAGGGGCTTTGGCATCACCCACAGGCAGCTTCTCCTCATCGTCCATGATACCATTCTCTTCTTCTCTGTGATACCCGTTCCTGTTGGCCACAACTCTCGACCCAGAGGCCAAGATGGCTTCCCGGAGAGGCCTGGCTTTCTCCAGGAGAGCAAAGTTCACCTGCTCCAACTTAGCCAGGGCTCCTTCCAGACCCACCACAATCTTCTTCCAGGCGGACACGCTCCTCTTGACCGTCCCCGATGGCACCGCTTGGTACTGCAGCTTGCTCCTGAGGGCCTCCTCTGCCTCCCACTTCAGGGCCTCGTTCTCAAAAGCCACCTCAGCATTCTCCCTCTGCACTCTGGCATATTCTTCCTCCATTTCTGTGAGGAACTGGGACATCTTCTCCCCAGCGGGGAGCCCACCCTCTTGCTTCCCCACCTTCTCACACTCTCCCAGGTGCTTTGCCAGCAGCCCACGCAACTGCTGGTTCTCACCCTCCAGCTCCAGCGTACGGGCCTCCATCTCCTTCAGCGTCCCGCTCTGGGCCTTCTTCTTTCCCTCGTAGACGCTGATCACGGCCCTCATGTTCTCCATGTGGCCCTCCATCTCCTGCACCCTCCTTGCGGCACTCTCTTTTTCCTCGAGGGCTGCCGCAACTTCGTCCCGAAGGCGCTTCAGCTCCTCATCGCGGCGTTTCCCTTCTTCGGCCTCCTCCTCGCCAGGCCACAGGACTTTCTCCTCCTGGGCCACAGGGGCCTTCGGCTCCTCTTTTCCTGCTTCTTGCACGACCGCCATTTTGGCTTGCTCTTTCTGAAGCTTCTCCTCCTCCTCCTGCTGCTGCTTCCTCCTCTTCTTCAGCTCTTGCACTTGCGCGGCCAAGAGGTTGAGGTAATAATCTTCTTCTGTGGCATCGCGGCTGTAGCGTTGGCTCAGCTCCTCACAGCCCTGGCTCCCTCCGCCCCCCTCAGGAAGGAGCTGGTTGATCTCCTGCACCTGGTCCCAGACCCTCTCCTTTGTCACTTTGCACCCTTCCAGGAGGGTGTCGCATTCTTTCCTCTTCTGGTCCAACTGCAGTTCCAGCTGGATTACTTTCATCTTCTCGTCTCGGTACCTGCTCCTCCACTCCTTCAACTCAGGATCCTCCTCTTCTTCTTCATCGCTTTGGTCCCCGACTTCACTCTGGAGGTTCAGGCTACTCACATCAGTCTCTCTCCCGCTCTCAGATGGAACCTGGAGGCACAACCCAAACCAATGCATGAGCTAACTGAGAGGCAGAAGGTTTTGACCCATCTGCAACAGGTACACATGGCTGCAAGGCAGGGGGTGCTGGTTTCAGTACCATGGACAGCTCCTTCCTCAGAGATGTGCCCCCAGGAAGAAGCTGTCTGTGGTACTGAAATCACCAGCCAGTGGTCGGTGAGGCCAAAGACACAACTGAGCAGATAAATTAAGGTGAATTTTACCTTTGTACAGGTGGCTAGTTTGTATTCTCCACCCAGACAAGCAAGAGGCATTCATAGAATCATACAATTGTAGAGTTGGAAGGAACCCCAAGGGACATCTAGTTAATGCCATGCAATGCAGGAATCTCAACTAAAGCATCCATGACAGATGGCCAATAATAATAATAATAATAATGATAATAATAATAATAATAATAATAATAATAATATCAACTGGCCTTTCACTCTAAACTCCTAGGGTGGGTTCCAGCAATTAAAACACAATATTAAAAACAGTTTAAAACAACTGCAGAAAAAAATGTGGGTTCAAAAAATATACATTTCAAGTGTCAAAGGCCAGGGTAAAGAGATATGTCTTAAGTATTCGATGAAAGCTGTATAATGAAAGTGCCAGGCACACCTTGGGGCGGGGGGAGTTCTACAATGTAGGGGCTATCACAGAGGAGGCCCTCTCCCAGGCTGCCACTACCCCAAGCTTTTGAGGGTGGTAGAACAACCAAGACAGCTCCCTCTGTCAGTCTTAAGACCTGATAGGTTCTGCAGGAGAAAAGGCTCTTTTTCAGGTATTTGGGACCTGTGTCATTTAGGGCTTTAAACACTAACGTAACCACCTTGAACAGGGCTTGGAATCAAACTGGCAACCAGATTTTTAAAACGGGTTATAGGAGATCTAAATAGCACACTGGCCAATAATGCAACTAAAGTTTTGGACCAGTTGAAGTTTCCAAGACATCTTCAAGGGCAGCTCCAGCAGTTTCCAGGAAAAAGTTTATTAAACAAATAAGCATCCCCTTCTTACCTGTGAACCAGTCTCTGATGAATAATCGCATCCTAGTTCTGTGGAAGTTGAGAAAAAAAGGATTTGAGCGGAATGATATTCTGGAAGCGCATATCCCCAAAGCACTTTGTTTGCCTACCTCTGCCCTGAATTCCTTCTATCCAGGTCACAAGATAGGACTCAGATACTGGTAAGCAACAAGAAAGCGGAATGAGTAAAAAAGGTTATTGCTCTTAGACAGTTAACCACATTACAACTAATGCTTCTGGTTGTGTGAGTTGGACCACCTTGATCATTGTGAATGAGTGGTCAAGGTCAGGGTTGGGGAACTTCTTTGACCCAAAGGGCCACATTCTCTTCTGAGCAGCCTTCTGAGGGCCACATGCCAGAATTGGCAGAATAATGAATGTGCCTTTTACCTTTGTACAGTAGGTTGGTTTGTACACCCCCACCCTCTATCCTCCATCCAGTTAAGTAAGATACGGTACGTTTTACTAGAATTTAACAATAAATTCCTGCCAGACAGAAATGCAGTCTGAAGCAAGGCCGCTGAGGGATGCAGAGTCCTATAGGTCAGATAGAGAGGCCTAGATGCGCCCCCTGCTTTGAGCCTTAGGGGCCCCACCCCTTCTGTGATCACACAAAGCCATTTGGGGTGAAGGGCCTTTTGTGGAGAGCGTGGTGCTAGAAATGTGGTTTTGCTATAATTGTGTACAGCTGAAAACACTGGCAGCATTAAGATAAATTCAATAGTGTAAACAAGTTTTGATGGATGCAATAATGGAATACTGAATGGTATAGTTTTTGTAAAACAGAGGAGAAGGGAAGTCATTGATATCTTAAGGATGTATAATGAGTATTTTAAATTGTAAAACAGAAAACTTAATAAAATTGTATACAAGATAAAAAAGAAAAAAGAAATGTGGTTTTGCTGACTACAGTGAGTGCCTGTTTTCCTCCACTTATGCTCTACTCGTCATTTTGCAAACAAAATAGATATTGGTGCTTCCTCACCCATAGAAAACAGGATTAGCGCACCTGATCCCACTTGCAAATGAACATTCCAGGGCTCACTCTAAGTTCCTGGCTGTTCCTTTGTGGCCACACCCATACCTGCCACACACCTGACATCACACGGGACATCAGGTGTGGGGCACGTGGGTGTGGTTTGTGGTAAATGACCTCACAAGTCAAACTGAGACCCTTGCCGGACTGAACTGACCTGAATCTCCCTAGCTGTACCCTAAGGAACCCTTGCTACCCTCAGGAATAGTGGAAGAAGCTGTCCTGTCACCCGTGTTGAATGAAGATCCAAACACTTGTCTGACTGGCTTCAGTACATAACAAGAGACGCCATATTGTCCACTGGTTAAGAAGCAACATGTTTTGGACCAGCCTTGGAACACCCTGGGGAGAGGCCCAGGAGCTTGGGAGGTGTAGATCCGGACGCTGGGCAGGGGGCGATTGGGTTGTCCAGAGAAGGTCCTGCCTCAGGGTCTTTGGATGCCCCGAATGTGTTGGCAGACCCTCCTGATGTGATTCTGACACCATGTCCCACCAGGAAAGCTCTTGTGTCCAAGGCCACATGAGATAGATAGGTGGCAATAGAACATGGCGACAGTTGTACCCGTGCAAGGAGATCTACCGTATTTTTCGCTCCATAGGACGCACTTTTTCCCCTCCAAAAATGAAGGGGAAATGTGTGTGCGTCCTATGGAGCGAATGCAGGCTTTCGCTGAAGCCTGGAGAGCGAGAGGCATCGGTGCGCACCGACCCCTCTCGCTCTCCAGGCTTCAGGAAGCTATCCGCAAGCCTTGCAAGCCCGGTGGGAGTTCCCGCGGGCTCACAAGGCTTGCAGGCAGCAGCCTGCAGCCCCGGCGAGTGTCCGCAAGCCTTGCGCGCCCTGCAGGAGGTCCCGCCGAGCGCGCGAGGCTTGGGGCTGCAGCCTGTCGCCCGAAGCACGGGGAGCCCTCCGGAGGGCTCCCCGTGTTTCGGGCGAGTGTCTGCAAGCCTTGCGCGCCCGGCAGGAGGTCCCGCCGAGCGCGCGAGGCTTGGGGCGGTAGCCTGCAGCCCGAAGCACGCGAGGCTTGGGGCGGCAGCTGGGGGGGGGAATAATTTTTTTTATTCATTTCCCCCCCCCCAAAAACGAGGTGCGTCCTATGGGCCGGTGCGTCCTATAGAACGAAAAATACGGTAGTCTCCTTCCAGGAGTGCCCGCTTTCCTGCCCAATCACATGCGTAGGGATGACCTCCCTAGGCAAATGACTGTACCTGCTCCGCTGTTCAAAAAGGGTACTCGGGGTGGAGTGCATATCAAGCATTGGGCGAATGTCTTAGTTTGCACTTAGCCATATGCCTTAGAACTCTGCTCTGAACTTTGCCACCAGCATGGTGTGGTGGTTAGAGACTAGGACTTGGGAGACCTGAGTTCAAATTCCCACTCGGCCACGAAGCTCATTGGGTGACCTCAGGCCAGTTGCTGCCTCTCAGCCTGACTTACCTGACAGGGTTGTTGTCGGAATTAAATAAGGGCTAAGGCCCAGGACAGACCAGGGTTCAAGTCCCCCCCCCCAACTTGGCCATGAAGCTTGCTGGGCGACACTTGGGGTCAGTCACTGTCCCTCAGCCTAACCTACCTCGCAGGGTTGTTCTGTGGATTAAATGAGGATGGGGAGAACCATCTAAATAAATAGAACCTGCACCATCTATGTCTGGGCATTATAGTGATTTTGGAACCGAGTCTTTGGCAATGACCCAGCTGAGAGTCTGAGAAGCCAGGACACTGGCCAGCCAACCGCTCCCTTACCTTTTTTCTTCCACTTCTTCAGGGCAGTCCGGACCAGCCGCCTCAGCTTGCGATTCTTGGCCTGCATGGCGTAGTAGAGGGAGTCGTGGCCTGTCTTGTCAAGAAGCGTCACATTGGCCTCATTCTGCAGAAGCAGCTCAGCTGACTCGGTGCTTCCACTTTCACAAGCAAGGATGAGAGCCGTCCTGTGCAGGAGCAGAGGAGAGAAAGATAGGTAGTGTGGTGTAGTGGTTAGAGTGAAGAAGTAAGGCCTGGGAGAGACCAGGGTTCAAATCCCAACTCGGCCATGAAGCTCACTGGGTCTGACCTTGCACTCAGTCACTGCTCCTCAGGCTAACCTACCTCACAAGGTTGTTGTGAGGATAAACCGGGGCGGGGGGGGGGATGATGCTGCATGCCACCTTGAGCCCCTTGGAGCAAAGAAGGTGCAACAGGCATGCCGGAAATAAAAATAAATAGCCTCCTCACAGGAGGAAAGGCAACAGAGATATTTCAGCTGGGTTCTTCAGGAGATCATTAGCAGGAGCTGAATCAGACCAGTGAGTGTGTGGAGGGGGAAAGGGTTAATACCCCACCCACTGCGCTCATGATCTTGACCCCCCCATCTGCTGCAATTTGGGGGAGTGGGGGAGGGGGAGAGATATAAAAGCAATGCTGTTTGGAGATATAAGGGTTAAAGTGATAGAGTTCGCACCTAGAGACAAGGGATGGACCACAGGGAAGGCAAGAGCAATCTATGCAGGCCATAACCCAGCCAGAATAGCTATGCAACAGGTTAGCTGCACCTGGTGGGATGATACAGCTGTTTCACTGAGTTTTTAAAAAGTGGGACTTTCTGAACTCCTGGGGATGGGAGGAATGAAGGTTGAACAGGAGATTTGCTGTTGTGCTGTTCATGACATCCAGCTGATGTCCCATAAGAAGCACAGCTAATCCCCAGGAGATGCCCTGTGTCAAAGACTCCAGAGACTCACTTTCCATCTTTATCAATGAGGTCAACCTTGGCCCCTCTCTGCAGCAATTGGGAGCAGATAGCAGGCTGGTTCCCCTGGGCAGCGATCATCAAAGGCGTCCGTCCATTCTGGAGGAAAAGCGTGGAGAAAAGAAAGGAGATGCTTGGAATCTTGCTTTGTGGTGAGAAGGCATTTAAAATTAAGAATAGTAATAGCTATAACTATACAGTATAACTTCCAGCTGTTTGAGAGAGGGGCAGCTGGTTCTGGAAGACCCCCCCCCAAGAAACTATCAACAGCACTTGTAATTCACACTGGCCCAATAAGCTCCATAACAGATGTCAAGATTCTAGCCCTCAGTGGGTAGAAGGACCAGCAGCAACTTTCGTAGCACTGCAGGGCTGTTGTGTTGCAGCTGGACAAGGAAAAGGGCAGGAGAGACTTCTCTTGAGTGTCCCCCCCCCTTCATTAAATTCCTAACTATGACTCATAGTCAGCTGCACCAAGTCTGATACTACCATGGATCCATTGCCCCCAGATTTTATTTTGATATACCAAGCAGAGGTCTGTTCAGACGTACATTGTCCATGACGTCCAGGAAGGCCTCTTGATCACACAGGAGCAACACGCTGGAAGCACACCCGGAGATGGCTGTTAGCAGGGGCGATTTTTAAAAGTGGAAGAAAGCAAAGGTTAAAAGTCAGGGCTTTTTATACCATACGCATAATAATATATACATGCAAATAACATACATATTTCGATAGCAGTTTTATCCCTGGCCAGCTAGCACTCTCCATACTATAAACAATGCATCATACTTGTTTTAAAAATCTGAGAAATGCCTATTTCTTTAGATTTGGCACTGGTGACTTTTAAGATTGGATGGCTGCAATGCGCTTTATGTGGGGCTTCCCTCGTGCTTGACCCAGAAGCAGCGGTCAGTGCAGAATGCTGCAGCTTGGTTGCAAGACGCTGTCTGCATGCAGAACTCCTGATCAGAGAGCTGCATTGGCTGCAGATTTATTACTGGGCCAAGTTCAAGATGTTACTATTAGCATATAAGATGCTTAACAGCTTGGGGCCAGTTTACTTGCAGGATCAGCTTATCCCACTAGACCACTTCGATCTGTGGAACTGCCGCTGCTACAGGTGCCACATAGTACCCATCCCACATTTGTAAGAAATTGGTCTTTTAGCATGGCAGCACCCGCACTTTGGAGCTCCCTGCCTGTTGACATCGGGCATTCACCTTCAGTGTACTCTTTTCAGTGCCCACTGAAAATATTTTTGTTTAGGGAAGTGTACTCAGACATTGGGCTTATTCACATCTACCTTTTGCCTTGCTCTTTCCAGGCAGAGGTCCACACATTAAAGCTCTGTGTCTCTGGTTTTTGCTTTGTTTTCTCGCAGAGCTAGTCCCGCTCTTTAAAGCTGAATTGGAGCAAATGGCTATTCAGATTTTCTGTGGATTGCTGCTTGCTCTGACGGAGCTTCAAAGAGTGGGTTTTCATGGGGAAAGCTCCAGAGCACAAAAAAACCAACCGGTGCTCAGAAACAGATCTTTAAAGCACAGACTGCCTGGAAAGAGTGGGCAAAAGTCTGGGGAAGTCCACTGATGTGTTTTAATTTAGCCTGAAGCAAGTGCTTCACTACATGTTGGCAAAAGTTTAAAGGATACCTGTGCCCCAAAGAGTTGAACCAGGCTTCCTCAACCTCCGCCCTCCAGATGTTTTGAGACTACAATTCCCATCATCCCTGACCACTGGTCCTGCTAGCTAGGGATCATGGGAGTTGTAGGCCAAAAACATCCGGAGGGCCGAGGCTGAGGAAGCCTGAGCTGTTATTTGATGCTCCAGGCAGGTGGGAGGAAGATCAACTTTAGCACAGGAAGTCTCCCATGCTGAGAAGGATCCCAGGTTTCCTTTGGGGTCTGGCTCAAGGATTTTATTATTGATTCAAATGCTACTCCCCTAGGTGACCTCCACCTAATTTGAATCATTTAAGGACTCACCCGCCCAATGTAGTGGTGTCCGGTTCTCCCCATCTACACAGTCTTCATTGGCTCCATGCTGCAAGAAAGAAGTTTTTTTTTAATTGCATTTCATTGGCATTGCTAACTTGCCACACCCTGAAGGCTCAGAGTAGCAGCACCCCCCGCCCCCAAACAGCAGTGTCACAAACCAATTCAGTAAAATCATAGTAAAATCTGAAGGAGCGTCTCCACCTCCATCGTTCTACCCGGACACTGAGGTCCAGCGCCGAGGGCCTTCTGGCGGTTCCCTCACTGTGAGAAGCCAAGGTACAGGGAACCAGGCAGAGGGCGTTCTCGGTAGTGGCGCCCATCCTGTGGAACACCCTCCCACCAGATATCAAATAGAACGACAACTACCAGACTTTTAGAAGACATCTGAAGGCAGACCTGTTTAGGGAAGCTTTTAATGTTTGATGCATTACTGTATTTTAATATTTTGTTGGAAGCCGCCAGAGTGGCTGGGGAAACCCAGCCAGATGGGCGGGGCATAAATAATAAATTATCATCATCATCATCGAATTGTAGAGTTGTGGAAGGGATCCAAAGGGTCGTCTAGTGCTTTTAAATCCTCATGGGGAGGGAGTTCCACAGCTCAGGGGCCATCACAGAGAAGGCCCTCTCCCTGGCCAACACCACCACCCTGAGGCTCCCGGAGGGCAGAGGAACCACGAAAAGGGCCTCCTCTGCCAGCCTCAGCATCTGAGATGCAAAATATATTTCCATAGAATAATCTGATGGTCCAGGTTGTAGGACGCAGCATCCACCTCATTGCAGGAAACAACAAGCACATCGTACATGCTCTGCATGCTTTGAAGCAGATTTTGATTTATGGACACATCCTAGTGCCAAAGGTTTCCACCTTCTCCCCCACCCCCCCAATATCTAGGAACAGCAGGAATTATGTCTGGCTTCAAGAAGAAAACGCTTAATCAGCGACTCTGTTGCTCTCCCCAAGGTGCTCTTTAGAGAGGCATCGCTGGCACAGAGACGGGTACCTGGGCCTCTATGACCCGGAGGCTCCTCAAAGGATGATAAGCCGCCAAGCAGGAATCTCTCTGCTTTCCTGATCTTCACATCAACACACCCTTTTCTCCCTTTTGCTGTAATGATTCTCAACCCAAGATTTCACACCCCACCCAGCTCTTCATTTTCCCCTTTGCCTCCGTGTTGAAACTGCCTCCCAGGTGTGCCTTGCAGAATCACAGGGAAACGATTAGGCCCATAAATTATTCCATCACTGCGAGGGCGGCTGTTTTCAAGTGGTGTTGATTATGGTTAAAGATCAGGCAGGAGTATTATAAAACAAAGAGCTTTATTTAAAACAGCGGTGACAGCTTGGGGCACACAGACAGATGACAATCAGGGGACAGAGACCACAATTCCTCAGTGACAGATATAAAAAGTTTGCCTCTTCCTTCCATCTATTTTCCTTCCCTTTACTGCAAGGCTTGTTTGATTACAGGCCTTTCAGGCTCAGGGATTTAATATTTAATAACAAATAAAAACAAATTTATTTATCCACCCCCCTCAGAAGTTTGAGGCTATGGGGTGTTGGCCCAGGAGAGGCCTTCTTTGTGGTGGCCCCTTCTCCACCTTCCTTGTCACGGAGCTGTGCCTGGCACCTTCATGGTACAGCTTTCGGCAAATGCTGAAAAGCCTGGGTTTTGGCACTTGAGATGCGTGTTTTGAGGACCCACCCACCCAGATTGTAATCTGTTTTAACTGTTTCTAATTATAAATTTTAAATGGTTGAAACCAGCCCTGGGACCTGCTAAAATGTACCATTATTATTTCAGGAAACGCAATGAGAGCCTTCTGGCCTCCCATCAGCAGGGCCTGTTCTGCTGTTTTTTTAAGAAATCGTACAACTCTTAGAAAATTTTAGGTCTTATTATTAAGGGCAGACATGGACCTGGTTTGCATGTGACCCTAAACACAGTGCAAATGTGTGAATGTCCCAGAGAAGAAACTGTGGCTCCATTACTTCTCTGGTCTTCCTGATGTCACCCTGCTGGGAGCCGTGTTTTCTGGGGCCTTATGGTTTGTCTCATAACCAAACCACAGGCCCAGGTTTGGACCATGGCTTAAGCTCACAGGAGGAGGACTGAAGGTGGGTTGATGCAGCTGCGGCCTCCTCTCTAAAGACCCTCACACTTGTGCTTTCACACTTAACCTTCTATAGACTGAGCCGCTCTTGATCATTTACAGCAGTGGTTCTCCAAAGTGGGTGGTAGCACGCTCTGTGGGATTACCTGTGAGGGGAAGGCACTAAGAGGCAAGGAAGTGGCCTCAGCTTCTGGAGGTGTAAATAACCCCAGACTTTGAAAAGTGGTGTCAGGGATCAAGTTGATTTATCTGGTTGAACTAATTAAACTAAATAGTTTTAAATGGATTTTGAATCAAATTGCAATTAATTGCTACCGTTTTGCATTTCATTGTGTTATGATCTTCCTTGGTGGGTTGTAGGAACTGCTATTCTGAATAATGCTTTTTATATATGCCGGCTTACCTGGGAGTAAGTCCTGCTGGATTCATTGGGGCTTACTTCAAAGTATACCTGCACAAGGTTACACTGTTCTTCATGTGCTCTTTTTATACGGTTCAGCACAAGGTAAGACATGGGGTTGCGGGGGGCAAAAATCTCAGGCAGCAAAAAAAACCTCAGGCCAGCCCTTTAGGCCTGCACAGCTTGTCACCGCCACCAAGCTGAAAGCTCCCTCTGCACACCCCCAGGCAGACTCTCTTCTTTGCACCTCCCATGTTTCAAGGCTGAACCACTGGCACAAAAAACACATTCAAGATTAAAACCTACCTTGACATTAAATCCTTGTTACCCCTGATAGAAAGGAACATAGGACCATAAGAAGAGCCTGCTGGATCAGGCCAATGGCTCATCTAGCCCAGCATGTTGTTCTCACAGCGACCAACCAGATGCCTGTGGGAAGCCCGCGAGCAGGATCCGAACACAAGAGCCCTCTCCCCTCCTGTGGCTCCCAGCAACTGCCATTCAGAAGCATTTATGCTCCAGAACATGGAGGCAGACCACATCCATCCTGGCTAGTAGCCACCCATAGACTTGAATTTGTCCAATCCTCTTTTAAAACCACCCAAGTTTTTTGTTTTTTTTAATAATTTTTATTAAGTTTAAAACAACATAACAGAAAAAAGAAAAAAAAACAGAAAAACTCACATAAAAATAATACAAAACTTAACAATAAAAACACAAAACACAACAATTAAAAACAAACTCTCTTTTCCATTTCCGATTTTACATGACTTATTTTCTAGACTTCCTCAAACCTCCCTCCTTTGTATTCCAATCCACATTGTTTGTTCAGCAATTTCTTTTCCACTTTTTTTAATCCCAATCTTTAATTTAATAAATTGTTAAAATATATAACTTCAATTTTTTTAAACCTAGTCCTTAATCTTAATATCATATAACTTTAAAGTTTGCCCTTTTAATATCAAATTTCCATAACTAACCTGTGCAGCTGGAAACCACTTATTTTCAGAAAAACCACCCAAGTTTTAAAAGTTCCACAGTTTATCTACGTGCCGCGCGAAGATGTAAACGCGGATGTCCTATTTACCTGCAGAAGCACCTTCACGCACTGAGGCTGGCAAGCGATGGTGGACAAATGCAGGGCTGTGCTGCCTAGAAAGACAGAAGGAAAGAGAAGTCAAAATATGACAAACGGTGGCGGAAAGGGAAGAGCCGGGCCTTTTCTTCCAGGGGAGGCTGGGTGTGCCGTTGTTGAGACTCTGCTGGAGCAGATTCAGAAACAAAGTGGTAACTCTGCCCTTGATGCTTCAAAAGCACTTGGCGCTTACTTGTGGATTGAATCAAAGGCAGCAAAGGAGGGTGCTTGGTGACAGCCACTCTCCACTTTGCTGGGCACTCCCAGACCCACCAATAGTAATAGTAATAGTAATTTATTATTTGTACCCCGCCCATCTGGCTGGGTTTCCCCAGCCACTCTCGGCGGCTTCCAACAAAGATTAAAAATACATTAAAATGTCACACATTAAAAACTTCCCTGAACAGGGCTGCCTTCAGATGTCTTCTAAATGTCAGGTAGTTGTTTATGTCTTTGACATCTGATGGGAGGGCATTCCACAGGGTAGGAGCCACTATCGAGAAGGCCTTCTGACTGGTTCCCTGTAGCTTTGCTTCTCGCATTGAGGGAACCGCCAGAAGGCCCTCGGTGCTGTACCTCAGTGTCCAGGCAGAGCGATGCGGGTGGAGACACTCCTTCAGGTATACAGGACCAAGGCCGTTTAGGGCTTTAAAGGTCAACACCAACACTTTGAATTGTGCTCGGAAACGTACTGGGAGCCAATGTAGGTCTTTCAGGACCGGTGTTATATGATCTCGGCGGCCACTCCCAGTGACCAGTCTAGCTGATGCATTCTGGATTAGGTGTAGTTTCCAGGTCACCTTCAAAGGTAGCCCCACGTAGAGCACATTGCAGTAGTCCAAGCGGGAGATAACTAAAGCATGCAACACTCTGGCGAGACAGTCCGCGGGCAGGTAGGGTCTCAGCCTGCGTACCTGATGGAGCTGGTAGACAGCTGCCCTGGATACAGAACTGTGCCTCCATGGACAGCTGTGAGTCCAAAATGACTCCCAGGCTGCGCACCTGGTCCTTCAGGGGCACAGTTACCCCATTCAGGACCAGGGAGTCCTCCTGACCAAGCCAAACTCCCCTTCCCTGGCTGAGAGGCTGAACAGACAGTCCGTTTCTAAGGCCAGTGACACAAACTTTTAGAAGACATCTGAAGGCAGCCCTGTTTAGGGAAGCTTTTAATGTTTAATAGGTTATTGTATTTTAGTGTTTTGTTGGAAGCTGCCCAGAGTTGCTGGGGAAACCCAGCCAGATGGGCGGGGTATAAATAATAAATTATTATTATTATTATTATTATTATTATTATTATCCAGGATCCTGTTCTCACAGTGGCCAACCACCCTCTCCAGAGTGCACAAGAGCCCTCTCCCTTCCTGGTTCCCTGCAACTAGAGTTCAGAAGCTTTTCTGCCTCTGACTGCAGAGCCCAGAGCATTCCCACTGCGGCTGGTAGCCATTGAGAGCCCTGTAAAGAAACATCAAAACGGATTGAAAAGCAACATGATTTTGGAACAACTATATCCCACTTCTTATCCAACGACGTTCTCAAGAAGATGAGATTGCTTGGGTTTTTATCTTGTGGGAGGGCGGTAAGCACACTCGCTCCCCTGTTACAGAATCGCTCCCCCTATGACACCTACCATCGTCATTCTTATCATTAACATCAGCCCCATGAGAGAGCAGGATGGTGAGGCATTCCGTGAGGCCCTTGGAGGCCGCCAGGTGGAATCTGCAAGGAAGAGCAAAAAAGCAGGATCTTGACAAGAAATATTTTCCGGATGTCTCGTAAACTAAAAGTACCCCAGTGGGTAGCTCAGGCGGAAGAGCATGAGACTCTTAATTTCAGGGCTGTGGGTTTGAGCCCCACTCTGGGCAAAGGATTCCTATATTGCAGGGGGTTGGACAAGATCATCCTCGTGGTCCCTTCCAACTCTACAATTCTATGATCTAAAGGGCAGAGCTCAAATGACAATTTTTCAATATATGGGGTGGTTTTGTTTTTTCATGGAATCAGGTCGCCGTTCAGTGCCATCAGCATATGAAAATGGCTGGCTCGTTTAAGACTATGTAGAATATTTATTCTCAATAAGTGAGGAACTCACAGGTGGAGAAAACTTTTATTTTGTATGGCTCTTTATTATTTGTAAAGGGAATCTTTGTATGAGTTAATACTTTAGTATCCCTTTGGAGCTGCGCTAGATCTTTGGTACTTTTGCCCTTCTGGGCTGTGACGTTTTACGGTTTAAATCTTTGGTTCTTTTTCTTGTTGTATTTTTGTTACGTTTGAACTTTTGTTCATTAATAAATCAATGAAAAAGAAAAAGAAAAAGCAGGATCCTGAACCAGGCAGAGCCATTCTTGGTTCCCCTCTCACCCCCCCCCAAATACATCATCAGCTTTAGACAGTGAAATAAATCATCACCAGCAATTCAATCTGCTAAAACTTCTCCACCTCAGGCTCCTAATCACTTCAGTTTTCACCAAGCATCAATTTAGTCTGGCTAATCATACTATGATCAGGTGTCAACACTGAAAGCAGCTGTTTCCTTGGATCCAGAGGCATGTGGTTATTAGCCCACAGAAACAAATTTGCATGTGCTAAATATATAAGTACAGCGCAAATTCAGGATGTAAATGCTGCAGAAGGCCAGCCACCTAATTTCCCCTCCAGGTCACTTCCTTCCACCCCTCCTCCTCCCCCCTCCCAATTAACCTCCGTCTCCAGGGCTCAGTGGTAGGTGGGAGCACAGGGGAAGAATCGACAGGGCTGTATGCCTTGTGACATCACCAGGGGCTGCCCCTAGGTCTCCAAGTTTGGGCCCTGAAATCTCAGGGTCTGGGATGCTCCTCACCCAGCAACCCTACCCAAGAGACCGCCTTGTCCTTTGCAAAGCCTGCGAACAAGAGGGATTATGGGGCAGGGAAAACTTACGTACGCAGATTGCCCCAGGGCATTCAGTTTGGTGGCTTTGGCTGTCTTCTTGGAAGCAAGGACAGATACTCGCCCCACGTCGCCTTTCTCGACAGCGTCAAAAAGCTTCTGGTCATGCTTGTTCCAGCTCTCTACCTGGTTGTCATGAGATAAGGAAACGGCCATTTAGTGTCAGAGACTTACCATGGAGCTGTTCTGTGCCAGAAGAGAGACCTGCTCCCCTGAAATGAGCAAGGGTGAAAGTGAGCACGGATGTTGGCCATTCTGCAGGCCTGGAATCGAGTCATAGAACTGTAGGGACCCCAAGGATCATCTAGTCCAACCCACCGCAATACAGGAACCACAGCTCATCAATTTGATGAGCCCAAGGTATAAATTATACCTTGGGTTACAGACGCTTCAGGTTACAGACGCTTCAGCTTACAGACTCTGCTAACCCAGAAATATTACCTCGGGTTAAGAACTTTGCTTCAGGATGAGAACAGAAACTGTGTGGCGGCAGCAGCTAGCCCCATTAGCTAAAGTGGTGCTTCAGGTTAAGAATGGTTTCAGGTTAAGAACGGACCTCCAGAATGAATTAAGTTCTTAACCCGAGGTACCACTGTATAGCTGTCATTCCTGCATTGAAGGGAAGGATCTAGTTTGGTGACCTTTGGGGATCCCTTCCAACTCTACAATTCTGTGTTTAAGTAAAATGAATGGGAATGGCTACATTAAAGGCATAAGGCATAGCTGTCAACGTTTCCCCCTTTTTAAGGGAAATTCCCTTATTCCGAATAGGATTCCTTGCAAGAAAAGGGAAAAGTTGACAGCTATGGCATAAGGTATATCATGCAGTGATAGATTGTTGTTGTTGCTGTCAGGAAGAATACCCTCCAAAAAATTCTAGTAATCAGGGAAGACAGGAGATCCCTTCTGATCTAGAGGAAGATCTAGGGAGAGCCGTGGACTCCACGTTGCTTAGTAACCACCATTCAAGCCAGTAATAAAAGAGGAAAGAGCCTCAAAGCTGGAATGCGGAATGTGGAAAATTTTATTTTTATTTCATCGCCTGGCTCCATCCCACACAGGACAGGTGGCCGACGGCCATTCTCTTTTCTCCCATGACAGCCATTCTTTTTGCAACATCACACACTGCCTCCAAGCGGCTTGGCAAATTTCCCAGAAAATATATACTGTAGTTAATTGCCCTGGAATAAGTTGCCTTGGGAAAGCGCAGGACTCAAATAAAAAAAAAGGTGGCATGCAGCTGTACAGGAGGCAACAGGGATTCAGGCAGCAGTGCAAAGATAGCCTTTGTTGAGATGGATATAGAGATCTAGGCATTCGCAGACAGCCTCTAGCTCATTTCTTTCCAAGGAAAACAGGGCTCCAGTCTGGCAAAACTTAAAAGGGGTTCAATGACACACACACATCCCTAAAGATAGAAGAGAGGGAGATTCAGGATAGAGCCCCTTCGCATACTGCCAAAGATAACTGAATTGCAAAGTTGGCAGGGACCCCGAGGGCCATCTAGTCTAACCCCCTGCAATGCAGGAATCACAGCTAAAGAATCCCGGACAGAACGCCGTTCTCCAATGAAGGAAAATCCACATATATAAAAGGCAAAGCCCTGCAGCTGCCCAGGCAGGAAGTCAAGCCAAAGAAAAAAAATTAAGGCTTTCTTTTGGGGTTGCGGGGTGTCATGCTTTTGGTTAAAAGGTTCACTTGTCCCTTCAGTCTGGGGATTTTTATTTTAAGCAGATCTGTTTCAGCAGCTCCGTGAAGATGGGCAAAGAATGTGCTTGGAGACAATCCGGTTCTGAATGCCGTTGCTGACGGAGCAACACGCCCAGAGTTTGCGGAGGGCAACATTTCACAAGGGCCACACACCCCGCTGTTGCTTAAGTTCTAATTGCGCTGGGAAAACACAGTCCTCCTACAAGATACAGCTGGGACCTTTCACTCTCAGTTCTCTCCATTCCCAGAAAGGCAAGGGGGAAGCCTGCTTTCGTTGGACAATTATGACTATTAATAGATTTGCTTTCTCTCTCTCTCTCTCTTTTTTGTAAAGTTTTAATTTCATTTTATTAAGAATATAAAACAGGGAGAAGAGTTATAAGAACAGGTGAAAATTAAAAGAGGAAAAACAAAAGCATACAACAGGCCCCTAGAATGATGAATTAGAATGAATAAAATAGCAAAGTAAAGAATATCAGGGCTATCTGATTTTGATCATGTCTACTTCCAGCTTTGTAGTGAGGGTTGCCTTGAAAATGCTGGCTCTGTTGCATATATAATTAAAGAATGCCAAACCATATAAAAAGTGCTTGAAGGGCTCTAGTGCTTGTAAAAAACAACAACCCTCAATTTCTAAGTCATTTTATCTACTATAGCTCCTGTGCATTTGCTTTCAACCTGCCATTTCCTCCAGGGCAGTGGTGGCCAAACTCGGCCCTCCAGATGTTTTGGAACTACAATTCCCATCATCCCTGACCACTGGTTCTGTTAACTAGGGATGATGGGAGTTGCAGTCCCAAAACATCTGGAGGGCTGAGTTTGGCCACCACTGCTCCAGGGGAATCAGGATAGCATGCAGAGCTCCCCCTGCTTTTGTCTTCACAACAACCCTGCGAAGCTGAGAGAAAGCAGCTAGCCCAAAGTCACCTAGTAAAGTTTTGTGGCTGAGTAGGACTTGAACCCAAGTCTCCCAGTACTCTAACCATTGCACCACAACTGCTCTTGTTAAGCTGCAAGGTTCCTGAGAACTTATCCCAGCTGTTTTGCATCCCCACAGAAATACCCACCTGCTGAATTTTTGCCTGTAAACACAGCTGTTTAAGGTATGGGAGCCTTGCAAGAACAAAAAAATGCATTGGCGAGCATAAGGCAGATACAGAGAAAGGCTAGGGTGATGTACCTTCTGGAGAAGAGAAGGTTTTAGACTGGGGTTGCTTGTCATTTCAGGCAGCTGTGGGGCAGACAGAGAATCCGAACTGGCTTAAATTCTGCCTTCTCCCCAGCTCTCTTAAAGGCACATGAGCCGGGTCCTCTTTCGAACCAGGCCACCGCTATTCAGGGTGAAATTATAAGATATTTTCCTCTAGAGAAATGTTAGCATGCACCGACATTTCATAACCGCTCTTCCAGTTCTTAAAAAAAATGCACAGCGGATATAGTAAATTTAAGGAGCCATAGGCAGGAAATGCAATTTGGGCAACCAAAGGATTCCTGAGCATGTGTAGAGAGCTCTCCGTCGTGACCAAAAAACACAAGCAGTTGGTGCCCATTTGGGATCCAGGATAAAGATGTTCTGAGAGAAGACTTGGTGGTCTTCTTGAACCCCTCAGTCTCTGCTGTCTAAGTCACTGGACAGGTCCCTTGGTTTCAATAATAAAATTTTGGTAAGATGTGCAGATGTCAAAAAGTGAAGGAATGTGCCTTCGCAGGGCTGATGATCACCCGATTTTATTTTGTCTCCCCATGCAAAGAACGAGAGCTGACGTCAGAGCAGGAGATAAGCTGCCATGACCAGGCCTGTTTGTCAGGCCTCGAAGTCACTTTGCTCAGGGCCAACTTCATGCTAAACGCAAGTCGTCCCCAGGAGTGGATACACCCCAAAGGCAGGATGGAGCAAGACTGAGCAAAGCCTCATGTCAAGAAAGGAATTCATGCTGAGACTTCCAGTTGGTCATGCTTTGCTTTGAGCTGAGTGTGTGTGTGTCAGCCTTCCCATCGTGGCCCCATCTGAGCTGGGACTTGTTATTGATTGATTGATTGATTGATTGATTGATTGCATTTATAAGCTACCTTTTCTCCCTCGAAGGAGCTCAAGGTAGCTTAGCTGGTTCTGCCCCTTCTTATTTATTCCCCACCACAACCCTGTGAGGTGGGTTAGGCTGGGAGAAAGTATGACTGGCTCATACATGGAGCGAGCTCCATGGCCAAGTGAGGTTTTCAACCCTGGTCTCTCAGATCCTAGTCTGACGCTCTAACCACAACACCACACTGGCACAAGGACTCAGATCAAGATCCTGTGGAATGAAGAACAGTGCCTCTGATCACGAGCAGAGTGCCTTTCATGTATCACCTATCTCCAGCCTGCTCCTAGGAATCTGGGGAAATGACATGCCGTCATATATCCCCAATGTTCCGCACAGCAATGGTTTGCCTGAAAGATACCTCAGGCCTCTGTGAAGTAAGGTTGCCAACTGACCAGGAAGAACTACAAAAGCAGACATGCTTGCTCTTAAAGGTACAAGCGCAACTTAATCAGGATAAACCACCCAGTAAAGTTTTTTTATTATTATTTGTCGCATGGAGACAGACACAATTACCTATTATTATAGTAATATCATCATCAGACCAAGTGGCCCTTTAAGGAACAGGAATTGATTAAAACGTTGGCAACCTGAATGGAGCCTCTTTTTAAATGAACAAGAAAAGTGTGACACTGTGCTTTATTGGAAACAGCCACCCACACGTTGCACGTCGTTATATTATTAAATGCATGGCCTGTTTATGCAGCCAGGAGTTATTGGCTCTGCAAACCAGACGCCCCTGTCCTCTGCTGATATCCCTGGAAACAATAAAAGGAGACTGGCCAAGTAGTTTTTGAGAGAGGCTGCCACTGGTTTGTCCTGAAGGACACTGGTGCCTCAGCGGGAGAAACTTGTTTACAAACGCAACTCGTGTCTAGAGCTGTCAGGTCAGGAGCATCCTAGACCCTGAATTGCAGGGCCCAGCCCAGCTCTTTTCCTCCCTCCGCACTCCCTTCCATCGCTGAGCCTTGGAGATGGAGGTTAATTGGGAGAGGGGAGCTGAGGAGAGCAGACCCTCCCAGAGTGTCTGTGCTACAGTTGGCAGCCGGGTCCTGCCAGGCTGAATCTTGCACGCTGCCTCCCCAATCCCAGGCTCAGACAGACTTGCACCTTGATCCTTTATCTTCCCATCTCTGCATGATTCTGTCATTATTCTAGACTTGGAAAGAGGGCAGGGGCTGGTGGCTTACTCAATCTGGACCTTCTAGATCAAACCTTTTGGGGGGGCAGGGGACCCCTTTGTTCCATAAACTCATCTCCAATGCCTACCACCCTACCCTATCAAAAGCATTATCTGCACGACCCACTAAGGAAGATAAAAAGGTAAAGGTACCCCTGCCCATCAGGGCCAGTCGTGACCGACTCTAGGGTTGCGCGCTCATCTCGCTCAAGAGGCCGGGAGCGGCGCCGTCCGAAGACACTTCCGGGTCACGTGGCCAGCGTGACAAAGCTGCATCTGGCGAGCCAGCACCAGCACCGCACACGGAAACGCCGTTTACCTTCCCGCTAGAAAGCGGTCCCTATTTATCTACTTGCACTTAGGGGTGCTTTCGAACTGCTAGGTGGGCAGGAGCTGGGACCGAACGACAGGAGCTCACCCCGCCGTGGGGATTCGAACCGCCGACTTTTCGATCGGCAGGTCCTAGGCTCTGTGGTTTAACCTACAGTGCCACCCGTGTCCCACTAAGATAATAACACAATAAAATTCAAAACAGTAGCAGTTAGTTGTGCTTTTACTCAAAACCCAATTCAAACTATTGAGTTTCATTAAGTCAGTCAATTAACCCCACAGTCTCCCACTGGTTCATCCAAAGGCTTGCATTGTCCTCACTCGCCTATCGGCAAACGCTGCCCCACAGAAACTAGCCTCTGGGTTGGTGAAACTTATAGCTAGGGTGGCGGCAGCTTAGGCCCCTGCTGCAAAAAGAGGTCAAGAGAAGCTGCCATTTGGCATAACATTCAAATAGGTTAATTTGTATGCATAGCGATGCAGATATAGATAATAACTATATAAATATAAATATAGAGATAATTAAAAGAAATGCAATACTTCTCCCCATAGTAGCAGTGTGGTTTAGTGGATAGGGTGTTGGACTATGATCTGGGAGACCAGGGTTCAAATTCCTATTTGGCCATGAAGCTCACTGGGTGACCTTGGGCCAGTCACACACTCTCAGCCTAACCGACCTCACAGGGTTGTTGTGAGGATTACATGGGGAAGAAAATAACTATGTACACCACCTTGAACTCCTTGAAGGAGAGATGGGTTATAAATGTATATAGTGGGAAAGGCTGCACTCAGTGATCTGTATGCTTGCCTACTCAGGCTGCTGTTCTCCAGGTGCTGCTAACAAGCACCACAACTACCTGCTCTTCTTTTCTAAGGTTCTTCAAGCCAGACTTGGCCTGGACAGACCTTCAAATGGAGGATTCATTGAAATGGAGGGCAAGTTGGACACATGGCCATTTTCCTTACGTCTTGTTGCTGAACCACATGTGCATGCGGGGTGGGTGTTTGTTCTATGATAGTCTCAAAGGAAACACACTCTGCTCATGCTCAGGAGTACTCTTTGTTTTGCCCCCTGCCTATTCCACACAAACTTTTATTTCCAAAATGAGAGCCACTTGCAAGCTATCGGAAACGGAGGTTACCGGTAATAACTGAGCAGTGCTCGGAACTCACCGCCACTTGATTGCTGGAACAGGAGAACATCTTCTTCATGGCTGCTGCAGCAGCTGCTCCTGCTTTCTGCCGTCTCCAGACGCGAGCGAGATGAACCACATTCAAACCATCTCCGAGAAGAGGCCCGTGGTCAGGAGGAGAGGAGTCCGTCTGCTCAGCCCAGGCGCTCGGCCTGGATGGGAAAAGGAGGAACCAGCAGAGACATCCATGGAGCTGGAGCCCCAGAGAAGCTCCTGGCTGGCTGTTGGAGCCCAAAGAGGTGTCTGGCGGCGTCCAGGGAGCGTTTGCAAGCAAAGCCCTGTCGGCCCGCAGGCCTCACCGCACGAAACCTTGGTGCCCACCCCCAGCACACCTGTTTCACAGTCCCAGGTCTGGACTTGCCTGAGAGAGAGACGCTCTTTGCTAATCTCGCTTGTCTCCTGACTTTAAAAGGACGGAGGTTCCCGCCCCGCCCTCTCCCTCGAAATGATGGGCGATTTTTTTTTCTTCTCACGTTCCGTCACCAAAGAGGCAAAAGCCGGAGCCCTTCAATGATAGCTTGTTTACCTGTGGGCAACTTGCAAATGATAGAAGCCACCCTTCCTCCAAGGAGCTCAGCTGCATCAATGAGTTTCCCACCCAGCTCCGCTTCCGTCCGCACAACAACCCTGCAAGGGAGGCTGAGAGAATAGTGCGTGGCCTAAGGCTGCCTAGCGAGCCTTGTGGCTAAGCTGAAGGGTTTGAATTTGGGCCTTCTCCACCCTAGTCCAAAATCCTGCTCAGTTTCACTGTGTGTAGATGTTCTCTACCTGTATTTACAGACCTATTTCCCCACTTCCATACTTCCTATCACTGTCTCAATTTTTCTCTCGGTTTCTTAAAAGACACATGCCAGGCCTGTCAGGGAACCAGGCCTTTAGATGAAAACTCAGCCTGCTAATCCCAAACATGTTCCATCTGCCCATGAGCAGAGACACTATTTCCTTTGACTGGTACAATCCCTTCACACTATTATTATTATTATTATTATTATTATTATTATTATTATGTGTACACCACCATTCATTCGTAGATTTCAGGACAGTTCATAGTGTAAAAATACAAGTTCAACATACATAATAAAACAAGAACACAGCAAACCAATAACGCTCCCTCCCACAGGGACAAATCCTAGCAGGAATTTCTGAAGCCAAATCCTGGAAGGTAGAATCTCCAAGTTTCTTTTCCTGAGGTGAGCACCTGAATGGCCGAAGCTGTTGGATTTCTGCCTGCTATGTTTCTATTACAGAATAGCTTCCTGTAATAGAAATAGAGCAGGCAGAAATCCAACAGGTCTGGCCACTGATTTCTGTGTTTGTTATATTAGTTAGTGACTTCTCTCTCAGAGTGACCCAAAATGACTTACAGCAAAAGAACATATAATAAAAATATAAAAGCACAGCTAAGTAGATAAATGGATCAGGACTTCCTGATCACACCCTACTAAAAGAGGCCATGAAATTAAGGGCCAAAAATCTGCTTGAATATAAAAGTCTCTGCCTGGTTCCTAAAAACAGATAAAGGCAATGCCAAGTGTGCCTTCCAGGAGAGAGAATTCCACAAGTTGGGGGGGGAGGTCACCACTGCTAAGACCCTGTCCTCGTGTTGCCACCCTATGGCTTTCTCAAGGAGGGGGCACATGGAGATGATGATCATAGGATCCAGGTTGGTTTGCATGCGGAGAGGTGGTCCTTGAGATATTGAGCCACATTAGGATTTATAAGGTCAAAACCATCACTTCAAACTGAGCCCAGAAACAAATTGTTAGCCCGTGCAGTTGTTTCAGGGTGGATGTTATATGTTCAGACTGCCCTGCTCCAGTCAACAATCTGGCAACCGAATGTTGCAGCAGCTGGATTTTCTGAACTGCCTTCAAAGGGAGCCACATATACAAAGCACCACAGTAGTCCAACTTAAAGGTTGTCGCCTCCAAGCTACATGCCTGCTCCTTCAGAGAGAGTGCAACACCCAGCAAGAGCAGGCCATATCCTATTTGTCTGGTCTAGGGAACAACCCGCTAAAAGTGCCTCCTTCTTGGCTGAATGGTCTGGGCATAGCAATCCAAAACATCTGGCAAACACCAAACTGGCTAGCCTTGGAATAGCCAATAAGCATAAGGGGGACCAGTGATGACACACACACACACAGACGCATTGGACAAACCAGTAAATAATGGGGTAAGTCTTCAGGCCCATTGCCTCCACGAGGGCCTGGGGGAACCCTGAAGTTTCCAGAAGTTTTTAACGCAACACTAAGGGGACAACAACAACTCCTTACCCCAGAACAATCCAATGAGGACGGAGCACACTCAGTAGCCACAGGCAGGGGGAATGCAAGGGAGAGGGAAGAGCGGAGTCCTCTGACTGGCTGGCTGAGACCTAGCACTCCGGCCAGGAAGAGATATACTGCAACATTCTGTTGCAGGTTGTAATTGTCTAAAGCAGGGGTTGTCAGCCTGGTCCCTACTGCCCATTAGTGGGCGTTTCAGGATTCTAGGTGGGCGGTAGGGGGTTCTATGGCACAAGCTGACTCCTCCTTCCATCGAGCACTGGTGGGCGGTAAGGAAATTTTACCATCAAGAAAGATGCATTAGTGGGCGGTAGGTATAAAAAGGTTGACCACCCCTGGTCTAAAGCTTTGGCAAATTCTGTGCCGAGATCTCAAAAGCCAGCCAGTATGCATCTAAATACTGTATAAGTATTTATTTTGCCTTGTGGGGTGAGGCAATGAGCAATGCAGGCAGGGCCGTCTTTACCTGGGGGTGCAAGGGGTGCGGGGCACCTGCGCACCGAATTCTGGGGGAAGCCAGGCCCCCGCCGCTGAAGCTGCCTAAGTTCTTAACTATCTACCTGTTATGAAATAATAAATAATTTTGATCAAGCTAGAAAAACAAAATACATATATACATAGGTATTACCGAAATGTATAGCTACTGTTTCCCTGAAGGACTTTTGACTTTGTGTGCTCATTTACCAAAGATGCGGTGGTGCTTGTCATTCAAGCGGCGCTAAATGAACAAATAAAAAAAAACTGGTACTTTTCCCTCCCTTCTTTTGTAAACAAAAGATAACGCGTAAGCATGGTGTCTGACATAAGCATAATAAAAATTAATTTGGGAGCTAAACTAAATTTGGGGGTGCAGGGTGCATCTTTGCACCCCGGTGGCACATATGCTAAAGACTCCCCTGAATGCAGGGCACTCTTTCTCCCCACTTAATGACAGACAACTTCATTCAGGCTCCCCTTGGATGCTTGAATGTTATGAAAACGCTTCTCCAATGCGTTTTTCAAGCATGCCTTGCTCGTCACCATAGGGACTAGGAACTTGGTTTTCTTTACTTTTTTTAAAAAAAAAGCTATGGGGGTTTCTCTGGAAGTCTAACCACATGCTGCAGTTTCAGTTGTGGCATATGCACAGCCCGCCCTCCGAGACAATCACAAAAGCACCATCTCCTCCTGGCTGGAATGCACTGGAGGCGTCTGCGGCAGATTATCTGTCTGGAGCATCACAGCCAGAGGCAGTTCTTTCAGCAGAGCTAAATGTCGCAAAGAAAATGGTGAATCAGTTCGCTGCTAACACCCAACTTGGGTGGCTGGAGGAAGCGTTTGCAGGTTCCAAGATGGTGTACATTATTCTCCCCCTCCTCATTTAATCCCCACAACAACCCTGTGAGGTAGGCTAGGCTGAGAGGCAGTGGCTGAGCTCAAAGGCACCCAGTGAGCTTCATGATGGCCGAGTGAGGATTTGAACCCTGGTCTTTCCTAGGTCCTAGTCCAATACTTTAACCACTACACCACATTTGACGGTGTCTTCAGTGCAGTTCTCATCTCTTCCCTGTATGAGAGGCAACGAAAGCTTCGCCTGACACAATTCCTCCTACTCACAGCTACACAAAAGCCTTGGTAGGCAGACCCAGTGACAAGTCTCCTTGTTCCATTAGAATATGCTTTTAACCACCAGAAACAAAACTGGGCTTAAATTTTGATTAACGCCCACCCCCAGAAGTGGCGAGTCTAAGTCAGCTTGTGAATATCTCACATGTGTGAGGGAAACTGAGGCAACTGGCTACTCAGTGGTAGCCCAGAGGCACTCTGCAGAGACTCAGCTAGGCCCATTCTTCTCTCAGGCGATTTTGTTGTAAGCCCCCCCAGCATCCAAGCAGGGCTGAGGGATAATGCACCTTTCTCCTTGGGAAGCGGTCTTTCTGCAAAGCCCCTTCGATAAGAGCAGCAGAGGTTTCCCAGAATGCCTTGCTTCTTGTCCAGGGTCCTGCCAGCCACATCAGGCCTGACTCAAAGTTCCCTCTGCGTCTGCTGCTGGTTTGCATCACAAAGAAAGCTTGGTTTGCCAGAGAAGATAAATAACCGAGCAAAGAGTTCAAACAACCCCACGTGAAGAGAGGCCAGGACTTTCTACTCCCCGCCCTCCTCCTCCTCCTCCAAGAGAAACCCTGCCCCACCCCATCTAAATGAGGGGCTGTCCACCATCACACAAGGCGTGGTTAGAACATTCTCAGCTCTGCCAATTAATCCTTTTTTCTCATTTCCCCAAGGAAGGAAGGGACAGACACCAGCCTGGACTCAGGGAGAGACAGGCATCGATGCCAATGAAGTCCCCTGTTTCTCAAAGGGGAAGGCTGAAGGACCTGGGACCTCAACCGCTTGCTCTCTTCATCGGCTGAGTCCGGAAGGTTCTGGAAGAATGGACTTTGGGTTCTTCAAGGCTACTTTGCAAGCTTCCCCCCTGTGCAAACCAACCTTCGCAGCCTAGGAGGATTCGACGGCCGGCTCCTTTCTGCTCCGGCTATGCAAACAAGCCATGGCAATCAGTCAGAGTTTTCGGCAGGTTTTGACGGATGACGTTTTCTCCAGCCGTGAGAGAAGCAGCACGTGCCACGCCTGACCGGCGCAAGGGTCCCAGCCACGGCGGCAACGCAGGATTTCAGCCAATCTCAAAGATGCAGGCAAGCGGACTCCAGGAACCTGAGCGGAACAGCAGCCTTGCGGATCCCAGAATTGGGAACTGGTCGTTGATGGGAGGTTTCGACCTCGTGGGGGATGGCAGTGCCTTGACCTCATCGCCAGACATCTCGTTTGGCCTGCAAATGTTCATCGCTTTCATCTATTCGGTGGTCTGCTCAATAGGACTCCTGGGGAATGGGCTCGTGATGTACTTGATCTGGACCCACAAGGGCAGGCCCACCCCGGTCATCAACATTTTCGTCTTTGGCTTAGCAGTGGCTGACTTCCAGCTCTCTTTGACGCTTCCCTTCTGGGCCACAGAGATCGCCTTGGACTACAAGTGGCCCTTTGGGCAGGCCATGTGCAAGGCTGTCCCCTCCCTCACCACCCTCAGCGTCCATGCCAACGTGTTCTTGCTGACTGCCATGAGTGTCACGCGCTACTGGTCCGTGGCTTCGGCCCTCAAGGACGGGTCGAGGATGACCTCCAGCGTGGCTCAGTGCATCACTGTGGCTCTCTGGGCCTTGGCTCTGGTGGCCACCGTGCCTGTACCAATCTACACAAAAGTGGTGGAATACGGCGGCATGAAACTGTGCTTCTACAAGTTCCCCACCACTCGTCTCTTGGGCATCTACCACCTCCAGAAGGTAGTGTTCACCTTCGTGGTCCCACTGGTGGTCATCTTGACCTCTTACCTCCTCCTCCTGAAGCTTCTGAAGGCCCACCAAGTCCAAGGCAGCAATCCGAACCGGCAGAGCCAGGTTGCCACCACCGTCCAGTTGGTGGTTGGATGTTTCTTTGTCTGCTGGCTCCCCAAACAGGCGATCACTCTTTGGGGGGCTCTGGTCCAATTCGAAGTGGTGTCCAGGGGGGATGCCTTTTACTTCCTCCACAATTACATCTTCCCCCTGGCTACCTGCTTGGCTCACAGCAGCAGTTGCCTGAATCCTGTGCTTTACTGCTTGATGCGCCAGGAGTTCCGGGAAGCCACAAAGGAGATCTTCCAGAGGCTCTCTTCTGCGGCTTCTTCCTACCAGTACTTTTCCTCCCGCAAGACTTGGGAGGACGGCGTGTTGGTGGCTCTGCCCCATAGCCCGTCTCGGAACCCCAGCAAGATCTCTCACAGTGAAGAGAAGGAAGACTCTACCCTCTCCACCATCTTGGAGCCGAGAGCCAAGGAGCCAAACGCAGTCACCGAAGTGGAGTTGATCCCTGGGGTAGAAATGCTCATGTGACCCTCTGCAAGTTGGAGGAAACACTTGAATTACTGAAGGACCCCGGGGCAAAGATTCCTGGATGCCGAGGAAAACCGGTTCGTGATCATTTTCTGACCTGACAGAAAAGTTTTGTTATCATAGAACTAGAGGGGGCTTCTTTGAGCTGGGGGTCTCCAGAACTGACCCCCCCAAAGGATCTGTGGCCAGTTCTCAGCCTTGGCACCTATGAGGCCATAACAGAGCTCCCTTGACCATATGCAGAGGGCGTTTCTTGCTACTATGCATCTGTGGTTAAAATAAAGGACTTCTATGATAGTTAGGCAGGATTGAGCCCCTGCACCTACCTGCTTAGAACTAATCATGAGAAATGGAGATCAGAAAGATACCTTGAGATCCCCCCCCAGGGTCATCATCTATGGCCAGATTAGTTATGTCAAATTCCTCATTCTGTAGCATTTCATGCCGGAAATTGGCCAAAGAGATTCTTATGAGTTTGCAAGGGGAGGAAGTAAGCTGAATGTCAGAGATCCTTCTAACCCCTGTTAAAATATAAGCCAGGCTAGTTTTCTGTGATGAGTTGATAGCCTGGGTGATGGGCCATTTAGAGAAACAAAGGGTGTCTGTGTGAGACAGCAGCTTGGAAATTGTTAGGCCAAAGCCTGAGTTTAGAATTGAGTTGCAGTGATGTGACCTAAAAGGAAAGCAGCAAGATGGAGTCAAAGAAATGTTTGAGTGCAATGTTTGATTTCTGTATGAAGCCAAGGTTGCAGCTATGGGAGAAACAAGACCCTTTTCGGGTCTTGTGATCCCCTCCATCTAGGCTCAGGCTGTATATGTGTAAATAAACCATATATTCTAAAGACACCACAGTCTCTTCTGTGCCTCATTTCAAAAGGAAACACAAAACCTGGAACCCCTAGAATCTCTCACTGCTCAGAAATTGGGGTGACGGGCAACAATATTATAATGCTTCCCACCATGGGCAGTAAAACTGGATGTGGGGAATCTGTGATCAGAGGTCCTGACTTTTAAAATTGTTGTCATTTCAAGCCAGATGGGGCCTGAGGAGTGGCAGCTGGGAGGGGGCTGTTTAACCCTTTCCACTGCACCATTTCCCTGATCTAAATTGCACCTGACACTCCTGTGGAGCTGTGGAGAGAAAAACACAGGCCCAGTTGAGGTACCCAAACATTTCCCTGAATAGCAGCTGGGTCGGGGGGGGGGGTTGTCATTGACACTGGGGAAACAGCCAGCTATAAAGTTTTCCCTCACAATGTATATTTCAATTATTCCCATCAATTAAAAAACCCCATTTATTCCATTTGTTGCTGAGAGGGTTTTGTGGTGAACAGTTGACACACCCCTTCCAAGTCGGGGAGGGGGGACTTCTTTACTCCAGTGTAGGCCCATTGAATGCTGCTAAACTGGTCTGGAGTGAACCAATTATACTCAAATGGCGTCCCTCCCCTCCCTCCTGACTCTTCAGTTATCTCCTGGAGGCAGATCCCAGGTAGATTTACCTGGAAACAAGCCCACAACAGAACTTACACCCAAGAAAGCAGGTTCAGAGCTTTAAGTGTTTCTTCCACATTCCCCTCAGCGGCTTTAATTTCCAAAGCAGCTTCTTCCTTTCTTTATCACCGTTAATCATTAATTTGGTCCCATGGAAAGAGCCCTGACTTCACCCTGGCCAAGGGCCACAGCTCAGCAGGAGAGCACCTGCTTGGCATGCAGAAGGTCCCAGGTTCAGTCCCTGCTGGCATTTCCAGGAGCGACTGGCAGAGATCCTGTCTGAAATTCCAGAGAGCTGCTGCCGGTCAGTGTAGACAATGCTAAGCTAGATGGACTGACTGGGTATAAGGCTGCTTCCCATGTTCACCCCTCACAACGACCCTGAAATTCCATTTGAAAGACAGCGGAGCTAAGGTCCCGAGTTGGGTATTTTCCAAGTCCTCTCTCCCAGTGAGTCCCGGGCAAGCTGTGGTGAGATTTAGAAACAAGGGGAAGGTCTAAGTTTAAAATACAAATATAAGTTTCTATCTTCTGCTGAGTGAGGCTCCACTGGTCCAGCTATGGGTGTAGCCAGGCTTTATGTTGTGGGGGGCAGAACAGAAGTATCTGTGACGTAATTGTTCAGTTAGTTTTTTTATTTATTTACTTGATGGGGGGCAGCTGTCCCCCCTGCCTATGCCCATGGGTCCAGCTAACCCCATATTGACTGCTGTAGCAAAAGCTCTCCAGACTCTCAGTCTAGACCAGCGGTCAGCAAACTTTTTCAACAGGGGGCCGGTCCACTGTCCCTCAGACCTTGGGGTGGGGGGGGCTGGACTATATTTTGAAGGAAAAAAATGAATGAGTTCCTATGCCCCACAAATAACCCAGAAATGCATTTTAAATAAAAGCACAAATTCTACTCATGTAAAAACACACTGATTCCTGGACCGTCCATGGGCCGGATTGAGAAGGCGATTGGGTCGGATTCGGCCCCCAGGCCTTAGTTTGCCTACCCATGGTCTAGAGGGTCTTTCTTAGACCCTCCATGGACTGTTCCCAACCTGGAGCCCTTCAGGGGCTCATAGGAGCTCCATTCCCAAACAGCTGGAGGGCACCAGGTTGGCAAATGTCTGCCCCACCATGCAAGAACAGCTGTGGGGTTCCTCTGCTTTTTAAAAAAGAGTTTTCCTTTGGTAGGGTGTGAACTCAAATTTTGAACTTTTTAAGAGGTAGATAAATCAGTGCTGGAGGAAATGCGGTTTAACATTAAATATGATTTGGGGCAGAGTTGAGCAGGCACATTTATTGGCAGAGTCCACACGCATTCGTTGGCATCAAAAAATACCCAGGCTGTATCTCCGTTCGGGGCCTGGCACAGGATTCAAGGAATGCTGGGAGGGTATAAGAATCTCCAACAGAGACGAAAACAGGTTTCTCTTCCCCTTGACCTCCAGAATACTCTCTTATTAATTACACATTAATTACATATGAGCAAAGCAGAGTTAGCACCTTCAGCACCAAGAACAATTCAAAAGCCTGTGTGTTGGGAACTTTCCACTTTCTTATTCTAAGCAAGTGACTGAAATGAGATCTTAACACGTTGTCAGGTTTTCATCACATTCCGTATTCAAGTTTGCATTTATTTCAATGAAGCCTTGCCATGAAAATTGATATTCATCCCATTACTTCCAATGAGCTTCCAGGTAAGGCCCCCAGAGTTTTCAATGGGTGTTCTTCTCCCTGTATCTGTGCAGTGGTGCTCAACACATTTTGGAGGAGGGGGCAGCGTTAAAAAAGGCACTTTTGCAGGGAGAAGGGGCAGATGGTGAGGAGAGGAGCAAAGGGCCCCCAGAAGGAAGCCTTCCTATCCAGACAGTCTCACTGTTTTCAAGAGGCAGCATGATATAGTGGTTGGAGCATTGGGACTCCAACCTGAGAGAGACCAGGATTCAAATCCCCCACTTGGCCATAAAGCTCACTGGGTGACCTTGAAGGCCAGTCACTGCTTTTTGGCCTAACCTACCTCACAGGGTTGTTGTGGGGGTTAAACAAGGAAGAGAGAGAGAATCACGCACACCTCCTTGAGCTCTTTGGAGAAAAAGGTGGGCGGCAAATGCAATCAGTATATAAACATTCATTTATGAACTGCAGCCAGGCAGAAGGGAAGATCCTGCCGCCCCACAGACATTTGCCTTGGATGATGGTAGACGTCAAAACCACGCCTGGCCTTCAGATTTATGAGCTGTTTTGAGTTCAAGATTTATTGGCCTGAAACGCTGTTATCAAAAGGTAAAGCGATCCCTGGGAATGGGCCAGAGACGTTCCTTGGAGGGGTGGGGAGCCATAACTTTTCCTTCCACCAACAAGAAGGGCTGCTCCCCACTGTCTCTGCTCTGCACGTGGAGCAGAAGCCTCAAGGCTCCAGTGGGAGTCCATTACCTGCCGTCCAGCCATGTCTGATGTGAATATGGAAGACCTGCATGGGGCCACCTTGAATTAACCCTGACTTCACTCTTTTCCTCTCTCTGTCACCCATTCACCCCAATGTAAATGCAAGTACTTCATTCTCTCTGCAACAAGAAACTCTGCAGTGTGATGTAGCGGTTAAAATGCTGGACTAGGACCTGGGAGATCAGGGTTCAAATCCACCACTCAGCCACAAAGCTCACTGGGTGACATGGAAGGCCACTCACTGCCTCTTAGCCTAACCTACCTCACAGGGCTGTTGTTTTCTTGTAGGGAAGGTGGGGGATATGTATGTAGACCGCCTTAAGCTCCCTGGAGGAAAGCTGGGGTATAAATGTAATAAATAAATAAATAAATAAATAAATAAATCCAATCCTTTATTTATTTATTTATTTATTTGCATCCTGCCTTTCTCTTAGTGCAGGACCCAGGGTGACACATGACATAAATTAAAAGTGATACTAATAAAACATGCTCTCTGTGTGTGTGTGTGTGTGTGTGTGTGTGTGCGTGCGTGTGTGCGTGCGCGCGCGTGTGTTTTAAATAAATAACCCTGTTAAAACCGGCGCTGAATATCATTTAACACATAAAAAAACAATGCAAGTGCTCTTTTGGGGAAGTTTTTGCGCCTTTTTCACAGTTTAAATCAGTTTAATTATTACCCAAAGTCTGTTCAACACTTCAACTCAGCAGAGGCTGCCACAACAGCCAGGTTCAATTACTTTATGTCAGAAAAGCTGACTGGGAGACCTTGGCCAGACTCCTGCCTCTTAGTCTAGCCTGCCTCACAGGGTTGCTGTGTTGACAATGTGGCGCTGGGACAATTTGGTGGCCCCACTCTCTCTTTGGATAAAAAGTACAATCATGATCCGTGATTTTTAATTTTCATGGGAGTTTTTAATATATTTTCTTTGCAAGGCAGGCAGAGACTGGGCAGCGTTGAGCTGTGGTGGCGTAGACATGCTGCCTAAGGGGACCTCAAGGAGAAAGGGAAACAGAAGCAGATCACTTGAATAAGCTGCCCACAACCTGTGTTGTGTATGGAGCAGTCCAGAGAAGGTCGTGACAAAGATCCATCACAGGAGAGAAATCACGGTAATAAAGTTTGGAGCAAACACAATAAATGCAAATCCGGGCTTCCTGTTTAGAGAAATTAAATTACAGGAGTCAAAAGGCGGGGCAGCAGAGATTTCTTGAGAAAACACCAGCCACACATTTTCCATTTCCACAGTCTGTGCTGTGTTTGTGCTCCGGGTGGAGTCAGCTCCTCATTTTTTAAAAAACACATATTAGGCACAAGGAAAGTCCACCAGAGATCTCACTCTTCAGCTGCCTCAGAGACTAGGCTCCTGGGGTGAATATCCTGGCTGTGTCCCAGATTCTTTTTCCCCTTTGATTTTTAGGCTGGGCTTTTTCATTATTCCAAACTCCCCTCTCCAATTTAGCTGTGGTTCCTTCATTGCTGGGGGGTTGGACTAGACCAGGGATGTCCAATTCCCAAGAGACTGCGATCTACTCCCACTATAAAAGCACTGGCAGTGATCTACTCATTGGATTGACAAAGGTTGTCGAGCTTATTCTGGGGAGGCTTCAGCAAAGTTGTTGAGCTTTTTCCCTTTTTCTTTTCTTTTGGTGGGATAATTTAAGAATTACGCAATCGACCAGGAATGCCCCACGATTGACCGGTGGATCACAATCGAGCGGTTGGACATCCCTGGACTAGACCTTTGGGATCCCTTCCAACTCTACAATTCTATGATTCAATGGCACATCTTCCCCAACCCAGAGTCAGGGACAGGCAGGAGATCAACTTTTATTATTATCAAAATTGTAGTACAACTATATCAACCCAAATGAGCCCTGTCCAGATGAGGCAAATTGCTTCGCAACATCATGACCAAAAGCTGTTCCTCAAGATACAAATGGCCCAACTCCCAGCTTCCAACTGGCCTGGCCTAATTAGCAGCAAATTGCTACCAGCAATCAAGAGTAACTTGGTTATTCTAATTACCTGCCCGCTTCTTGCTTTCCTCCCTTACTTTTGTTTGATGTAGCATTTAATTTCCTCTTTCTCTCTGACAAACATGGAAAACGGTGCCCTTTATCTTTGCAATCACCCGGGCACTGGTCTTCTATATTATCTCTCCGTTCTTCCCTTCTGTACAAACAAACACACCCCAACCAACCTCTTTCCAACTTCTGCTTATTTTTCTACTTTAAAGCAACTGATTTAACAGGTTGATTCGAGATAGCAGGTTTGGGATGCAGTGTACCTGCCTGCCACTTTAACGGGAAGTTCAATTTTTTTGAATTCGCACCCACCACCATCCACATTCTTGGGCGACTAGTCAAATATGTATGCAACTAGATTGGGCTTATTCAGGCAGGCATTTGGGCCCCATAAGATTAATAGTTGCTGTCAGGCTAACATTTGTTCTACAATTGTAACATACAAAGCCAGATTGAAGGCCAGGAACCTAGCAAATCTACGGAAATATAACCGCCAGGAAGGATCGACTTGGAGACTTTATCCCTGGTCCAGGCATTCAGACTGCTTCTGCCCTCCAGGTCTTTCAAGCTACAGTTCCCACCCGCCCCAGCCTGTTGCAGCCCAAAATGGCTGTGCTGACAAGGACTGACGAGAGCTATAGTCCAAAATATCTGTAGGGCGCCTGGATGAAAGCAGAAACATTCCTAGCCCGAAACACCCGCAATCCCAAACCAAGGATCATTTTGAACCCTGCTCCCCCCGCTATACACTGTTGAAAGCACTTTAGGGCTTGCTGTATTCACCTTGGCTGCAAC